AGGACCTCACTCCACAGCCCCGCCCACCCTCCACGGCCAATCGTCCTCCCTGCCTCCCACTCACTCCCTCCCCACTCACTGCCCACCTGAATGCGATGTAGGTTGCGTCATCCCGCTCCCGGTGCCCCGAGTACTGCGCCCCGTACTGCACGGTGCCCGGCGGCAGCAGCGACAGCAGCGCCTGGGGGAGGGGCGGTGGGGCGGGGCGGGGCGGGGGCACCGAGTCCGATTGGGGTCTTGTGTGGCAGCGGGGTACGAAGCAGGAGAGAGCGTGGAAAGGGAGGAAGGCGCAGCAGTAATGGCAGGTGCCGCTTCCCTTGCATGCATCATCCTAGCCTCACCCCCCCCCTATCTCACCCAGCCCCCGCACCCAGCCCCCCACCTGCTCCAGCTCGTACCAGCCGATGGTGAGGTAGGGCTCTCCGAAGCGCCGCAGCGCCCCCCGCCCGCCCGCTTCCAGTCGGGTGATCAGGCTGCCTGACAGCAGCAGCAGGTGGGGAGGGGGGTGGGGGTGGCAGGTGGGGAGGGGGGTGGGGGTGGCAGGTGGAACATACAGGGCTTCCTCTTCGCAGCAGCACATACCATTCTCAAGGCGGTGTCAAGATCGTCCCAGCTAGCTGCACCCAATCGCAAGCCCAACCCGCTACAGCCATGCGAGACCCCCAAGCCAAGCAACCCACCATCGGTATCGTGAATGAGTACGGGTCGCGCAGGCAGTGCGTGCCGCATGATGAGCGATCGCAGCCGGGGGTCAATGGCGGCGGCGGCTCGGAGACCGTTGGGCTCCAACCGACAATACGAGCCGTACTTGCGGTCGGGACCGGCGGGCGGCGGACGGCGATCGAAGACCTGCGAGTACAAGGGTAACGAAAGGGCATTATCCGGGTGTGTCGTGAGGACTGACGCACGCATGTGCCCTGGACTGGGTGACTAAACCTGCAACCTAGCCCTGCACCTTGGCTATTTGTTAGCACAGAGGAAGGATACCGGCACCCTACGCACGCAGCAGCCACAGCCATGACAAGCCAAGTCATTAAATTATAGCACCGAAGTCCAGGCAACGGGGACGAAAAGATCAGGCATTGGCATGGATAGGCATGAATGAATACGTATAGGCATGGATATAAGCACGCACGTACGGCAGAACCCACCTTGACCTTCAGTCGCGGGTTGACTCGCTTCAGCGCCAGAGCCGTAGCCAGCCCCGTGATGCCCGCACCCACCACCGCGACATCAAGATCCAAATCAACCTTGCCGCTGTACGGCAGAGCGCCGACTGCCGTACCAGCGACGCTGCTGGCGCGACTGGCGGCGGCGCGGTGTGCACCGCCGCCGCCGCCGCCGGCGGAGGCGGGGTAAGAGTACGACGACGATGGCGGCGGCAGTGGTGGTTGATGGTGGTGCTGCATTGGGGCTGTGAGGAAGGGTGTGTCGGGAATGTGGCCGCCGCCGCCGCCGCCGCGGTGCCGCGTTTGTTGCTTGGGGCTGCCGGCGGCGGCGCCGCCGCCGCCGGGACGTTGGTCGTTGACGGCCGTTGCGTCAGAGGCCGGAGCCGTTGCTTCCGTCGCCATGGGCGGTTGCGGAGCGGCGATTGAGGAGGGTTGTGCCGACGAGGACGCCGAGGGAGGCGACGGCTGTTGGCTGACGTCACTTGCAGTCGTCGGCGATTGGGAGTGCTGGGAGGCCTGCTGGGATGGTGGATGTGGCGGTGGTGGTGGTGGTGGCTGTAGTTGCTGCAGTTGTTGCTGTTGCAGGGGCTGCTGCTGTGAGAGAGCACCCGTGGACCTGCTTGCTTGCGACAGAGGTGCAGTCGGGACGACTCCCGAGCCTAGTCCAGACCCCGAGCCGCCTCCGCCGATGCTGCCGAGGTGGCTCAAGCTGCCTCCGCCGCTGCTGGCGCGCAGGAGTTCAAAGGTGGGCAGTCGCCAGAGCTGCCGGCCGCTGGGGGTGGTGTGGAGCTGCGGCTGAGGCTGGGGTTCGGGCTGAGGCCGAGGCTGGGGAGGGGATGAGGGAGGTGAGCGAGATTGAGCGGTGGGAGCGGAGGCTGGGGATGTGGCTGTGGATTGGGAAAGAGCGTTGGTGGTGGTGAATGGGGCTGCTTCGGTCTCCGATGAGGGCAGAAGCTGGGTAGCTGTGTCGCTGGGGGCAGGGAGCGGGCCGGAGGAAACGCCACCTGCAGGAATGCTCGTGGCGTCGGTGGTGGTGGCGTTACCGGTGGTGGCGGCGGTGGTGGCGTGATCGGACGTCGAGGATTCAAAGCGGCCAATGGGAAAAGAGTCTAGGCTGGACAGGGGCCGATTCTCGCAATGATTTGCTTTTCTGGGCAACGTTTGGATTTGGTGGCTACGTTGCAACAATTCAGGTTGCTGCTTGTGCGCCTGAGCTGCAGCAAGAGCTTTCTGTGATGTCTGCGGTAGCTCCCCTTGCTGTTGTCGTTTTGTTGTTTGTTGATGCTCCTGCGGATCTAGCTGTTCTTGTTGGAGGCGCTTGCGGCTAAAGAAGCGCTTCATGCGCGCGCGCCTCTTGGGAATGAGGTCGATCTTCCGAGAAAAGAGTCAACAGCCTCGCTTCACGCTTGGATGGACCTGTTGCCGCAAAAATGCAACCACTTACTATATTGCAGCTTTTTGGATATAAGAAGAAAGAATAAAGGTCGTGATGAAAGGATACAGCCAACGGCTGGCTTTTGTGTGGGGGATTGGTTCGCCAGATGCGTCATCACACCGGAACTGCCCAAAGCATAAAATCGTAGAGCTCCAAAGTTCCAAACTCTCTCTCTTGCGCACCTGCTTGGCGTCTAAGAACAATCTTCCAAAATTACTGCTAAGCAAATCTTCCATAAGCACGACCTTCGCAAATGCTAGGAATGCTGATGCTGGGCAGGGCGGTTGCCCAAGCTGCTTTAAAGCAGCAGGGCGGCTGCTGGCGATGCGGCCTGCTGCCCGCCCTTGACTCCGCTGTACCTTCGTCTTCACCACCGTGTTATTGCTGTCATGGTGTGAGCGTCCAGCGCTGTGAAGCCTGCCGAGGTGCGTTTGATGGTGCAGTGACCCGTGGGTCGTTTGCGGGCAGGTCTGTCACGGCAACTGACGCGGCAAGTTGAACACCACACCGCACACACAGCAGGGCACAAAACGGAAAATGCAAGCTGCTTCTTATCGCGCGTGTGATAGCAGGCAATGTGATTGCCTGCTCTTCACTGCTTGCCAAAAGTTGCAAAATTAGCGACAAGCCGAAGTTTACGATGGCCCAGTAGTCCCTGTTAGTTCGTGGCATTCAAGGAAGCAAGACAAGATGTATGTGCCCTTCACACGTCCCTTCACGTCCTTCGCACCTGCCTTCGCGCTGTTATACACGTAGCAAGCATCCACCGAAAAGCTCACAACACTCAACCTCCCCAACCCCAAATGTTTCCTGCGCCTCTTCCCTCTCCGGGTACTCAGGCCTTGCCACGGGCAACCACCCCATCTACGAGATGGAGAAGATCAAGGCCACCTCGCAAGGTCGCGTGGACGTCACAGGTGGGGACATAGCGCTGCTGGCGCGCGGCGCAGCACTGCCGTACTGCACCTGTAGGCCACCTGTAATACCGCCGTACCTCGCTCTCTAATCCACAATTCACACCGTTACCTACTCAACATACTCAGAGCAGCTTTTGGGCCACTCGCCTCACTCACCCCATTCCTTTCCTCGCTATTGTTACCTGCTTCGTCATCCTTCCGCTATTCCTTCTCCGCTCCCAACCCCCCCTCCCCAAGAGGACGAGCCCGGCACCGGTGACATGCCGCACATCACGGGCTGCATGCCGGAGATGGTAGAGGAGGAGTTCCGGGAGCCGCCGCCCGACATGCCGGAGAGACAGGGTAGGCCAGACAGATGAGGAGAGGGGGGGGGCGCAACCAAGCAGGCCCTCCCCCTTCCCACCCACTGGCCTCCCAACTCGCCCGCTCCCTCTCTTCCCTCCCTTGCGCCCTCCCCCCTCAGGTCCCGGCCTGCCCGACTTCTTCGTCGGCGACGATGCGCCCCAGCCCCGCTCCGCCCCGCCCGGCAGCGGCTCCGCCACCTCCTCCGCCCACCTCTCCTCCTCCCTCTCCAGCGGCCCACACGAGGGCACCACCCACCCCTCCGGCGCCAGCTACGGCGGCCCCTCGCAGGACTACTACCACGGCGCCATACCCGTGGTGACGGACCCGGTGAGCGGCATGGCGAGTGGCTCGGTGGTGGGCGCGGGGGAGGGGGTGGCGCGGGAGGTGGGTGGGGCGGCGGTGATTCGGGGGCATGGGGAGGATGCGGTGGGGGTGAATGCGGTGGATGAGGAGAACAAGAAGTAGGAGGGGGGTCAAGGTAGACCAGAGATGGGGAGAGGGGGAGAGGGGGAGAGGGGGAAGTGGAGGATAGAAACATGGAGAGGGCGAGGGAGAGGGAGGAGGAAGAGGGCTGGCGCGGGTAATGGTGTGGTGGTGGAAGTGGAAGGTGGATGGGTTTGGAAGGGCGCGGTATTTTTGCTTCGGAAGGGCGTGCGCTTTGTCATGTCGGCCGCGCTGGCCTGTTGGAGCAGTCAGTTCTAGTGCGTGTACATATGTTGCTGATTTGGCATGCGGTGGTTTCCGGAGAGAGGTAGCAAAGTGTAGCGGATCGTTGAGTTGAGGCAGGCGCACTCATGCAGATATCGTTTGCCGCATGTTGTCAGAAAGTGATTGGCCGGGAGCAGATACTCCGGAAGTGCTAGCTTTCTAGCGTGCCGGATGACTGAAGAAGTTACGATGGCAGCCACGTGTAAGGAGCACAGCGGAAGGAAGCTACTTTGGAGTTTGGACAGCGGCATTGCTTGCAAATTTCTTCATGTATTGTATTTTACCAATCCAACTTTAAAAGCCCTTCTAGCTAAACTGAGAAATGAGCAGCGCGTTCGCAGGTGCTATTCACGGAAGATACGGATCGTGATCCAACCGCTCGTTAAGTTTCTTCTGCACATCGTGTCCCAACACCTATAGGCACCTAGGTGATCACAGCAGCTTCGGTCATATGCATGTTACTTATCTATTTAGTGTCGTCATGTCGTTCGTGAGGTCCGTGAACAGGGCGTTCTTACCTCGAAGTTGCGTGAGCAAAGAAGAAACATTGAATCTGTCGCTGTTTGCCAATGTCTTCGTTAGTAGCAGGGCTCTTGCAGACCCTTTTTCCAAGTAAGGGCGAAGATGGTCGACTGTTGTGCATTGGCTTGGATGCGTCGGGGCGGACCTCATGGTTGTACTCGCTATTACTGCCTGGCCAGCATATCACCACTATCCCGACCATCGGCTTTAACGTGGAGACAGTAAAGCACAACGGATGCTCGTTGTGCATTTGGGGTGAGCTGCGCATGGGACACCTTTGCTGGCACCTTTGCGGATACTCTGCCCCAGCTTGCCAGGAACTAGGAAAACAACCAAGGCTTGATGCGCCGCAGCATGTTACTGCACCTGGACGGCCCAATATGCAACCCCCCACTACCGGCACAAGACGTGCAGCTGCCCTTAGCTCCTTCAGCTACCCGGCACCCCTTCTCCGCGCGCAACAGCCCCTGTGTTCCTGTGTTCTCCCTCTTATCGCCCGCCCGAGACGGACTTGCTTCTTCCCCTGCCCATCTCCACAGCGTGCCAAGCCTCCACGCCCTGTAGCTGTGCACACCCTGGTGATGCACCTACCCACACCGGGGACGCCTTGGAAACCAAACACCTCAGCCCCGTTCCCCTGCTGCACCACTGTCCCCAATATACCCCTTGTCCGCCCCTTTCCTCCCTTCCCTTACCCCCCTCCAACCTACAGACGTGGGCGGCTGCGACAAGATCCGGCCGCTGTGGCGCCACTACTTCGCCGGCACGCAGGGCCTGGTGTTCTTCGTGGATGGCAGTGACATAGAGCGAATGGACGAGGTGCGGGAGGGAGGAAAGGGCTAACGAACCGGGGTATAAGGCGGCGTCATGGTTTGTAATGTGCAACGTTTTCAACACGTGAGCCAAGAGCCCGAGGTGGGGGATATGAGCCACACCTCCAACGAAACACAGGTCGCCACCCTCACCGCCATCACCAGTCCACCTCCCACCACCCAACCACCCCGGCACGCTACCTCCCTCCACTCCCCCCCCCGGCGCTCACTGCATGAGTCGGGATATGGGATTGGGACTCGTTGTTTCACTTATTTAATTTTTCCCCCCCGGGGCCAGGTTGCCGAGCAGCTGCGGTGGCTGACGGCGGCGGAGGAGCTGCGGGAGGCGTTTGTCCTGGTGGTGTCCAACAAGCAGGTGGGGAAAGAAGGATATCCAACGCGTGTGTGTGTGTGGGAGGGGTGTTGCAAGTAGCGCGGGTGGTGGTGTGGGGGTTGGGTTCATACTCCATGTTGTTGGGCTCATGCTCCGTGCCTGCCTCATGAGACCCCAGCTTCGGGAGGTGATGCCTCTTCCTAGCCCGAGGAGGAGGCGTCATGCACCTCCTCCCTAGAGCCCCAAGAGGTATGGTGATGCCCTCCGTCTCTTCCATAGCCTCTCGTCACACACTGCTGCTGCTGTCGTACCTCCACTGTTGTCGTACTGCGCAGGATCTGCCGCGTGCGCTGTCGCCGCAGCAGGTTTCGGAGCGGCTGCGGCTGCCGGAGGTGCTGGGGCAGGGCGGGCGCATGTGGACTTGCCTGCCGGGGACGCTGTGCGATGAAAAGGTGTGAGGGAGGGAGGGGAATGGAGGCTGGGAGAGAGGGAAAGGAATGGAGGAAAGAGGAAGGGCTCTTGTTCGGTAGGGAGGGAGACGGCTCGTCAGCAGGGGTGGTATGGTTCCGGTAGTTGCAAGCACCAGTCCGGTTGTTCGGGTTGCTTGGGAGTATGCAGTACGACGTACCCACGCACTTGTGCGTGCGTACTTGTGGTTTGGGATTGGTTTGACCCATGCGAGCGAGCGTGCGGTCAAAACACTCTTTCCTTAGCTTCTTCTCCTGTCCCAGGCTCCCGCCCTAGTGCTCTCGCCCTACACCCAACCGCCTGTGCACACCCCGTCCTTGTCAGTTGCTGCTGCTTCCCGGCTCCTGTCCAACCCAACCTAACACCCGCACACCCACCCTCACCACCCGACCCCCCACCCCGCGCGCCCCCGCCCGCAATGCCCCCAGGCCAACAAAGCCCAGTTGGACTGGATCACCACCGTCCTGCGGCAACACCAGCAGCAGCAGCGGGAGCGGGCGGCCGCTAGGGCTGCTGACGAGGCAAGCAAACCTGCTGCTGCCGGGGCTACTGGTGGTGGCGAGGGTGGCGGGGGTCCCTCCGCGGGCAGTGCTGGTGCTGGTGCTGGTGCTGGTGCTGGTGGTGAGGGTGAGGGTGGTGGTGAGCCGGACGTGCTGGAGCGCTGGTTGCAGGTGGAGGACGAGCCGGATGAGGAGTTCCTGAGGGTGAGGTTTTGCATGGCCTGCTGGGGGCGTGGGTGCTGGGCGGAGGGAAGTGGGTGTGTGGGGGTGAGGGGAGGGTGAGGTAGGAAGCGTAGGGTTGGGCATGACGCTGCCACGCTCGTCTCCAGCAAGCCCCTACTGCAGCAGTTCCCTGCAATCCCCTGTTCAACAAACCTCACGCCCTCTGCGCAGCGGTGCCCTCCGCAAACCCACACTCCCACATCCATCCATCCGAACACATCCCTTTTGCCCACCCATTTGCCCACTCCTCCCTTCCCATCACTCCCATGCAAATCATCTTCTCACCCACCACCCACACCTCGCGCCCGCCCGTTTTCAGAAGCTCGAGAAGTTCAGCCTGGACTCCTGGGACCACCGCACGCACCTGCGCATCGCCTGGCTCTACCTCACCCGTCTAGGCAGGCGCGAGGGACTGCGCCGCATCCACGCCTCCATCCGCGCTTTCATCCAGCACAGCCCACTCACGCGGCGCCGCACCGGCAGCGGCAGCACCTACCATGAGACCATGACGTACTTCTGGTCGCACATGGTTCACTTCGCCATCGCCAGCCAGAAGACACCTGAGGGTGAGTGAGTGGGCACCGTTGTCTGGTGGGTTGCCTGCCCGCTTGCACGGCTGAACGTACACCTGTGTGCTCCCCACCCACCCCACCCCGCCCCCCACCCTGCAGGCGCCACTCCGGACTTCCGGTTGTTCTTGCTGCTGAACCCGCAGCTCAGCAACGGCGGGCTCTTCCTGCATTACTACACCAAGAAGCTGATGCTGCTGGTGGGGGCGGGGGGGGGGGGCGATGAGAGCTGTAGCAGGGGGGTGGGGGGGTGGGTAAGGGGAGGTGCTGCACGGGGAGGCTGCTTGGAAGGGGTCAGGAGGGTTGGGTCGCCTGCCGGGCGAACAGAGTCCGTCAAGGACTCCGGAGCAGGCCGGCGCTGGGTATATGCCATGCTTCAGCTCATGCTGCTTCCTTCCACTGCAACCTTTTCCTACTGCTCCCTTGCCCGTTTCTGCCGTGCAGACGCCCGAATCTCGCACGACTGTGATGCTCCCGGATAAGGTAGGTTGGCCACATGATGACGTATCTTTTGCCAGTTGCTGAAAAAATTGGGGCTCATCACCCGGTCCCCAGCAACTCTCTTAACAATGGCACTGTAACGCACCGCAAGTCACCCTACCTCCCTTCACCTTCCTCCCCTTTCCTCCCCTTGCTCGCTTGCATGCTGCATGTCACACCGCCTGCCTCCGCAATGGTGGTCCCGTATGGCAATGGCGGACATGTACGACATGCACGACGTACGACATGTGTACGACAATTTTGTGTACGACAGCGCCCGCTGCCCAGCATCATAACGGACCTCTCGGCACTGTCAATCAAGGACCAGGTAACCCTGCTCTTGGACGTGTATGTGGGTGAAATGATGACCGTTAGTGGGCTTCCCAAGAAGAGAACACGGGTAATGAACCAATGCATCATCACTTCTGGGCCTAATCTGACCCCAACGTGTAATAAACACCAGGATCCTTACCGTTCTCTTACCCTACCCCGCCTCCCATCCCATACTCCATCCCTCTACCCTACCCGGCAGCCCTCTGCTCCTGATACCTCCACCACCACCTCCATTACCACCACCGGAGCCATCCCGGACGCCGAGTTCCTGCGCCGCTTCCTGGATCGCTCCCTGGATCGCTGGAACCACGAGTGCCTGCTGCGGGCGATGTACTGCTGCCTGGCGGCGCACGGCCGCCGGCGCGGAGGCGAGGTGGCGCTGGCCGGCCTGCGGGCGCTGCAGGGGATGACCGGCTTCCACCTCACCCTCAACTACTGCTGGCTGGCCCTGCTGACGCATGCGCTGGCTGGGGAGTATACGGCAGCGCTGTTCGGGGACGGCGGCGCTTCCTCTTCTGCCTCCATGCGGGAGGGTGCGGGGGCTAGGTTGGAGGAGGAAGGAGGGGAGGGAGCGGTGGGAGTGCGAGGTGGGGAGGGGAGTGGCGGCGGTGGTGTCAGTGCGGGGGCTAGGTTGCCGGAATGGAGTGAGCTGTTGGCAAGTGGGACGTATGCGTCGGTAATGGTGCGGGAGCTGGTGGCTGACCAGGAGAGGTATCTGAGGTACTACTCCAAGAAGGTCATGTTCTCGGGCGCTGCTGCCGTACAGTTTGCACCGCCGGATAGGCGGGGCTTGCCGTCCGTAGTGTAAGCGGTCTGCAGTAGCATGCTGAATAAGTTGCGTGCCCTGGCGGGATGCATGCAAGTGTTGCTTACAGGGTCACGGTGAGCATGCAAACCATAGATGCATGCGTGCAGCGGCTCGACTCGTGGTAAGTCAACTGAACCGCGTACTAATGTGATGGTTTAGAGTGTACATATGGATCTGCCTGTGTGTCGCTGACGTGCAGGACCGCTGACGGGAGACGGTGGAAACAACATCGACAATTCGCTGTCGTTACATTGTGCAGGAAGAAGGCCCGGACCGCCCGGGTATTTTCCAGCGAATACTGGGTTTATATGACATTTCCTCTCAACCGAAAAGCTTGGATCACGAAACAATATGGGCTTGGATCACGCATGGATAAGTTATAGTATCCATTGTCTCACGGACAGACAGTGGTCACAGTGACTTGTAATGGCTGCAAGTAACTGGCAGCGGGTCGTGACACGTGTCCTACAGGACTGTCCAGGGCCGTCATGGGGTCTAAAGGCGATTCAATCACACACAATGTCTACCTAAAGAAAAAACCCCTACACACCGGGGAGACGGACGCATTGCGGTAGAACAACTATACTGCTTAGCCAGCAGCTAAATGCAAGAACAGGTCATACGAGAAAGCCGGCAGAAACCATATCAGTTTGCACCGGGTTATACAACCCTTGCATCTCTCTTGGGTACTTGAGTAGAAGAGTAGCAAAGTTGAAGTTGCTGTCAAAATGCCGGAGTGCTGCCGGGCAAGTTGACCCTCGTAACCCTCGTAACTACGGGAAGGGTTGCCAGTTGGCTACCGCATGAGGCGCAAGCTGCCAGTGCTGACATTCGGAGCGCCTTGCAGCCACGTGCCTGCGAGGCGGCAATGATAGTGGTTTTGCTTAACGTCTAAGGACTGCGCTCAAAGGAGGAAACGAAAGGATCCGTGCAATGTTCTATGCAATGGATCAAGGTACGCACCGGTCATTGATGAGGAAAACAGCGAGGTGGACGCCTGAGGACAACGGGAAAGAGGAGTCGAGGAGGGTTGAGGAGTTGAGGGAAGTTGAGGACGCTACTCGCTCCATAGAAGGCTTGCCCTTAAGCATTTCACTGAGCAATTGTCCCACGCACCTGAGGAACCGGCCGTGGGCCGGCTTGGGCAATCCCTTCACCAGATGTTTGCTGCGAGGGTCAACCGCTACCCAAGGTAAACGGCTATATCAACTTTGAACCAGGAAGACTGTGCTGCCTTCTACCTGGTATCTACCAGTGACGTCAGAGAAGGGCGTCCTTCCCAATTCAACGATTGTATGCTTGCCGGCAGCTCCAGCTCCACTGCTTGAAGACCGTAGCGTGCTTAGCAGCCCGCTAAGCGGGTCGACATTCTCAGCGTCCACAATGTTACCGATGGGGTGCTGGTACCTGCTCAACGACATGGTTGGAGACCGATTGTTATGGCCCACCGGCTAGTTAACGCAGGAAAGGCACCTGAAAGACTTTTAGTGAATGGCAAAAGGCATGGGAACAAGCTAGCTTATGAAGGCTTGGGGAAAAGCTATGGGTTTTCCCGTTCTGTCGGTTCACAAATTGAATTGTACGAAGATTGGATCGAACTCCGGTCATGAAACCGGTGTGGCGCGCTTACGCCGCCTGCCTGTTAAACATAACGCTCCAGGAAAACCACTAAAGCTTGGCTTCTTCTAGTGTCACGCTGCCACATCCCGATGGGCCATTGACACTGAAGCTTACATCACCGTTTTGGGCTTCGGCAACGGCATGTCAAGGCAGTTGAATTATTTGCATGCGGCGTTTTGCGCCGTAAGCGAGCGCTGGCAGGGCTGCCGCTTTGTGGCCTCCTGGTTGGAGACATGGGCTGGTGCTTGGGTGTTTAGCGAACTGGTGCTTCAATACCTGGTGGATACCTCGAAAAAGAGAGGGCCAACATTATTGGAGAGTGTCATGTCCATATGGCTCCACTGGCTACCTGTTTTCTGCAAGTTGTCGGCGAACCCGACAGGCAGATCACGTTCGCACGGCCCATACCGATAGCGGAAGGACGACGCAAGCTGGGTTATATGGGTCCGCATCCTAACGTTCGCGAACAGTCCCTAACAACAGCTTTATAGGGAATCCTGTGACTTCACAGCTCACCGTTCCAAGCGGAATGCACGGTCCACATACCATATACTGCTGGCCAATTGCGGCCCAGAGTACGCCGTAAGTCAGGAAAGCCGCGACTGACACGGAGCCCATTACCAACTGGATGTCAATTAGATAACAGCTATAAACGACGTTGGGACAGGCAGCACCTCTGAGGAAGCCCCTCTTTTCAACAAGTTGCCCCTCCAGGTTACGTCCCAGGGGTCGCTCCACACAAGAAACACCGTATCCATTTAAGCAAGTTATCAACTTGGGGATCAATGTCACGGTCATATCATACAGATACCAAATCATACAGATACGCCAATGACCCGGATCAAACGAGCAAACAGGTGTACCCAGGATTACGACAGGACACACAACGACACCCTGTTACGTGATAGCGGGCCCTACCCTGCCGCCATGCACACTATGTACACATATATCAACAAACGCCGAGAGCTTCAAACGTCGAAGCTCCCAAGCAGGGTTCCAGAAGGAGGTAACATACTTTCATGTTTTGATCTCCTGCAATCAATTACTACACCGGTGTCACACAGGGACAGTGCTCATCATCCGATATGCCGCATGCGGCCCGCTGGGCCCCACTCAGCCCCCCACCGGCCCCTACAACCTCGCAGCTATTTTACTTCCAACCGACGCTCTCAAGGAGGGAGCGATACGCCGGTTCGTCGTACGGAGTGCAGTACCAGCGCAGGTAGCTGCGAAGGACAGAGTGTGGTAGCAGCAATGGAAACAGCAGCATCCGTTAAGCGCTGCTCAGTTGTTGGTAATTATGCTGATAAGCTGTTGGTACAAGCGTAAAGGTCCTTGGGACATATCGGTAGGGTAGCCGAAAAGTGTTGGCATGTACTCCAGGAGGCAGGGAAAAGGACCACCTGTGTGGAATGCTGATTGCCGTACCGTACCCGACCCACCCCGTCATTAATTCGCCTTCCCATGCTCTCCCCACATGCTCTCCTGTACGCCCGTTTGTCCGACTACCGACTACTACTCACTTGCAAAAGGCGTCTGGGTTGGCCTCGTCCGCCACCCCTCGCAGCGCCTCCTCACGTTGAGGCTCGTTGTCGCCCGCTTCCTGCACCTGCGCAATCTGCTTCGCATAGTCCTTGGTCTGAATGAAGACGATCTTCTGGCGTGTGACCGGGTCGATGAAGGGCCACAGCGCGTTGAAGAGGAAGCTGAAGACGCCGGGTGCGTCGATGAAGAAGCAGCGGTGCAGGCGCTCCTGCAGGGGGATGCAGGTTGGTGGAAAGAAGCGAGGAATGCCAGAGTTGAATGCTACCATTCTCTTAGGGAAGGGACAGATTTGCATAAGCGTGGTTGCGGCAGGTGCAGACAAGTTAGCCCAGCCTGTGTGGCGCGCGGGGCGACCAGTTAACCGTTGAGCGTAAGCGCGAAAGGAGGTAACGTTTTACGCGAGCATTCCATGCATTTGGCGTACCAAGTCATGAAGACAGCTTAGTGTCTACAGCGGGGTCACGGGGCGATGCAGCCATCTGTCCACGCACCTGACCCTTGTAAGTTGTGACCCATGGGTCCTCAGGTCATAACAACCCCAGTCTTACCGGGTAGTGGTCAGCCAGGATGCGAAGCGTCGCCATGGACACACCTGCGTGCGTCACGGCAGCGAACCTTTGTTGGCGGGGTTGGGTGTTCGTCGGCGGGGTTGGGTGTCACGACATTCCGGCATGCAAGTGCAAGCGTAGGTAGGGCAAGGAAGCAAACTACCCAGACGTACAAAGACGGTAGGTGGACACAACGGTTGCGGCGGTGGACAAGACTCCTTGTATTGTTTCAGGTCGTTCTGTTTATCAGGTGACTTACTGAGTGGCGGCGAGTTAGCCCGGCTGTAGCCCTTCATGTCCATGAGCCACACCCTGAGGAGGGAGACAGGGAGAGAGGGCACAAGCCACCGGAATAAGGGAGGGGTTGAAAGGGAAGAAGGCCCGCTGGACTGGTGGGAGGCGGCCCTTTCCTGAACCGCTGCAGCTGCCTCACGCTGCAGGACCGCAGGACTGCCCCGGGATGTCTCACCACTTGTCCTGGCCGCCCTTCATGGCGCGCACCCCGGTCTCCAGCGTCAGCACGAGGAAGCGCAGGTAGGCCGAGTACTCGCCCGACTGGAAGGCATCGGAGCGCTTGCGGGTCACCTGGATGGGTTGACAGCGGCAGTCGGGACACGTTAGCAAGGTCGTCAAGGGAGGTGGCTGCTTGGAATTGTTGCTTTATTAAGCACTTAACCACCTACCAAGATGCTCTTGCCCGAGGGGTCGTTGCCGGCAATGTACATGCGACCGCTGCTCAGCTGGTGACCGCTAAACTCGGCTATAGTGAGCGAGCCTGCATCAGGCCACACGTTTGGTGACGAACAGCTACTAGCATCTTGGTTGCTGTGTCATGGGGCTGGGCGGGCAAGCAGTTCATGCCTGGCTCGTCAACGAATTGCAAACCAGCACGGCAAGTCGCTTTGTCTACGAGGCTCGAAGACGGCATCAGGTTTGATACACATCATAACGTCTCACCAACGCCAAAGTCTTCGCGCCACTTTAGCGTCGAGTGAAGCAGCTTAGCTGCCTTATGCTTGTTGCCATTTCGCGCTCGCAGATAGCGTTTAACCGTCGAAGGATCACAGCTATCAATCTGTTCTTGTGATAAGCTTCCAATTAACTTTACTTCCGCTAACACCGCTTGCACCGCTTCCTCCTCAGTCGCGTCTGAAGGCAGCTTGCTAGCCTTCATGGTTACAGGCTACACTCAAATGTAGGCACAACCATCGCGTTCTTACATGAAGCCATCATTGACCGCAGTAAGCAGAACTTGCAAAAGTTTAAAGGTCGGTTGAACGCTAACCACCGGTATCGGAGCTCCATGCGAACCGTGGCTCCCCGGGCCTCCGATGAATCACAGCGACCAGACAGTGCAACAGGGTCTTAATCATATGGGTGCCGATAACGTTAAGACACGCTCTGAAGTGCTTTTTTGACAGTTTAACAGCGACGGCCCTAAACAACCATCGCAGTTACTAAGAATGGGAACGTTATGCCAGGATTGAGGTCTTCTGTGGGATCTGCTCGCACAATGGCGGCCGCGAGCTGGCAGCTGGCTCGCGGCCGCGTGTTTCGGCCCGTGGTGGCAGCAGCGGCGAAGAAGCAGGAACCGCGGCGAACCATTAACGTCATGACCTACAATATTCTGGCGGAGAAGTACACCCTGGGCGGGTAGGTTCAGGGATGTGACTACAGCGTGGCTTAGATGGCATCCCACACATGTGGGCTTTCTACGCTTGTGCATAACCGGTCGCTCGAGCAAAATGGGTCTGCCTTACAAACGCAGATGGCACAGCTACTGCCCAACCCAGCACCTAAAATGGGAGTCACGGAGGGCGCGGATCCTGGAGGAGATCGAGTCGTACGACAGTGATATCATCTGTCTCCAGGTTGGTATGAATCTGCGCGCTATACCGGTATGTGTAAGCTGTACCCTAAGCTGTACCCTAAGCTGTACCCAAGTGCCCTGTCCCGGTTGCTTTACGTGTACCTTCGCTGTCCGCTTTGCCACCTCCTGGGCCCCTGCCTGCTTGGGTGCGTGCCTGCTGCGGTGCATCCGTACCCCCTCAGGAAGTGGAGGCCGGCGTGTTTTCGGAGCTACTACAGCCCTGGCTGCAGCAGCGGGGCTATCGGGGGCATTTTCAGGCCCGACAGTACGGAGAAAACGTGCAGGTGCGCCGTGCATGCGCGCCGACTTAGGGCTAACTGGAGTGCCTTGAGGAGGCTGCACGCCCCATCTATGCTCCAACCTGGCCCACAGTCGTTTTCCCTCTTTTACCTCTGCTCCGAGCTGTACTCCCCTCACAAAGGCCGTTATGTTCGTCATCACGGTTTCCTGTAAGCATCTCCTTCCTATTATCGTCCGCTTCGCACGACAGCCCAACGGGCGTTCTTTCCTTCCTCCTGTGCTTTCTCCGCTCCCAGGGAGCTCCCGAGGGTGTAGCTCTCTTCTACCGTACAAGCCTCTTCGAGCCGGCACACGTGCACGAGTTCACATTCGCTGCCGTGCAAACCGACCCGCCTGCGCCGCTGTCTCCCTGGCTTTCCTCTTCCTCCTCTTCTTCCTCCGACACCGAAGACACCTCCACAACAGCCCTCGTGGCACCAACACCAGCAGCAGCAGCAACAGCGAGAGGACCGAACGTACGGCTAGCTACCGGTTTCGGTGCTTCCAGTGCAGCTACGGCTGCCCCAGCCGTCGCTAGCAGCAGCCTAAGCAGCAGCAGTAGTAGCAGGGCAGGCGGCGAACGTCGGTTGGGCCGCGGCGGCGGCAATAGCGAGTTCTGGAGCGTGTTCACTCGGCGGCAGGAGGGCGCCATTCTGGCGCTGCTGCGACACCGGCCCAGCAAGCGGCTGCTGCTGGCGGGGGTGACACACCTGTTCTGGAACCCCGCGTTTCCGGACGTGAAGGCCTTTCAGGTGCGTTGGGTGTGAACCGATGGGTAATGGACACCGATGCTGCTTGCGGTTGTGGTGTGTGGTGATGAGGATGTGTCAAGGTGCGAGCGGCAATGGTGTGTAACTCCCTCCCTGCCCCACATCGCCCTGTGCGCCCTGTGCCCGCAGGCTGCAGCGCTGTGTCGGGAGGCGGCGGCCTTCCTGCGGCGGCACTGCGGCGGCAGTGCGGCCCAGGAGGTGCCGGTGGTGTTGGCTGGGGACTTCAACAGCCTCAGCCGCAAGTGCGTGCCGGATGTGTTTGACCCCAAGGTGCGGCGATCAGGCGATTAGACGTAAGGGGACTGCTCTGCCGTCGATGATGGGTAATGATAAGGGAAGCCTGGGGAAATCTCGATGCTTTGTTGCCGCATGGCAATGCGTTGTCGCGCCAACCATGGGCCGTCGTACCGGTCATCAGTCCACTTGATACTATGACACTATCGTTACCATGTGCTTTTGTTACATCCCCTACAGCGACCCATGGGTCATGTCACTGGTCATTCCCTGTCAGCCCTTCCATTGGCCGCCTGCCATCCATACCGTGCAATCCACATGCATATCCCTTACCCACCGGGCCCCCCAACCTTATGCCGTTATTCCTGATTAAAACTAAACTGAAATGCTCCCCATGCTGTCATGCCATGCCATGCCACGTCATGCAGCTCCCCAGGGGCCCGGAAGGCCTTGTGAGCGGCGTCTACGCGCTCATGACCCGCGGTCGCCTGCCGCCAGATCACCCCGACCATCCAGCTTCCCGACGGCGACCCGGCGAGACGGCCAATGGCGACTTCCGCGACGTAACGCTCACCAGCTCGGGACTGCGACTGGCGTCCGCGTACTGCCTGGCGCATGGCAGGTGGGCTGGGGCGGGGATTGAGAGCGGGATTGAGCTGGGTTCCGGGTTAAGCAGCGGTGTGAGATACCGACTGTGGGTGCAAGAGTGGTTGGCAGATGCTGCTGCCGTGTATAATGGAAGCGACCCCTTTCGACTGTAAGCTTGTAACGGTGTATAGCAGGTTAGCAGCCCTTAAAATTGAAACAATGTTGCTGTCCAATGGCGTCCTCCCCTCCGTCAGGGACCCCCCGCTGACCACCCGCACCGCCACCTTCGCCGGCTGCCTGGACTACATATTCATCTCGCCGCAGCACTTCGAGATCGAAAGCACGCTTGAGCTGCCGTACGATGATCCGAGCAGTAGTTACAGTACGAGTACGGAAGGGAGATCCAGCAGGAGCTGGTACGACAGCGTACGAGATCCGCTATCTGACGTGGCGTTCACGCCCATCCCAGATGATGTATATCCCTCGGATCACCTATCGCTTGCAGCTAGGTTACGGTTAAAAGATTAGAGGTCTGGATTCCCCGTGTGTCGTTTGGTTGTAAGGACTCCTGGGGTCGACCTTGTCGCGATGTGCCGTTGTCACCGGCTTCCAGCTATCGTGAGGTATCGTTCGCTGGTGTGCAACTGCGTTGATACTCCTGCGGGGGTAAAAAGTAAAGAGACACTGACGATGCAACTAACGAGCTGTATGACAAGGCTTCACCATGGGGTGCAAATGCGGGTGGTGTGTACGGCGGTGAGAGGAGCAAGGAGGCCTCAGTCATAGTCTCATAGAGGTGTTCCCTTAATTAGCTTCAGGCGGCTGGTATTGCGGGTTTGCGGCGTACCTGCTTTGATGGCAGTTCTACGAAAAGCGGCCGCTATTTGCTGCAGCGGCAGCCAGCAGGGTGGTGACGTTTATAGGCTCAGGCTGCCGAGTTAGGCCACGTCCGTGTTTCAGAAGGTTAGGATTTGCGAGAAGACAGCCGGTAGGGGCAACAATTGACGCAGGGTGCATGTCAGAGGCCTCTTGGTTTCTCTGGTTATAGATGGTGCGTGTGAATAGGAAGGAACATACATAGGTAGATGAGCAAGCGTCTGCAGGATGACAGACACGGGGGTGTCAGCTCCTTCAAAGCTGGTAAAGGCGGAGCTCCATGACGAGGAACGAACAGTAGGACTGGAATGGCAGGGCAGGAGTAGCTGTGACCCCATGCGGCACCAGCTGAGCTGGCACCCCTTATCGGAAACGCCTAAACCCCTTGTCAGAGAGCCAAAGCCTGTGAAGGCAAACACCCCTTGTCACCTTGGAAAGGTGACACCCCTCGTCTTGGAGGCTGAAACCCCTTGCTCAAAGCAGGAGTTGCGTAATGCGTGATCGGGCTCCGGGCGAGGGAGCGTGGGTGGGAGGGGTGTACATTTCAAGCCGGCCGACACAGGCGCACAGCAACAGCGGCAACAACGTTCTTTGGTACTTGCACAGCTCTTCAGACAACGTCGCTTCCACACAGACGGCATACAATAAAAGTCACGCCATAATCCACCTGCGGTCGAGCGACAAACGTACGGGATCGGCAATAGCGCTTGGCCAATCGCAGGTAGCAACCTTCCTCAGGTAGGAATCCTTCCGCCCTCTTCCTTAACACTAAAACTCCTCCTTTGCCAGATTCCGTTCTGCTAGCTCACGACGTGTACCGGTATTACGGCCTGCCGTATCACCTAGGCTGATACCTAATCACCTCTCATCACAGGGGCCACAAACTCAGCCTTGTTACTGGTGTCCGCATGCTCTATAGCTATTGGTACATGGCATAGGGCCCCTTGGGCCTTCCTCGAGAGAGACGTGCCAACAATGCCGCACGCACCGCCTAACAGCCCTAGCCGCGGCTGCAACAGGAACCAACCCACCTGCCAAGATCGGGGCAGTGGTATAGCACGAAGCGGCCAAATCACCAACCGTGAAGCACTGATGATTGTGTTTTGTGTTCTGTTCCTAGACCCTCCATCCACTGCCTAGCCATACATCCCATAAGCCTTCCTCATTTCCCCAACAGCAGCCCATCCGAAGGATCCCCTCCCTTGGCTTTCCGCGTCGCCAACTGGGCCTCCGTCCCCTCTGACCCCGTGCCCCTCCCCCCGCCGCTGCAAATGCTGCTGCCTCCCAGGATGCGACAACTGCCGCTCGCTGCCGCCGCTACCGCCGAGATGCTGCTGCTACCGCCGTTGCCGTCGTCGCCACTCCCACGGCTGCCTTCCCCTCCTCCTCCTCTTCCTCCGGCATTTGGACCCCTCCGTCCGCTGCTTGCAGTGCTGCTGGTCACCGAGCCGCTCATGCTGCTGCGGCTACAACTGCTGCTGCCAGTAGATTCCTCGCATGTAGACCGACTGCATGTGGGAGCACTCCTCGTGGCGACCCACGGGTCATGGCCGTGTTGTTGTTGTTGGCGACGATGATTTGCGGAACGCGATCGTCCAGAGCTGGTACCCGCTTGCCGCCCTGCCGCACCTTGCCGCCCCTCCCACATGCCGCCTGCATAACCGGCGGTGGGCCCTTCAAAAGCAATGGCTGCGGGGCCCCCTGAAGCCGGATGTTGTTGTCGTTGCTGCTGCGGCGGCGGCTGCTGCTCCTGGTGCTGCACCACTCCCCACGGGCCCCCGCAGCAGGGGCTGCCACCATCTTGCATGTGCAACCTGGGTGCCCCAACGTGGGCACTCCCTAACACCCCACAAGGCGCAGCGGCGGGTACGGCTGTAGCACCCCCGGCAGCAGCAGCACCCGCTGCAGCTGCTGCTGCTGCACATGCGGGTCCCGATCGCAAGTGGGCCCCCAGAGGAGCCACCTCGTAGCCCCCATCCTCACGTCCCCATACAGTCGGCGGTTGGCGGTGGCGGTGGCGGTGGTGGAGAGACACGAACACGTGACCGTCACCGACTGCGCCATTCGCAGTGATTGCCACGTCACCTGCGGCAGCGGCGGTGGCGGCGCCAGTGACGTCAGCGTTACAGTCAGTCATGGCGGCGGTGGCGGCGGCGCAGCAGCGCTTGTCGTCATCTCCACTGCCGCGCACACCGCCTTGATGGTGGTGGTTGTGGGCGGGAATGTGACCCATGGGTCGTTCCATGCTTTGCGCTGAGGCCTTTAAACGAGCTGTGTCACCCCTTGCCGCTTGACGCAAGATCCTGTGCGGAAAGGGGTCATGGGAACGGTGTGTGTCAGGTATGCCAATGTGTACTTCACAGCTAACCGTTGATGTCCCAGGCTCCTCCTTTGATACAGCCCAGGGTCCCCCCCAATCCTCCCAACCGAGCTAACCTTCCCCCAGCGCCCACGCACCCCCTCGCCCACCTCAGGATGGCTCCGAACCACATCCACTGCATCGCCACCAGCACCGCCACCAGCCCGTTCACGATGGCAAAGGTGAGCGGGTAGTGCTGCAGCACCCGCGGGATGAGGCGCCGAGAGTGGACTAGACCACTGCGCGAGGGAGAGGGAGAGGGGGAGGGGGAAGGGGAAGAGCGTGCATGGCGGGAGCAAGGGGCGGGGAGGGGCGGGAGCGCATGCATGGCGGCTAGGCGCGTGGGTGAGAACCGCGGTGGGTAGGTACCGGGGGTGCTTGGCTGGTGCAGGTTGGTAGCTGTGGTTGCTGTGGTACGTGCGCGGCTACGTGTGCGACCGACGCCAAGCTACAGTGGTATGTGATGAGCGCGGGTAGCGATGCATCATGCTGGGAGCCCCCATCCCTCTGCCTCCTCCTCCTCCTCCTCTATGATTAAAACAGTACCGGTATTCAGCCCTCTCCTGGCTTACAGCGGCAGGAAGATCAGTGGGAAGAGCACCACTCGGGAGGCCGCGAACACGGCCGTGAAGGCGGCGAAGGACGCCAGCGCCACACGCCTGGCGGGTGGGGGGAGCAGGTGGGGGGAGCAGGTGGGGGGATGCATGGAAGGTGGGAATGCGGATGAGACGACGGGAAACTCCTAGGAGGTGAACACATGTGGGTCGCTGCCTTGCGAAAGGCGGGGCTGCACCGCCTGCGACGGCCCTACCTGCTGCCCGTGTGATGGGCGGTCTTGGAGATGTGGAGCAGCGGTGTGGAGGAGTTAAGCAGCGCCAGCATCAGTACGCCTGCGGGGAAAAGAATATCCAAGGTGTGGGGTGATAGGTGGGAGGGGAGGGTAATGTAGCGAGGAGAGCAAGTGGCAAGAGCAAGCGGCAAGAGCAAGCGGCATGACCCATGTGCCGTCAGCTCATCACCTACCTGGCGACCACAGCACGCACGCGCCGCCCACTCAGACACACACACATGCACAGCACGCATTCCACGTGACATGCGCCCTCCCTCAAGAGCTATGTACCCCACGTAGCCAAATTGGGTGCCGTACCTGGTCTGTGGATGCTGAAGCAGTACGACATGAGGATGAGGTAGATGGAGGTGGCGTGGTGAACAACCATGAGCTTGTTGTCGGGCAGACCCACACCTGCATGCGTGCGTGCATGGGCGCACGGACATGGACGTGGTTGGAAGAGGTGTGTGCAAGGGATGGTTTGGGAACCGCCTCCCCCTACCTCCCCCCTGCAAACCATGATGACGCCTTATCACACGCTCAATTGAGTTGTAATCCACTTTACCACCCCCTTTTTTGCCGTACCCACCTAGGTGGTGTTTCACCAGCAGTTGCAGGTACCAGGCCAGCTCGCAGCAGTAGTACCAGCGCACGGCGGGCGGCATGGGCAGCAGCGGCCAGCCGGCCAGGCAGGCGGAGGTGTCCAGGGAGGACCAGCGGGGGCAGCCGCCGTTGCTGGGGGCGGGCAGGCAGGCAGGCAGGCAGGCAGGTAGGTGCGCAGGAGGTACTTGTATGGAGGCGGAGAGAGGGGAACAGCAGGGAGCCCGCTTTGGACAAAAAGTGGAGCTTCCTTTGCAATCACTGGGCACCATGCAACGGTCATTGTAACGGTCAGTCATTCATTCAGGCAAGGCGAAAGGGAACTTGTAACCGCCCTGCCCCACCTGCGCAGGACGCACGCCCAGGCCCAGACCAGCAGCGCCTGCGGTCGGATGGGACGACAACAATCAGCAACGACAGCAGCATCGTGCGTAACACGGCACGATAGGTCGCATGGCAGCAGCAGCACCCCGCCCTCAGGATACGGCTTCGCTCCACACTAGTGCAGCCCTCAGTTGATAAAAACCTCTCCAGAACGTGCAACGGCCAAGCAGGCCGGGCCTCCAGACAAGCAACACCCATGATCCATCCCTTCGCGTCCCCCAACCCTCACGCACCGTGCCTCCCACCAGCGTCCAGCAGCCCTCAGCCAGCCTGAGCTCCCCTCCCGAGTCGGGGAAGGAGTCGCCCACCGACCCGGCGGGTCGGTCGGCGCCACCACAGCTGCTGCTGCGTCCACCGGGCCCACCGCCGTCGTCACCCCCGTGCTGCCCTGGGAGATGCTCTGGGTGCCTGCTGGTGTAGTTATGTGGGGAAGAGTGATATGGAGTGAGTGCAGGTGGAGGGGCGCAGGGATGAATGGCGTATGGTACGGTACGAACATAACGTAACGTTTCACACCTGAGGCTCTTGCTGCTGCTGCGACTGGTGACGCGTCGTCGCCTGGCTGCTGCTAGGACCCAGCGCACGAACAATAGCCGAGCGAGGCAGAGAATGCCACACAGCACTGCGCTGGGCCCTAAGAGACGCGATAGCTTGAGGTGTGGGAGAGAAATGGAGCGGGGGCCAGGAAGACAGAGACGTTGATTTTTTAGCTGCTGGTTGATACGGCTAGCATCGATGCGATAAAAGCCTTGCAGCAATTATTGGAAACAGCAGTATGCCTGAGGAAAGTGGTCGTCTTTTTTCATGTCAACGGCTGACCTGGTTGTAGGCGCCCAGACTTCGGGCCCTCTCCGAAAACCAAGCCTGGTATTGCGGGTCATTTGTTGGTGCGACGAGTCGTAGGGTATCGTAGTTGTAAAAGAAATCTAGTATCATCTGCACAGCTGTCGGCTTCGTGTTTACGGGTGAAGCCATGCCTGCCATGGATGTATGCCCGGTGATGCCCTCCTGAGTGATGCCGTCGCGAGCAAGCAGGATATAAAACGGAAGGTATAAGAAAAGCTGCAAAACGTGCCAATGTGGTATCAATTGTCCACATAGGTGAAACAGCAGGGCGCAGCTGTCTTGGCCGAGCCGATACGACTGCAACTCCCACCGTCTGGCATCGAGGGTGTTTTCAGGTTACCGTTTAGGATACCGCTTAGGGTAATACAACCTGGTAAGTAATTAGTACCGCTAAGCAAACACTTCCGAAGGCTTGGCGCCTGCCTAACAGAAATGGCAAAACGTTTTGTGTCCAGCACAAAGTCGCATTGGAATACCTTGGACGCATGGGGGCCCAGACACACCTTCCGCATTATTGTACTTTAACGTCTGTTTTGCTGCACAACCCAGACCCCTTTGTATCACGTGATAAATTCTGCGATTAGGCACGCACAAGGCGGACGACACGAGGCAACCGCACAGTGTACGGTTTTATGACTGGTCAACTCCATGTAAACTATCAGTACCGGTAGCAAGAACTGGATTTTCTGAGCGACAGCTTCAACCATGCAAGTATTTTCTCTTATGCAGCGAGAACATTCACAGAATTCGGGCTGCATCGCTAAATACAATTGCAACTCAGCAAGCCTTAGGTGCTAGGGTCCTGATTGGGTACCTTCCTAAGGGTTTCTTCGGTTCTCGTACGGCATATTGCAAGCATACCTTGATTGGCTGTTATGACGAGATCGTGCATCTAGGCGGTGAAGTTTACAGGAATTTGCATAATTGGGCTTTCTCTTGGACAATTAGGACTACAACTAGGCGTCGGCAACAACATGGCGCTTGTCCTGGCCGCTGGAGCTGGCGTTGGGGCCACACTGCTTGCACAAGCACTAGTATCTAAGCTAAGATCTAAAGCTCGCAGCGGCAAAACCGACGACATTCAGGAACGCTCGACTACATCGAGCGCTGGAGGCGGCGCGGCAGCGTATGAGACAAAGAAAGCTGTAGATGGTGCGTCGTCAGAACACCCTTAGCTCGGCGGCGCAGTCGTCGCGTCGCCTGGGCCTTATCGCGGACTAGTGGTCAACGAAGCTGTTGCTGGGGTTTGGTGGCGGTCGCAGTGTGCTAGGCGTATACAGTGCATGTTACGACGTGGCAAGAGCCGCGTATAGCCCTAGCACGTGTCACCGCGAGGGAGCCAACTCCGCACAGGGACCACTCACGCCCGCACAATCCATAAAATGCATACGACAACCGGCCCGGGTCCGAACCTGAGCATCTGCAAACCTGCTGCCACTCGCAGAGTACCTGCAATTCCACTTCGCCGCCCCAGAGGACCTGTTGCCGTACAGCAATGGCCCCAAGGTAAACGGCAACCCTTTTTCACCCCATCGCGCCGTCATCTTGTTCAACAATCCGCCATAGCGCCCTGTCACCCCGCCGCTTCTCCTCTGCAACCCAAAACACGCCTGTTGCTGCCCACCCCCCTTTCCCCACAACATCCCTTGCTCCCTGCTCACTTCCCTTACCCGCACATTCCCAATCCGGCACCCATCATCTTCCCCTTCCCCTCGTCCTCCTCCCCCTCCACCCCTTTCTCCATCCCTCAACCCCTCTCTCCCTCCCTCCAGGACGCCCTCATGTTCACCGCCCGCCTGGCGCAGCTGTGCGAGCGCCACTGCGCAGCGCTGCAGGACTTCACGGGGGAGCGGGAGGAGCCGGTGGCGGTGGATGTGGGGTGCGCGGTGGGCGGCGCGAGCTTCGAGCTGGCGCGCGCCTTCCCGCACGTGCTGGGTATTGACTACTCGAAGCACTTTGTGGAGGCGGCGGAGGTGGGGGGGGGAGCTGGGAGGCGGTCGGGTGGAAGAGAGGGAGGGGTTGCGAGAAGGTGGAGGGTTAGGGATGGTGGGGATGTGTTTTTATAGTGACATGGGGGCTGTTTGCACATGCGCCTGGCTACATGTGCTTCTGCTTGCTTGCTTGCCAGCCCTCACATGCCCGCTCATCCCTCTTGAAGTCATGATGTGCCCCGTCTGCTTGCCTCCTCGGGGGTCCTCTCCTCGCCCCACCCCACGCAGCACATGAAGCGCCGCGGCGTGTGCGAGTACGAGGCGGTGGTGGAGGGCGAGGTGCGGCAGCGGTGTCTGGCGGCGGTGCCGGCGGACATCGACCGCAGCCGTGTGCGATTCATGCTGGTGGGGTTGGGGGTGCGGTACGGTGGGGTGGGGAGGTGAGGTGGGAGGTGGGGAGGGAGGTGGGGTGGGGGATACGGTGGGAGGTGGGGAGGGATAAACAGGAAACAACGAACTGACTGAGGGATAAGGAGGGAGGTGCGGTGGGAGGTGCTTGTGCGGTGCGAGGTGCCGGCGCACGTCGTGTGCAGGGTATGCACGGAGTCATGGGGGTTGCGGGACCACAAATGGGCGCATGGAGCAGCGAGGGGCTGCATGTATGCCTGCCTGCCTGCCTGCCAGCATAGGGCACCTACATAGGCACACGCTTAATGCAGAGCGGCAGCGACTGACAGAGTACTGGATTAGCCGATTCTTAGCCGTACGGTACGCGGTACGCGCCGTGGTATGACATAGACGCACAACATACGGTAGCGTAGCTGCTCGTCACAGCAGCGCTCGTACCAGCGATGTCTCCCGCCCTACCACTCGGCAAGCAATCCGTACCCGCTGCTGTTCTTCCTCCATCCTCCTCCTCCTCCTCCTCCATCCTACTTCTCCCCCCCCCCGTCCTCCCTCCCTGCCCCCATCCTCCCCCAGGGCGACGCATGCGCGCTACCTGACAGCCTAGCCCAGGTGGACTGCGTGCTGGCCGCCAACCTGCTGTGCCGCCTGCCCGACCCACGGGTCTTCCTGGAGCGCTGCCGCTCCCTCATCAAGCCGGGCGGTGTGCTGGTGCTGGTGTCGCCGTACTCCTGGCTCAAGAGCTGGACGGAGCAGGAGAAGTGGCTGGGCGGGTTCTACCAGGTAGGGGTGCGGAGGGGGGGGCGCTGCTGGGTAGGTTCTATTAGGTGGGTTCGGGGGCTGCGGCTGCTGCAGCTGCTGCTGCTGGTCACAGAAGTGCCACCTGGGTGGGGAGGGGCTTGCTTAGGGTGAACATTGGAGGGCGCATTCCATTTGCCCCATTTCACCAACACGCTTCTCATCCTTTGTCCTCTCATCCCTTCCTTCCTTCCTTCTCCTCCGCCATCTCTTCCCTTCCCTCTGTCTGCTCCTCCTCCGTACGACAGGACGGCAAGCCGGTGCGTGGCTCCGAAACCATCACGGCCATCCTGTCGCCCGACTTCGAGCTGGTCGCGCAGCAGGACGTGCCCTTCCTCATCCGCGAGCATGCGCGCAAGTTCCAGTGGGGCTGCTCGCATGCGATGGTGTGGAAGCGCAATGGGCGGGTTGTGTGAGGGTGTGGAGGGGCGGGGGCAGGTGAGGGCGCACGGCTGCACGGAGGAGGAAAACGACATCCCTTGGAGGGTTGTCAGCCTTGGCACGGGGCTAGCAGTGCGGCTCCTGGCTAGCGCTCGCATGCGCAGCTAGGGAGCCAGCAGCAAGAGCAGCACGGCCGCCCAGAATACGGCCGCCTAACAGAAGCCAGCATTGCCCACCCAGGCAACCTGCAAGGCGGCTTGCGCAAGCCGCCCGCCGTGCGTTGTCCTCATGTAAACAAAACACATATGTGTACATGCATTACTCCTACTGAACGTCTGGTCGCAGATACCTTTTACGCACCCAGTTCCGGCACCAAACACTACTACCGGTAACGCCACGGGTCAACAGCACCTCAAAAACGGGTTGACTGCTGATTACATCAACATGCTCCATGCGCCCTCATCAAGTCATCATAATCCCTAGCGTGCAACCAACCAACCCGCCAGCCTTAACACCACCGCCGATTCCACGTATCAGCACCCCAGCTGCAGCCCGGGCAGGGGGGCTGCTACAGATGCCTCCTCCGCTGCTGCTGCTGCCGAGCAGATCAGCGAGGAACGCTGACAAGGCGGCACGTCATGGACAAGGAGTTTACGAGTAGCACACCTGCACAAGGAAGGGGCCAAACGTCCTCTTCGCTCCTCGTGCCCGCATGCGATGATGATCCCAACTGCCTGGCCTCCCTACACAAGCGACGCTGCCTTCCTCAACTCGTTTGTGCCCGTCCCCACCACCACCGGCAGTACGACACGTGCCTATCATTCTTGAATAACTGCTATCCTAGTCAGCCATAACCCGCTACCGTGGCACGTCTTCCTCTCTGCTGGCCCCACGCAGCACAGCACAGCCTCGCACCACCATTTGCCCTAGCATGGGGGCCTTGCCGCAACTATTACTCCCGCTAACGGTGACCTGATGCTTCTACCGATGTGGATGGCGCCATCACAGCAAACACGGAGGGGTGTTCTGCCCTGCCGGCTGCGCTGACGACGCAGGAGCTGCTGCTGCTGCTGGTGATGCGGTACTGCTGGCGGCGGTGGCGGCAAAGGCGTTTGCGGGAGCGCCGGCAGCGGGGGCCTGCGGAGGCTGCCAGTGAGGGGGCGCTTGCGGCGGAGGTTGCTGCTGCGCTTGCGGATAGTAGTAATAATAGCCGCCTTGCTGTTGCTGTTGCTGTTGCTGCTCATAAGGCGGTTGCTGCTGCTGCTGGTGCCCATTCCAGCCGGGTCCTGCCGCCGGTCCTGCTGGCGGGTACGGCACGCCGCCGGCTACTGGGTAGGCGGTAAGGGGGATGCCAACCACCTCCGCCGGGCCGCCGGCAGGCGGGTAGGGACCCCCCGGGGTGGGGTACATGCCCGGAGGCGGGTAAAGCGTCGTCTGTCCGGGCGGGTAAGACACATGGGCGATGAGAAAGTACAGGTAACGAGGTAAGGGCTGGCCGGGTGTTGTATGAGATTCAGGAGCAGCAGCAGCAGCATAGCAGCACAGAATTAAGAAGGGTGTACAGGAGTGTTTCCTTTGTTTCGTTTGCGTTTAGTGTGTGCCAACCTAGGGCACCCTTGCAGTTATGGCAGCCGGCCCCCAGCAGCGCACTTACCTGCGGGTAGGGCTGCAGGGCTATGGCCGTAGGAACCTGCTGCGCCTGCAGCTCCTCAGGCGATCTGGAGCAGCAGGTAAAGAAGCACAACGGGATGCCGGCAAACAGGAAACAGAGGATGCCGGCAATGAAGACCCTGCGAGAACAGGCAGAGGAGGGGGACGTTGTGCGGCAAGTTGTCTGTGACGTGGTACCGGTAACGCCTGCAGGCTGGCAGGCATCCTTGGCTGCCGTACAGGTCTGCTGACTCCCTGCGAACGTCGAGGTCTATTGTCTATACACAACTGCCAAGGGCAGGCCTCTGGACGGCTTCGTCGCCCAATTCCAGGCGAGTTCGTCACCGCCCGCCATCCGTACCCGCGGTATACGGTACATCACTAGCCGGCCGACCCTCACCGAAGCACTCACCGGGCCCAATTGGAGCCACATTGGTTTAAGATTACTCGGCAGCTGCCGTCAGAGTTCATGCTACCGTAGTACATGTCAGGGAAACTGGACTTGTTCATTTGGTCCTGGCAGTTTTTATACTGCTTGTAGCATGGCGAGAATTTGGCCAAGCCCAGGGGAAGCATGATGGCTCCCAAGATTACCATGACCAAGAACACAACCTGTGAAGTAAGTAGGGGGAGCGTTGAGGGGCGGGCAGGAACGCGGGGGAGGTAAGGCGCGGGATGGGAAGGTGTCCAGGTGGTAACTGAGCAAAGAACGCGGTCATGGGGTAAGCTGCTGTACGAGTACAGGGGGAACGGCTTCACGTGCAGCTGTTGCACGTTGGCGACGCGGCCCAGACTTTGACTTCTGGCGATCTAGGGCCGCCTGTTTCCGATGCTAAACACGACATCCGATGCTAAACACAGTATCGTCACGGCAACATGGCTGACAGGTCCCAGCATTGCGAGAGGGTTCACCAAGCTGTTCATGTGCGCCCGAGGCAACCACGCCATATTTACGGCTACTCAAATATGATTCTGTGAATGCCGACAGGCAAACACCCTAGAACTGAGCATGACTTACCCACATCATCCGGTTCTGGGAGGTGGCGAGACCATAATAGCAAGCCATGTTACAATAAATATACAGATATACTTCTGGGTACTCGAAAAAGTGTAACTCGAAGGACGCACTTTGACCTCAACGTCCGTCGTGAGCTTACAGACAGCCTTTACGCCGTATCTACTGTTAGCATTAGCCAGTTCGTATGATGTATACAACTATATTAGCATGAAGTTGGTCGACAGTACCGGTAACACGACGGCTGTAGTTTTCGTGCTTCATCCAGTTGCCTGATCTGTTGCTCCGATTCGGCTCCCGTGAGCAGTCGCAGCGATGCATCCTAACAGCTGCAGATGATACGACTGCTTTAAAGTTGGGAAAACTCCAAGCCCAGGAGTGGAAGAATATCTCCTTGACACCTTCAAGCACACCGCACTTCGCGCATGGCATGTACGGCGGCAGGTTTTGGCGAGCAAGGCCCACCTCGGCTTCCGTTTCACCAACTTCTATCCCCACTCCTTTCCTCGTGACGCGTTGCTCGCGGACACAACGCCGCTGCACCTTGTTAGGGCTAGCGGCTAGTGGTGGCAGACTTGCACAGCAGGGCCGCTGCACTGCCACCGCCCATCACACCCCATGCACCATGCCAACATGCCAAGCAGCTCCTTCTGCAGCAACGCAAGCCAACTGCCCCAGAACACCCACATGCTGCCAGGATATTCAGTACACAGTGCCTGCATCCATGTCGTTGACAGCCTTTAAGAACCATGATGTGGTGCACCGCATCATGGCCAGGAGCGGTTATACCCGCTGGCAACGTTTAGGAGCCTCACGTTTCATTAACAAATACGGTATACATACCAGTTCCAGCACAATAGACGTTCAAAGCACCGGGAATGTCATAGCACTCCCTTTCTTCCAGCAAATGACACAACGTTAGACGCACCAAGGCCATCCTCCACCGCCGATGTGTATCGTTATCTCACTTGCAACCCTCCAACGTCTCACATGGCGAAGCCTGACCACACTGTCGTCGTTGGTATCCCCCTTTCTTCCCCATGTAGTCTGTTACAGGGAGAGGACAGAACCCCCCTTCACTCCCAGGCGCTCCCCTCCTGGCAGCTGTCCTCCCACACATTAGGCATCACCCTCTCCTGCCCGGCGACTGCTGCGCCACCTGTCGGTCCACGCCCTCATCCAGCCCGCGGGACCCCAGCAGCGCCCCACCCGCAATCGCCTGCAGGCAATGCAAGCAAGTGCAAGCAACGGGGGCCAAGCTGAGAGAGGTGTGTTAGCGAGAGATGGGATGACGACCGGATGCGACGTGCGTGTGCGCCTGCACTGCCACTGCAGGTGTGGCACGAGGATCGACTAGGGGGCACCAACTAGCAGAGGCTGCTGCTACTACCTGCAGCAGTGCTGTGCGTGCAGTGAGGGACAAATGCAGGTGTACGCTGTGCTGTGAAACAAAATGAGATGTGCGCTGTTCTGGAGGCCGCGTACGGGGTTGCTGGAGGTGTCGTCCCCGGTGCCCTACCTTGTTGTATTTGGACTTCCTTCGTTCATCAAACTCCTTGAATCCCGGCGTCTCCTGCGCGCCACGCACACATGCCGGACGCGTGGGGTACGGCACGCAGAAGACAGGGATAGGGAGAGGCGTCAAGCTGTAATAGCGCATGCAACCACCACTGGATGCCGGATGACAGCCGGAGCCCTATCCCACAATCAACAAGAACACCCAAAACAGTGGAAATGGACGAGGTGGCAGTAGCCAAGCACGCAGCTACCCCCCACCAGAGCGAACCAGCGCTGACCTGCAGGTCGTCCGGCTTGATGGGACAGCCGTGCAGGCTCAGCGTCTGTAGCGCCGTACAGCCGTACAGCACTTGGGACGGTACGGCGTGTATGCGATTGTTGTCCAGTTGCAGCGTTTTCAGGCGTTTGAGACGTTCGAGGGAGGCGGGAATGGACTCCAGCTCATTCCCCTGCGCGTGGCGGTTGGGCGGGGGCCGTGGGTGGGTGCCGATGTGGATGAGTTTCGTTACTTTTGTAGGAGCTGTTGGTGGAAGGCAACGGGGTGCGGATGGACGAGTCGGAAATGCTCGGGAGCTCTCAGGGGTGCTGATTAGTGATCACCCTCTTAGGCAACTTCACTTGCGGCTTCATTCGGTACAGCTTCATTTGTCTCTGGCCCTCCGCCCCATTGCTGTGCCACAGCCTGTGGTTTCCTATGTTTCGATGTGGTCATTGCGCCCCCCACCACCCGCGCGCCAGTTTGTCAGTTTTCCTTATTTCCCCCACCTGCGCGTCCAGCTCCTCCAGCCTGCCGCACTCGCCCAGCTGCTCCGGCAGGCTGGCCAGTTGGTTGGCCGACACCGCCAGCGACTGAGGAGCGGAGGCAGCAGCAGAGGGAGGGAAAGAAGAAGAACCATGCGTTGAAAGATAGTGGAGGGAGGGAGGGGGAATTTGTCAACAGGGCTGGGGTCTTCTGTTGGTGACGGGAAAGGGGCTCGCGACAAGACTGCTTTCATCGCGGCTCTCCGCCCGCCCCCCACCTGCAGCGCCCCCAGGGCCCCCAGGCTGTCCGGCAGGCTCCTCAGCCGGTTGTTGCGCAGCGAGAGGCGCTCGAGCCGGCCCAGCCGGCCCACCTCCGCCGGCAGCTCTGATAGCAGGTTGTCATCCAAGACCAGGACCTGGAGTGGGCAGGAGCCAGGGAGGGCGGGAGACGTGGAGGAAAGGGGGAGGCGTGAGGCAGTGGAGTACCCGCGATTGGGGCTGAAGCGGCAGCTGCTGTCTTCGGGCCGTGGAGGCATTGGTCACAGGCGTGCATTCTGTGCGAGGGATTCGGACCTTGAGCGAGGAAAGGTTGGCGCAGGCTTCTGGGGGTGGTGCAATGGTGAGTTGGTTACCAGCTAGCACCAGTCGTTGCAGCGCTGTCAGGGTGGCCACGAAGGAGGGCAGTTGCTGAAGGCGGTTGTTGGAGGCATCCAGCACTCGAAGCGTGGATGCAATGTCGGCCAGGGCTTGCGGGAGTTCCTTCGGGAAATGAAGGCGACGCGATAAAGCGGAAGACAGAGGTGTATGTTATGAAGTAGAAAGGAAACCCTTCGAGGGCTAACAGTAGGATACGGGAAAGGGACATCGTGGATGGCGACATTGTGGGATGTACTAGAGCTTCAGAGCTTGCCTTGAGCCCTTGGTCCCGTAGCCCAGCTATGCCGGTTTTAGACCAAGTGTTTTGCTGTTGGAGCTGGACATAGGGCCGTGTGCGTGGATCTCCCTGCTTTGGAAGACATGTGTCGAGGCAGTTGCCCATCTCCCGACAAGGTCAACGCCCGGCTCTCAAGGGTTAAGTACGCTGATTACTCTGAACAGCGGCATACGAGTTTTTGTCCCGGGATAGGTCCTGCGTTGGCTAACGACTGTTGAATAGCGACGCTGCAAGTAGTGAACAATTGCTAACTTTAAGCGCACGGCTGTAAGTAACACTGAGGAATCCATAAAGGATAAGGCTATGTTGCAAGTACACGGGCAGGCCTGGGACCTGCTTGCAGGACAACTGTACTACATCTTACCAATGCCAGGAAACAGCGCGAATGGCCACAGTTCCACACCAAGTGCAAAATGGCGTTGCAGTCACTACGTTCGCGTGGCGCCTTCGGGCCAGCCCGGGTCAGTTTCCCAAATGCTTGCACAAGCAGCGCTCTTCTTACCACCAACTCACACGCACGAACCTATTGATGTGTAGGTGGCTCCTAAGGCTCTTGCTCGAATCCAGCGCCCATGCAGGTCAGCAGTCCCTATCAGCACAGGTCGTCAGGCCAAGCCGCTAATGTTGCGAATTGGGTTTGCAGGGCCGCGACTGTAGTTGCGTCTGCTGCAGCTTCTAAGGCCCCCACCCTTCCCTACCGCGTTGGCCACGGGTTTGATTTGCACCGCCTGGCGGAGGGCTACAAGCTCATCATCGGTGGCATTGACATCCCGCACACCAAAGGCTGTGAGGCACACTCCGATGGTGCGTTACGCAAGTTTCCCTACACAGCCGCACTTCCCTACTACCTCGCGTGCTGTGTCATCTCGTCAGCCACTTCTCACCTGCTTCTCATTTTGCCTACACATCTCTATCATCCTCACAGGTGACGTCCTTTTGCACACCGTGACGGACGCTATCCTGGGTGCTCTGTGTCTCCCAGACATTGGTGAGTTGCATGGAACCTGGGGTTGCTGGGGAGAAAAGGCGGTTCGGCGCACCTGCCTCAGGTGTACAGAGTACAAACCCTCACTCCAGCGGGTTTAGGTGTAGGGGATGTGTCCTGCTTTGTCGCAATGCATTGCTCAAGGTAGTAAAGGCAGAGAGACTCCAAGAACAGGGCGAGCCTGTTCTGGAAGGTTGCCTTGGTTGCCCTGGGCTGGGGCTGGAGCTGAACTACCATGCCTGGCACATCAGATCCGTACAAGTTCCACAGATGGCGTCAGCCAAGCTCTGCTGTTTCAGTACGAACCGTGGCAGCACTTGAGCCATGCCGAGCTTTTTTTCCCTTGCTGTACTACATATTGGGATGCTTCTATGTAGGATAAGTTGTACCGATGCGGGCGCATGTCCCACGGGTCGCCATGCATCCGCCTGCAGGTCAACTCTTCCCGGACACAGACCCCAAGTGGAAGGGCGCTCGCTCGGACATCTTCCTCAAAGAGGCGGTAAGCAAACAGCTGGGCTTGAAGAAGCTCCTTAAAGTGCCCCGGGAATGTTGTAACTCCAAAAACCCGGCCGCCCAAGTAAGGCCTTGGGGTGACCACATTTGGGTGGCGGCCCTTGGCCTCTTGCAACTAGTGGCCAAGAGGGCCCCAACAGGACTCCAGTCACGGAGCAGGACTTGTGTGATAGCCTGAAGCGGCTGACGTCCCTCTTGGATGCCGCTCTGCCCGAAACCGCATACCGAAGCGCTCGTCCCTGCAGTGCCGCCACCAGCCGCCACCCACCCCATTCCACCCCACCCACCACCCCAGGTGCGGCTGATGGACGAGAAGGGCTACGTGTTGGGCAACCTGGACTGCACCATCATCGCGCAGAAGCCCAAGCTCTCGCCGCACAAGGTGGGGTGTTGGGGGGGGCGCATCCGGGCACCATTCTTGCCCGCAACCGGTCGCAGCGGCATATAGAAGCGGTGATCTGGTGATGTGGTCAACGAAGAGCGGCAGCACAGCGGGGCGGTGCTGTCCACATGGATTACCTGCGTTATTAATTGGCGTGCGCAGGTTGCAGGTGGCTGGTTAGCGCTTCGCCGCAGGTCACGCTTGGTTCCAGGGAGTTGCGTGTGTTACCTCCCAGTAACGAGTTGCGTGCTGAGGCCGCTGCTAACGGGTGTTGCTGTGCGCCCCATGTTGCACGCGTCCTCCCGCCTCAGGAGAACATCCGCAACAGCCTGAGCACGATGCTTAACGCGGACCCCTCGGTAGTCAACGTCAAGGTGAGGGCGGAGGGGGTGATGCAGGCCGCCAGCTGTGTATTATTTGCCACATGCTCTTGTTGGTCAAGCCCTTATTCCCATGTGTTCTCTGCAGGCTAAGACGCACGAGAAGGTGGACAGCCTTGGTGAGGAGCGCTCCATCGGCTGCCACGCAGTCGTGATGCTGATTCGCAAGGACCTTGCTTGAAGGAGGCTGCAGCCATGATGTAACGTACAGTCTCGTGATTTGACGGTATACCGCACAAGTGCAAGCCTTTGTACAGGGTGGCTTTTCCATATTGTGTTCTAGACGTCGCAGGAGGTGCTATGGATTCGGAGGAACTGGCGGTGCATGGCCTAGTCTTCTAAGCACGAGTTAGGTTTCTAGGTGGTTTTCTACAGCAGGTTTTAGGCTGCGCGCCTGCCAAGCCTTCGTAAGACAACCATTTCGGAGACCACGGAGCCGAAATGACGTGGGACTGATTACGAACCCCCCCCCCTCGACTAATCCTGGGTGTATACGGGGGGTCTTTCCTTCTTCCCCCCAGACGTAGGGTTGGTTACCCGCACGTTAGTTGAGGATGGTGTCTGGGTGCTGGTTGTTGTGTGATGTGGCCTGCATGTTGTTGTTCTTTCGTCTGGCGCACAAGCAGCACACAGCCGTAACCTGCAAAGTTTGCCTAGTAAACTAATGACTGGAATGCAAGGGTGCGTGGGATGAAAAGATGGACATGGAATGATGTACGACAAGCAGTACTATCAATGGGGAGCCGGAGCAAATAACCGGCGCAAACAGGGGGTAAAAGGAGGTGAGGGACTGGTGTGACCAACGTGTGTGTGTGCCCCTTTGGACAATGCGCACAACGTTACAAGTGGGGGTTGCGCAGTATGTGGAAGCTTAGGTGTTGAACAGGTTCGTAAACCCTTTGCAAAAGCCCTAGGAACACATAGCGAAGTCTCCCACGGTAGAGCACGTTGCAATTACCGCTGTCCGGCCCATGTGCGTCAAGAACAGCCACATGCATTGTGCTTGTGCAATTAACGCTGTTCGCATTTCGTTAGGAAGCAGCAACGGGCGCCCATCCATCAACCGTGCACTCCTACACATGGCGGGGTCTCCCACGGTAGAGCACGTTGACATTACCGCTTTCCGGCCCATGTGCGTCAAGAATAGCCACATGCATTGTGCCTGTGCAATCAACGCTAGCTGTTCGCTTTTCGATAGGCAGCAGCAACGGGCGCCCACATACACCACATAGGCAAAGGGTGGTTTTCTTTCCCTCACTGGCGCGCGTTTAGCAGCCGAATACTGGATTCCAATTCCTGATAACACCTCGGGGGGGGGATCACAGCGAGGGGCACATTTGGGCCTTAACTAGGCACTGGAGAGAGTGCAGGCAAGGACAAGTTAGCCGTGTACAGCATTGATCGTTAGTAAGAAGCTCTGCTTTTGCCTCTCCTGCGACATGCAAGAGATGCAACGGACGTTAAGATAGTGAGGTGTCTTACCTGGAAAACCTCGTCAGCCTTGGATAAGACTGAATGTTTTCAGCATGGCGACTTCGTACAGTGTCTGGCTGGTGCGGTTCGGGCTGAGCTTTCGAGAGACGTAGTTGCAAAATGCGCATACTATAAAGGATATATATGTTTTGCATCGTGCTTAGAGGACAACGCAGTTACCGGCACGTGCCAAGTTTGGAATTTATTGCAGTCCGACTTTTCCCCACGCTGCCGCTTTCTGAACCCTTTTGAGTTTATTATTATTTCTAAACCAGGAAATTACGCATAGTTGCTCTTCCTTATAGCTCTCAAACTTCAGACCCCTTGAGGTGGACAGCAGCCTCGCAAGCCCTACTAAGTCCCCTGTGTCTCACCATGAGACACAGGCTGTTTATAGTTACCTTTATAGGGGCACTGGCATGTTGCGCTTTTGCTCAAAGCACGGTCACCGCAGCAGCTAAAAACGCAACCGGCAAGACAGTTCAGGAGATTGAATTTGCACCTGCTGTGGAAGTTCTCAATAATGATGATATAGACCTTACAGGTAGGGCAGTTGGAAAGCAGTCCATACATGTGGAATGATCAGCACAGCTGACAGAGCCTATGCCCATCAGGCAACTGCCTAAATGAAATTAAGAAGAACTGCGATGGTATTGAAGCTGGCGAGGGCCGGATTGCGGACTGCGTCAGCGACCTCATATCTGAGGCCGAATTGGCGGAGAGCGACTCTGGTAAGCGTTGGCAGCAGGTCTGGGGGCGACTTCTGCATAAACAGCCAAGCCTTGGGTAGACAAACTTTCTCCGGGGGATTTAAATTACACCGCCTCCGGCCTTCCGACCGCTAGTATTCCATAGGGGTTTTCCTTCTGGACGTTTCGTGGGGCCCCTCCTCGTTGCTCTCCACGTAACCCTGGAGGCACTATGCAGTGTAGTTTGCAATTGAGCATTTCCCATCACAATGGAATTGGCCCTCAGGTGGATATGCAACGGGTGTAGTTGCCCCACGCAAATTCCTTTCCCCTCCTCCGCCTTGACCTGCCCAACTTGGTACCCGGGGCCTTCACGAATGAGTCATACATTGGCTCTGCCTTGACACATGTCCCCTTGCTCTTGCCACAGAGTCCGACCCCGTGGAGGTGACGGATGCCTGTCGCGAGGAGGTATACCAGTACAAGATCTCCCGCAACTCTAACATCAACAAGAACGTCCCTTTGGGTGGGTTCCAACCTCCAGCGCCATAGTGCGTACCCTAGTGGCCTCCTGCGTAAGCGCCACAACTAGTCTGTGGTCTGGCAAGTGCATGCGCTGGTGCGCTGATGGCGTTGTCCTCGTGTTGCTTGCCATGCCGTAGACCAGGATGCGTCCCCAGCGGCGCGGAACGCGCCACGTACTCCTCCCTTGAGGATGAACACCCTTATCTTCCCGCACATGTAGCCAAGGCGTGCAAAATTGACGCCGAGAAGCACTGCAACATCACGTGGTTCTTCGGTTACAAGTCCGGACAGATCATCTCCTGCCTCAGGTGGGCAGGCCGTTCCCGGCCCGGACTGGCCATGCTGCCTTCCTCTGATGCATGCCGTAACATTGCAGCCCTCCCCTGCTCCGGGGGCCAGTGTTTGTCACACCGACGCACTGTGGAATGCGGATTTGGGGTGCCCTCCTTGCCCCATGTTGCAAGCGCTCGACGAGCATGATACCCGGCATGTATGATATCCGTCTTCTTGCCGTGGGTGTTTCTGATTTTGCCAGGGAGATCAAGGAGCTGCTGGCGCCCGCATGCGCCAAGCAGATCTTCAAGCTGCAGATGGACGCGGCGGTGGACTTCCGCGCCGACCCACAGCTCTACGAGAACTGCAAGAGCGATGCGCAGACGCTGTGCGACGGGGTGAAGTTTGGCGGCGGACGCGTGCAAGCGTGTCTTGTAAGTGGAGGCAGTCGGGAGAGTGGGGACCCCGTAGAGGGAGTGAAAAGGGAGGCGTGGAATCAGTCAACGCTGCCAGCCAAGCCGCCAGGTCCTACAGCGAGCTCACGGGAACAACCAAGCGTTCTGGGTCATGGCGTCAAAGGTGCATGTCGTCTTTCCTCAATGGGTCTGCTTGCCATTGCCAGCAGCTTTTGCCTCACCCTCCTGCGTCTTCGCAACCCCTCACTCCTCCCGCCTGGCCGCCTCTCCTCCTTGTCTTCTCCCCCTGTCTGTGCAGCGCGACAAGCGCATGCAGCTGTCTTGGGGCTGCGAGGAGCAGCTGTTCCGGCAGGAGCTGGAGGACGCGGACGACATCCGGCTGAGCGTGCGGCTGTACACCAAGTGCATTAGGGAGAAGAGGAAGTTCTGCGCGGAGGTTCAGCCGGGTGCGTGTGAATGTGTGGCTGCGGGCGGGAGGAGAGGTTGCAGTGCACGGCGTGGGGATGGAGCCTTAATGCGTGGAGGGCGTGCCTAACATGTTAGTGGCATTTAAGCGGCGCCATCACCGCATATGTCATATATGTGCTTCCACGACAGGGGCACATGTGTGCATGTCCGGCATATGCGTACAATGGCAAGGACCGCGTCCTGCAGCGCCCTGTTGCTCCCACTGCTACTGCTGCTGGAGGCGCTCACCTGGGTTGGCTGCTGCGCTGCTCATACGTGCCATGCACGCATGCCCCCATGCAGGCAGCGCCCGCGTGAAGGACTGCCTGGAGGCGCACCGCGACGACGACGGCTTCGGCAAGGAGTGTCGCGAGGAGGTGGACAAGATGATTGAGCAGCGTGTGCGGGACTTCCGACTGGACTCGCGGCTGAAGCGCACGTGCGGGTCGGACATCTATAACATGTGCGCCTACCTGGGTGACGTGGACACGCTGGACACGGATGACGTGGCAGTCGTACACTGCCTGCAGGCAAGGAGGAGGGAGAGGGGGCATGCTAGAGGATGGATGGCGGGATGCTGCTATGGGGCAGCTTGTTTAGGTTCATTCCCCAAGGCATCATTATTTCACTGCGCATGGGGTGATACCGGTACGCTAGGGAGGGCTCACAGCGACAACGGGATAAGGAAATGCGTCGCTGATGCCCCCCTGCATGCGGCGTCACCCCCCTCATGTGAACAGGACTATGTGAACGAGATCTCGGAGCCCGGGTGCCGCGCCATGGTCCTCAAGTACAAGGAGCTGGCCTCCCAGGACATCCGCTTCGATCTGCCCCTGGCGGACGCGTGCTACGAGGACCGCCAACGCATTTGTGCAGATGTGCCGCCCGTGAGTCCTCTCTTCATGGCATGCTCCAATGCAATTTCACAGCTGCATGGGGTGATGGCAGCACTTGTGGCATGGCAGCTTGCCTTGCAAAGAATGGGGCATGCATCCAAGTCGCACTCGCACCGAAGCCGGCAACGGCAACGGTCATCAGCCGCATCTTAACATGCGGCTAAGTCGTGCATGCTTGTGATGTGCAATGGCCTGCATGCTGCAGGGTTCCGCGCGCGTGATTCGCTGCCTGGAGAGCGGACGCGACAGGCTGTCGCCGGAGTGCCGCGCGACCCTGTTTGACGAGGAGGTCCGCTTCTCGGAGAACATTGACTTTCAGTTCCCTATGAAGGTAAGGTGCCTGGGAAGGACAGAGTCGCTTTTCACGTATCTTTGCTTGCCATCACGTTGGCATGGAATGCGTCCTAGCCAGCCCATTAGGTGTGCCTGCCTCCTGCCAACTGAGTACTAACCCCCTCCCCTTTCCCTTCCAACCCACAGATGGCTTGCGCCAAGGAGCTCCAGCTGTACTGCAAGGATGTGCCCCACGGGGAGGCCCGCGCCATCCGTTGCCTTCAGGTGTGTGAAGGGGACTGTAGGCGCTCGGGAACTGGGGATCCTAAACATGTGCGGTGGCCTTGCATGCGGTGGTCGTTTGCCCACGTTAACAATGCATGCCGCTACCTGTTGTTGTCAACGTTGTCATCAACGAGTCCCCATTCCTCGGCATGTGTTGCTGCAGGACAACAAGGATGAGTCTGACTTCGGCAAGGAGTGCCGGAAGCAGGTCGAGCAGTACGAGCAGGAGGCCGCCTCCGACTACCGCCTCAATCACCGCCTCAACAAGGCGTGTGCGGACGACATCTCGCTGCTCTGCTCGTCCGTCTGCTCGGCGGAGGGGGGCTCGGTAAGAGGCGCCTGTCGATACCGTTCTCTAAACGGCTCGCAAAGACGAGTCGTACGCTCGTGCCTGCTCGCGTCATTGGGCATGTGCACACTGCACACCGACTATTTCAATAAAGTAGTTGTTGGCGTGGAGAGTCGCTCTACATTGGGGCTTACCCAACACGCACCATGCAGCTCATGAGTACCATCTACCCTTGGCATGGTTTCATTTCTGCCGCTGCCCATGACCCTCTGGAGCAAACATTCACCCCCCCGTACCTGTCTCAAACCTCCTGTTGCTGCAGCCGTGTGGCGGTACGGTGCTGCGGTGCCTGACGGAGCGGCAGGAGGACATCAAGAACAGCGCCTGCAAGCAGGAGGTGCTGTACTTTGAGAAGATGGAGGTCTCCAACTACCACAACGACGTCATCCTGGCAGCTGCTTGCCGGGATGACGTGCAGAAGTTCTGCGCCGAAGTAGAGTCTGGTAAGTAACGCAGAAACCTTTACCCAGGCAATCCTACTTGCCATGTATAGGCCATTCGGTCTCTGGGTATTCGCTCAGGTAGTAATCGGTACGGTAACTCCCCGCACCCGCATTCCCCAGGCGAGGGTCGCATGCACGAGTGCCTGCGCGCGCACCGCACCGAGCTCAGTGACTCCTGCCGGCGCGAGGAGCTGCTGCTGGAGGAGCAGGAGGCTGAGAACGTCGAGCTGCGCCCCGGCCTGCTGCGCACCTGCCGCAACGAGCGTCGCGCCTTCTGCAGCGCGGTGTCCCCCGGACAGGCGCGCGTGTTCCGCTGCCTGGCCGAGAAGATGTCGGACCCCGACTTTGGGGAGCCGTGCCGCCAGGAGATTATCAAGAAGCTGCAGCGGCGGCAGGCCAACTGGAAGCTGGACCCCACGCTGCGCAAGGCCTGCAAGTGGGTGCCGTCGCAGGGGCGTTTGGGTGGGATGGAGTCCTGTCCCGGCTGTTCTGGGGACGGCTAAAGAGGCTTCAACGCTCCTAAATCCTGCCTCCAAACAACCCTCAACCGCAGCTGCTTCCACCATTCCTGGCGTCGTCAACACACGCGCATCCTAACGCCCACGCGCATCATCACACCCTACCCCTCGTCCACCCGCTCCTCCGCCTGCCCCCACCCTTGCAGGTCCTCCGTATCTTCCCTGTGCGCCTCGGAGGACCAGGCCAACAGCGAGCAGGGCCTGGTGTACAAGTGCCTGGCCACGCACTACATGGACCTGGACGAGGGCTGCCAGAAGGAGCTGGGCCGCGCGGTGCACATGGCGTTCTTCGTGTGGAGCGAGGGCGCCATCCTGACGTCCGACTGTGACGACGACGTGGAGACGCTCTGCCTGGCCTCGCGACCCAACATGGCGGCCACGCCGGGCGCGGTGGGGCAGTGCTTGGCGGCAAAGGTGGGTGAGGCTTGGGACGGTACGGAAAGGTGTCAATGGAAGTGGCTTTGACGCACCTGACTCGCTTGGGACTGCATCGTGCCCGCAACGGGATTGGGGTAGGCCTTAAATCATCTCTTCCAGCGTCCCCTTCCTCAACCAAACACTGCGCCCCATGCCTCGCTCCTCTGTCCCCCGGCCTGCGCAGTTGGAGGAGGGCACCAAGTCCCAGAAGCCGCTGCTGTCCGACAAGTGCAGCGCGCTGGTGGATGTGGCCGAGCCGCCCAACATGAAGCAGGCCTTCGAGGCGACGCTCACGGTGGCGTTGCTGCAGTCGCAGCTGTCGGCGGTTGAGGCCAAGACGGGGCTCACTATGTTGCAACGTGACACACAGGGCAATGCGCAGGCGCTCACGCTGACGGGCTGGACGGCGCTGCTTGGCATTGCGTCCATGGTGTTGCTCATCCTGTGGGGTGTCAACTATGGGTATCGCAGGTACAAGGGGATTCCTGAGCAGGCCGGGTATACGCTGGTGGTGAAGGGCAAGGGGCAGCGCTGAGGTGCGGGGCGTGCATGGGAGGTGCAGTGATGCAGTGATTGACTGACGCTGAACTGGAGTGCGTTCGGCTTTTGACGCTGTGTCACGTCGGAAGTGTGGAAGAGGGAGCAAGACTGAATGGACGCGTCTAACAGTAACAGCTTGTCGCAGGAACACTGAGCGTATATGCCATGTTTATGATGGATGCATGTTTACTACGAAAGGTCCTCAAAGATGGTCTTGACGTATGGGCGGCAAGTGACGTTGGGAATTGGAGCCGGCCGATAGTTTAAGAAGTGCGGGCTTAGTCTATAGGTTTGGTCCGAAATTGGTGCATCTGCACCTTTGCATACTTGCTTAGGGGTGTCGTACGCAGCCTAGTAAGGACTTATCAGCAGCACCCTTACGCAGGACACTACCTCCCGTCGTGATTACACATGTGGTTCCTTAGCTGCTAGAGGCGTGCGGAAATCGTGGTCGCTTAACTGGTGATAACAGATCCCGCATCTCACAACGATTGCTCCCAATGCCGGCGCACTGCTGGAAATCCTCCGGAACGGTTATCTGGGAATATGTAAGCCAAACTACTTCTCTGCTCTGCAGAGACCCAAGGCCCGCATATGGCAGGGCCTGAAGCCCACAGTGCCTGTTTCCACTTTGTCTGCTAATACTTTAACGGCCATCAGATCATGCAGGTACGTGCAAGTACATGGCAATTGTATTGGCCAAGCCCTTACAGACGACCTGGACGGTGTGCTCTTCTATTTTGACCCATTCTTACGGCACATGGACACACCGCAGCCCGGTTTTGGTCACAAACTGCATCGCACGTACCGGGCGTGCGGGTACGGCAGTGAACGTAGTAAATCATGTATTGTAACATGCCTGTTCTATAGGAGTACAAAATCACCTTCACCTGTGGCTTGCCGAAATAGAGCGACCTAGACGGGAAGCGGCAAGTGGGCACAGTAAGCAACGCAGTGCATTTGTACGGATGAGGCAATGGTGGTGCCAGTTATCGAAGCGGCAAATAAATTAGCAAGGCTTGTAGACATGCATAAAACATACAAAGACGTACAAATGGCAAGCAATTCCTGATCGTCTCGGCACATGGCGTTTGCCGTCGGAACGCGAGTCCGCCGGCCAGCCTTTCGTCAGGATGCACACTGACTTTATTACACCCCTACTGCTTTACAAAAAGCGCATATCTATGTCACCTTGGCTGTGCGTCGTCGCATTGTTATCCTTATGTCTATTGACAGATGCCGCTCGCTTTTGCGAGCGGAGTGGCTATTGTTCTGTTGGCAAGCTGAAAGGTTACATTGGACCGCTAGATACAGCAGCCCAGCTTAAGGATGCGCTAAATGCGACGGCATTCAAAAATGAGCTTATCATCATCGCTGAGTCCAGGATAGGCGATGCGTCCCAGGCCCTTCACCGCTTCCGCAGCGCTGGCTACGCTCACGTGCTTATTATCATGGTGAGGAAGTGTCTAAGCTTCATCTCCGCCTACACCCTACCGTTGTGTAACCGCAACGGCGCACCAGAATGAAACGCTCAGCTGTCAAGTTTGCCGAATCCTAACAGCTGGCTTCCTTGCTTCTCCCGCAGGAGGAGCCGGTGCAGTGTCAGCAGCTTCGTTCCGTGTTCGCGCCCTGGCTGTCTGAAGAGGGCCCTATAAGCTGCGGCACGTACGCCACAAGCGACCCGGTCAGGTCAGGATAGCGGCTGTGCTCGCAACGCTCCTGAACCCCTGCTGCTGCAGGCCCTCTGACTCACTCCGCTGCGTTGTGGCACATGTCTGCAGCGGCGTTGGGTACCGCGCTCGGTTCAAGTACTTTAAAGAGCCACTAGCTATCATGGCCTGCTGGCGCAAGTTCCTTACGGCGGGTACGAGCTCGGGGTCACGGACATGCGTGTGTCCCAGTGTGCGGGGCATGTATTGATGTACGCATGGGGCATGCACGCTATGCAGTACATGGCCAAATCCACCAATATGGAATACCGGTAACCCGACATGCATGCGCAGGTCGGGCGGTGGCGCTTGGGTACAACGTGATGGCTGTTGACACGGTGAGCACTCGACCCGCGGGCTAGCGGCTTTGCTGCTGCCTATCTAGTGAGCTGCAGAAGCTAGAAGCGGGGCATGCCCTGGCATGCCACCTCCGCTACTGCTGCATCAAGCTTGTGTCTTGTCTTACTTCCGTGCCTTATTCCACCATGTACATGCTTCTGAAGCGTACAGCAGTCAAGAAGAGCCTTGCTTGGCTGCGGGTGGTGTTGCTGCCTGCAGGATACCTTGGTGCTTGACGACTGGTGAGGGAGGAGGCGTACTTGGCTTGCCGCCGGCGGGCCTGCAGCAGCAGCAGCCCACTGGCAGCTAGTTGTAGGGGCTCCTGCCTATATGCACGCATGCTACGATACGGCCTTGCTGTCAGCAGCGGTATCTATCTACGGGTATATGCCGGTATGGGCGCGCAAGGAGAGCTCTTCTGCTGCTTCGTCCCTTGCAGGTACTGGCGAGCGAAGCAGCCGCCGCTGTCCGAGTACAACATGATGTGTCAGAACGAGTGGGGCTTGAACCTCAACAGCGGCTTCTGCTACGTGCAAAACGCAGCTTCTAATGGACCCAGCACCTGGATTCTGTACGAGACAGTCCACCGAGTGGGTAGGTGGGCGGGGTGGTGGATGCAGTCCGTCTTGTGTGCGTGGCGATGTTGGCGGGTCGGGCAGGTTGGGCCAGCGGGGTGGTGGATGCAGTCCGTCTTGCGTCCTGCCTTCTTACGCGGATGCTGCTGCTCCGCATAGAAGCATGCATGATGGGAAGTCACGATGTGTACGCGCAGCGTAAGAATAAAGGCCCATCCTAGGAACCGGAGATGCAGCACCTGGGGGGGCCCCTACCTACTTGATTGGCGCTACATGTGACAACGAAAACCTGTTTTTGCCGACAAACTCTTTAGCGGTCCTTCCTTTCGTCCGTGCGCGGCCCCTGCAGTGCGCTGGCTGGAAGATGACTCCGTCCTGAGAAACGCCTCCGCACGCTACAGTAAGACAATAAGCAACGGTACTGACTTGTTTGAAAGGTGTACGGCATGACTACTCATGGGGCTGCTTTGAAGCCTGAACTCCCCGTGGATTACCCCTGTCCACATCGCCTGTACTATTTCTCTCCGGGTACTGTGTTTGGGCCTGTTGTTTGTGACCTTTGTGCATGTTTTCCTTCCTTTTTTCCGTGTGGCTGCTCGACCGTTATTCCGGTGCATGCAAGGCCTGCCCCTCGTCATTCACTCACCTTAATCTAAAACAGGCAGGGCGCTACTGGCTTGGTTGTGTGCAGGGGCAACCCCAATACTGAGGATCAACGACCAAGGCTTGTTGCAGGAGGCCGTGCAAAGTGCCGTTGTCGGACGGCCCATATTTCCGACTTTGCTGGTGCTCTACGGCGATGAAAAAGAGACGTACCAAAAGTATAACACGACAGAGGACGAAGTAAGCATGCAGCCACGGAATGGATGGGTCCTTACCTGGGGACGCTGTACATCAGGGGCATGGGGATGCCGTACACCATGATCCTGCTGCACCAGGATGCCGCGTAGGTGGATTACCCCTGACCAACTTGGGTCCCGCAGCAAAGCACGAGAAACCTCCTGGCCCTGTCTGGTGGATGTATGATTGCCTCTCACGACTCACCTACCTTTCCTAGTCCCTGGGAGCGAGCTTATAAGCTTGGGCCTTGCTCCATGCCTTGCGCGCGTGTGTGCAGATGTTCAGGGCAAACATAAACCCCTTCGTCGCCGCATTCAAGGAGAATACGGTAGGGTTGTACGATAGCCGTTGGGTCAACGAATGGCTTACTTTTCCTAAGGCTCATGAGACATGTGCTATTGCTGCTACCGCTGCTTCTAGACAGGGCGCACCTACCTGCTTACCTTACTCGGCAGGAACATCCGGTTACGGGGGAGCTTGCCGGGGCTGTGTGTGAGGACTTCACGAAGCCAGAGTGCCCCACAAGTAAAGAGGGCATGGTGGCACTGCCGACCGCCGACATCAGGGTACCTCATAGCGGTGAGGTGGGGCACGCGTGTGTGTTGGCACATGTATGCTTCGTTGGGGGCATGATACCGTACTTTGGCTGTCCGGCTGTGGTTTTGGGTGTTGTTTTGGAATTTTGCAAACAGAATCGCGAGGCGGTGCAGACGGAGACTGTTTGGAAAATGCGATAAGACCCTACTGCGCACCCTGGCTCTGGCTAAGCCAGGCTGTGCTAGGCAGCAGCTGTAGGCGTGTACCAGCGAGGGCAGTGACTTGGGTGGGTTAGGGCTTGTGTCCTCTCGCATGTACCTTTGCACGGTGCTTTTTCTCACGAGTGAGCATCACGCGGACACCCCTTATACTCCCGTACAAGGCACGTACGCAAGCCACGGTTTGCTTCTTGAATCTTTGTCACGCAGGTGGACAATGGCCATTGAAGCTCGGCGGGTAAGAGGGAGAGACTGAGGGACGCTGCTACCTGCAAGCCACCGAGGAAGCCAGCAACCCAGCGTCCACACATAAACCGCCCGCTGCAGGTACCCTTTCAGCCGCGAGATTGGAAACTTCACTGCCGCATATCGCAGCGCCTATGCGGAACTCGGTAAGGGCGAACGCTTCCGCTTGCATGCACTGCGGGGGGCTGCCGGGCTTCACCATACTGGTGCATGGGCCCGGGGTCAGCCAGCCTCGCGTGCAAGATTTTGCTGCTCACAATGCTTGTGCGCGCTATGAACACTGGCCGCGAGACGTGTGCTATGAAAACAGGCCGCGTGTGTGTTTTTCGTCCATCCGCTGGGGGCTGCCGTGCAGGGGTTCCTCTGCCCCCCGACCCAGACGATCCCGCGACGGAGGCACAGGCAGGGGCCATCAAGCCCGAGAAGTTCGCCTACCTGTCGCACCAGGGTACGTGCTGGTGGGTTTGCATTGGGTGCTGTGGGGTGCTCGCTCTAATTGCCGTACTGCTAGTACGCGTGTAGTTCGCTATCCCGCTATCCCACTGCTGTGTATGTTCACCGTAACTTCACCGTGTAGCATGCTGTGCTGGCGACAATGTATGCCTTCCCTTCCTCATCTCATTTTTGCACATCTAGCCTTGCTTGTCCCAACTTGCATCAGCATACGTCAGTTTTGACTGCTACGATGTACCTCCTCCCACGGCTATCCTTGCTTTAGTGGGGAAGCGTGTTTGACTGCAGCAGCAATTGACTGCAACTGATGAACCCAAAACCTCCACGAATGCCCACCCAAACGAATTGACAGCAGGACGCGATGGCAGCTACATGGGCAATTGGGCGTTGAGTGGTTGGTGGACGGTTGGTCGGCATGGCTGGTGGCATACGCACCTGCTGCCCAAGAACAACACATCAGCTCCGCGCAAGCTGGCTATCGGACACATCTGGGCTGGGATCTTCCATGGGGACTTTCAAAAGGATATCATCCTCATGCTCTCCGGACATTACAACTGGCAACTTGCGACAAGGTAGTTCAAGCGTTTTGTTCGTGCATGGCTGTATGTCCACGCAAGCCAGCCCTTAGCTGCTGTTTCCATACATATGTACCATACCGGTGTGTTCAGATGGAAATGGGCGTGGGAAGGGCGTGCGGTGGTGTGGGCTCGTTTGTCTTACTCACTCCCACGCCAGCTCAGGCGTGTGCCTGATTAGGACTTCTAAAACCCTAACACGCCACCGGCCATTTCCCGAACCTACCGTTGTACGTGGCAGGGTTGCTCGAGGCCGACGGTACATGACCAACCAAGTCCTCCCTCCCGGGGAACCCCACCACACCGCTCCGGAGGTCCGTACGGTCGTGGCGTACAAGCCTGGTGTCGTCCATGCCGGAATGAGTAAGTCCTCTTTCTGGGGTGTCCTACACGCCGGGATGCATTAGTAAGTAACAGTTCCTGCATGCACTGTTGAGGCGGAGCTTTCTACGGAGCCACCTTCCATTGGCAACGGCTCCCACTCCCCGTGTAGCGCCAGAGCAGACACAGGCGTCTCAGCGGGCATGCAGGTATCGACACCTGAAACCAGACACACATGCGGCCAGTTATTTTTACACATGCACCGATACACACATGCATCGATACACACATGCATCGATGCACACCCACGGGCCCCCGCTCCCTCCCTGCTGCTGCATTGCGCTCCTCTACGACACCGTCAGGCAAGGAGCAGTACATACGCGCAGTACAGGGGCTCGCCCAGGTGGCAGTGGCGCTGAGTGCTGTTGCAGCCTGGCCCGCGGCGCCTTGCGACAGTGACTGGGTAAGAGGTTTTCCCGTGGAAGCCGCACATGCATGCTCCTGCCTCCCCCCCCCCCGGCTAACATGTTTGCACCCCATGGTGAAGCCTTGTCATACAGCTTGTTAGTTGCCTCGTCAGTTTCTTTATTTTTACCCATGCTGTGTGCTGCGTGCCGCTCTCAGGCCATCGTACGGTATCATGTCTAGCAAGCACGCATGTCCATATCCACCGCATCCACATACCGGTATAGCCAGTCCTTCCAGCCCGATGTTTGCCGCATATGTACGGTATATTGTAGCCGCATATGTATGAGCTCCATACCGCCCTTCGAACTGACAGCTACTTGTCGTACCGTAACCCCTCCTGGCTGGGGTGCCGTCTCTACACAGGCCCTAACGCCCGAGGCGCGCAAGTCGCTTCCGCGGCCAATCAAGCACTCCATTCCCTGGAGCAGCTACCTGGATGTCTTCTACCAGGTGCAGCCCTTTGGCGACTCGCTAGAGGAGCTGCAGTGCGAGTGGCCGGGCTTCGCGCAAGCAGGCGAGTCTTTTCTGCTGCATCTTCCGTCGTCCACTGCATATGTCACCTCTTTGTCTGTTTACGCATCACAGTCCTTGACTCCTCGGTCTTCGCCTAACGCCTATACTCCTCTTTGGCCTAAAACGCTACCGATACTTAACGAATAACCAACCAACCGCAGCGTGCATCTGCAACCACCACCAGCGACCGGGTCAGGAGGTGGGCCAGGAGGTGGGACAAGGCATGCTGGCAGTGGAGTTCGCGCATCTGCGGAAAGCAGCTCGAGCGGACCCCTCACCGTCAACTACACTCTTGCTTGGGGTGAGGAGGACGTTTCGCCCTCGATTCGTACATCAATACGACGATACCTGCTTTACTAATGCTATGCCGCCGTGGTTTGCTACGTACGTACCGGTATGTATGGCGGCCCTAGCAGTTAGCCATCAAGCATGACGCCACCTCCTGAGGTACCGTAGAGGGCTTGGACAAGTCGCGGCTACTAGGAAGGGCTTACGGTCCACCTAGCGGTATCCTGTATTCCTGCTGCTGGCCCAAAGTAGTACTGACGCGTTACTGATGACACCGCATGCATCCCGCAGGACCCCGCGCCTCCACTACCTCCAGCCGGTAACACGGAGCGCCAGCCTGTGTCGTACGCGGACCTCTTCCGGCTGAACGCCGAGTCCGTACTGCGGCGACAGCAGCGGGAGATGACGCCGGTGTTCTGGTTAGATCGGTTGGTTGAGGTGGTTGGGATGCAAGGCGAGGCGGCGGCCACCTACAAGCGCTGGTACGACAAGTGCCGTGCACTGAGGTACTACGAGCTACCGGAGAGGGAGAGGGAGAAATGGTAGCAGTGATGGGTGTGCGTTGGGGGGCACGCAGGAACTGATGGTGGGGGTGGGACTACGCTTCCGTGTGCTCAGCTACTTTGGTAGTTTGACCTGCCGTCGCGGCAAAGGGAACGATGGTAATGCATGTGGGTTGGATACAATGTGGGGGCTCCGCCTGAAGTTGGCATTGCAACAATGCAAGCCCACTGTCTTGACTCGACCTAACCGACTTGACATACCGTGCATGAAACCAGTCGCTAGATAGTCATTGGGGTGCCGTACGAGCAGTACTGACGGTTTGTTAGTTAACAATGTGCACTAGGTCTTCGTGGGAACAGTTGCATGCGGGACAGTGTGGGAAGCGCGCGTCGCGACAAATCCTCACGCAGTGGGAGACGAGGCGCTGTGGAGCTGTTTTAGAACCCTGTCCTTGCCGCTGTCGCGCCCATACGCCGGCTTGCACACCTAGCGCCACTGGGGTCCACACTCCGGCAATGGGGCGCGACACCGTACATGAAGGGAGGGCGTGCAGATCTTTGGCTTCGTGGGTTCTTTTATCCGTATTATTACCATTACGTTTCGTGTTTCTCTGCCATGGTCTTTCGTTCGTGTTACGTGCGCTAATTTGTGGCATCTTGATGGTAGCAGATTGGTGGCACGAGATAACTACTGTGCATGTTGTTGTCCAGGTGCCGTGACAAGCATGTGCGCGCATTCTACACTTACCTCGAGCCAGTGCTCCTTGGTCATACATGTTATGCGTATGTGGCCATTTTTTATAGATATGACTTGGCAATTTTTGATCCGTGGGTCTGCGTGTCTCGCCGGGCCACCGGTTTTAACTTGCTCATAAGGTAAGATGGCTGTGACGGTGGTTATCGTTGCACACCGGTCTCGTCTGGCGCTGCTGGGCTGGTGACGCGATGAGGTGGCATGCAATCTGTTGCGTGGGTGCTCTGGCAGGCATGTATTTATTAAGATTCGTGTACAGGGCTCCCCGAGGGCTGTAAGCAGCTTTCCATGATGTGGCCATGTTGTATTGTTAGCTTACGGCCAAGCCTACCTGCTTATCTCACCAACCTACAACGCCGAAGCTTTGCGCCCCCTCGCACCGCAGCTTGCATAACAGAAGGCCATTTGCTTTGGTACCCACCAAACTCGCGGCAATAACTTATTTTACGCTCGCATATGAAAAAGCGTGGGTGAGGGAATGGGTAATTTGCATGATGGCTATCTAACTTCTCGGCCAACTTCCGCTATGATGCCTGGTACAAATTATGATATTCCCTTTCGCTTGACAGCCTAGTATTCACCAATAATATATTTACATCAAAACCTGTCAATTTGTCAGCCAAACGCAGTCCTTCATGTTACGTGTTAGTTGCGACTCTTTGTATACTTTCCTCCTCGCATCCTTTAACTTAGCGCACATTATCACTGCAACATAGACTTCTATACTTACTCGCACGACCATACGTGCCTACGCTTCCGGGTGGAAATGAGTGCACCGGCAGCTGGACTACTGCCTTTATTGCTGCTCATCCTTACAGCTTCAGCGCAGCCCGTTGACAACATTGATGCTTTGTTCAACTGGATAAGAGGCTTAGGCGGCGAGGTGCTGTTGGACAGCTGTGCTTCCATGTTGGTTACATTGGTTCCTACGGTACTCAGCGCCTAATGATTCTGTGTTCAGGTGCATGCCGAGGTCAAGGTAGACAGTAATGGCGTGCGTGGTTTGTATGCTACCAAGGCCATCGCAACGATGGAGAACATCGCAGCAATACCCTCTGCGGCCATTATTAACGCAGGGTCTTTTCTGGAGTCGTTTTCGGTAAGCATACAGCTGCTTTCCGCAGCTACCATCGCATCAAGGGCTGGCGTACGGATACGGTCGTAATCCGCCATAGCAGTAGTCAGACACGCCCCACCGTGTCCGTGCGCCATAGTCTGACACGCTCCCGCGTCACGCAGGTTCCTACCCTGACGGTGCTGCGAGAGTGGAAGGACCCGCACAGGTATGTATAACACACCCAACTTGGCGCACGTGGCGCCTCCAGCGGTACATGTACTACGCCTGGTACCCGAATCCATACCTCATCGCGACCCTGTCAGCCGCCGTCTCCCCAATTCATTCTTACCCTGCACACCTCCACATCCGCCACTGCACCCGCCCAAAGCCCACCCCATGCACCTCTCTCCGGGTTCCCGCAGCCGGTTCAAGCCGTATATCGACACCTGGCCGGGGCCCGATGCCGTACTGAACTCCTGCAACATGGCAGCCAAGTACGCGCCCATGTGGAAGAACGAGCACTGGGTGAGTTGCTGAGCAGGCTGGTGGGGCCGGAAGGGGAGGCCAGAAGAGGAATGCCGGAAGCTGGCAAGCCTTGCCTGCTGCTGCTGTTATATCAACACGCAATGAAGCGCGGAGCGTACACGGGGGCATTCCCTGATCATGCAGGCACCCATGCACACGCGCTCACTGCAACATCGAAGAAAGCAGCGCCCAAGCGCAGCATCACACCTTGCTGATGTTCCATTCCCCAACCACACTCCATTCTGCTTTGCACCTCTCGCCCGCTACCGTCCCATCTGTGCCACGCTGGTGTGCTGTTGCCGCACGCCGTACGCCGAGCAGGAGAAGACGGCGTTGGAGTGGGACAGCTTCCTGCTGTCGCTGCACAACGGCAGCATGAACGTGGACCTGGAGTACACGGTCAAGGAGGTGGTGGGCAACCAGCCGGTCAGTCTGGAGGACCTGAGATACGCATGCGCCATCGTGAGTGGTGCCGGGCCGGGCCGGCAGCGGGGCAGGCAGAAGGGCCAGCAGCGGGGCCGGACGCGGGGCAGGCAGGCAGGAAGAAACCAACCGTATGACGCGGGGGCGGCAGCGGCAGCGGGACAGGCGGACGAGTTCCATGGGGCATGTCGTGTTGGAACTGATTTTGCAGCTGAATGGGCTTGGGGCACACAGCTGCTGCCGTCCCTCGCTTCCCTCTATCGTTGCCTGTCCCAGAGTCCCCAGCAGTGGAGCTGTCGTGCCGTACGGTGTGTCGTGGCAAGCACCCAGCCCCGCCCCGCCCCCGATCGAAACCTCCCGGCCCCGCCCCGCTCCCTTCCTAACCCCGTCCCCCTCCTAACCCCGCCCCCAGTCCTCCACCCGCTACGTGTCCACCACCCGTCGCAAGCGGCTGCTGATGGCTCCCGTGTTCGATCTGGCCAATCACGAGCGCGACTGCGACAACATGCTGAGCACGTACGAGGGGGAGGACTTCCTGTACTTCATAGCCGCTAAGGACCTGCAGCCGGGTGACGAGGTGGGGGGGGGGAGATGCAGGGGAGCGGGGCGGGGCGGGTGGAGGGGCGAAGGAGGGTAAGGAAGGACAAAGCTGAGGAAGGAGGGAGGGAGCGTAGGAGGGAGGGTGGTTCAGCAGACACGCAGCAGCTGGTGCCCGGACCGCAAGCACGGGAGTAAACCCGAATGGCCGCATCTACAGCTCGCCACACACGCCCTCTGGCGAGTGCGCGTGCTGTTGCCGGAAGCTTGGAGCGCTATCCGTGGGCACCGTGTGATGCGGCTGCTGCAGTGTGCCTACGGCATCCCCTCCTCCGCTTTTGAGTTCACTGCCGAGGTTTGGTTCGGCTGGGATTCTCACTTCTCAGTGCTCCCTCCCTTTTGCGTGTTAAGAAGACTGGCCGCGAGTTTTGCGTGTTGTGCGGGATGTCCGGGTGGTCCCGCAGATCTGCTACAGCTACGGAGCGCTGCGGGATGACTACGCAGTGGCACATTACGGGTGAGTCGGGGGCGGGTGCTCAGAAGGAGGTGACATATGTGTGCTTCGTGAAAGAAGGCAAACAGCTGCACCGTTGGGTTGCGGAAGCGTCCTCCTGTGTCCAATTTCGCACCACATCTCACCGCCTCCGCCTCGCAAGTGTTCCTCCCCATGTCCGTCCTCAACCCCACCCTATCTCTGAACGCCGCTTCCCCTCCCCCCCAGTTGTTTGCATGTATTATATAAAACTCCCCCCCCACTCCCACTCCCACTCCATTGATGCACTTATCTATAATCCCCCCCCACTCCTCCGCAGCTTCCTGCCCCGGCTGGAGGACCCTCCGCGGCTGTCGCTGGTGGATCACCGGGACTTCAAACCCGACGTGCCGTACAGCCATGACGAACCGCCCTCGGAGGAGCCCTTCGTCGGTGAGTAGCAGCTGAGCTGGCCACGAGTCCAAACTCCCCGGGGGCGTACCGAGTGGGTACAGGGAGTGCTGGCTGGCGGGGTGCGGCGAGAGCTCCGGGACCACGGAAACAGCCGAAACACCGCACCGCACTCCCAGCCCCTAAGCCCGCCTCTGCTCCTTAGTGCTCCATACATACCATGTTTCCTTTCCGCCGGTATGTGCATGGAGGCGCTCGCATGGCCCGGCGGCCCTCCTCCCGGGTGGGCCTTCCTCGCCCACCCCATCTTACGTTCCTAACCTACCTTCTCAGGGCTGCTAACCAATCCTTTGTCTCGTGGCACCCTGCTGCCTCCTCTCCTTTCTTTTCTTGCCTAACCCCCTGACCCAATCCCCCTCCTTAGGATCCCCATAAGGTGCACTAGGGGTTTGTGTGCTGGACATGCCGCTGATCCCACCCTCCCGCCTACCTTGCCTCCCCTCCTCTCCTCCTCGTCTTGCCGTCACGTGTGGATGTTTTTTTACCTTGCCCCCCTCCCGCCCCCTCAGGCACGCCCGAGGAGCTGCGTGCGGAGCTGCAGCGGCTGCGGTCCATCCGCAATCACATCACCGGCACACCGGACGCACTGCCGCCGCAGCCGCGCGGTCAGGACCCCATCTACGACCTGTTGAAAGACCTGGAGGCGCGGCGGCTGAACGCGATTGATTACGAGATGGCGCGCATTGAGGGGCTGCTGCGGGGGAAGGAGGAGCTATGAGGAGGCGGCAGGGGCGCTGTTGGAACGGAAGGGACATGAGGTTTTGGCAGCTGTGAGACAGGCAGGGCAGCTGAGTAGTTCTGCTGGGCGTTTTTAGTTGCCCAGCAGGGTCGGAGGTAACGGGGCCTGAAGGGTAGGGTAGGTGGGCATGTGGCCTTTGAGAGGGCGTGGTGGGACGTGTTGGCTGTGGGAGGACTTGGGGGAACACCTTGGATGACACAGCGATTCGTCGTGCGAAACAGGGGGGTCGCCCGCCTGGTATACCGTATGGGCGAGTGGGCGAGGTCATGTCGTGTCCTTCAGCTAACCGTCTGGGTGCTGTGGAGGGTAGCTGGCAGGGTTGGGGTACCGGTAATGTGAGCCTGAGGCCTTGGAAACGTTGGGGTTTGAGAGCGCGGGGGTTTAGACGAGCACTCGTAACGTCGTGCTGACGTCACACAAGAACCTAAGCAGTTAAGCCTGCAGTGGCTATGCCAAATTTGGGAGGGCTTGGACGCTGCTGCCAACGCAGCATATACCGGTACGGTGCTTTGACTCGAGGACGCCTCCGAGGGGCTTTGAGAGTGGTAGCGCTGTGCCGTAGGCCTTGCAGCGCAGCACTGCACTGCGAACACGCTGCTTAAGCGCTGACATTGCATGTCTGCATTCCCAGTTCACCTAGTTACTGTTCGCATGTCTCGTGCAACGCCTAACCCAGCCTGTCGTACCGTTTGTACAACGGTTTGCGGTTTCTTGAGTATGACCTGTCTTGTCTACTCGAATGCCATTTGCACACGTGTGTATCCTCGTATGTGTGACCCGCCGGTGCTGCTTGTTGGGCCTACACCGGAATGTGCTGGTAGTGTAGTGCGAGCAGTGTAATAGGATTGCTTACTGGTAATTTATCCTTTCAGGTGCCTAACGTATTATTCGCGCAGTCTCATGTTGTGGTTCGTTGTTGACCTAGTACGACATCCTGTGTTGTCCCTTGTCCGGGCAATTCTTTCGGACGGGGGATGCAGTTTTGCGGTGGTGACGTACAAGGGATGGCAAGAGAGTCGGGTGGTGGCTGACAAACATCCATGAGTCGGACACCCGTGTAAGGGGGCCTCGTTTGAGCAACCCTATCCATCCCCCGCTCGTAAACCTGCGTGCAAACGCGGCTATGTAGTGGAGCAATTAAGCAAAACGCGTAAATCCCTCCATGTAAACGTATAAGGCTGAGGGACTACTCATGCGCAGTGCAAAGCACGCTGATCAGAGCGGTGAAGCCGCATGTACGGCAATGTGCGCCGTACAAGCATACCACGTGCTGTGCCATGCACTTTAGCATAGACAACACTGACAACCCCCTGTAAGAAGTTTGTGCTGCTCACTTATATCTGAAATAGAAGACGCATTGTTGAACCGGGTACATTGCGAAGGAGACCAAACTTTACTATTCAGTCTTTGGCAATAATGTCTACCAGCGTGTAAAGTACTAGTAGCTAATTTTCGTTTGTTACTGTTGACTTGTGACCTTGCACCTCTGCCGGGGTGCTAAAAGCACCCCGGGCCGCCAAATCTCTGTTGATAAGCTTGGGCAAGCAGCTTTAGCATGGCAAACCGGACCGATCCCCTTGCTAAGACTGTTCATGGGACGAACCCGCAGGTGTGATCTACAGTTGTGGCATTAATGCTATGCATCGGCTGACCCTTCCCGCATCAACTGTCTTTTGCAGAACCTTGTGGAGTACATTGTCCGGCAAAAGATTTACCAAACCGTGTATTGGAAAGAGAAATGCTTTGCGTTGACTGCGGAGTCCTTGCTCGAGGTGGCAGTGAACCTCAAGAGCGTGGGGGGCACAGTCGGGGGCCAGAGAAAACCCTCGGACTTTCTTTGCTTGCTCCTCAAGATGCTCCAAATCCAGCCCGATAAGGAGATCATCATTGAGTACATAAAAAATGAGGACTTCAAATACGTCCGTATTCTTGGTGGGTTTTGCGGGGGTTTCGGGTGTTAAGGTCACCCTGCCAAATCTAGGGTGCGCCTTAGCACTCTGACGCCGCGCACCTTGTGGCCTTACCTCTCTTCACCCAGGACCAACCCTTGTGAATTCTGCTACCCAACCTCTCCGCCCTCACTCCTTCCTCCCTCCCGCCCTGTTTCCCTCCCTCCCACCAGGCGCCTTCTACATGCGGCTGGTTGGCAAGCCGCTGGAGGTGTACCAGTACCTGGAGCCCCTCTACAACGACTACCGCAAGGTCGGTGGGCGCCAGCAACACGACCAACACGACCTGCCGAATGCATGACACGACACTGCACACTAGTCTCCCAAACATGCAACACTTCAGGTGGCGCACTGTCGCCACCGGAACAAACACTGTGGCTGTGCCACCCGCGCACTACATATGCCCCCCGCCCCACACCCGGCCGCCCACCCACACGGGGGACTCTCATCACGGGTTGCCCACCCTGGTTTCCCTTTGTGGCTCCGGTGTCCTTTCCTGCCCACATGCGCCCCCCCGCATGTGGTCACCACACTCACCACCCGCCCCCCCTCGATCGCCTGCCCGCAGGTGCGGCTTCAGACCACGGAGGGCCCCTTTGCGCTGGTTCACGTGGACGAGCTGGTGGACGACATGCTGCGGAAGGACTTCATGTTCGACATCGCCCTGCCGCGGGTGCCGGCCAGGTGGGGGAGAGAGGAAGGGGAGGGAGGGAAGGGAGAGAGGGGTAAGAGAAGGAGAAAGACTAAGCGGAGGGGCAGAGAGGGACGGGAGGAGAAAGGAAGGCTGGTGGCGGGGTTAGGGCTGGGTATAATAAAGCCATGCGGTTACAGTATGTTCAGCTCTGTATTAGGTGGGTTGTAACGCTGTGGGTGCTGCTGCCGGCTGCGGTGCTCGCTGTCCTCCCTCCTGCGCAGGCACACGCTTGAGAAGCTGGGTCAGCTGGACGCGCGGATGAGTGTGCTGGATGAGGAATTCGATGAGGCCATTCTGGAGCTGGAGGCGGGAGAGGCGGCCAAGCAGGCGGCGGAGATCGAGGCGAAGCTGGGGGCGACGACGACGGGAGCCACAGCAGCAGCAGCGGCGGGGACGGGGGCGGCAGGAGACGTGGGGGGGCGGGCGGCGGAGCGGGAGCGCCGGCGGAGGTGAGTGTGCTGGGGTGTACGGACGGAGACGGGGGAGGAGGGCAGAGGAGGTGTGGGGGCAGGACGTGGGGATGCGAGGATGGATCAGGGCAGGGCATGGGTGTGTCCGCAAGCATACCAACAATCCTCAAAGCTCCATCCGCCCCACCCGGCCCTTCCCTCCTCCATGCTCCTTCCCACCCGACCACGTCCCATCCCTCACTTCCCACAGCCCCACCCGCGACGCCGACGCCGTCTTCCGGGACCGAGCCGACAACCGGGATCGGGACCGGGCGGAACCCCCGCGGGACTACCGGGGGGATCGGGACTACGAACGCGAGCGGGAGTACGACCGGGACCGCAGCGAGCGGGAGCGGGAGGGCCGCGACCGGGGCGACCGGGATCGGACAGACTTGGACTACCGGGAACGCGAGGGGCGCGACCGGGAGCGGGGAGAGCGGGATCGCAACCGGGATTGGGAGAAGGAGCGGGAGGGTCGGGACTACCGGGAGCGTCGCAGCCGCAGTCGCAGCCGGGATCGGAGAGACCGGGAACGTGGCGAGCGGGACCGCGAGAGGCAGCGGCGCAGCAGCAGGAGTCGCAGCCGGGAACGGCGGGAGCACCGAGACAGGGACTACGACCGCCGGGATTACGAACGGGATCGGGACCGGGAGCAGTACCGGCGCAGCAGAAGCAGGAGCCGGGAGCGGGACTACCGCAGGGAGCGGCGGGACAGTCGCTCACGTTCGCGTTCCGCGTCGCCTGATTCGTACAATAACGAGTACGACAGACGTGATCGGGGCCGTGGCGGTTACGAGTATGAGCGGGAACGGGAGCGAGGAGGGCGCGGCGAGCGGGACAGGGAGCGGGGCGGGGATCGTGCGGAGCGGGACCGTGGAGGACGGGAGGATCGGAAGGCGAAGGAGGCAGCAGTGGAGGGCGGTGGCAAGGGGAAAGACAAGGGTAGCGGGAGCGGCAAGGCGCGCACCGCGAACCAGGAGGACCCCGAGATCGTGGAGGTAGGAGGGTATCATCAGCAGCAGAAAGCGGGGGGATTGTGTGGGCTCGAGGCAAGGCAGCTGGAATGAAAGGCAGTGTTCCTACTCCTGACTTGCACGGGTCAAGCTACGCTCCTTGCGGCACATCATACTTGGCTTGCTCATTCTAACATGGTGCCGTCGGGTCCATCTCACCTTTAGGGCACCTCGCATGCCTGATCTCCGGGTTCGTCCTCCCTCCCTGCCGCCCCCTGCAGGCCAACAAGCTGCGAGCCAAGCTGGGCCTCAAACCGCTCAAGTAGCCGCGGCCCGCTGCTGCCCAGCCTGCCGTGGGTGCTGCGTTTGTTTCAGGACCTGTCATTCGGGAATACTGTTCGTGTGGGGCTTGGGGGGCTTCCGAGTCACAACTCCTTGAGCAGCCGCATGTTGGCCTTTTGCTGAAGACGCTAGGAGCCGCAAGAAAATCATCGCATGGTGACATTGCGACCCTGCACGTGTTGCCAGGGGGCTACGCTGGTCTGGGCATCCGTCTCGCATCTTGTTGGTAGCGAGGGTTGGAGCCGTCTTGTGTTTCGACCATGCGTCGTTGGCTTGCGCAGCACACAAGGACGAGCCCGTGGGAGAGGGCCTTTGCAGCGTCCGAACCTGAGGGCTGTGACGAGTCAGGATGAGACAGGAGGCCGCCGTTCCTCTTGTTCGTCCTGTTGGCTACTTCCAGGCGACATTGCTGCTGCGTGTTGCTACGTGTGGCGTGTGCTGTAACGTAGTGGCCTCCGTGGACGAGGGAGCTAACTGTTGGTAGCGTTTTGCCTGGGGCCCTTGGACATATGTGTCATGGGGCGCTGCATGGTTGGTCCGTTTGTTGGAGGCGACGACGGCCACAGTTGCTAGCGAGTTGGTTACCACAATACAGGGACAGGGAGGTGTTGTAAACGACTGCCACCAAGCACCGTACCTCAACTCCGTGTCCTCTCCAGCATGACTACCAAGAACCCCTTATTGTAACCTTAAGCGCCACGACATCCACTTCCCCCACCCGCTCCGCGTCTATGCATATCTATGCGCTCACTTTCGGCTATGGGTGGGGCACTGGGCTTTGGGATTCGGATGCCGCTCCAGCCAGATTGGCCTCACATCCCTCCATAGCGTGTTACCGCGACCACCTGTTCCAGTGACAGGAACCCCTCCTACGGCTCACATTGCAGCTACACCCTCTCTCGACCACATCACTCTTTTCCCCCTTCCTGGCAGCTAGCAAGCCAGCTATCTACCTGGGTGTCTTGCGTCGGAACAGGAACGTGTTGCCGCTCCGCCCCCGCCCTATCCGCAGCTCCCCATCCAGGAAGCTGGTCACCCAGTCCGCACCCAGCCGCCCGCCCCCGCCACCAGCGGAGCCGCCCGCTGCCAGCTTGAGCTGCGAGGGAGGCAAAGGGGAAACGGCTAACGAACCGTGTGATAAGCGGAGGCTGCGAGGGAGGAGGCTGTGGGGCACTGGGGTTGTGAGGTGCCGGGGCTTGCTTCGGTCGGGTCTGTAGGGCTGGTAAGGTCAAAGCAGTGACGCACCATGAACGCATGACGGCACGACAGAAGGCACGTACCTTCACCCGTGATGACCCGCCCTCACATACCAAACATACGGACATGGCAAAAGCAGTGGCGAACCCCCCCTCCTACCGGCGGCAGCCAGGACGGCGCAGGCAGCCCCAGTGCCGCCACGGGCTTCACACTCATCTGATCGAACAGCACCTGCGGGGGGGCAGGCAGGGGGCAGCAGGCGAGGGGGAAGCGGAGGATGCACTCAGGGGTACTCAGTTGGGGACAGGGTGGGCACCCACCCGCCAGAACCCTCCCGGGAGCGAAGTCATTCCACCCTGGGGGCTCCTGCGCCGGCATACCCCCCCAACCCGGCAGCACCCACCCGCGCCGTCCTGCCATCCCCCGCGCTGCGCCACACGCCCTGGATGCCCACCCGCCAGCTGCCCAGCGGCCCCAACCCGAACACAGCCGAGTTGCTCGCTGTTAGGGAGCCGTCGCCGGGGCTCAGGGACAGGACCTAGGGTGCGGAGGCGGATGAGCGGGCGGACAGGGGGCGGGGGAATCGTACAACGTTTCTCGCATGGAGCAAGTGCGGTGGCTACAAGGGCTGCAACAGCCCCCTCCTTTCATGGACGGGGTTGCATGCATGGTAAAATCGCAGCTGACAGCTGACCTGTTCGATGTCGCTGAGGCCCATCCCAGGCAGCTTGCTAGCGGACAGCAGCAACCATTGAGCGGGTGCCGTACGAGTCACAACCGTTCCGTTTGAAGCGTACAGCAGCTCCCACTCGCCCAGCAGCAGTGGAGAAATGCCTGATAGGTCGCCTGTTGGCCGCTGTTCGATATCCGCTTGCAACGGATTGGGGTTCGGATTGAGTGCCTCTAAGCGATGCAGGACCTTGTCTATTTCAGCTTTGGCCTGCGTCTCACAGGGTGTTGTAATTAAAGAAGCGTTTAAATATGTAAGGACTTGGAGAGAGTTTCGCAAAGACCGGTCAACGCTTACCTTGAGTTCGCCTGGCAACACTGTTTGTGGAAAGCCGAGGTTCTGAAGCAGGCGGTCAAGTTCCTTCTTTGTTTCCGCTAAATGGCATTCTGTATCATGTCTATAATCGGATACCCTAGCTGGCAGTGCTTTACTGTGCCGGTGGAAACAACGCTGTTGGCGAACGCTTGAGGCTGCATTGGATTGTCTGGGACTCGACCGCTGCTGCCAGATGCCTACATGCCAAGCCATCCGTGTGTCACACCTCAGGTGTGTCACAAGTAACTGCCAAAGCCGTGGAAAAAAGTGCGGAGTTGTGGGGTTGATGGTGGTCTTGCTGCGCTGTAGAACCGTTACATGTACGGGTATGCAGCTGCTTTCATGTATGGGAGCTCACGGTTCCCTCCTTACTTGCCATATAGAATACCCCCTGTTACGCTGGAGTTTAGGCCAGCTAAAAGGCACGAAAAGGTGAGTGCGCATGTGTACATGCATAACATGGCACTTGCCAAGCGTTAGCAGGCGGCGGCAGGGCAGGGGTTCATATAGATGCCCTGCGTAGGTTGTGGCCTGTGTGTATGAACCCGCGTCTACATTGTATGATAATAGGAGCCGGCACAGGGGTAGTATGCATGCATGGATGGGTGCTCCGTCCCTGGAAACAATAATCGCTGGCCACCAACACAATCTGTCGGACTATAAGGCCAGGTATGCCCTAGTGACCCTAAAAGAAATTGATTATGGGGTTATCACGGTGGTTGACCTTCACGCTTGCTCGACAGTTTTTGCAAAAATTACGCGGTTGGGCAAAATCTCCTCTCATAGTCCGCCGTTAAGGCTTCTGTGCTCTTTTAAACTTGTGATGTACATGCTCGTCACGCCTGAAGCCTGACCGTATGGCCGTACATCGCGGGGCAGAATCATAGAATGGCGGTAGCCTCACTCTTGTGTACAGTGGCGCTTTGGCGCCGAACTGCTTTGCGTTGCAAACATTTGACCCTTGCGAACTGGTTGCCGTTGTTCGAACTCCGATTCTGAGAACTTGACGAAAGCTGCTCTTTAACCATGCTTCTTAGCGGAAAGAACGTTAGGCTAAACCGCCACACTACTGAGGTAGCTAGCCTGCAGGCTCCAGCGCCGCAGCCGACCATCCGCCGCACGCCCGCCGTTAAGCGCCAGAGGTCAGCACCAGCCACTCGCCGCATGGCCACCGTCCAGGCGACAGCAGCTCCAATCGCGGAGCGCGATGCGACTTCCGTTAGGTGCGCATGTGGGATTTCATATGTGGATGGCAAAAACTTCAACCGCCTTTCAGAACAGCTTCGCCTGGGCTGAGACGCCATCCTCATCGTTACTTCATTCCTTTCCACTTGCGGCCCTTGCGCTTACGGCTTGCTCTGCTGCTGCGGCTACTGCCTGTTTGTCCCCGCAGCGAGACCGGGCTGCCGCGTACGGCAGTGGTGGGAGTGCTGGGCGGCGGCCAGCTGGGACGCATGATGGCGCTAGCAGCGGTGGGTGGGCCTGGATCCACCTGGATCCAACAGAACACCTGACCCACCATGAAGTTACGCATGACTCATGGTGTTGCACCTTATCCATGACAACAGCAGAGCCGCTGGACACGTCCACCATCCACAACTACATGGCTACAGCTGCCCCGGCACCTCCCTCCTCCCCGGTACCCACCCATGCCCTCCCCCTGCTCCCCCGCTCCCCCGCTGCAGGCCAACCTGGGGGTGCGCGTCAAGTGCCTGGACCCCGCCCCCGAGGCGCCCGCGGCGGTGGCAGCGGAGCACGTGCGCGGGCACTTCCGGGATGCAGCGGCCATCGAGGACTTTGTGAAGGGTGAGAGAAGGGGGGGGGCGGAGGTTTGTGCATTACCGTTTCCAGACGGCCGGGTTCAGTTTTGTCGTCTCCTCTTCCCTTCCCTCCTTTGTCGCCTCCCTTGGTCCTGTCCCTCAGCCAGCCTGCCCCTCCCCTCCCAATCCCCCCTCCCTCCCCCAGGCCAGGGTATCGACGTGCTGACCATGGAGATCGAGCATGTGAACACGGACGCACTGGAGCAGGCGGCGCGGGACGTGCAGGTGGGGGCTGGGGGGGGGGAAATGGTGGGCAGCCCTCTCTGCCTGCCGACCTACATACGGTACCTTGCAACACTGGGGGCCAAACCGCATCCGCGTAACCCAGCCATACCGCCTCACCGTCCCTCCTTCCTCCCCAGCTCCCTCTCCACCCACCTGCGTGCACATCCCACCTTCCTACCGACCTACTTCCCGCCTTCCCTACCTTCCATCCTCCCGCCCCTTCCCACTACCCAGACTAATGCGGAATATGTATCCCTATTAATCCCCTCCCCCCCCAGGTTGACATCGAGCCCTCCCCCGCCACCATCCGCACCATCCAGGACAAGTTCGACCAGAAGCGCCACTTCGCTGCTGCCGGGGTGCCGCTGCCGGCCTTCCGCGAGGTGCGGTGCGGGGGCTGCATGGAGGCCACCGCGGGGGCCTTCGGCTACCCCTTCATGCTCAAGGCCAGGAGGTGAGGCGGGTGGTGTGGGGATGCTGGAGGGGTGGTGGAAGGAGAAGGAGAAAAATAGCAGGGGGGAAGGGAGGGAGAGGGCAAGGAAGGGACGCGGGTGAGGGGAGCAGGGGGCTAGGAGAGGAGGGAGCTGGCGCCGGGGAAAGGGCAAGGAAGGAGTGGGGGATGCGTTCAGTCAAACCAACCCGAGCCAACTTCCACCTCCCCCCCTTCCCCCCCAGGCTTGCGTACGACGGTCGCGGCAACTACCTGGTGCGGGGTCCTGGGGAGCTGGAGGGCGCGGTGGCTGCGCTGGGCGGCTACGAGGCGGGGCTGTACGCGGAGCAGTTCGCGCCCTTCGTGAAGGAGCTGGCGGTCATGGTGGTGCGCAGGTGGGGGGGTGGGGGGGGGGGAGAGGGGGGAGGGAGGGTGCTGCGGAGGGGTGGGGGGTAGGTCATCGTGGTACGTAGGTTCCCCGCGATGCGCACATAGTTGCTTGCTTGCTGCTGCCCCAGATACATTCAGGTTTCCACCTCCATTACCTTCCCTCTGCACCTTCTCCAACTCTCTAACCCAACCTCTGCCCCCCCTGCCACCCCCTCCTCCCTCCCCTCCTCCCCCTCCCTCCCCCCATCAGTCGCGACGGCCGGGTGGTGTCCTACCCGGTTGTGGAGACGCTGCACAAGGACAACATCTGCCACGTCACGGAGGCGCCCGCGGAGGTGCCGCCCGCCATCCGGGAGGCGGCACGGAGGGTGGCGGAGCGGGCGGTGGGCTGCCTGCAGGGGGCGGGCATATTCGGGTAGGTGGGGGTGTGTGGGTGGGGGGAGGTAGATGGGGGGAGGTAGGTGCATGCTGGGGAGTCGTACACGGGCGGGCGCGCGCCTGAAGACTGTGGAGGGCTCCCCAGGTGAGCGCTCTCTTCTGTACGGAATGAACGCAAACCGCGCGCATGACGCAACACATGCCCAGCTATGCATGACTGTTGTTGCCTGATTAGCCCCCATGCGCCCGCACTGCAGCAAACCCCCCTCCCGCCACCCCTCCCTCCCCTCCCCTCCCCCCCAGTGTGGAGATGTTTTTGCTGCCGGACGGCTCCCTCCTCCTCAACGAGGTGGCCCCGCGCCCCCACAACAGCGGGCACTACACCATGGACGGCTGCGTCACCAGCCAGTTTGAAAACCACGTGCGCGCGGTGCTGGGCTGGCCGCTGGGGGAGACTCGGCTGCATGGAGGCAGTGTGGCGGCGGCAGCGGCGGCCAGCAACGGTAACGGTAACGGTAACGGTGCCTGCTGCAGCGCCGCCAGCAACGGAGTCGCAGCAGCAGAGGTGGAGGAGGAGGGGGAGGAGGGGTCTTGTGTAGCCATCATGCTCAATCTGCTGGGTGAGGCTGACGGCGAGGAGGGTGTACGGCGGGCACATGAGGTGATGGGCGCCGCGTACGACACCCCCGGCTGCAAGGTTCACTGGTACGGCAAGGAGGGCATGAAGGTGGGACGCAAGGTGGGTCACATCAACATCCTGGCGACCAGCAGGCGGGAGGCGAGGGAGCGGTTGGGGCGGTTGGATCCGGCGGCGGCTGCGGCCCTGCAGCGCACCTCGCAAGCAGCGGCCGCGGCGGGGTTGCTGCAGTCGCAAGGGCAAGGGCATGCGGCGGCGGCGGTGCAGCAGCAGCAGCAAGGGACGGGAGTGGTGGCGGGAGCGGCGGCCTGCTCGGCTGGGCCGGTGGCGGCGGAGGGAGCAGCAGCAGCAGCGGAGGGTGCGGGTGAGGCCAGGCGGCCGCTGGTGGGGATCATCATGGGCTCCGACTCGGACCTGGCCACCATGAAGGTGAGGGGCTGGGGGGCGGAGGGAAGGGGGCTGGGGGGCGGAGGGAAGGGGGCTGGGGGGCGGAGGGAAGGGGGGTGGGGGGCGGAGGGAAGGGGGGTGGGGGGCGGAGGGAAGGGGGGTGGGGGGCGGAGGGAAGGGGGGTGGGGGGGGCAGGTGTGGCATGGCATGACCTGGCATGGCTACAGGCTGACGGCCCACCTGAACAGTGGAGCACCCTCCCGCACACCCGACGGCCCCTCTTCCCCTCCGCTCTTGACACCCCTTGGTGCCCTGATACTCTTACCTCGGCATCTACTCCCTCCTCCCTAGTGCTTCGCTGACCTTCTTCCTCCCTCCTTCCCTTCCTCTCCCCCCCCACCCCCCCCTCTCCCCCCAGGCCGCCGCCCAGGTGTTGGAGGAGTTCGGAGTGCCCCTGGAGCTGACGGTGGTGTCCGCGCACCGCACCCCCGAGCGCATGATGGACTACGCACGCAGCGCCGCCAGCCGGGGGCTGCGGGTGATCATCGCGGGGGCGGGGGGCGCGGCGCACCTGCCGGGCATGGTGGCCGCCATGACGGCGCTGCCGGTGGTCGGGGTGCCGGTGAAGTGAGTGAGGGGCGGGGAGAGAGGGGACAGGGGAGAGGGGGAGGGAAGGGCGTTTGGTGTTGGGAGCTGGTCAGAGGTGGGAAAGGGTGTTGCGCGGGGGTGCTGGAGCGGGCGGAGCTCTTAACCTTGCTGGAGGACGTTACCATGCAACTCCCTCCCTCATTGCTGCCTGTCTCTCCTTCATGCGCTCACTGCATGAGCCGGGATTTGGGACTGGGACTCCAGTTGCTGCACTTATCACTTATCTCCCCCCCCCCCACCCCATCCAGCTGGGGGGGGAGATTGTCATACAGCTCGTCAGTTGCTTCGTCAGTGTCTCATCATCATATATATATTTTTTACCCCACCCCATCCCCCTATCTCCCCCCCAACCTCCCCCCCCAAAAGGCCCTCGGGTGCCCACCTGGATGGTCTAGACGCGCTGCTGTCCATCGTGCAGATGCCGCGGGGGGTACCGGTGGCCACCGTGGCGATCGGCAACGCCGCCAACGCGGGGCTGCTGGCGGTGCGCATCCTGGGCGCGGCGGACCCGGAGCTGCGGGCGCGCATGGAGGCGTACCAGGAGGGCATGCGGGAGAGCGTGTTGGGGAAGGCGGAGAGGCTGGAGCAGCAGGGCTGGGCAAACTACAAGGCGTGAGGGGGTGGGTGGGTGTCAGTCATGGGTTAGTACGACACGGCTCAGCCGACACACAAGTGCTGACGGTGGCACCTTGACGACACAAGCTGGCGTGTGACCGATGAGAGCGGTGGTGGTGTTATCTGATATGTATGTGGGGTGATGAGGCAGTGGGGGCTGGGGGTGTTTTCAAATGGAGAGCCTGTAACACACCACCGCCGGGGTAACCACATGGAGCACTAGGTGTGTCCCCGCGCGGTAGCATGTATCTGTTTGGAGGTGGGGGAGGGGAGGGCTTTCTAGCGGGTTGATGGACTGATGCTGGGGTTGCTCTTGCGCGCCTGTGTACATGCGTGCATACCGGTGTATGGGAAGCTGCGCGCTGCGTTGGTTGTTGCACTGCGACACGTGACCGCACTGCTGCATTCGCCCTTGCTGTGGCAACTACCGAGCTTTCGTGTGTCGCCGGTCTTGGGATTTGTCTCTGTCACTGAGTCTTTGAGAGACTGCCTGATGCGTTACCCGCGTGAGGGGTATTCGGATGAAAAGCGTATTTGCTTAAGGGCCAAGGAGCTCGGGAATGGTCTGGCCCTGACTCGCTGTAAATGCCATTACCTTTGAACATCGTAAAGGGGGTCTTGTGCGGCGGAACACATTGGGGGATGAATTCTGATTCTCGGGGCATCTTGGTGACAAGAGGCAGCAGGCCCACCTTCGCCTCCCAACCCCAGGGTACGACAACATACTCGGGACGCATGAGGTTTTGCCCTGCGCGCTGTAAACGGCTGAAGTTACGGCGTCGTCAACAATGTACGCTTGTGCAGGAAATCTGCGGTGGCTAGCTAGCTTTTTTCTCCTAGCTAGGCACAACGCACTGTACGGCGTGCGTGTTCATTACTAGCCGATGCCAGGCACTGCAGGAGGTAAAACCCATAGTCATTAGGTTAAGGTAACATTAGGTTGACTTGAGTACTTGTCAGGATGGTTGTTGAGGGAGCCATCGAGCCATGAACTCTAGCGCATTCCATGCAAGCCTTGCTTACACGCTCCAAGCTACGATTACTGGCTTTCCGTGAAATGTTTGGTACCATCCGTATTCTCCTGCGTCTTTAGCAACCAAATATTTACGTGGCAAGCGCTGTATACTGTTGCACAGTCAGGACCCAGTTGGCTCTATAACATGTTCTCCCTTATGATCAATTGCCATTGTGTTTGACGGTTAATGGCTATGTGGGCTGTTGAGAGGAGCTTGGCCCTTCGGGTCGTTGGCCTGGCATGCCTCTTCTTATTGGGTGTTTCAAGCACCGAAGCCTATTATGACGAGTACGGACAATCTTGGAACGCTACCGATGGAGACTATCCTAGCGAAACCGCTTATACAGCGAGCGGCGGTGCAGCGTCTCGTGCTCTTCCACATTACAGCTATGATTACCCAGCTGATCAGGAGCCGCGTGTGTGGAGCGTTAAATTGGGTGAGGGAGACGGCGCTGCTTCAACTCCGCTGCCGGGGGCGCAGACGCGCGCTGGCATGCGCAGGCGATTCCCCGCTGCTGCCGGTTCCGGCGGTCAGGGCTTTACCCCAGACGGCGAGGCCTCTTGTCCTGGAGGCGTTTGCCCGAACCCCGACATTCAAAGCAGCAGCTATGCCACTAGCTACGGCTATGGCGCGGAGGCAGAGGAGTACGACCTGCACTACGACCCTCGTTGTGAGTACGGCCGGAACAACAGCACTAGCCATGCTGCCATGCATGACTGAAAAGGCGACCCGCCCCAGCCTTTGCCTCGCCTTAGGTACCGTGATAGGCGTCTCATGGCTTGCGTTGCGGCAGAGGTGCTAACGTTGAGACATGGGTGGGATGTTGGAGGTTGGATGGGTAGACGGGCCCTGAGGAGGTACCCGGAGCAGTTAGTACCTCGGGGGCGTAGGAAAGACGGGGGAGGGGTCTCTCCATGCCTTGGGGCGGGGTTACTGGCTTTGGCGGCAGAAGCAGCGGCAACCTTCCATGCAAGCCGTAACTCAGCCAGCCAGCCAGTTGAGTGTGCAACCCTCCTCGCACCCTTTCTATCCTGTCCTTTCACCCCCCACATACACCCCCATCATCTCCGCCTCCCCTCGCCTCCACCCCTCCACCCCACGCTTCCCTAACCTTTCCCCACCCTCCCTAACCCTTCTCCCCCACCCTTCCCCATCCTCCCAGATCCGTACGACAACTGCCAGTACCTGGACGAAAGCCTAACCAACTTCCAGATTAACGGCTCCGAAACCTGTCACCTTGTCGTACGAGGCGCCGACGCCTCCGCAGACCTCCTCCGAGGCGGCCTGGACGGTACCTATCTGCTAGTCGGCTGCTTCGAGGGAAAACCCATCTACATCCGATCCCGTGCCGTACAGCCGTACGACACCCATGCAACAACCCACGCCGATGAGGACCGAGCCGGCGAGAATCGGGTGTTGTACTACAATCCGCATTATGGGTCATGGGAGTTTTCGGTGGGAATCGAACCCAGCACGGATCAGTTGGTGTTGGCGGGAGAGGTCGGGCACGTGAGTCCGCAGGACGTGCCGAGGTGGCACCTAGCGGCTGCGTTTAACAGCGAGCAGAAGGCTGTGCTGCCCTCGGATGAGGAGGAGTTGTATTTCGTGGCGGGGGGCGTGTCAGTGATGTGTTTGGAGGGGCGGGAGGGGCAGGCTGGACTAGAGATGGAGGAGGAGGAGGAGGTGCGGGAGGGAGCAGGGAGAGGGAGGGAGGAGCGGGAGCGTGGGAGAGGGGAAGGGGTGAGGCAGGGAGAGGGTCAGAGGGCTCGGAGCGGGCTGGGGCAGGGAGAGAGGGATGCTGCGGGACGACATGAAGGTGGAGTTAAGGCCGGCAGCAAAGGTGCGGGCGAGAAGGGTGGGAGCGCGCTGCATGAAGCAAGCGGTGGTGATGGTGGTGGTAGCGGCAGCAAGGATGGCGGGGCGGGAGAGGGCGAGGATTGGGACCTGGGGCGGGAGGTACGGCAGTTGCGGGAGTACTGGCGGCAGCACGAGGAGCAGTACATGCAGATGCAGTACGACATGTACGGAGGGGAGTACGGTGGGGCAGGGGGAGGGGGAGGAGGGGGAGTGTACGGCGATGACGTGGCGGGGGAGGGAGGTCAGGCGTACGGAGATGACGGGTACGGGTATTACTAAGGAGAGTATTACTGCCCTGCTGGATGAAGGTGACCTTGCTTTGTTCCAGTAAGGGTACGGCACGTGCGCGCTTTGCAGCTGTTGTTTGTTTCGTATGGGAAGGAGCAGGAAGTGCGTAGCAAATGTTTGAAGAGGGAGGTCAGGACATATCGATATACGGTCCTGTATCGGGCATGGCGACACCTGGCGAGCCGGGACTGAGTTTTGGTGGGTGCCGTGATACGTATGTAAGGGTGTTCGAGGCATGAATCTATCTGGTGCATGGCTGGTTACACCGGTACGTATTACGAGTTCACAACTCGACATCCCACGAACGGGGCGTTTCAGGCCTTGCCACAGGTTTTGACTTGGTTAATGCGGCCATGGGGCGGGGCGCCTGAGTTACATGGTTGTGGTCGGTGCGCGAGCGGTTGGTGCCATATTCAAGGTTCGCTTTCCGGCTAATAGAACGCTGTCAAGTAGAGGTGTACAAGTAAGGGACAAACGCGATGTTGCAGGCATTGAAAGTCCATTTTAATTCCGGCCAGATCGCCAAACCTGCCGTAACCTCCCTTATCTCATGGCTTCAGACAAACTTGTCTTTGGACAAAACTTTTATACTTATATAAAGTAGACATCTAGGCCGCTGTTTGCTGGAGTAGACGCGGGTAGACGGACAACCAACGTAAGCTAGAGCTACTCAAGCGGCTGCACGGCACGTCACGGCGTTTTCAGCTGCTGCCTTCAGCGTATGTTCTGATCGTTGAAAACAAGTGTATATTAGGCCGGCCGCAACGGTAAATCATCTTGTAGCCTCTTCCTCAACCTACCGGCAGTGCGCATGGAGCATCCGCTTCGCACTCGACAAAGGCGACCGCTACATATTGATCCAAAGCAACAGTCTTCCTGTAGCGGGCAACAATTAACAATGGAGGGGTTGCAGCAGCAGGAGGAGCACCTGCAGCCCGAGCCATTGGACCCTAACGTTTGGTGCGACATTCCTCAACAACTCCTAGGTTGCATACTTCAGTTCATCCCAGCTAACGAGCTTGCGCTCACCGGACGTCTTGTCAACAAATTCATGGCCGCTCAATTCCGGTCTCCTCAGCACATCACTGTTCACATGTCGCAGCCAACTCCTCCCCAAGCCTTCGCGCAGCGCTGGGGCGGCCCTAACGCCATGCGTAATTTGACCTTCAAACGCCGGATCCAGCTGCTATGTCTGACGGCCCGCAGCGGCAGCCTGATCAACCTGCAGCTGGCAATTTCCAACGCGGGATGCCTCCTTGCAGGTGAAGTCCTCGAGGCCGCTGCTGCTGCCTGCCAGCTGCCTGTGTGCAGCTGGCTGCGGCAGCAGGGCTGCCCTTGGGGCCGGGCCCTCAGCCAGGCCGCCCGGTACGGCCATCAGGCAGCCTGCGAGTGGCTGCTGGCCAACGGCTGCCCCTGGGATGCCTACGCTGTGGTTCCAGCAGCTTACGGTGGCCATGTGGGCCTGATGCGGTGGCTGATGCGGCTCGAACAACAACAGCAGCAGCAGCAACAACAGCAAGCCCAGCAAGAACACGAGCACCAGCCTTCCGCAGCGGCGGCCCCAGCCCTCGACGGCTCCAGCCCAGGGGATGTCTGCATGTCCACCTGGCTGCTGCTCAGGGCCGCTGCACACGGCTGCGAGCTAGCGGTGCTGCAAGAGCTCTTCAGCCGCTGGCAGCCGCCGCAGCAGCGGAAGCGGGGCGCCGTCATCCTAGCCGCCGCCGCCGGCAGCCCCACCCCCGACTGGCAGGCCAAGGTGGAATGGCTGGAGATGCAGGAGGGCTGCACCGACCGCTCCCTCGCCGCCGGCGCATGTGCCGCCGCGCTGTCTTCCGCTTCTGCTGCCTCGCGACCCAGCGATGACGGGCTGAGCCGTGTGCGGTGGTTGCGGCGCCGCGGCTATCCGCTGCAGGGGGATAAGGAGGCGCTGCAGGCCGCCGCGATGGAGGCGGCGAGGAGCGGAAACGTGGCTGCGTTGGAGTACCTGGTCGGCGAGGAGGGGCTGGTGCCGACGGGCGGGTTCGATCTGGGCCGGCATGTGTCTGCATGCGGGCGCATGGAGGCGTTGCGGTGGCTGCGGGGGCGGGGGTTCAGGCTGGATGTGGATGACGCGGCGAGGGAGGGGCGCATGGAGGTGGTGGTGTGGCTGCTGGGGGAGGGACAGGGGCAGCAGGGACAGCAGGAGCAGGGGCAGCAGGGACAGAGGCAGCAGGGGCAGCAGGAGCAGCAGGGGCAGGAGCAGCAGGGACAGAGGCAGCAGGGGCAGCAGGAGCAGCAGGGGCAGGAGCAGCAGGGACAGAGGCAGCAGGGGCAGCAGGAGCAGCAGGGGCAGGAGCAGCAGGGGGTGCCGGGTGTGAGCGCCTGGATGCTGGAGTGCGCCGCGGGGTCGGGCAACCTGGAGCTGCTGCGGTGGCTGGCGGCGCGGGCTGCCGACTGCGGCGCCTGGAGTGCGGCGGTGTTCTCTCGAGCGGCGCATGCGGGGTGCGAGGAGGTGTTGGAGTGGCTGGCGGGGCAGGGCTGCCCCATAGCGCAGGTGGGGCAGGGGTGAGACAGGGATGAGACAGGGGGGCGGAAGCCAACAGGTGTGCGATGTGCCCGCCTTCTCGCCGAGCCTCTCATTACCTCGTACGTCTCGCTCGCTCGCTAAGCCTGCCCTCACCCGCCCACGCCGCCTACCGCAACCGCCTCCCACCCCACCTCCTCGCACCTCGCACCCCCCACCCCACCTGCCACCTGCCGCGCAGGGTGAGCAGGGTCGGGGGTACTATTTGGCTGCCGTACGGGGCGACCTGGCCACCCTGCGCTGCCTGAAGCGGCTGGGCTACCCCTGGGGGCGGTACGGCAGGGTTTTCACGTCAAGTGTACGGCAGCCTGCTCCGCTTGCCGCCCTGCAGTGCCTGCTGGAGGAGGGGTGCCCGGTGGACTGGGGGCAGGCGGTGGCGGCGGCGGCAGAGGAGGCGGAGGGAGCGGGGGAGGAATCGGAGAAGAGGAGGACGCTGGAATGGCTGACTCGCCAACTGCCGAAGTAGGGGCAGCAGGGAGGCCGAGGGCAGCATAGGGGTTAAGGTTTTGGTGGTAGGCTTCTAGTGGGCAGGAGGTGGCGCAGCACTTGGAGCGGTGTTGTTGATGGATGGCATTGGAATTGTGGGGTGCTGTAGGCTGGAGATGGCAGTGATGGGGAAAAGTGCTGTGGGAGGATGCAGCGCATTCATGCCCTTTGTTCAAGGCTTGTCGATATTACGAGGATGTGTGAAAATTTAGTTTGCTGGGCTTTATACAAAAGAACCCGGGGCCCAATGGTTGCGCTGGACATGTGCTGGGGAGGCTTGCATGCATGTCGACGCTAGACCATTAGGTACTGTAGTGCCAACTGGCAGTTTAGGGCTGCGTTAATTGCATGGACTATTGTACAGTAGGGGAAGTTCGCAAGGGGTCCGCGCTGCAATGCGTAAGGCGTACGAGCTGCCTGATGAATTCCAGCGGTCGCCGCAAGCGGCCATCCGGTCCATTAGCCTATATCGGCACGCTTCATTTTAGCTCAACCACAACTTATCTTTATCCTTACCCCTACATGGGATGCGTCGCCAGTTAAACAGTCTTCAAGCTATGCCGTCGTCGCTTGCCACGTAACGTTGTTTGGTGTTTCCTAATCTATGTAACGTCGCATCTATACCAACTATACCTGACTGCGAATTAGGTCTTGTCGCATCAGGATAGACCTTCTCGGTTCGCATTGCATCTCCGAACCCTCTAGAGTTACTTAAATCTGGAGGGACTCCATCGATATGATGCATCTGGGCTATTAAATTAATCTACGGTAAGTCGTCGGGGTGGGATCGCGTTGCCTTCGGTCCTCGCAATTGAAGATTTGCAGGGTCTGTGCTGAAGACGCACATCCACTTGCACCTATCGTAAGCCTATGTTATGATATGTTCCCAGCGCTTGCATACAGTTTACACACACTGCTTGATACCCAGATTCCCTGCCTCCATCGCTTCCTCACCAGGTCGGCCGGAAGCTCCGGGCATAGCATAACCAGCGCGGCCCGCCGTCGTGCAGCATGACCTGCACGTGCACCTCGGCTTGCTCCCACACCTCCTGCAGCTACCCCGTCGCGCCATCCCGGCCCCGACATCTCAGCCATCATCCTCGCTCAGCCCAACCCCGCCAGCGCACCAGCCCAGCCCCTCCCGCACAGCCATGGACCCCCGCCCCTGCCCCCCTGTCATCCACACGGCGCCCCAACTACTTGTCATCCATCACCACCCCAGCGACAGCAGCAGCTCCCCATCTTCCCGCACCTCCTCCGCTGCTCTCCTCAACCCACGCCAGCGCTTCCCCGCTCCACCACCTAGCTACCGCCACCAGGAGCCCCCCAGGCCGCCGCTCCTCCTGCCGCTCCCCAACACGCATGCATCCATCATCACCCGCACCCTCATCACCCCCACCCTCATCATCATCATCATCAGCAGCAGCAGGGCGCACGGCGGCAGCTACCGGCTTCACCAGCTACGGCCCCACCGCACCGGCGGGCTACCCCCAGCAGCAATCCCCCCAGCAGCAATCCCCCCAGCAATCCCCCCAGCAACCCCCGCCGCCGCCGCAGCCCGCTGTGTTGGCTGCTCGGCGTGCCTCGCTGGTGTCCCGGCTGGCCGCTGAGGGCGTGGAGCTGCCAGAGTGGCTGGAGCCGGGCGGCTGGCTGCGCACGTTGTGTCCCTTCTGCGGGGGGGACCACGGGCGCGAGCAGCAGTCGTTCAACCTCATCGTGGGGGACGGTGAGCGAAGGGGGCAAACATAAGTAATGGGACACTGACGGGGCAACTGACGAGGGAAAGGGGGGAGAGAAGAAGAAAGGGGGTGTGTGGAGTGTGATGAGGGCATGTGTGTGGGCCTGCCTTTCCTGCCCGCACGTTTTCCTGGCTCCTCCTCGTCCTCCTTGTGTTTCCCACCCCTGTGCTGCCGCCTGCAACCTCTGCCCCCGCTCCTTCTCCCTCACACCCTGCACCCACCCCCCTCCCTCCCACTCCTGCTTCCAATCCTCCTGCTCCCTCCCTCCACCCCTCCCAGACTACCGCTTCGTGCACTACAAGTGCTGGCGCGCCAACCACTGCGGCGTGGAGCGCACTGTGTACGCGGAGGAGTGGCGGCCGCGGGGGCGGGCGCAGCAGCAGCCGCCGCGCCCGCAGGTGCAGCCGGAGGGGGGCAGGGAGGAGCTGGATGCAGGTGCGGGGGTGGGGCGGGAGGGAGGGGGGAGGGAAGTGCGGGCTACCAAGGGGCCTAGTGATTGACTAAGGAGCTGTAGGGAAGGAGGGTAAGGGGAGGGGAGGCGGTGGCTGCGTGCAGGGACGGGAAGCACGGGTGCATTGTTGGCTGTTGACCGGGAGACTGCTTTCGTTCTCCGCGTGGCGGCTCAGGCGGGCAATCCTGAGAGTGCATCTTCCCTGCCCGCACCGCCCCGCGGCGCTATATGTGTAACATGGCGCGTGTACCTCCTACCTCCTCCTACTACCGTCCTTCCTCTTCCAGCCTCTGGTGCTTTGGTGCTTCTGGCGTCTCTCTCCTCCTCCTTCACTTCTCCTTCACTTCTCCCCTTCCCCTGGACCCTGAGCCTCTGCCCTCTCCTCCCCTGCTTCTTCATCCCCTCTACACCCCACCCCTTTCCTGTCCCTCCCTCCTCCCCCCCTCTCCCCCCAGACTGCCTGGCCTACTTCGCGCAGCTGGGCATCAGCGCCGCCACTCTGCGCGCCGCGGGGGTGTTCCTGGCGCGAGACGTGCCGCACCCGCTCGACCCACGGGTCACTTTGGAGCGCGTGGTGGCCTACCCCTACTACAACTACACATACCGCCGGCGGAGGAGAAGAAGAGGAGGTGGCAGTGATGGTGGCGGAGGGGGGCTACAGGAGGGGGGGGAGCAAGAGGACGAAGAGGACGAGGAGGAGGGGGAGGGGGAGGAGGATGATCAGCCGGTGAATGTGACGTATCACGACATCTTTGGATACTGTGAGTGCCGTACTGTCGGGGTGTGTTGCTCGGGGGGAGGGGTGTGGGTGGGGGAGGGGTGGAAGTGGAGAGCAAAGGAGTGAGGGAATGGGGAGCAAGGGGGCAACACACAGCCCGGACACACGGGGTGCTGGGGGGGGGGCAGCAGCGAGGGGGGGAGCAGCTAGCTACGGTACCGGTGTATTCGCCCCGCATGCCCTGTCTCCGGCACTCTGGTAGAGCTCCCCTGTCACCCGCCCTGCTACCTCCTCCTTTATATCTTCCCACGAGCCCCTCACTCTTAGCCCTCCCAAGCCCTTTAATTCCTCCCAGCCCAACCCAAATTACTTTTGCGCCCCCACCCTTCCGCCCTCCTTACCCTCCCGCCAGGCCTCTCCTCCCTTCCCTCCACCTCCGACACCCCCGACGACCCCTCCCCCTCCTCCACCTCCGAACAGCACCTCGACTACCCGCCTCACCTCCAACCGCAGTCCTCCCAGCCCGCCCAGCAGCAACCCCCGCCCCCGCACCCCCCGCACCCGCACCCGGGCCTTCAGTCCCGGCCCCGTTGGCAGCCTGCGGGCTGTGAGCGGCTGCTGTGGGGGCTGCACGACATCTCCTTCGCGCCACAACTGCGACGGCACCGCAGCAGGCTGAGGGCCGCCAAGAGGCCGCCGCTGAAGAAAGCCATGGCGGCGGCAGCAGCGGCGGCGGCGGCGGCAGGGGGTAAGGTAGCGACTGCGGGAAGGGAAGGAGCGGGAGGGGCGGCGGCACAGCAGCAACAGCAGCCACAGCTGCAGTACGCGCCGCCGGCGGGGGCGGTGGCGTCAGCAGGGGCGGTGACGGAGGGCGGGTCAGCGGCCGAAGCAGCAGCGACGGCGGCAGGGGCGAAGGAGGGTGCTGGGGAGGGGTTAAGGGGTCCTGATGTTGGTGAGGAGGGTGTGGAGGGGGGTCTGCCGGGGGACTCGGACTGGCTTGGGGGCGGGGCGGGGGAGGGGGAGGAGGAGGAGGGGGAAGGGGAAGGGGAGTATACGGAGGGTGAGGAGGGGGAGGGTGGAGAGGGTGAAGAGCTTGAGGGGGGTGTTGAAGGGGAGGAGGAGGAGGAGGAGGAGGAGTGGGAGGGGGGCGTGGTTGAGGAGGAGGAGGATGAAGAGTGGGAAGAATGGGAGGAAGGGGAGTGGGAGGAGGAGGAGGGGGAGTGGGAGGAGGGCATGGAGGAGGAGGGTGTGTGTGGCGAGGGTGAAGGCGGGGATGAAGAGGAGGAGGAGGAGGAGGAGGAGGGGGTTGAGGAGGAGGAGGAGGAGGAGGGAGCGCAGCAATGGAGGTCATCCTCGCCCACTGCAGATGGTGTGCACGCCTCCGCTGCTGCTGATGATGATGCTGTTGATGATGCTGGCTATGGTGGCGGCGAGGAGGAGGGCGGTGGTGCCTCCCTGCTGGGTCCGCTGGATGTGGTGCTGGTGGAGGACGAGTTGGAGCGACTGGCGCTGATGGAGGTGGGGGGGAGGGGGCAGGAGGGATTAGATAAACTGAGCCGCGGAAACACTGACCCTGACCGTAGGTTACCGGAAATTGCTTGAGGGAGCGGGGAGGAAGGGGGGGGAGAACATACCGAGCCACAGGAAACCACAGGTTGGGGGAAAGCATTGGGGACAGGAGAGGTGAGGACAGGGGAAGAGGGATGGGTAGAGGGAGAGGCCAGGGGAAAGGGGCAGCGCACCCCGTGCAACCCCTTCTGCTCCCCGCTGCTCCATGTGCCCCTGGCCGCCCCCGACTGCATGCATGATGCACCGCACCAGACCCAGGTCCCCCCCAGCCCTGACGCCGTACAAACAGCTGCCCCCAACCCTGATCCCACCTCTATAATCCTCTCCTTGCCCCTCCCCCCCCTGTCCCCCCCCCCTCCGCCTCCACCCCCCAGGCCGGCATCCCCAACGTGTTGTCGCTGCCCCCCAGCGCCGTGTGGGACTTCATGGAGCTGGGCAGGCAGCGGGCGGAGCAGGCAGCTGCTGCGGGGGCTGGTGCGGGGGCGGACTCGTCATCATCATCATCACCTGCGGGGCAGGGTCGTAACAGCAGCAGCAGTACCGGCAGCAGTGGAGGCGGGCGGCGGACTGCTGACTCGGTGACCAGCTACATGTGGGGAAGCCGGGAGGTGGGTGGGTGGCTGGGTGGGTGGGTGGGGGAGGGTGGGTGTTGTTGCTGCATGCAGGGGAGTGGCAGGTGCCTGTTCACCCGCCCGCCTGCTGCCTCCTCTTTTCCCGGGTCTCGCCCCCCTTGTCATCTTCTCCCCCGCCCCCCTCCCCTCCCAGGTGTTGCTGCCTCCCCCCTCCGCGGTGGGTGGTCAGGTGGCGGTCACCCTGGCACTGAGGGAGCAGCCGGGCAGCCGCATGCTGGCGGAGGTGGGGGGGAGGAGTGGGGGGGAGGGGCGGAGGTGGGGGGAGCGGCGGAGGTGGGGGGGAATGCTGGCAAACTGCCGAGGCAACTAACGAGCTGTATGACATGTAGGCTTCACCATGGGGTGCAAACATGGTAGCCGGTCCATTCCACCCTGACCGACTTAGTCAAAACCGAAACAACGAGGGGGGAGGGGGGGAAGCATGCTGGCGGAGGTATGGGGGGGGAAGGGGGGAGGGACGGAGGGGGAGCGGTGGAGTATGGGGAGGGATGAGGAGGTTGAAGACACAGCAGAGGCGGACTCCGCAGGGAAGACATGGACGGGTTTTGTGTACCATGCATGCGCATTCTTTCTGCCTACGCATCTGCTCCCTTCTAGCCTGGCGCCACGTGCCCTTCATCCCTTCTACCCCACCTCCCCAACCCCTCCTCCACCCCCTCCTACCTACCTCCCTCTGCCCCCCCCCCCCCGCCTCAGGAGCTGGCGGGCATGTTGACTCGGGAGCGCTGCCGCGTGCTGCGCTGGGGGGAGGCGGGCGGCTGGGGGCCGCAGCAGGGGCAGGGGCAGCAGGTGGGGGCAGCAGCAGCAGGAGCAGCGGGAGGCATGTACGACTCGCCATTCACCATGGACCCGGCGTTCGCTGCTGCTGCCGCTGATATGTCGGAGGAGGGTCCCGAGTACCTCAATGAGGACTTTGCAGAGGCGGCCTTCGCAACCGCAACCGCAGCAGCTCCCTTCACCGCCTCGCCCTACTCCCCCGCATCAGCCCCCGCCCCCCACCCCGCCCCGCCCCCTTCCCCCCTGCCCCATGCCTCTGCCGGCCTCGCCCCCCCGCCCGCCTGCGGTGCAGTGGACGTGTTGGTGTGGAGGGGTGTGGGGGCGCTGCGGGCGGCGGTGCGGGGCGGCGGGCGGCCCTACCCGGTGCGGGGACTGCTGCAGGCGGACGGAATGCTGGATGAGGTGGGGGGGAGGTGGGGGGGGAGGAGGAGGGGACGTGTGGTACAGAAATCGGGAAAGGCAAGGCCCGTAACCCGACCCAGACACCGCCGGACCGTTAGGAGGGGGGAGGGCGGGGTTTAGGCGCGGGTGGGGAGGGGGTGTCGGTAGCTCAGCCTGCGCAGCTGGTGTGGCAGGAGGCTCCACGACGGGGCTGTACGGCTGTGCGGGTGCTCGCCTCCACATACCCTCATGCTTCTCCTGCCCTTCCCTCCTCTCCCCCCCTCTCCTCCCCTCCTCCCCCCCTTCCCAGCTCATCCGGCACTGGTACGGCCTGGAGGCCACTGCCGCGGGTGTTAGCACTGGCTGGCGGGGGCTGGACGAGCTGTATCGGGTCACTCCGGGGGAGCTGAGCATCGTGACAGGTGGGGCGGGGGGGGGAGGGTCAAAGACCATACCAAACCATAGGAGATCACAAGTCTCGTATGGGAGGGGGGGAGGGAGGGGAGGAAGGAACTGACGAGCTATACACCGCCAGGTTCCTTGGCGGGGCTGGCTGGCGGGGGAAGGCAGAGAGAGGAGGGAGAAGAGAGAGAAGGGGAAGCTAGGGCCGGGGATATGCTGCTGGTGCTGGTTAAAACAAAACAGCCATGGTGACCTTCCTTCCAAGGCCGTGGGCGCCCACATACACTTCAAACCCCCTCCTTCCCCCCCAGGTGTCCCCAACAGCGGCAAGTCTCACTGGCTGGACGCCCTGGCGGTGCGGCTGGCGGACAGTGCGGGGTGGCGCATCGCGTTCGCCTCATTCGAGAAGAGCGTCGTACGACACGCGCAGAACCTCATCGAGCTGGCAGCACGTGAGGCAGGGGGAGGGGGGGTTATATAATGATGCGGTAAACTGAGATCCCAACCCCATATCCCGACTCATGGGGGGGGGAGGGAGTGGGGTGGGAGTTGGGAATGGGGAGGTGACGGGAAGGGAGCGTGAGGACTGAGGAGGGCCTCTGACGGGAAGGGAGCGTGAGGACTGAGGAGGGCCTCTCACGGTATGTCGCCACTCCTCCCTTTGCGGCTGTCCTAGGCCACTACCGGCACACCGCATCGCATAGCATACTTGCCACACACACCTCACGCTCCCGCCGCCTCACGCTTCCCCCTCCTCCCTCCTGCCTCCACCACGTCGCTTCCGTTGTACCCTTTCCCACCCCTCCATCCCCCTCCCTCCCTTTCCCCCCCCCCAGGCCAGCCCATGTTCGACCCCCGCGGCCTGCCCTCCATGCCCCCGGACGACTTCTTCGCCGCTCTGGACTTCGTGGACCGCCACTTCCTGCTCATCCGCCACCCGGACATGGCGGACGAGCCGCCGCCGCCCGCCGCACTCAGCTCCCTGGGCCCCGCACTGGGGGGGCCGGAGGGGGGGGCGCAGGCTGCATGGGGGGCGGGAGCGGATGGCGGCGGGGCGGAGGGAGGCGGGAAGGGGGAGGAGGAGGTGGAGGATTGGCTGGCGGAGGCGAGGCAGCCCTGTACCATTGATTGGGTGCTGGGGAAGGCGACACAGGCGGTGCAGAGGTGAGGGCGGGAGGGGGCGGGAAGGAGGGAGGGAGGGAGGGGGTGAAGGAGAGACAGGACGGAGAGAGGAAAAGGGAGAGCCTAGGAAAGCGCTTACGCCACCATTTGCGTGTCGTTACTTCCAATTGGTTTCGCTAACCACTTTCCTTACCTCCGTCATCATACCTCTTGTGGGTCCCGTCCTACCTCGATCGCCCGGGCCCACCTCCCAACGTCAGGCCATGGCCCCCATGGGGCTGGTGTTCCAGTGCTTTACTTCTGATGTCCGGCCCCCTCCCCTCCCTTCCAGGTACGGCATCCGCGGGCTGGTGATCGACCCCTACAACGAGCTGGAGCAGCGGCGAGGCAGCATGTCGGAAACCGAGTACGTCAGCTCCATGCTCAGCAAGGTGGGCCGTTGCCTTGCCCTCACGTGTGGTTTGACCTCTCTTTGTCCCTCCCTCCGCACTGTCGGCTTGTCGTTTTCTCTTTACCCTCACACCCACTTCACTTTCCATCTATCCCGCCCCCTTGCCCCTCCCGCCCCTCATGCTCACTGTATGAGTCGGGATTCGGGATTGGGACTCCGTTTGTGCACTTATCTATATTTCCCCACCCCCCCGCCCCCCAGGTGAAGCGCTGGGCGCAGCGCTACCAGGTGCACGTGTGGCTGGTGGCTCACCCCAAGTCCATGGAGGACTGGGACGGGTCGCCGCCCAGCATGTACGACATATCGGGATCGGCGCACTGGTACAACAAGGCGGACATGGGCATTGTCGTACACAGGTGGGGGTGGGGAGAGTACGGCATGGGGCAGGACGTGTGGGGGGAGGAGGGATGGGAATTAATAAGGATGAAGAGGGATGGGGAGGGAGCGAGTAATTGGGGCGTCGAGAACGGTGGCGGTGGGGTGTCGATGTACCGCAGTTCGGAGATGCGTTCCGGATTACCCTCATTCCCTGTCCACCACGGGGCTACCCTTCTAACCCGCCGCCGCTCTCCCCATTCCCGCACCTCACCCATTCCCATCGCTCCCACTGCCACCCCCCATCCGTATTGCTTTGCCCTAACTTGATGGTTTCCTAAGGTTTGGATAAATGGTCTTTGACCCCTCCCTCCCACACCCCCCCAGATGCTCCAGTGGCTCCAGTTGCTGCACTTATCACTTCTTCCCACCCCCCCCCGGGGCCCCTTTCCAGGTACACGCGTGTGGCCATGGACGCGGCTCTCCGGCGACGTGCCGCCTCCTCGCGCCCCTCCGGCAAGCCGCTGCACTTCCCCTGGAGCGAGAAAGAGACGCTCATCAAAGTGCTGAAGGTGTGGGGTGTGGGGGGGGGAGTGGGGAGTGGGGAAGGGGGAGTGAAGCGTGCTCCCAAGTTATGCCGCTACGGCCGGGTGGTGCCGTTGCTGGCCCCACAGATACCACTCCGCCACCTCCCTGCCACCTCTCGCCACCGCCCTGCCTCCACCAAAGCTGTAGCCAAGGGTTGCAACTATTTTATTGCCACGATCACTACAACATGGCATACATCTTCTATTCTCCTTGTTTTCCTCCACCTGCCTCCGCCCCCTGCCCGTCTCAACCCTCCCGCCCCCTCCCGGCCCTCACACCATCCAACACCCACACACACACTTTGCCACCGTCCCTTTATTTTTTCGCGTCCTTATTTACCTACTTTCCATCACTACTTATGTTGCCTTTCCCTCTCGCACGTATGGCGCGCTTGTGGCGGCTTCCGTGGCGGCTTCTGCTGCGCTGGGCTTCCTCCTTATAGGTAAGCCCCCCTTTTGTTTCTTTTTCTTGCCTAGTCTTTTGTTTTACAGCTGATCCCCGTTTTCTCCGGCCCTGCCTCCTTGTCACGCCGAGCACATGTGGGGCCTTGGTGACCAACATTTGACAGCAATACCAGCCATAACCAGCAATAGACAACTACAACAGCCAGTTTTCTTCGGCCCGCTCGCTGGAGTGTCAACTTTTCATCCGCAACGCGGACCCGGTATCGGTAGGGAAAGCTAACCAACCCATTGTCTTGTGGCACCCTGCCAACTCCTACCCCCATTGTTTTGCCCTAACTTGTGGTCTCCTATGGTTTGGTATGGTCTTTGACCCCCCCCAGGCTCGCAACCGCACCAGCGGCACGCAGGGCGACTACACGCTGCTGTACGACAGCGCGCACTGCAGCTTCCGGGACCCCAGGGAGGAGGGGTGAAGGATGAGGTCGATAACGCGATGGGGGGTGGCGGCTGGCGGGGATGTGGTGGGGTGGGGTGGGAGGGTGGGGAGTGTGTAGGGGTGGGAAGGTGGAAAGGGTGGGAGTGTGGCCCCGGTGGTTGGTAGGGCGAGGGAGATCAGGACTACAGGAGCACAGGGCTCGCGGCGGCAGAGGAGTAATGGTGTAATGGTGCGAGGAAGGGTGTTTGGGTGGCGGTTGAGCGGACATGGGACATGGCGAGTGCAGTTGTACTGCAGCTGTACGGCAATGGCAGTGGGTAGCGTGTGGCTGGTGGAATGTTGAATGCAGCAGCACGGGAGGTTTGGCGCCAATAGCACTGTTAATTAGGAAAAGACAGCTGCGCCCGTATGCGACCAGGCACGCGCGCGATTGACCATTAGCTGGCGAGTAGTTGGGTCAATCGGACCTACGAACTCAGCATGCTCTTCATACGTAAATGCAAGTAAGAACCTTTAAGCCTAAAGTTGGATGTCGCAGGGTAAGGCGAGTAAATCCGCCGAGGACGGTTACTAATGGTACGACGAGACCTGCGCGGACGTTGGCGATTGAAGTGTAACCCAATACTGATTATGGTCTACACGATACTCAACATATAGTTTATGGGCGCTGGTCATACCGCAACTAGCTAGTCCTTTGGGAAGTGAGGCCTGCCATCATACTCGAAGCCGTAGCCGCAGGGCAAAGATTACCCACAAAGCTGATCTGGCAAAGCTATTTCTATCACTCACATACATAAAGAGGCCCTTAACTGTTAACGTGCGTTGTACCCGGGGGTCGGTGCCGGCGAGTCGACAAGCTGCTGAGTGCTGACGGCAACACTACTGCTAGCGCATAGCACTTCACCGTGTACCTGACGTCGGTTATTGTTTGAGTTTGGAGGTTGACGGTGCAAGGTTAAATCTCCAACTGTCATCAGCACAGCCGTAGGACCCATAAGACCCAAGAACATGGCACCCCAGGGTGCAACACGGTGAGCATTTGGACGGCACACATTATAGACACACATTTGACATAGATAATTGACAGTGTTCGGAATGACACAGCGAATAACTTGACAACCTTTCCTGTTTTGAACCACTACAGCCAATGGTGGCTCCCCTCTACCTGACATGGACCTGCTCCAAGCTGTCAGCCTTGCAGCCGTATTTACGGTATCCGGTTTGGCGCTCCAGAAGCGCCGTCGGTAAGGCCGAGGCTTTGCGGACGGGGTTGTATGACTTCGCGGCAGGGAACGACTCGTGGACCTTCCTGTAACAAGGGATATAAAGAACACGTCTTAGCATATATAATCTTGCCATATTCGCATCAGCTTTATGTCTAGGGATTGACCCTTGACTGCGGCAGTATCAGTTGAAATGTATTTTTACCCCCGCACTTCGTCCACCTTTGCAGGGCTCGAAACAAGAGGAAACAACCTAAGACTTCACCCTGCGGAGCTGTCGCATCGAAGCCAACTGTCAAGCTGATGGTAAGGATGCTGATGGTGTTGCATATCAGGACTCCGACCTTATTTTACATTACTAATGCTCCTTAGAAGGTACCATGGCCCCAAATTACATATGCCAACACGTCGGCAGCTGACAACTTGTATGCCCCTCCTCTCTGCCGCCCCCAAAACAGGCAGGCTGCAGTTCCAGCCTTCGGTCATGGGACCTAGCGGACGCACCCTACCGGGAGGCGGAGGATGCTGCGGAGGATGATTCCTTTTATCTGCCTATGCCACCCGTTATGGATGCCCAGGTACGAGCCCAACACCCGGCATAAAGCTATCTAGCGAGACATGCTCAGGCCGACTTTAAATGCTACAGCTATTCCAGTGCCGTCCATGCGTCAGCAGCGTGGCATGCATTCCAGGCCGTAACCTTCTGCCTTCTCAAGAGAACCCCAACCCCTTTCTCCTCTTTCCCATTTACCACCGCATCCCTATCCTCGTCTTGCCTCCACCTTCCAGGATGGACTCCGCACCCCTTGCGGTCTGCACACCCCCACGTGGTCGCGTCCAACCGCACACTGCTGCTCCTCTCCAACCGCTACCCCGCCCTCACCCCGACACGGGCTCCGACACCTACACGAAGCATCATTCTATGACGACCACGACCACGACGGCGACTTCCTCCTGCAGCAGGCGTACGACAGCTGTTGCGAGCCGGCTGACGTGGACGCCGCATTGGCCTCCACGGATGCTGTAGCCGCCGCAGCTGCAGCCGCCTCGGCTGATGGAGTGGTGGTGCTGGTGCAGAGGCTGGGGCAGACGCCAGGGAAAGCAGCAGCTGCAGAGGCTGCTGCGCTTGACGACTCTGTGTACTCTTGCACTTCTGCTCCTCTACCGCTACCTACCACTCTTAGTGACGGAGGTGTTGTGCCTGTGGCTGCTGAAGCAGCAGCAACGGGAGCAGCGGCCTCAACTGAAGGTGACATAGATGATGACATTGGCGAGTACGACCAGGAAGGAAATGGCGATGGTGATGCCGAGGTTGTGGACAAGGGCGTTTCTGTGTCAGCGACACCGCAGCGGTCGTCGTCATCCGCAGGGGCGACTAGGGACCCATGTCGGGGCGCTAATGGACCCTCCGTGCCTGCCGCTGATGGCAATGACGAGGCTGTAGCACCTGCTGCTGTGGTTGAGGACGATACACTGGCAGGCGGTGTTGCAAGCGACAGCAACTGCTTGAGAGCAGCAGCTGCTGCAGCCCCCTCGCCTGACGGCGATGCTGCGCACGAGTCTCCATCGGAGGACACGCTGGCGGCTGCCTCCATCTGGGCTTCAGTGGCGGCTGCGGCTGCTGCGGATGCGACCTCGACAACCGACGCCCAATCGGTCATACCCATTGATGTTGCCGCTGCTCCAGCCGCCACCACAACCAGCGACATTGACTTGGACGGCGCCGCCGAAGCTGCGGCCGTCGCCATGACAGGTCCTGAGGACGTGGACGAAGCAACCGAGGGCTGCGAGCAGCAGCTGCTTTCCTCCCCGGTCATCCACAGCAGGACCAAACGCCTCGGCGTAAGGCCCCTAACGCCGCCAGTCTCGCTGCTTACCCCCGCAGCGACGGCAGCAGCAGCTGGCGATTCCGAGTCCCTCTGCCACAGCCCCACCGTGACCACCGGCGCCCGCTCGCAGCCCTTCCGCTCCTACCTGTCTCAATCCATGTCGTACTTCTCACCCTCCGCTGCCCCGCCGCCGTCACTCCCGCGACCGCCGCCGTCGCCCATTAGCACCCTCCGCTCCACTGGACGCAACCTCTACGGCGATAGTGCTAACAACGATTGTAGCGGCAACTGTGGGAACAGCGCTGGGAGCAATGCCGGCGCGAGGCTCAGTGTTGGCGGCAGGAGCAGCAGCGGCGGCGGTGGTGGTGGTGGCATTAGCGCTGCTTCGGCTGTCGTCTCCTTGCGAGGCGCTGCCAGGGTGGCAAACGCGTCGCGCTTGGTTCCCTCGCCGTCGGTTCGTGCGCGTGCCGCCGAGTATGAGGAGCAGTTTCGGAGCAGCCTCTGTGTAAGCCAGGCCGGACCCACGGGTCACCTGACGAGCCCCTCACCTGCCCGCTCTAGGAGCCTTGTTTCCTGCAGCCTGAGCTGGGTAGACACGCTGACCATTAGCAGCGGCGGCACCAGCAACAGCGGTAGCAACACTGGCGGCAGTAACGGTGGCGGCAACGGCGCTTGCAGCATGGGCAACAGCAGGTGCCAGAGCCCCTGTGTCACTCCGCGTGCGGAACGGTGTGAGGAGCTCACTACGGAAGCGGACGAGGATCTGCTGGAGGAGGGTTGCGACGGCGGCGGCGGGGCCAATTCTGGGGGCAGCGGCACTAAGGGCTTCCTGGCGGTGGCTCGGGCGTCCTTGCAGGACCCCTTGTCTACCGCCCGGAGGACTGCGAAGCCCAACTTGCCACCCATTGCGGGCCTGTGAAGCGAGGAATGTGAGACCGCATGCAAATGCACATGTGTGTCTGTTGCCTCGTTCCTTGGGGCCTGCAGCCTATTCCGCTGATGGGTGAGAGGTACACAAGCACCTCCTACTGACGTTAGCTTCTACCTGTTGTTCTTATAGCGCCGTTGTACGGCCCCTGCCCTGTGACCGTGTACGATGCCTGACGTGGCCATTACTACCGTTATTCTGACACATGACTTGGCAAATGACAAATGTGAGTGTGCTGACCGAGGGATTGTTGTTTCATTTAAGCTGTATCGCTCGACGTATGCAGCTGACGGGACGCGTGTGTCTGAATGGGTGTTTCACAGCAGGCGAATTGCCACGTCAGCGGGTCGAACGCCCAAACCCCCAGTGCTCCCAAAACACGGCCCGAATACCATAGTTTTCTCAGGCAAGACACTCGCATATATAACGTTGTCCAAGCGCATGTCCGCGCAAGGGGCCCACAACCTTGTTTGACCTAATCTCGGACTAGTATAAAGGTGTAGACGTACGGCACATGTGATTCACTGTTATAGCTTATTAATTCCTTAACAGATTACGAACATACTCAATGCAGTGTCTTGAAATTTGTGCGGTGCCATTGTCGTGAGCTGTGGCGTGTTAAGGTGTCATGTTGACTGGTTGGACTGCCGCTGCTGTGGTAGCTTTGTAAACGTAGTTGGTCTTTTTCAGAGGTCTTAAGTTGTGTGAACACATGCCAAATGCACGTAAGTGTTTTGGAAATACTGCTAATTTGAGGGTGGACCTTTTGTTGGGAGCTGTGCTTTAATGCGTAGAGGAGTGCTTACTAATAGACGGATAACCATGTGGGGACACGATGTGCCTTTCGTATGTGACAGACGGGATGCGTGTGCACGCCAACGGAACAACAAGTCAGAGTATTGGAAGGTTGTGCCGACCAAGCCTTTCTGTACCTTTCCACTGGAATTGTTGTGTGGCAAAGTATCATGTGGCCATAACGACTAGACGGATAAGGCAACGAGCGGGACCAGCACTTGACGGTAGCAAACGTGTGTGGGTACTGCATGGCAAATCATGTCTGTACGGAGCGGGGCTGTTTGGTGTTGTGGCAGCAGACACGGCATCATGGCTACTCTTATACGAGGTTTAGATATTGTTGGGATGTGTGTGGGCATTCATGTTGAGTAAAGGCCACGCCGTATAATAGTATTTGCTTCCCAAGGCGTGGTGCAAGTCGTAGTGGCAGCCTCACATCCTGGCCGTACAACATAGCCGTGGTGGACGTTTGGTTCGGGGTTGCTGTCGTCTCCTGTGTACTTATGCTGCAGTGTGTGCTCAATACGCAGAAGTCTATTTCATGCATGCACGCACGCGCTATAATAAAATGAGGTGTCGTTGTCGTCGGCGAGGATACGGTCCTTAGCAGGAGGCCCGCTGCTTGTAACGTTGTAAGATTAAGCAATCACCTTAGGCAAGTAATGCTCTATTGGTAGATGCATGAGTAGTGCTATAATCTTCGGCATATCGAAAACTCGTCGCCATCAGAAGGCTGTAAGAAATGGTTTCATGCCATTACCAGCGCGTTACATAACCAGCTGATACAAAATATAAATTGGTTGCATAGCTGAACATAGTTCGGACCTACCAGAGTACCTGGCCTGGAACCCCGACGACCGTACGTGCGTCTGGGTTCCAGGCCGTACTCGTCGAGGTTTCGCGGGGCCCGGCAGCCGACATATGTTCCTGGTACCAACTGCTGGTATTGATTTTACGTCAAGTATGACTTCCGGGGCCTTGCACGAAGAGCAGGCTTCCGCAAAGCAGCCTATGCACGTTTGCGCACCCCGTAGGACTCCTTGGAAGCTTTATCGAGAGGATGTTTCACGCATTACCCAGGCGAACTACTCCGGGTCTGGCACCGACAAAGATCCCTACGTTGTAGACTGGCTTAACGGCGATGAAGAGAATCCGCAAACGTGGTCCTTCGCGTACAAGTGGGTCCACACCATCCTCGCGTCCGCCTCTACCTTTGCCGTGGGCTTCTGCTCTTCAGCGTACGCCGGCGCCGCAGGTAAGGCCAGAATCACTTCCATGACAACTTCGTTACTGTGTCCTCAGTTCCCTATAATTTGCGGCAGTAGTCCTACGAGGGCACCGTCATTATTGCGAAGTGTCAGAAGAGTACACGCGCTTACTACATTGGTCGCTGTTTTTCGTACGTGCGCAAAGATATTTACGTAATGCCAATTGTCCTCGTGTGATGTCATTGCCATCCACGGTCATGCAAACGGTATCAACAATACGTTCTCACAGCTACAGCCACATGATTCCAGGACGACCATGAAATGTCGGACTGGAACACGGCATACTAGCCTAGCTTATACTACGCCTTGGCTGCAGGCGACGTCATGCTCAAGTTCGATGTAAGACCGGAAGTCGCTACGCTGGGCGTCAGCTTATTCGTCTTGGGTTTCGCTCTGGGTCCGCTCCTATGGGGACCCCTCTCCGAACTGTTTGGTCGCCGCCCGCTCCTCATCTACACGTATTTCGCCCTAACTGCGTTCAACATTGGATCTGCCGTCGCCCCAAACATGCCCGCGCTAATCATCTTGCGCTTCTTCGCTGGCGCGTTCGGTTCTTCCCCACTTACCAACGCCGGCGCTATCATCGCCGACATGTTTGACGCTAAGACCCGCGGCCTCGCCTTGTGCCTCTTCGCCGCGGCACCTTACTTCGGTGTCATCGGACCCATTGTCGGCGGCTTTACCGGGCAGAGCGTCGGCTGGAGATGGGTCATGTGGGTTCTGGTGTTTCTCACCGGTGTGATCCTGATCCTCTGCACTCTCTTCACGCCGGAGACCTACGCACCGGTGCTGCTGCGCAAGCGTGCTGAATCCCTCACCGCACACACGGGCCAGGTGTACCGCAGCAAGTACGACAGCAAGGCGGCTTCGTTGACCCAGAAGCTCAAGACCAACCTCACTCGCCCCTGGATCCTTCTTATCTACGAGCCAATCGTGCTGCTGCTATCGGTGTATGTCGCTATCATCTACGGCGTTCTCTACACGCTCTTCACCGCCTTCCCCATCGTGTTCCATCACACCCGTGGTTGGAGCCCCGGCATCAGCGGGCTGGCCTTTATCGGCATCGCGGTCGGTATCCTCCTGGGCCTCGTCTACATCCTGCTGGATAATGCGCGCTACGTGCGAGCAGCCCATGCAGCCGGAGGGCATGCTCCTGCTGAAGCTCGTCTGCCGCCTGCCATTGTCGGCGGAGTTGCGATCGTCCTGGGGCTGTTCTGGTTCGCCTTCACCAACTCGCCATCCAAGCACTGGCTCATCTGCATCGCGGCTACAGTTCCCTTCGGCTTCGGCATGATTAACGTCTTCCTGCCGTGCGTTAACTACCTGGTAGACAGCTACCTCATCTACGCAGCCAGCGTACTTGCAGCCAATTCCGTCTTGCGTTCTCTCTTCGGCACGGTCTTCCCGCTCTTTTCCACAAAGATGTACGAGAACATTGGCATCCACTGGGCCTCCGCCGTACCGGGTTTCATGGCCTTGGCCTGCCTGCCGTTCCCGGTCCTGTTTTGGAAGTACGGCGCTGTGGTACGGAGCCGCTGCAAGTACAGCGCTGAGGCATCGCGCATTATGCAGCAGCACATGGCAGTGTCGGTGGTAGCGGATTGTGCGAGGGGTGGGGAAGCGAAGGAGCAAGCGAATGCCGCGTCAGCGCACGATAAGGTATAAAGCTGTGGTGCTAGCATGCAGCGCCTCCGATGCAGCAATGAATGACTTGATGTATATAAGCTATCTTGCGGGCCCCTTCTAGCTATCTTAAAGACTTAATGTTGATTGTCGTCATGTCATGCTTGTTTGCAATTTTGCACGTGTTGAACGTCAAAGAAGTTATGCTTGTTGATGTTGCCCGTGGATTTTGGTGGGGAGGGGGATTGCACCCTTTCAACGCATGATAGTGGCGTTGTGTATGAAATGCAGGTCTTCCGTGCAGAACTGTTCACGTTTGGTATATGCTACCTGTTTAGTCTATGCTCATTCCTAGGCGCAATGCCAGTGCAATCGGCCTTTTGGCGACGTTTCATCAAGTGGTGTGCGCAGTACTGATTTAGCATGGGGTCGTACAACGGGGGAAGTGGCTGTCTGAAGTTAACTGGTATTGAACCCAGGGCCGCTGTCGCTGTTGTCACACCGACGCAAAGGGCATCTACAAGACGATGGCAGAAGACGCTGCCTCTGGCGAGCATGTTGAATGACTAAGTGTGCGCGCGCGAAGCAGGCCGGCTTGTTGTTTAGCAGGTGTTGCCAAGTACCAGTAGAATGCCACCGGTGAAAGTGTAGCTTCCTTTCTGAATGAATGACCGTTACAATGGCTGCATTGGTCCTCTCTGTCATGCGTACGTGATGGGTTCATGCATGAGAAGATAGAATTCGAGCCTAGAGGATTGTCGAGTGAACAACATTGTCGAAGCGGTGTTATGAGGATGGCTCGTGCCTTTATTGCCGAGAACACTGTTCTTCCTTCTGTTCAAGAGAATGCCTGCACCTTTATTCTGAGTAATGCCCTTTTAATAAACCTACCCGTGGGGTGGGTGTTGGCGGCAAAGGATGTGATTGAGCACCAGGATACGGGCTACGGAGTTCGAGACTTGGGTTGTCGTGTTGGGTGGCGAGTTGGAGCGTACCCCTGTTTGGGTTCTTCATGTCTAGCAGCTTTTGAGTGTGGAATTGGAGAGGAGGAGGATGTACAGAAAGTGTATTCGTGAAGGAAGAGGAAGGGTAACCGCTTGGCAAGATATTACCGTACTAGTCTTGCGGTTGTAGAACCCTAGGAATGATGCTGCCGATGAGTTGCAGTTAAGTTGTAGCACAAAGCCTGAAAGGGTGTCAGTTGTCAGGCTGCCCTTCGTTGACCTAGAAACCCCTGTAAACAATTGTGGACGGTCTTTGGCCCTCTTCAGCAGATGCCTAGTGGATTATTAGCAATAGAATATCACCTCTTGCCCAGGCATAACCGAAGCAATTGTAGGGTAGCTTGGAGGTAGAACGTCACACAGCGCCGTATGCCGGCATCATACGTGCATCAAACATCCGTGCATACCCGGATTATTTGGATGTTCATGACGCTGTGCATAGAACACTGAACCCCGGCAGCATTTGAGAGCCCTGTAGGTCAAGGCGTCCGTGCACGGATCGTCGTGCGACCCCTGGGACAACGTAGACACCCAATTACATTGCAGGTTGTGCTAATGATACAGTTGTGCCAAACGTCGATGGAAAACAAGTTTCGGGCAAGAATACTTGAAATCGATTACTCGATCCCGCGTCCCGAATAAGGTTCGGAGCCGGTTTCAGAGCACCTTGTCCGATTTCCACACACGCCCGGCTTTGCCCAATTGCACTTGATGCTTACAAGAAAAGATGGTTTAGCCTGGTACATCATTACGTACCAAGGAGCATGATACCGGTACTGAGAAGCCGGTAACCGTCATGAAGCTAGTAAGCTTGGATTTGCCTGCAATTTTCAATGCAACTCACCTACACATTATATTGACAATGCTAATACTGCCGATCATGTTATGTTGTAGATATGCGTTGGCTTCGGCCCATGCCGCTGCTTGGTTCTGCGATTTCGCAAGGCCAACATCCTACTCGACTGCGCCACACCGCTCTACTCATCTCTATGCAATTATGGTTGCAGCGGCAGTGAAGCAAGCGGCGATTATAAAGGTAGTCTTGCCCTCGAACTTGCCCGGAACAGCCACGACACTGCTTCTGACGACGGGGAGCCACTCCGCGCTCAACTGCTGTCCCCAGAGGGCGCCACTTCCCTCGGCAGCGGACATTCCGCCACATGCGGCGCTGCTGCTGCTGCTGCTGCGGAGGAGGAGCCCGCTCGGGCTGTAGATGGAGCGGCTGCTGGGGCACCAGCAGCGGCTGGGGAACAGCGGGGCTGTGGCTGGGGCGGCAGCAGCGGTGATAACGGACACAGCAGCGGCTCAGTCCAGAGCGGCGACGCTTTGATGGATTTCGTCCCTTTCCTACCGGTAAGTGGAGTACGTGTGCACTGGTACTGGTCAGGTCTCACTTGATTGTACCAGTAAGTTCCCATCGGCACTGCCACCCCTGTCCTTTCCCAACTCCACCCTTCCCCACCAGCTGCTCCAAACCCTGGAGATCCACGCAGCCCTCATCAGCAGCCCTGAAGCCCTGCTAGCGCTGCCACACCTGCTGTACGACAACTTGCATGATGATCCGCAGCTGTACGACAAGTGCAACAGCGGCGGCGGCAGCAGCAGCAACGCAGGTGTCGACGACGTGTACGGCCGGGCCGCTGCCGCCACTGCTACCGTAACTGCTTGGCACCACATGGGCCCTATACGAGGTCCCGTGTACTGCACCCAGGCCGCACTAGATGCGGCGGAGCAACTGGCGGCGGAGAGGCTGGCGGCGGAGGAGGCAGCGGAGGTACGGCAGCGGCGCCGGCGGCCACAGCAGCAGCAGGGGCTCAGGGAAACTGGCGCGCCGCAAAGACATCCTACCAACGACGACGGTACACGTTTAGCGCCTCAGCAGCACCAGCATACGTTGCCGTGTAGTAGGGATCTGGGTATCGACGGTCCGCTGTCTGCAGTACAAGAGGCCCTCTTGGCCCAGTGCTGCTGGCGGCGGCGGGCAAGCTGGCGTGCCGTACGGCACTGCCTGGATCGTGTACGGGCAGTACGGTACGGTCAGACTGTAGGGCTGGATTCGTACGAGCTAACAGCGGTGCCGTACCCCTCTGGCAGCGGCTTTGGGCACGCGGTGTGGCAGATCGCGGATGGCGCAGAGTGAGTACCACAGTACCTGCGGGGCCATCCGTGGCTGAGGACAGGGACACGTCATTGCTGAGGACAGGGACACATACGTGGGCATCAACAGCCACACCATATGTACGGCGATGTAGCCTTGTCACTGCCCTCTTTGGCTTGCTTCATTGTCGTTTCAGTTCGCAACGAACCTATCTCTGCCTGCCTTCCGGTGTACCCCATGCGTCTCCATCGTTAATGTCTTGATTCCCTGCTCTGCTCTCCTCTCCCACCCTCCTTTTTGTGGTTTCATATGTTTTGGTGTCTTTTCCTGACCCCCTCTGCTCCCCTTCCCGCCTGCTCCCGCCCGCCAGCCGCTGCCGTACCCTCCTCTACCTCCCTGACGCCGCCCCCACCCACTCTTTCGCCCCGCCGCTGCCCCTGGAGCTGCTGCGAGGGCCCGATGCGCTCATCCTGGCGCCCGACATGCTGGCAGCACCGCCTTCGCCTCCAACGACGCCACCAACAGCAGCAGCAACAGCGGCAGCAACAGCAACAACAGCGGCAGCAACAGCAACACCTTCGCCACCGCTTCCGTCCTCAGCACCGCATGCAGCGGCAGCATCCCTACCCTCCCGGCCTCCGCTGCATCAAATCAAGGAGGCGGTGCTGGCGGCGGTGGCGGCGGGAGGCAGTGTGCTGGTTCCCGTATACGGCACAGGTACCGCAGAGGGGGGTGCCGTACCCCGTATGCACTGCATACCCCCCCGGCAGGCGGCCGTCACCGCTGCTGTCCCTTTTTATGACACGGCATTACTCAGAGTGATGGTACTCAAGCGGCTCGCCGTCCTGCACTCCAACGGCTCCCATGTACGCCACCCGTCCCCGCCCCCCAGCTCCCAATGCATGGTGGAGACTTGCCACATAGAGACATAGCCACATGCTAAGCTTTCCCTTTTTTCATCCCTTCCGATCCCCGTTCGGCTCCCCGTTCCCCCGCTTCCCCGCCTCCCTCCCGCTCCCCCCTCCCAGGAGAGGCCTGGGAGCTGCTGGAGGCTCTGGCCGCCTTCCTCGCCTCCGCCGGACTGCCCCACGTGCCGCTGCTGTACTGCGGACCGCGCTGCCGTACCTCCCTGGCGCTCGCCTCCGTCAGCCTGGGGGCGCTGTGCGCGGAGCGGCAGGCGGCGGTGTGTCGGCCGCAGCACCCCTTCGCATTCGACTCGCTTATGCACGTGAGTGTGTTGTAGGAGGTGTGGTGGGCCTGGTGGGCGTGGGTTGTGAGTGCTTTGGGCATGTCACTTGTGCGAGGGAGGAAGGAGGGTGAGGATATGGCCCAACCAAATATTTCCCCCACCCCATTACCCGTCGATCTAACATCCGACATCCCCCATAAGGCTCACAACCCTCCTCCCTGCACTGCTGCCCCAACCGCAGGCTGGTCGCCTGCTGGTCACCCCCTCCCCCTCCGACCCAGCCGCTCAGGCCTGCCTGCAGCGGGGCTCCAGTGTGGTACTCGCGCCCGCTGACAGCCTGCACTACACGGCAGGTGGGCGGGGCGGGGCAGCGCGGGGGCGCGCAGGGGGGCGGGCTGCTGGGCGGCCACGAACCCGTACGGCGATTAGGGCGGCCTCATGGAGCGTGTTGGGCGTCATCAGTCATGACGCGTGTTCGGGTTGTACGGTACTCTGTGTTGCCTTTCGTCACCTGTCCTACTCTGTGTTACCTGTCCCCTACGGGCTTTCACGTACGGCAGAACGTAGCAACAAACCACCTTCTTTCCGCCGCTCCCTTCGCGTCTCGCTGCACACCCCCGTCAGGCCCGGCGCTGCAGCTGCTGCAGCGGTTCGGCCCCGACCCGCGCAACCTGCTGCTACTGCCGCATGCAGGGCCGCCGGCTGCCGTACAGGGCATCCGACGACTGTACGACAAAGCAGCTGCTGCTGCTGCTACTGCCACAGTGGTAGCACGCGAAGACCCACGAGCGTCCCACTCAGCAGCAGCAGCAGCAGCAGCGCCAGGAACAATGGCACCTTCGCAGCAGCAACCACAGCAGCAGCAGGCACAACCACAGCAGCAGCAGCAGCAGCAGCAGCAGCCCCTGCGGATGCGTCTACTGCACATCCCCCTGCGCGGTTGCCCAGGCGGCTGCCGGCCCGGTCCCTCCCCCTCCGCCCTGCTTGACTTAGTCTCCCGCCTGCAGCCCCGACACCTTCTAGCCAGCAGCCGGGACCTGAGCCTGATCAGGCAAGTGCAGTCCCAACAGCAGCAACAACAGCGGTTACAACAGCAGCAGCAGCAACAACAACCTCAACCGCCCCAACAGCACCCGCAGCAGCAGCAGAGCTCGCTTCCTCCTCGTCCTGTACCCGCCACATCCCCACCTCCTCCTCCTCCTCCTCCTCCCCCACCCTCTCCTCCCCCTCTCGCTCGTGAGAGTGTGGTGCCGTACGGGTGGCTGCAGCGGGTGCGGGTGGGGCTGCCGCGCAATGTGGCGGGTGCGGTGGTGGCGCCGGAGCTGCTGCAGCGGCTGCAGTGGGTGGACGGAGGGCCGGGGCTGCAGGTGCAGGGGGAAAAGGAGGAATACCCAATGTGTTGATTGACGAGGGGAACGGGTGGGGGCGGTGGGAGGGGTCTGGTGGTGCTGCCGAGCGTGTAGGGTAGAAGAGGTACCGGAAGTCTTCTTAGGAGAGGTGTCGGAAGTCTTCTTAGGAGAGGTGTCCGAACTCTTCTCCCGGTGAGGTACACGGGCGGCAGGTGGCAGGCGGGCCCACGTATGTGTGCATGCCGCTGTACCGCTGTGCAAACTTGAAGCCGTCCCCCGAGCCCTGAACTCCTCTCCCTCCACGCCGCAACCGCGCATGCACCCACACATGCAACGTCGACCCCCCGCCCCTGCAAGCCCCTCGATAAGAACACCCCCTCTTCCCCACAACCCCCTCCTCTTTCCCAACCTCCTCCATGCCACCAGCTCGCCCGCCTCAACTGCCTGATGGTGTATCGCGAGGGAGTCTGGCACCTGGATGCCGTACCCGCCTCCGCCACCTCCGCCGACTCGGTGGCGGCGGCGCTGGCGGCGGTGCAGGGCGGCGTTCTGGCGGCGGACCAGCTGCTGCTGCTGGCGGCGGCGGCGGCGCCGGCGAAGGCGGAGGAGGCAGCGGGAGCGGAGGAGTCCGCGACGGAGGTGCCGGCAGGAGGAGGAGGGGGAGGAGGGCGTCTGGAGTTGCGGCCGCTGCTGGCGGCGCTGGCATCACGCGGGGTGACACGACTAGGGATGGAGGTTGAGGGCGAGGTGAGGGGGCATTGATGCCATGTCTTCGTGGTTCGGTGCTTGCGTTCTTTCATGTTTGCAGGTACCATTGTTTGTTTGCTTGGTCCCTGAGGACACCTTCCCGAAGGTCCGTTTTTCCAACCAGTTCCTGCTTTCACCATGCTTTCACCGTTTTCAGCGTGTCTCCATCGTGCTAGATGAAACCACCCTGCCCTGCCCTTAGTACCACACACGCGCCCATGCTGACCATACCACCACCGCCATCATCATTAGCCAGGACATACGGTACCCAACCACCCCTCCCTGCAGTGTACGACCATCTCCCTAGACGGCGCCGACGCGACTCTGACGCTGCGTCCCGGCGGCGCTCATATTCACACGGGCTGTCCGCTGCTGCGGCAGCTGCTGACGGAATGCCTCATGCAACAGTTGACAGTGATCTAATGCGGACTGTGGATGGTAGAAGGGATATGTTGGCGCTTCTTGGTGAACTAGGGCTGTCGCACGTAGAGCTTAACCGCATGGGGTCTGGCGGTTTCTGTATGGGCTCCTTGTCACAGCTCTGGGAACCCCAGGGTTGCATCGGCTTGTGCAAAGGCTTACCGCTTGTGTAACGCTATGCAGACCAGAGCGCATGCAACTGACAGTAGTCGCGAAGGCATTGCCTCAAGGCGTGCGGCCGCGACGTTGCGTCGCTTGCACCACTACCCAGCAGGATACCGGTAGCAGGCAAAGGACATAGTCGCAAACGTGCCAATAAGCGGTAGAAATTATCCAAAGCTACCCATCAGCAGCTGCCGGAGGTGGTGGAGTCAGGAGCTTCAGGGCGACACAGCAGCAGGCATGGCATGAAGCCTAAAGCCCCCAGGCATGAACAGTCCGTCTTATGTGCTTTACTATTAAACGTGCCAATCTTCTAGGAACCGCGTGCGGGGGACTTCCCCAATGTCATGTGAGGTGCAACAATGAAAGTCGCTGGATGTACGAAGACGGCTCGCATTCGCCTCCTAAACTATGCAGCAAAAACGTTGACAGGTGGCGTAGAAGATAACGTTGTCAACTGGTTACATGATTATGGATACGTCAAATCGGCTTGACAAAAAACCATAATGGCAAGAAATGATTATGCACGCTTTGTGGCAATTTGCCCAAGTCCCAGTTTTCAGAAACTATTTCACCAATTCATCCATTCATATTTCATATGTATTGAAAGCAACAGTTGCACCTACAGACTCCGCGATATCCCTGCTACTTCGCTCGTTACTGCTGGCATTGTAAAGGCGCGAGTATGACTTCCGGGACCTCACATGACAAGCATGCTTCTGCATCGCAGCCAATGCACGATAGCGCACCCCGTAGGACTCCTTGGAAGCTCTATCGAGAGGATGTTTCACGCATTACCCAGGCGAACTACTCCGGGTCTGGCACCGACAAAGATCCATACGTTGTGGACTGGCTTGATGGCGATAAAGGGAATCCGCAAACATGGTCCACCGGGTACAAATGGGCCCTTACCATCCTCGCGTCTCTCTCCACCCTTGCCGTGGGCTTCTGCTCCTCAGCGTACGCCGGCGCCGCAGGTACGGGGCGATAGCAAGAGTCAGTTTCAGAAGGAGCCTATGTAGTATATGGAAAGTACCGGTACTGTCTGTTCCATGGCATGCATCGACGCAGTCCTATTCGGGAGCCGTGGTTGTTGCTTTATGTCAGAATTGCGCTTATATGTAGCCGTTACATGTTTAAAGGCACTCGTTGGTGTTGGGTCGCCAAAGCGGTCGGCAATGTCCTAACTACCTGTCGCCGCTTGATGCCATCTTACCTCATCGTGTCTTCCACTGCCCTCCGCATTCAACACATACCGCAAAACATGGCAACCAAGCTAAACGTATATGGACCTTAACTGCAGGCGACGTCATGCTCAAGTTCGATGTGACACCTGAAGTCGCTACGCTGGGCGTTAGCATGTTCGTCCTGGGTTTCGCCCTAGGCCCGCTCCTGTGGGCACCCCTCTCCGAGCTGTTTGGTCGCCGCCCGCTCCTCATCTACACCTACTTCGGCCTAACTGCGTTCAACATCGGATGCGCCGTCGCCCCGAACATGCCCGCGCTGATCGTCCTGCGCTTCTTCGCTGGCGCGTTCGGTTCTTCCCCACTCACCAACGCCGGCGCCATCATTGCCGACATGTTTGACGCTAAGACCCGCGGCCTTGCGTTGTGCCTCTTCGCCTCAGCACCCTTCATGGGTCCTGTCATCGGACCTATTGTCGGTGGCTTTACCGGGCAGAGCGTCGGCTGGCGATGGGTCATGTGGGTCATGGTATTTTTCACAGTCGTCATCCTGATCATCTGCACTCTCTTCACGCCAGAGACCTACGCACCGGTGCTGCTGCGCAAGCGTGCCGAGGCGCTCGCCGCACAAACAGGCAAGGTGTACCGCAGCAAGTACGACAGCAAGGCGGTTTCGTTGACCCAGATGCTCAAGACCGGCCTCACGCGCCCCTGGATCCTGCTTATCTTCGAGCCCATCGTGCTCATCCTCTCAATCTACATGGCCATCATCTACGGTGTCCTCTACATGTTCTTCGCTGCTTTCCCCATCGTGTTCCATTATGCCCGCGGTTGGAGCCCCGGGATCAGCGGGCTGGCCTTTATCGGCATCGCGGTCGGCATCATCCTGGCCCTCGTCTACATCCTGCTGGATAACGCGCGCTACGTGCGAGCAGCCCATGCGGCCGGAGGGCATGCTCCTGCTGAGGCCCGTCTGCCGCCTGCCATCGTCGGCGGAGTTGCGATCGTCCTGGGGCTGTTCTGGTTCGCCTTCACCAATTCGCCATCCAAGCACTGGCTCATTTGCATCGCGGCTACAGTTCCCTTCGGCTTCGGCATGATTAATGTGTTCCTGCCTTGCTTCAACTACCTGGTAGACAGCTACCTCATCTACGCAGCCAGCGTACTTGCAGCCAATTCCGTCTTGCGATCCCTCTTCGGCACGGTCTTCCCGCTCTTCACTACAAAGATGTACCGGAATCTTGGCATCCACTGGGCCTCCGCCGTACCGGCCTTCCTCGCCTTGGCCTGCCTGCCATTCCCGGTCCTGTTTTGGAAGTACGGCGCTGTGGTACGGAGCCGCTGCAAGTACAGCGCCGAAGCATCGCGCATTATGCAGCAGCACATGGCAGTGTCGGTGGTAGCAAAGTCTGCTGGGGGTGAGGAAGCGAAGGGGCAAGCGAATGCCGCGTCAGCGGAAGACAAGGTATAGCGCGATGTGGTAGAATTGTTCACTGGGCGTTTGTGAGGGGTGTGGGGAGCGTCATGGCCGGCTGGCATGGCGCTGGATGGGTGTGTTGGTGGGTACAAGAAGCAAAGTTGTGGGTAAGCCGGGCCCTTAGTGGGTAAGCCGTTGTTAGCGGTATGACAGCTGTGTGGGGTAGGGTCGGCAGGGTCGGCAGCTGTCTGAAGTAGCACTGCTGCGATAATAAAACGTTCGTAACAATGACAGGAAGGGTCATGTATGCGCGCTATGTATGCATGGTTTAGGCTACAAAGTAAGAGCAGCTTTTGGCAAGTGGGAACAGGGGTGTAATTCATTCGTACAGTGGCATGGGGTTGTTTGTTTGTGGGACGCTTAAGTAAGGGTACCTTGCTGGTATGCTGGTGTTATGGGTGTAACCATAGCGCCCTAGCTCTTGACGCACGTAGCCAATGCTACCGGATAGCCTCTTGGTGCATGACTTGATCAACTTGTTGAACGTTTCAACCAATGAACGAATTGTCTTGGCGCATAAGGTGACGAATGAGCTGGAGGCATTTTGCATGCATGATATAAGGAATGTATTTGGGAAGTAAGTTGGAACTGACTTTGTGCCTCTCTTGATTGAAGCTGACGTGTCATGGGCGCGCGGCAAGCTTTCAGTGTTGGTGTGAAGACCCATGGGTCATATACCAGGACTTACGTGCCCCTCCTCGATTGGAGGACGAAAGCGGATATGTGCGTCAGCACGGGTACCAGTGGTTCCTGCTGAGTCCAAACAACTCTGGTATGTAACAATGTAAGGTGCCCTATGAGGGGGTATGGCTGTCAGCCCTACGTGCACAACCATGTATGCATGCAGACACGGCCCCCATACATAAACCACCGCATAAACCACCGGAACCCTACGGCTGCAGTGCACGCAAGTTCATGTAGAACGCAAAGGCCGCGTCCTAGTGGTATCCCCACGCCTACACTGCTTCAGGCACCGTCGCTAAGGATAAGCAAAGACAGCCCACCAGGTCAAGCCTCAAAGGGAGGGAAGTTCAGAAAACGTGAGAGCTTGTCTAGGGCTAATAACATGGTTGGCGTGACGTGACGAGAAAGCAGGGCTGGCTTTCATCCTATCAAGGAACGAGCAAAGTTAGTTACCTTTGAATGCAGAAAAAGGTAATATGACCCTTGGGATGTGGTAGGGCAACTCCACGTTCCACGGGTCAAGGTGAGGAATCCTCAGAACAGTTGTAGTGGCATGGGGCCTAGGGCACAACCCTTAGGCGGCACACATATTATCCTGCAAATCCCTTCCACAAGCTCACCCACTCAGCACCCAGAGCTAGTACCCATTACAGGCTGTGTGAATCCGCCCCGTGCACTCCGCGCCATTCTACTATCCGGCATAACCATCGGGTCTGCCTCGTGCCAACAGTTTAGCCCACAAGCATATCCTTATGTAAGCGACAGGCCACGAGTATGGGTGCACATGCACATCTCGGTTCACAAGAGCAATGCGCGCCGAGAACGCAAACGCGCGTCCCGCCCCACGCCTCTCTGCAGCATATAGGAAACCTTCGCCGCACCCGCGCCACACCTCCATATCCTAGAGAAAATAAATTCCACTCAAGGATCCCATATTGCAGCCACCAATCTGCGTTCTTGCCTCATACCGATTACCTAACAAACCGCCATTACGGTAGGCTCGCAGCAAATAGCAAACAGCACACAAATATGCAAGGGTGATGCGCTAAGGTAACAGGATGCGTGCAGGTTTTTGCGTGTGCTTCAAACCGCCCGTGGCTTTCCACTCCTTGTGCACCGGTGCAGCAAACGCGCATGCACCCGAGTGACGTCCCCATGCCCTCCCGGTCCCCAAACACTGGGTCCTAAGTTCCAGCTTCCCTAGCACACCTACGCCTATCTCGACTTCCCTGCTACATTCGCACGAATCAAACTATCTGCGCCTTCCTTCTCATCTTTTACATCTCATCCCAGAGCCAGCCCTCACCCACCCCACCCTACACACCCATCTCTCCTACCCCCCTCCCGTTACAAGCATTACATGGGCTTGGGGCTCCGCCCCCCGCCCCGCATCAGCGACAGCTCCTTGGCCACCAGCTTTACCAGCAGGGCCCCCGCCGCCAGCGCGCTGCAGTACAGCATGGCAAACACCATGTCGAAGCCGCCGCGGTCCGAGATGAAGCCCGTCAGCATAGGGCCCAGTGCGGCGCCCAGGGAGCCCATGCCGTCAATGATGGCGGACACGGTGGCGAGCGCCTTGGAGTTACCCTGGAGGATGGGGCCGGGGGAGGCAGACAGGCGCATGCAGAGCGAGGAGGAGGGTCAGGGAAGGGAGAAGGATAAGCAAACGAAGATGAAAGGCGTAGGGGAAGGTGCATGAAAGGTGGAAGAAGACCGCAAAGGTAATACGCAAGGGCGTACTCCTGACTGCCTACCCCAAGCACGGTAGCCCACCACCACAGCACGAGTGCTGCACACTGCTACCCCATGTGACACCCATATTACGCCCCCTTCCTCTCACCCCGTTCCTCCCTCTCCCTCCTTCCTCACCTGCAGCGAGTCGTGTGTCCCCAGGTCGGCGCTCACGGCGGTGGTGATGAGCGCGTACGGCCCGTTCACAAAGAAGCCCGAGGCCATCATCAGCGCCACGTTGAGCGCAAAGGAGGTGTGGCCGGCGGTGCGGTAGAGGTAGAGGCAGGGCACCGACAGCAGCGTGAAGAGGGTGGCAACGGAGGCGGAGGCGCCCGACTTGTCGGACAAGTGGCCCGCAAGCACACCTGGGGAGGAAGGAAAGGAGCGAGGGGGAGGGAGGAAGGGTGGTTAGCAGAGGGCAGGGGAGAGAGAAAGGCGGCCGGAGAGTTGAGGAAGAAGCCCTGGGAGCTTAACCGCCCATGTCAGGCTAACCCGCGTCCCTAGCGCATGCAGGGTGCGAAAGAGCTCGCTCCCTGTCCCCCTCTCCGCCTCACCTCCCGCCACACCGCCCACATCAAACAGCACCGACAGGTCGCCCGCCTCCTTGGCGCTCAGCTTGCGCCCCTCGATGGGGGTGGACTTGATGTAGTACGGCAGCCAGTAGAGGAAGGTGTAGGCGATGAGCTTGGAGAAGAAGAGGCACAGCGCAAAGGCGGTCACGCCGGGGATGCGCCAGGCGTCCATGAAGTGGATGCTCTCCACCTCCTGGAGGGGCGGGTGGCGGGGGCGCGGGGCGCGGGGCCATGCAACGTATGAACACCAGGAGACTGGAGTGGGACGGTCCCAGGGGAAACATGAGCAGGGAGAGTTTCCCTTTCCTCGAGCAGAGTACCTACACCCCATCCTCCCCTTGCTGTCCCCTTCCCTACACCCTGCCCAGCCCTACCTTCTCCCTGCTGCTGCCCTCCTTGCCGCCCCCCAGGTCCCGCTCCTTGCTGGACAGCGGCATCAGCTCCTCGCCGTCATAGTCCAGCGAGGCGGTGGAGGCGTGCCGGCTGCAGCCGCCGCCGGGGCCGTGGGAGCAGCCGCCGGAGCCGCGGGAGGAGCTGCCGTGCTCATCTGGGTTGGCGTGGCCCACGTCGGATGGGTGTACGACCAGGAAGAGGAAGATGAGGGCGGCCAGGCCCACCATGAGGAAGCCGGGGAGCAGGAAGGAGTAGCCCCAGCCCTGAGGGCAGGCGGGTTGGTGGGGAAATGAGGGGGTGGGGGGAAGGGTATAGCGTACGGGAGGCGAGGAGATGACCCGTGGGATGACGACGAGACTTCGCTGGTTTACAATAAATAACCGTTTTTAAAGAAAGTAGGAGGGGCACGGAGCAGCCCCAACCTTTGCCCATACAGCATCGGTAACGCCCCACCTCCCCAAACCCTTCAACAAAGACCCCACTCCACCAAACCCCATCCTCCCCACAACCCCCAACCTTCCCACAACCCCAGCCTTCCCAACACCCCCCCTCTCCCCCTCCCACCCACCCTGGACAGCATTGCCGCCGCCACCACGGTTCCCAGGATGTTTCCCACGCTGGTGTGCGCGTTCCAGATGCCCATGATGAGTCCGCGCTTGCCCTTGCCGCTCCAGTTGGCCACGATGGACACCACGCTGGGCCAGCCGGTGGACTGGAACAGCCCCGCAAGCACGCTGACGAACACGTAGTAGGAGAACACGTGCACGTCCCAAAAGTAGGCCTGTGGGAAGGGGGTGTGGGGGGTGGTAGGGGTGGTGGTGGGGAGGATAGGAGGAGTGAGGAGGGTACAGGTTGCGGGTGAAGAGGGAAGAGGAGGGAGGGTGGCGTGCAGTTACAGTGCAGAGGGAAGAGACGAGGTGAGGCGGTGGAAGAGGATACATGAGAGGTTCGACATGGATAGAAAGGCAGTTGGAGTAGTAGGTACCGGGCAAAGGATGGGGTGTGGACGGGAACCTCTTCCGAATTCCGCCCACCGACCCACCATGCCGAACAACGAGGTGAAGACGCCGCTCAGGACCATGCCTGGAGGGGTTGGCAGGGGTGGGGATGAGAAGGAGGCACGACGAATGAGCCCAGAGCTCAGCGTTCAAATCAAGACCTGGACATAGCATCCGTTCAGGGGCCACCCAAATGGCATGGGCACTTATGAAGCTGTACAGCGTTGACCCAAATGCTTCAGCAACCACAAGCACACACCCAGATAGCCGTCTCAACCTCCCGTCCTCCTCAACCGCGCTTGGTACTGGCCTCGGGGCTGGATGGGTTGCCCTGGAATTGCGATAGCGACTCCTCCGGAGCGGCCCCACCGCGCTGCACCCCGCCTACCTGCCGTGAGGAACCAGCGCAGGTCCACCCGGTCCCCCAGGTGACCCGCGAAGAACATTCCGATGGCGTAGGTGCCCAGGAACGCCAGGTCCACCTGACCCAGCAGCGTCTGGGGTGAGGGGGAGATGAGGGAGAATTGGTGGAGGGTGAGAGGAGGGTGGGTGGAGGGGGAGGGTGAGACGTAGTGGGGCAGTGCTGAGGAGGGGGTGGGCAATGTGGTTGCAAAAGAGTAGTGGTTGGGTGTGGGAGAGATGAAGTATTGGTGTTGGGAGGACGGGGATAACTGGTTGAGGAGCTGGGCGCTATGATGGAAAGGCGGCTGGGGGATATAGAGGTGGGTGGAGAGGTGAATGGGAGGAGAGGAGGTGGGGTGTAGCTGATTTTTGCGGGAGGAAGTTCTGCAGCCGTGTCCCTTTGGATGCAGCTTTCGTACCTGTCCATTGCCGGCGTTAAACGGCGACCAGCCATTAAGCGTTGTTGGATCTGTTGCTGTCACGGCTAGCCCACCGTCAGCAAGGAGCATACGCCCTTTGCCCGGGGTTAGCGGAGTGCCTCGAAGCACGCTGTGCACGTGACCAGTGTTGTCAAAACGGGGATTACACAGATCAGTGATCAGGTACTTCGCATAGGAGTATTAGGATAAAACGTGTTATAAGTAGTCGATATGCTTGAAATGGAACAAAGCAATGCTCAGTCGGACTGCTCGCAACCAAGGCAACAGCGGTGGTACTTCAGAAACCTCCTATATTCGTTTTACCAATTTGCTAAGCTAGTTGCAAGCCGCAGAACAAAAATGTTATGCAGTGACACCCTACCTTTTTACAATGCTCGGCGGCTTCCTAGCAGCGTGATAGCCCATGTAACAAAGGAAGGTGAGCAGAAGTACCTGTCAAGCAAGTCGAACGGTTACCCATGTAGCGTGCGTGTTGCGCCAACGATGAACTGGCTGTTGCTGATTGGTATTGCCTCCTCACCGAGCCCCTGTAGAAGTTGTATGAAAATTTCCTGCCGCCATTACAAGCACTTAAAAACTCAATACCAGGAGGCGCGTTCTTGAATTGCTTTATCTTCATTGTGCTACAAGGTATCGACAGTAAAGGCTTCTACTGACAGGAGCACCGTTGAAGCCCAGGTGGGCCTGTTGTATATCAGCTCTGTAGCTCGTCTCAGCAGTGCGCTGACATCCAGTCTAACAGTTTCTGGCGAAGTATGAAGGGGCAAGTGGCTTTATCTTCGTTAAATCATAAATTGTTCACGTGTAAGAGTACCATGTGGCGGTGAAGAAAACTATCTATATGAATCCGCTTGATCTACAGTGCATTCGAGGATTGGAGTGTGTTGCCGTGTTCCAAAACGGTTATCGGCTTGACTTCATTGCCGAAACACCATGATCCCTCAAACCACAAACCACGCTTTGTTCGCTAGAGACAGATACACTTCAATGCATTCGTTTGCGTATAGAGCACTTCGCAACATAAACGGCGTCCACCCGACCCATTTCTCCCGGCGTTCGACTTGCAAGGCTGCTACGCATGCTGTAAAAGAACGAGGTTTAGAAGCAAGCCTATCGTGGGTGGACGCAGCCCATAGAAAAGATGTAGCCCGAGTTCTGGAGCTAGCCGACCGTGCTGCGGATAGATGGGATATTTTGTGGACAGGCTTCCTCCCACCCCCGGTAGTAGCGGACTCCATGGCAGCGTTAGCCGACCGCACGGACGTCATATGTGTGCCTTGGGGCGGCTATGCCCAGGCCGAGCGTTGCAGGTGCGTGCAGAAGTAGGCTGCAATGGGTAACGTAACCCATACCGTTTTCCTCCCGCTTGCCTCCCACCTCCCAAGGCTGGCGCTGGGCCGAGAGGAGCTCATGGAGCCCCTCAAGGCCGACCCGCAGCAGCTGGGCGGGGTGGCAGCGCTGCAGGTAGTGTACGAAAGAGTGTCGTACATGGACAATATACGGCATGGGGCTGTTGCAATGAGGGTCCAGTGGCAATCCTGAAGTGCGGGGCTCGGGGTCAGGTCGGAGGTCGCAGTGGGCGGAACGGGTGCGGATATCGAGTGTGGGAGAACCTGGTCGTGCCCGCGGCACAGTCGAACCGACACAAATCGACCCACTTCACCCTCCCACCCCCGCCCCCTCTCTCCCTCCCCCATGCAGATCAAGGGTAACTTCATGTTCGATCCGGCCAAGCACCCGGACTTCCTGGGGGCGCTGCTGGGCACGGGTGAGGGCGGGGGGGTAGTATACCCGATGGGTGAAATGATATGGGCAAACAAGAAGACAAGCACCCGGGGGAGCTCAAGGCATGCTGTGTGGTACCGCGGCTCATCAGTCGATTGACCCACCCTCCCATGCCGTACATGCCTCCCATCCACGCCTCCTGAGCTCGCAGCTCGGCTCCATAGCCTCTCCACGACTCCGCCTCCATGTCTCCGCATCCCTGCCTCCATTCCCTCCTCTACCCCCTCCTCTCCTCAGGCATTGTCCGCGAGCGGGTGGGTGACGTGCTGGTGCAGGGCGAGGTGGGCGCGCAGGCGCTGGTGGACCCCGAGCTGCTGGAGCACCTGGAAGGGGCGCTGGGGCAGGTGAGGGGAGGGAGGAGGTGGGGAGGGAGAGAGGCAGGGGATGAGGGGCTGGGAATGGGTTGGGCGGAGGGGGTGTCGGTAATAGCGCGGCCGCATGGGTTAAGAAAACTGGCCGCGGGGGTGTGAGGAGCGCCTCATACCAACGGTGCCTTGGAATGGACTAGGATCGGGAGCCGAGGAAGGCGGAGCGCATAATGCATGCTGCTAATGCGGCCTTCCCGTCAGCACCGGGGGTCAGCCGTCGCTACCGTTGATGACGATGATGACATCGCCGTTGCCGCACCTGCCCCTGTCCCTGCTGTGGCTGTCCCTGTACCTAGGATAGTGTCTCCGTATGCGCTCACTGCATGAGCCGGAATGCGGGACTGGGACACCAGTTGCTTCACTTCTCATCTATTTCCCCGCAGGTCCGCACGGTTCCCGTGGAGGCTCGCCGCATACCGCTGTCGGAGCTCAGTGTGCGGCCCCCGCGGCAGGAGGAGCTGAGCAGCGTGGAGGCGTCGCTGCGGCTGGATGCGGTGGCGAGTGCGGGTGAGGACATTTGGAGAGGGGGAAAGGGGGTAGGGCAGGGATGTAGGACAGAGGGCTGGGCGGAAGGAGGAAATGCTGATTTCGCCAACCCAGCTTTCTGGGTATCCACCAGTTTGGCGTGCCGTATATGCCTGCGGTCGGTGCCGAGAGAAGGGCGCGGTGCTTGCGTGCCATGTGCCTTTACGGTGACGGTGACAGTGGCGTGGCCGGATTTGCTGCTGAGCTCCTATGTCACGTCATCACAGGAGGGGATGTGTTGCCATCATGCCATGCACCCGCTGCTGTGTCGCCTGCCGCAGGTTTCCGCATGTCTCGTTCCAAGATGGGCGAGCTGATCAAGGGGGGCGATGTACGGCTGAACTGGCGTACGGCAGGAAAGCCCTCCCTGGAGGTGAAGCCGGGGGACGTGATCAGCTGCGCGGGCAAGGGGCGGGTGGAGGTGCGGGCGGTGGACATGACCAAGAAGGAGAAGTACCTGGTGACCCTCATGCGGTACGTGTGAGTGCGGTATGTGTAGGTAGCAACGGTCATTCCCTCATTCAGGTAGTGGAGGGGAGGAGGAGGAGAGTGGTGAAAGGCGAGGATTGATATGTGTGATTAAGCACCGTAGTGTGATAGGTCTGAACACCGCTTGCAGGTTTGGTGGGCACATGAGAGGGAACAATACTTGTTGTGCATGGACGGCGGCGGCAGTAGGCCGTTGTGTGGTTGGCTGCGCTGCCATAGCGGCGAAGTCGAGTGGAGTTGTGTGAGCATGAGTTGTTACGTCAGTGTAAGGTGTACAGTGGCTTGACGAGCGTGGCTTTGGAGGCGGCTATGTCGCGTGAGCATGGGTTTACAGCTTCATAGCGGGCGCCACAGAGAGAGTGTGTACAGTGTACTCTATGACTTCTGTGCGATAGTCAAGAAAGAGGCCCAATGAGGCCAAGTGCTAACAGCAATGCAACATGCCAGTTATCATGTTACTGGCTTACGGTGCCATGCTTATGTTGTTTGGGGGCGGGCTTACCAGGCATTGCAGCTGCGGTAATGCAGCTGACAACGCTTGGCAGCAGACGGTCAATGGAAACTATGTCAATGGAAACTTGTTGGATTCGACAACAAGGCTGCCATGGCTACATTTGCACCCGTTGACATCTTACACCGAAGGGCTGTAGTTTACGCCGTTGCCTGCGTTACCGCCACGTTTACCGGCCAAGGGCAAGCACCCTATCGACATCAGACACCTTCTCCTACAACCCTAGGCGCTTGCGGCCCATGGGTCGTTCACAGGTTACATCACAGCAGCCCCGACGCACATCATGCGTGCGTGTATCATGGTTAAAAGGCCTACATGCAAGGCCAAAACCGAACGTGATCACTACACTTGCTGGTGCGCACTGCCGCCGCGTGGGCAATGTGTCCACAAACAGGCGGTTCACCCAGGGCCTTCTCACACACTTTCACATATCATAAACACGCTCGGTTAGCCGACGCAATTACTGCCATCGTTTCTGCCTATACTAACCCATTCTGATCCATACACAGGTTAGCTAAATTGCAGTCTCGGTACGACCTATAACTGATTACCGGTACGAATGTTGCACGATTAGTGTACTCCGGGCGGGGAAGGAGTTCCGTTAGTCATGCATGCGCGGACGCGCGCAATCCGCCTATACATACACAGGACGTCGCTGGACCGTCCCCGTTCCATATGTCAGTATGGGGAATGTCGGCTGCCGTGAATGTGGCTGCATCTGGCCCGCGTCATAATAAAACACCTTACACAGATCTACACTGTTACCAAACGCCATCAAAACGTAAGCGCGCACTGTCATCTCTGACCTCCCAATCATACTGATACACTGAGATGGGTCCCTAGGCAGGCCCATGTAACTCACGGTTAGCTGTCTACTACAGCACTATACTCCGCTATACACGCTAGAGCACCTACAGCCAGTCCTTTCTGTACAATACCGGTATTCCCCAGCCTATGTTGCGCGTTATCCTTCCCTACATAATGAAACACCCATGCTGCGTTTCACCGGGCTGACCTGCTACCAGCCTCGCGGGGGCGAGAAGAAAGCCACAGGAGCCGCAGCGGAACGGCCAGTCGCAGCCCTCTCGCCCGCACCTGCACCTACACCCTCGCCGCCGCACATGGTGCCCTCGGCGCCCTCCGTGTTGCTTCCCTCGCCGCCGCCGGGCCTCAGCGGAGAGCTAGGCATGGAGCTGCAGCCGCGCTGGGGCTGCTGCTCCTCATGAGCCGCCTGCGATCGCGGCCGCAGCGCAGGCAACACGAACACCGCCCCTGCTGCAGTGCTGCTGCTGTCGCCGCCGCCAGAGCCGCGCTCAGCTCCAGTGCTGCCAAAGGCGTCACGGACAAGGAATGTTGGCGCGGCTTCCAACGGCGGCGGCGGCGGTGGCTGCGACGAAGGCGACGCAGCTTCTTGCATCGGCGAGGGGGGCGCTCCCGCAACCACGGAATCAGGGCTATCAGGCAGTAGGAGCCGGGGCTGCTGCCGAGGCGCCGCCACGGCCGCAGGCGTCTGGCCAACGCCGCCGCCTCCTGCAAGACCCGCGGCCACAGCCGCCGCGGCGCGTGCCACGCCGGGTGCGCTGCCGTACGGCACCGGCGGCCCGTTGTACGGCACATCGGTTCCGGAGCGATAGAATCCGCCGTTGCTGCTGAAGTCAGGGGAGGCACGCGGCCGGGTGGACTGCTGGGACGGCGACTGGGGAGGCGGCGAGATGTCGGTAGGGCTGCTGAGGGATGGGGCTGCGCGCGTAGCGGCGGCGGCGGTCTCGACATGGAGGTCCTCTGGCTGCGGGGTCTGGCTGCCGTACAGGGGGTTACGGCCCACCGCTGGTGACGACCTGCAGGGGTGCGGAGGGCAGGGTTGGAAGCCGTTCAGTATTAATCCAATAAAAAGCCGTGCAATCATGCATGGTTTACATGCGCCGGCTGCATTAGCTGGAAAGCTATCACACAATCCCTGGCAAGGTTTCCCGGTTGCTGCGTTCACCAGAATACCATCTGCCTCACCGTGGAGACATTCTGGGCGAGCCTCCTCCCCCTGCACTCGCAGCAGCACCAGCGGCGGCAGCCGTGCCGGTGCCCAGGGCGTCGCCTGCTAGCAGCAGCGCCTGGTAGATGTCTGCGGCGGCAGCGGTGTCCTCATCCGCTGGGGCTTTGCCTGAGACCTCGTATTGACGGCGCCGAGGTGAGGGCTGCTGCTGCTGTGCTGCGTGATTGTCGCTGAAGCGGCGAGGAAGGATGGAGTCCACAAGCCTGCGAGAGAGCAGTACGCGGCTAAGCAAATGTCAGCAGGAACCTATCTTCACCTGACAGTTATGGCCGTCAAACAAGCCATTTCACTTCTCAGCCCCATAACTTCACGTACAGCTTGGAACCTGCTTTACGGCAAATCGAAAATCCATATCGCCATGACAAACCCTTTGCTGCCCACGAGATTAAAGTCTTGAAACTCTTCGCTGGGTTGCTTTATGCCACCCAAGGCGCAAGTATAACCCATAATTTCGGCAACCAACCTTGAAATACCGCCGCCGCCTCGAGGTGAGGCAACCGCACCCGCAGCCTCAGCCACGCCGCCATGCATGCCACCAGCACTAAAGCCGGGAGATGGCGGCGGGGAGGGCAACGTGTCGGCCACAGGACGCGGAGAGGCCTGAGGGCTGGTAGTCGGGTGACTGCGAGGCGAGAATCCCTTGGGAGAGTGTGCGGCCCTGCGCGGCGACAAGATGTGACCCATGGGTCCCAGGCTGGAAAGCGCGCCCTCGGAGCGCAGGTGCGAGGTGGCGGGGGCGTCGAAGGTGAGGCTGCCTGAGTGGCCGGCGTCGAAGTCGGCTTTAAGAGTGCTCTCGGGAGCCGCCTGGGATTGCGGAGGAGGCGAGGGGATCCGGGTGTTTAGCATGCTGGAGAAGGGGGGCAAGAAGGCACAAGGGCATGTTCTACAATGGGCGATCTATCAATCCTCGCATGCCTTGTGCAGCACTAGTACGGACCCGGTAACTGTTGCCTCAGGCCCGTACCACCCGCCCAAGGCGTAGTCCACCCTCCTCCCTGCCGTACACCCTCCACACTCCTCGCATTGCTCAACTGATAGTTCCACACGCACCCTGGGCGAAGCAGCTGCCGCGTTGCGGCCGCCGCCGGCAGGCCCGCTGTCCGCCGCCCTCCGCGCCAGCAGCATGGGGCCGCCCAGTGCTGGGTTGCTGCAGCGGCTGCTCTTGCTGCTGTTGCTGCGGGACAGCGAGGCGCGCTGCCGCTGGCGCTGTACGGCGGACACGGCGGCGGCCACCAGCGCCACCAGCAGGAGCGTGCCGGCGGAGCTGGCGCCTGGGGATTGGGGGGAATGGGGGAACAGAAGAACAGGGTACTTTTAGTGAGTGCTACCAGCGGCGAAGGTGAGAGTTCCACTTTCACCAGGGCTTTGTTTGCAGGCTCTACGGTATAGCGTGAAACAGTACAGCAAGCGCACTGTAGCTTTGACAAGTGAAGAATGGTGAAATGCACACCAGAATGGGACGGCTCACTGGCAGCAAGTTGGGGTCATGCCCGGCGTCTTTCTGCGCCTGGAGCTAGCCATCTGGCGTGAGTCAAGGACATACCTGCTGCAGCCCAAAGCTGTGCGCTGGCGGCTGCGACACCGACCCCTGGGTCGGGGCAGGTGGCGCCTAACTGAGTGGAGTCAGCCTCCAGGCGTACCAACGAGGCCGAGTCGGTGGTTGGTGAAGCGGAGCCCGACGAGGAGTTGCTTGAGGCAGCCGGTGAGGGGCTGGAAGGGGGGGAAGAGGAGGTGTTGCTGGCGGGAGCGCTGTCAGAGCCGCTGCTGACCTCGGTGAAGCTCAGGGGCACTTGGCCGCAGAGGCCGGCGTTGGAGGAGAGGCCGAGGTACCTGGAGGGTGCAGCGTTAAGGTGGGAGGTTGCGAATGGCTACGACCCAGCGGTACATGGGGGTTTATGGGATCTGGGTTTTGACCCCTATAAGCTGTAACGCATGCACATATGAAAAGCATCGAATGATATAGACACGGCGAGACGGCTACCCGATATGTTACTCAATCTATTCCTCAGGCTCCTCCTTGAGAGCACCCACGCACCTCAGGCTGGTCATGCCCTGCCCCCAGCCGGCCGGCACAGCCCCCGTCAGCAGGTTGCTCTTAACACTCAGCTCCCGCAGCGCCCCCAGCCGGCTCCACTGCGGCGGCAGGGAGCCGCTGAGGCTGTTGGAGTCGGCTGTCAGACTGCGCAGCGCCGCCAGGCCCGAGGGGATGACGGCATTGTTGTTGTTGTTGTTGTTGAAGCCGGCCCAGGATGCGGGAAGCGTGCCGTTAAGACCGTTGCCGTCGAGGTGGCTGCGGGCAGGTGGTGGAAAGGGGAATGGTGGTGGAAAGGGGAATGGTGGTGGAAAGGAGAATGCGAAGCCTGTCAGTACGTTGATGGCGCAGATAAGCTCGAAGCAGGCAGACAGATGTGTTCAATGCCAGGGCATCCGTACAAAGGGACGACGCATGGCATTATGGGAAGCATGTCCAATCACCGGTAACCTGCTAAGCATCTTGTCATACCGGTAGTAAAGGCGACCCCAAAACATGACGAACTAGCACACCACTCCCCCAACGTACATTTCCGTGACGCTCCACATGCCGTCGCTCCAGGCTCCGGGCATCGGGCCCTTCAGCTGGTTGTACGACAGATCCAGGTACGACAGGCTGTGCAGCGCGCTCCAGCTGTCGGGTAGGCTGCCAACGATGTTGTTGTGTGGCAGGGACAGGCGAGTCAGGCCTGTGAGTGCAGACCAGCTGTCAGGCAGAGTGCCTGCGAACCAGCAATGGAAGGCGATGGTGGAGGTTATGGGTGCACCGGTGCACTACATTTTGCAGGCGGACTATGAGAGCGGCGAACAATTGTCCTAGTAACTCTGAAAGCAGCTCTAACCTGGTAATCCCACTGCATACCCCTCCCTAAACTCTCCTGGGATTGCCAACATCCAGGCACTTCAGATAGTCCCCTCGCTCCTTCCCTAAAAACCCACCTCCCAAGTTGTTCCCATCCAGCTCCAGCCACCTCAACGCGCCGCCCAACAACGCCAGCTGCGGAGGCAGTGACCCGCCTAAACCCAGCCCTCCCAGCTGCAACCCAACCATCACTGAACTGCTGCCGCCAACAGTGCTACTGCCAGTGCCGCCGTTGCTGCCGGCTGGCTCGCAAATGACGCCAGCCCAACCAGCCGATGCGCTGCATGGGTCGGTGCCGTCCACCCAGGAGGCCAGAGCGTCCCGTGGGTCGGTCAGAGAGCGACGGAAGCTGCTCAGCAGGTTCGCTGTGGGTGTTGGAGACGTGGGTGGGACGCACGGGCAGGCGTACATTCAAGATTCGTCCCCCAAGGAGAAACAGGAGGAGCATGACAAATCTGTACTTCAGCTGCATTGAGCCCCGGTGCATGAAAGTTGATTTCAAGGTCCCCGTCGCTCGCATAACTGCACACCTATTCCCTCACCTGCTCGACATACTCGTTTCCTCAGCTGCCCTCAACTTCCATCAGCCCCACCCACCCACCTGTCCCAGCCCAGGGGCACTGCCGCAGCAGCTGCGTGCCGTTGATGGCGGCCGCCAGAGCCGCGCCCTCACTCGCGCCCGCACCCGCAACCCCGCTGGCCGTACCGCCTCCGGACGGCAGCAGCGCCACTGCCCCGCCGAGCAGCAGCGGCGGCAGCGGCCCACACAGCGGCGCGTTGCCCGCCAGCTGCAGGGTGGCCAGGTTGTGGAGCGCACCCCACTGGGTGGGCACGGTGCCGGATAGGGCGTTGGAATGGAGGCTCCTAAGGGAGGATGGGAAGCGGGAGGGGGGATCAACGGCCTAAGTTTAGCTAGGTAAGGGGAAGCGACAGGGTGCGGGGTCACTCACACTTGTTGTAGCGATGTGAGCTGGGACCAGGCGGGCGGCAGGATGCCCTGCAGCGAGTTGCCGCTCACGTCGAGATGCCGCAGCAGCGACAGACCGTCACCGCCACTGCTGCTGCCGGCAGTGAAGCTGCTGGCGGAAAATCCGCTGCTGCCCGTATTGCTGCTGGTGCTGGTGCTGCTGGTGCTGCCAGACCACTGGGCGGGAAGGGTTCCCGTCAGGCGGTTGGCTGAGACGTCCCTGTCAGGAGGAGGTGGCGAGGGAGGAGGCGTTAGTGGACCTACGCTACGCCATCTGGGTCGGCTTGGGTACACACGTGACCCTATATGTTCGCTGTCTGCTCTTCACCCCGAACCCAAATACCCTCCCAACACTCCTAAATTTTCTACAGCCTAACCGCCAATCTAACTCCAAAAGCCACCATTCCAACTCGGCCACCTCAGAAAGTCTTCAAAACGCCTGACCCAAATCAAATTTCACTCCTTAGCCACCCCGACCTCCTTCCCCCTCCTTCCCTAACCGACTTACAACTGCACCAGCCTCTTCAGCGCCGACCACTCGGCCGGCAGGCTGCCCGCCAGCGAGGTGTTGCGGAGGGTCAGGGTGCGCAGGAAGCCCATGCGGCCCCAGGAGGCAGGCAGGCCCGGGGAACCTGGTGGGCATAGGGGTAAGGATTGGGGGTAAGAGTCGGAGTACGGTTACTTAGGTACGAGTAAGGTTACTGGTATGACGAGAAAGAGCTCAAGGTGGATGCAAGATCGTCGTGTGCCGCAGGGGTTAACAGGGAAAGGAGGAGGGGTGGAAGTGGGGAAACAACCCTCAAAGGCCAGCAGGCATTGCTTTCATGGAGTGTTGGGATGTGGGTCGGGCCCAACTTGGCCTATCTTAGCCAGGAGAGCATTGCTGTCAACCACGGGATCCTGAGCCCACGTGACCCAAATGAGGATTGGTGCAGAAGCAGGCCGCTGCAACCGGTGCTAGAGCACTGCCATGCAAGCTGCAGGTAGCCCTGCCTGGCTTTCCCAACCTACTATCAGTACCAAACGCAAACACCGCATGCGCGCCCGTGCGCACCTGCTCCCAGCTGCGGGTTGTGGCTGAGGTCGAGGAGCTGCAGCGAGGTCAGGCCGCCGCCCCAGGACGCAGGGAGGCCGCCGCCTGGATGCATGGAGAGGGAGGAGGGTGGGGAGGAGGTTGATAAGATGACAGACATAAGCTGGTTCCTGAAGTAGTGGGGTATCATGGCGGGTGCTTTTATGATGTAGGTCTTAATCTACAAAGCTCCGCACCTGTCAGGTTGTTGTTGCGCAGACGCAGCTCTCGGAGGCTGCCCAGCGCGGCCCACATGCTGGGCAGGGGGCCCATCAGGGAGTTGCTGTCCAGAGCCTGTGTACGACATCGGGGCGTGGAGATGTGAAGGGAAGGCAGGCGGTGGTCAGCCAGGTGGCTTGTGGGCTGCGCGTGGAAGTTACCCGAGCTGAAGCTGTACGGGTAAGTAGACGTGCGGATCAGCGCGCATATACGGCAGCTATGCGGTAACACTGTCGCAGCTGGTTTCGTTTGCAAGCACTTGCTCTCACCAGCACTTCCAGGTCCTGTAGCGAGCTCCATTCCGGAGGCAGCGTGCCGGCCAGGGAGTTGTTTGATAGAATGCTGCGTTGAGGAGGAATGTGAAACAACGTGGGCTTAGCATATGAACGTAAGGATGTCAAACAGGTTGGTGTGCTCCATGCGATCTGGGTCAGGCCCGGCAGAACAGGACAATCAGACACATTAGTAGGTAACCATAGGCAGGAGGTTGATGTACGTCGAGGACAGGGTTTCCGTGTCCCGACTTGACTTTGAGGAGGCGGACCGACGGCATATCCGTGGACAGGTTCCAACCTACATAGACTGCAAGTATGGTAGACTCGTAAATGAAGGCGTCAAAGCTCCCTGAAGTCCTTGGCTGCTGAGATCCAAGCCAACGACATTTCCGGCTGCGTCGCAGCTCACGCCCGGCCATGGCACCCGGTCGCATGGCGGCCTCGCCTCGCCCCAAGGGCCCAACGAACTTTCGGCGTCACCTTGAAGTTCACTCCTTATGCTTCGCAACACACCTGAATTTCAAGAGAAGCTTAGGCGCTAAGTCGGGGCCTTCTCCTACCATGCACGGTTGCATCTTAACGCGAAAGCGAGCATGTCGAACAAATGCCCCTAATCACCTTGAGTATAGGCTACGTCTACTGCAGACGTCTGCTTTATGAGCAGCGCTGAAAGGCTGAGCACTATGCACCAAAGCCATCTTTCGCGCATGTCGCCAGTCAGTCGGTCGGGAGTCGTAAGATCCCAAAGATCGCAAAGTTATTGGAGTCAACGGTGTGGGAAACGACTTCTCTTATGTTACAGTAGTTTGGCAAGGCCAAAAGACACTTAGCAATGTTGGCATCACCTGCGCGCCCTTCCGAACTTGGGGTTCCGGAGCGCCCTTCGGAAACCTCCGGGGATCCTACTCAGCGCCATGCTTATGACAGGAAATTCCCACTAGAAAACTGGCAAAGGAGACTTCCCACCACGCCAGAGCTGGGTCAAATCGCTGTAACCTGCTTGTCCTTACATGGACGGCATCGCCTAGCATACCGTGGACAACGTCCTGTGCACAGCTTACAAGCAATCGCTTGCAGCAAGAGCCACATGCAACACCAGCCACAAATGGCCTCCACCTCTGCTATTCGCCCTACTGCTTGTAAAAGCGCCGGACGGCCCTTGGCGCATCCTCTGGAATGGCGTTCTCCGCTTTCTTCTCTGCCGCCTCTTTCCGCCGGGCTGCCTGCAGGGGACAAAGGAGTAGAAATATAAATACTTAAAACCTGCACAATGCATACCCTAGCTGAGCTACACCTTCCAGTTCACGTCGCCTTAATTTCTTCCTTATTCCACGTACCCCACCCTCACCCACCTCCTCCTTCTGCTTCTCTTTGATCGTGGGCTTGCGGTCCTCGATGATGTTGCTCTGCTTCTTGCGGTGACGCCGGCTGGGCCTGTTCTTGCCCTTCATCTTCTCCTTGTCCTCCGCCTTGCGCCGCGAGGCCGCCAGTCGGGCCGCGTTGGCCGCCTGCTCCTCCGCGCGCCGCTGCTGCACCACCGCCGCCGGCTCCTTGCGCACCCTGGGGGAACACAACAGGGCACCCAACAAGCAAGCGAAACACTCGGTGAGCAAATTTCTTTTGGTGGTGCCTGAACTAAACTGCTGAACTCCATTTCATAGCCGCTCCGAAGCCAGCATCAGCCGATGTGGGTCGACCCACATCGCCTTAACCCATATCGCCAAGAGCCCGCAACTCGCGCCCTCCCTTCCTTAGACAGCCTCCTGGCGCTTTCCGGGCCCGATAACTCCGTCGCGGTATCCGCATGGCCACATAGCACTCTTAACCTGTCTTGCGACGGCCCACCGCTCTTTGGCCCTATACCGTAATCTTACCGCCAATCGGAAAACGGCTTTGGTTTCTTTACGCGCCCCCCCCCCAAAAACCTTCCTAAGGTTTGGTATGGTCTTTGGCCCCCAAACTTGGCCATATGCCATCACCCCTTTCCTTCCTCCCTGTGCTGCCAGCCGCACCCTCCTCCGCCCCACCTGCCCACGCTGTCCGGATCCAGCACGATGGTGTCCGGCTGCAGCTTGTCCAGCAGCGCCACCACCTCCTGCTGCTGCCGCTGCCGAACCGTCTGGAAGGGGTTGGCCACGAACGAATCGAAGTTCGGCTCGCCAGCGCCTGCACAAGCGGAGCGGGGCCCGGATGAGGGATTAAAGACCATCAATAGGAGAGTTCTTCCGCACATGGGAGTCTGGAATGGTGAGCTTGGGGAGCACGCATGGGGTACAAGTGACGGACAAGAGACACGGTACTTGTCCGCGTTTACCGATAAAACAGCGAGCGGCAAGATGATGAGAGAACTGGGAAGGCGACCGTGGGAAGGCGACCTTTGCCATGCGCACTGACGTACCGGGTACGAGCATGGTGCTGACGCCCGCCGAGTGGCCTATCCCCAGCACATCCTCGTAGGGGCAGAACTGGAAGGAGTGCAGTACGCCCGCCGGCAGCTGGTGCGTCATGTACGGCGACTGCACCTTGGTGCGCAGCGCGTCCTGCCATACCTGTGGGTGCGAGGAAGAAGAGAGCAGTCAGGAGCCGTACAGGCGGTTTGACACAGGCGGTTTGCTAGAAAGCAGTCACGAGGAGACTGCAGCGGACAGGAAAAGCCGTAAACTGCGGTGGATGGGGTTGCACGCATGGAAGCACTCCCACATTACACGCATGCCAACGATGGTGTTTGGCATCGTTGAGTCCCCAAGCCAAAATGCAAGTATTCCAGATTTCCAGTATTCCCAGGCATGATTCTAGTTCGCACCATACGAACCGAGCCCCCAAGCTGTTCAACACACGCACCGAACACATGCACACGCCCCCACGCACCTGCACCTTGCGCCCGTACCCCACCGCCAGCAGCCCCCGCTGGCTGATGTCCATGCGCGTGACGGGCGCGTAGCTGAAGTACGAGTGTAGCGGCTGCAGCTTGCGCAGGTCCCACACCTTGATGTGCGAGTCGGCGCCGGCGGTGGCCAGGTAGTTGCCGCCGGGGTCAACTGCCAGAGCAGTTACTGGGCCCTGTACGGCGGGGGGGTCCAGCAGTTGGTGCCGTACGGCTTGTGTTCGGGTCATGAGCAGGGAGGCCAGGGACAGACAAACCCAGACAGGAAGGAATCCGACCGATTTGCCTTAAATTACTAGCCCATAACGCAAGACCCACATCAAGTAAATGAGTTTGTTATCCTGCTAGCCGTGCTTAGCCTTCTTATCGCTAGCCTTCATTTCAGTTTTGCGGCCAGTTGACACAACACAGACCGCCCTCAGCCCCGCCCCCCCCCCACCTTGTGGCACAGCATCTTGACGGCGGGTGTGGTGAGGTTGGGCGTCCACATGGTCACGCAGCCCAGCGCGTGCCCCAGCACCACCGCCGCGTTGTGCGGGTTGTGCCGCATCACGCCGCACGACCCCAGCCGGGTCTTGTGCTGCGCGATGATGTGGCCGGTGCTGGTGTCCTGGTAGCGAAGCACGCCTGGGGGGAGGGGAGGGGTAAGAAAAGGGAACGGATGAACTGCATGACGAGGCTTCATGAGGGGACGAGAGAGGGGGGGGGTAGGTGGGGAGGGAAAAGAAGTATATCCAAGGTGCTTGATTGACAGGTAAAGCAAAATCACAAGTACCGTGTTGCGAGCAGTTGGGGGAAAGAGGAGTAAGCGCATTGCACTACCCCGTCAAGTGCCTGCACTCCATTCACCCCCTCTCCCTCGGAGCCCACCTTGACTGCCCAACACTCTCTACAACCGCAGCCACCTCTCCCCAGCCCCCACCAGCCTCCCCCGGCCCCTATCGTGCTCCTACCCATCATTTATCCCCCCTCCGGCTCCTACCGTGCCCCTACTTATCATATATCCCCCCCGCTTCCGGCCCCTACCGTGCTCCCCGATGGACGTCAGCAGGAAGTGGTGCGGCAGGAAGTCCAGCGCGTGCACATCCGTGTGGTCGCGCAGGCAGTGCACCTCCAGGCCCCGCTTGTCGTAGATGTACACGTACTTGCGCTGCGCTGCCGCCCAGAACGTCTCGTTGTGCAGGAACGTCACGTCGCGCACGGTCTCGCGGACCTGGTGGGGGCCGGGGCGGGCGTGGGCGGATGAATGGCGATCCGGGTCAGTCCGGCTTTGGGAAAGCTTGGGAAAGCCGCAAGCCGGGAAGTATGTAGGAGCGCCGGGACGTGGGGCTGTATGCCGAGCGAGTCTGGGCTCCAGCGGTTAAGATGCCAGGCCTTCTGAGCAGCTCCGATAGGCCCCGCGGCCCTCTGAAGGCATGCTAGCCGGCGCAGACTGTCCCGCCAACTGCCTGCTCGTGACTGCTGATGCATGCAGCACCGCGTCAGCTGACTCGCCAGCTGGGGTATTGCTATCGAACATTACAAGGTGCCACCTGGCAGGCATGCCACACGACCTTCCGGGACGCCAGCTCTACCACAGCACCAGCTCGTTGCCATCGCCCTTGCCGCCGCTGACGTCACAGCAACGCCGCTGCCTTCTCAGCCCCGAAAGCCTACCCACATGCAGCGCTCAGCTGCGCTCTCTCCCGGCGGCTGTCAGCTGCCAATGCCCTGCGCACAACTCGCTCTCCCCCTCTACTCCCGCTCCTTTGCTCAAGCTCTTCCACTCTCCTCCCCCTCCTGCTCTCCGCCCCCCCCCCTCCACCCGCTTTGAAACCTCGTTCTACATATCGTGAATTTTTCAAAAAAAGGTCCCCCACCCGCTGCTTCCCCCCCAGCTAGTATGTATCCCTGTTAATTCCCCCCGCTCCCCCCGCTCACCTGCACCTCGCACACCAGGTGCGACCGCTGCCAGTCCATGAGCGCCAGGTGTCCCTTGCCGCCGCCCATCAGCATGAAGCGGCCGTTGCGGCTGAAGGTGAGGCTGTAGGGGCCCAGCTCGGGCAGCGAGAGGTCAAAGGCCTTGGCGGCGGCGGTGGAGTCCACCGCGGCCACCACCGACTCCTGCTTGAAGTTCCAGGTGCGCTCAACGCCTGGGGGTTGGTGGTTGGTTGGGGGAAAGGTAAGAAGGGAATGAGAAGCGAAAAAGCGGCCCATGTCCCGACTGATGTCGCCATATGCCATCGCCAAGCCAGCTCAATTGAAGGTGAGCGCGTTCCGTCACCACGTTCCAACCCGGCGGATCATTAGGCCAATAAAGGCGTCCCATCGTTCTTTATATCCTATAGGCGTCCTCGCCCAAGTCGTCAGCCTGGCGAGCTCTTACCCTCCGCCTCCAGTGTCCCCGCGCTCGCCGGCAGCAGCCACTCATTGATCTTGGCCGCCTTCTTCTGCGAGGCCTGGATGACGCCCTCCACCCGCCGCAGCTTGCCCTTCAGCTTCTTGTCCGTGATGGATTTGAGATCCACCGCGGGGCCGCGCTTGAGGCGCTTGGCCGTCTCCGCGGCATCATCCGCCTCGGGCGCCCGCTTCTTCTTGCTGTGTACGGCAATCAGGAGCACGGGTGGCAAGTACCGTTATAGGGGTTGGGAAGCAGGGTAAGAGGGTTGGGGCAAAGGGTCGCCAATAAGGGGGAGGGTTAGGCTGGAGGTGAAGGGAGAGGTGTGGGGTTAGCATGATTGATGCACAGGAGCCATGCGAGTACCCGCGGGCGAGGGGTACAAAGAGCACTGACCCCTGGGCCGCTATGTGGTAGGGCACAGGGAGAAGCCGCAACACGGCGTCAGTGCAGGCGACGCAGGGCGATGCAGGGAGGAGATAACTGGATGCATACTGGAGCTTTGGGTTACAAAGCTACGGTGCCCCACGCGTCGATGAGACACGGCGAGGTACTGCCAACCATGGTTCTACAAAGAATGATATTGCGTGAGTCATGGACGTCTTCGCAGGCCTTGTACATGTTTTAGACTGCTAGAACTCCAAGACCCTAAACGTGCGTCGGTCCGCCGTCGCCGCCAGAATGCCAACGCTTTCTGCAGCCCTGCCCTTTCAAGCCCAAAGAATGCCGCGCTACATTATACGCAGCTTACCGCTTTCTACTCGCTTTCCCCTCGCCTCCAAGTCGCGCTGGCTCGTCCTCAGCCATTTCGCCACAGCCGCAACAATTACTCCTTTGAGCTCAAGAAGAGGCAATCGTACAGCAAATATAGAAAAGCAGGCTACCAGTTTAGGGCCGTCCTAATTGTTCTGTGACACGAATACTAGCTTGTCGTCAAATTGCAATCGCCACAAAATAACCCCGTTGATCTTGGCAACAGGCAGGAAGTGTTACGTGCAGGATACAGTGTGAGCATTTGATGGCAGGCGAGTCTTTAGGGAGGACCCCGTTGCCGTATTTCCAACCATCACCATCGCGCAAACACGATTTGTGATGGAAACCTGCATTCGGGCCTAGATCAAACATTTTCGGCCTTCCTGAACCTTGTTAGCAAATAGTAACCTTCACGCGCATAGACGTGTTGCGCCTAGCAAAGGCTTCAGTATCCTGAATGGCTGCCGACCAGGAAAGCGTGCGGAAGGCCTTGCAAAAGGAGGCTGATGTCTATCGTGGTTTCCAAGCAGGTGTGCAGCGCCCAGGCGCCGACATGCATCGTTGCCAACATACCTCGCGCCATGCGTAATGAAGCTCTTGGGCATTGCAGAACTACAAAAGTTAGCGAACGGCAAGCGGGACATCACAGCTCGGTACCAGGAGACGGAGACAGTACTGGAGGTAGGGCATCGAGAGTGTTGGCGCGCGCTGTGGTCACGTCCAGCGTCCTAGACCACCGTTACATGGACACCGTCATACTTCATGCAGCAGTTCTTATAGTACTGCTGCATTCATGAGGATACCCTTGCAGTGGTTGACCGGGGCGCCCATGGGACACATTGCACAGGAGCTGAAGCTGCTGGACGATGAGGCTAACGTGTTTAAGGCGGTGGGGCCAGTGCTGGTGAAGCAGGACCTCGTGGAGGCCCGTGCCAACGTCACGAACCGCCTGGAGTTTATGAAGAAGGACATGGAGCGGTTAGATAACCAGATTAAGGGCGTGGAGAGCAAAATGCTTGACCGGGAGAAGGAGGTGGGTTGTCGCGGTTGCCTGTTTGGGGATGCATGTATCCCTAGACACCTGGGATCCTTGGGATATTGCACATGGTACCGGTTCACAGCACCTGCCAACACGGCGGGGTATGGCACCCACCATCATCAACAGGTACTATGCGCTGTACATCTGCAGTTGAGGAGCTGTGCTGCCAAACGATGTATGTCGTGCCTTAACTGCTTAACCTGCTGCCAACACTGTCGCGCACTCCTCCACCTGCCTTCACCTGCCCAATGCAGATCATGAAGCTCCAACGGAAGCTGCAGGGCGCAGCGGCTGGGGCGCAATAAAGGCAGGAGTGCTTCTGGAAGTAGTTGCATTCAGGGCAATGGGGCAGTTGGGGTCTTACATGGTGAACTAGAGGCGGGCACGACGCGTTGTGGCATTTGACGTATATAGCTTCTGTCCGTACAGGATCATGTCTTCCGTAGATGTAACATGTTTGATAGCGCCCCTCTTAAGGGGACCTTGGTTTGGTTGAGGAGGGCGCCTGGGTGCCGGGACATAGGCGTCCTGAATCGCACACAATTAGGCGGAGTTGGTGTCCCGCCCCAGCGGGTAGGGCGTTGAGCGGTACCGGTTGACGGTACCGGGATGACGTTTACGGAGGGCCATGGACTCGTTGTGCAGCGATGGCGATTGGCGGCGGCAGCTTTGGTGGCGGTGGTTGCCGTACCCTAACTTGTAGCTGGGTGTCGTACTTCTGTTACATCTACGTGCTAGATGGCGTTTTCCCCTAGTGTTGCGCGCTGTTAAACAGAATAATCTTTTGACAAATGTGCACATCCTAGGATTTACCTTTGGAGGCTATTTGTTTCTAGAAACAAAGGCGAAATGGCTGTGGCTTCGGTCCCTGGCATGCCTGACCTTCAGGTTTGTGCAAAATGTTAATCGCAAAGGATGCGTACATGACTGTATTACTGACTGCACTTACTCTGGGTGCTGGCGCAGCTGCGCATGAGCAAGAAGATAGCGCAGCTGACGAAGGTATGGTCTGTAGGATACTAGAAAGCATATGTTTGCTATACCCATATCATTATGGATATTCGTGCAGGTCATTTATCACCTAAACAACAAGAACGAGGATAATGAGCTTGACCTCGCGGAGCTGGCAGAGCAATATGAGACCGAAATAGAGCAAATATTACGGGACACTGCTGATAAGATCAATCACTTTAAGGCGCAACTTGATATAGCCAATGACGCGGCCCGGATAGCGGAACTTAACAAGGTATGACATGGCAGGACTGCAACCTGTCTTTTATCGACGCGCGTGACAAAGCCATACCGTGCAACCTGCAGCAACTGGAAGCAAAATATGAAGACGAGCGACGCCGATGCTTGAACGAAATCGAGTCTATCCGGAAGGTACGGAGCCTCGCGTGTGTTGCAAACACCGCCATAGCTTACTGCATGGTGGTCGGCTATAGCCCGCCAAACGCAACCCTCCTTAAAACCCCCATCAGTCCGTGCCAACTCAACGTGTTCCCCACCGCATACCTGCACGCTGACTTCTGCGGCCCCCTGCAGAGGGCCGCCGAGAAGGAGGCAGCTATCCAGAAGGCGGCCACCAAGCAGATCGAGGGGCTGCAATCTCAGGTGGACGAGTTGCAGCGGCAGCTGCAGGCGCGCATCCGCGAGGTCAACGAGATGTCCACCAACGCCACCGCGAGCAACCAAGTGGGTGGGCGGCTGCAGCGCCTTCGCTTGCTGGCAGCCCCGGCCTGCACCCCCACTTCGCTACCTTGCCTCCTGCGGGAAGCATCCTCGTTCATTACTTTAATGCAGCATGCACACCCTTCCCCTGAACCCCCCCGACATTCCGCTTCTCAGACCGCTCATGCACAATACCCCTGCACTACCGTACCCGCACCTGCAGTGCTCACACCTCTCACGGTGCGCCCCTCTCTCCTCCCTCACCCACCTCCTCCTCCGGGTCTCCTCCCTCCTCTCCTCCCCCCCAGGAGCTCCAGGAGGCGCTGGCTCGCGCGCGCCAGGAGACGGAGGACGCCATCCAGACCCACAACCGCCGCTACAACGACATGCTGGCGGAGCGCATGCGCCGCGAGGACGAGCTGGAGGAGCAGCTGGCGGCGCTGAGGGCGCAGCTGGAGGCGGCGGCGGCGGCGCGGAGCGAGGTGGAGGGGTCGCTGCGGCAGGCGCGGACGCAGTGGGAGCAGGAGCGGGCGGGCATGGTGGACGAGCGGAAGGTGGGGAGCGGGCCCGGGGTGGGGGAGAGGAAGGGTAGGCCCGGGGATGGGGTGCGTTCGGGAGCCAGGCATTGGCATCCGAAAGCCGTGGCATTGACTGAGCAGCATCGCCATGGGCCCACTTCCTCCGCATCCTGCAACGACCCAACGAACGGCCAACCGCCCGCCGCCCCCAGGCCGCTGACGCCAGCTGGAAGGGCAAGGTGGAGGCGCTGGTGGAGGAGGTGCAGCGGGAGAAGGCGGCGGGGCGGGAGGCGGGCAAGCGCGCGGCGGAGGCGGAGGCGGAGGCGGCGGCGCGCATCGAGCAGCTAGAGGGCTCGCTGGCGGGGACGGAGCAGCAGCTGCGGGAGAGCGAGGAGGAAGCCAAGAGGTGCGTGGTGCGTGCGCTGGAAAGGACGTTGTAGCGCCTAAGGTGCCAGCGAAGGCCTAGAACACCTAAGAGCATGCTTTTTGCTTCGGGAGGGTGGGCATCGGGCCTACATGAACCCCAGGAACCCGGACCCTTATGCCGTATTCCCATATCCCACTCTTGTGCCCTTTTTCCCTGCAGCCTGGGCGGACAGCTGGCCTCCCTGCAGTCCAGCAGCGAGGCCCAGGCGGCGCAGATCGCCTCCCTGGAGCAGCAGCTGGTGGCGCTGCAGCAGCAGCTGGCGGCGGCGGCGGAGGGCGCGGAGGGGGAGGCGGCGGCGGCGCAGGCGGCAGCAGCGGCGGCGGCGGCGGAGCAGGCGCGGCTGAAGGGCGCGCTGGCGGCGACTGAGGGGCAGCTGGAGGAGACGAAGGGGGAGCTGGGCGCGACTAAGGTGGGTTGGTGGGGTAAGAGGAAGCGCGGCAAAGGGTTTGCATAGGAACAGGCGCTGTTTGAGAGGAGGAGGCGTGTGCTCTGGGGTTCAGTCCCGCTCCCATTCCCGTTCCCAACCCTGGTCCTCCCTCACCGTCGCCCCCTTCCCCTCCTCACCTCCCCCCTCCCCATGGTCTTTCCTTCCATGGTATCTTCTTGCATGGTGTTTTCTTCTTCTTTCCCCGCCCTTCCGCGCAGACTGCTTCACTCTATCTCCATTGCTTTGCCCTAACCTGTTGTCCTGGTCTATCTCCCGCCCGTCCCCCCCCCAGACCGAGCTGGAGCAGCTCCGGCAGCAGCTGGTGCGCACGCGGGTGGACGGGGACGCCATCGCGGGGCAGCTGCGGGCGCGGGTGACGGCGCTGGAGGCGGACGTGGCGCGAGCCACCAGCACCGGCAAGAGCGATGCGCTGGAGGCGGCCACAAAGGTGCGCGCTCGCTGGTTTAGGGGGTTAGGGGAAGATGAGTCGAGGAAAGACGAGAAGCAGAGGGCGAAAGGAGTAGGGGCAACAAAGAGCTGTTGTGGCATAGCATCCGAAACGTGGGGTGTGGAAACGGTGTGGTGTGCCTCGGCTGGCAATCATGTTGCGGAGGAGGAAGGCTCCAAAACCACAGGCGTTGATACCCAGTATGTGTCGCGGGTCGTCTACCTGACCCTCCCTCATGGGTGGCATGGCATATGGTGGTTTGGAGGGCTTCTCGTCCTCTCCATCCGCACCACACAACCCTTGACCTGCCCTCCTGCTTCAATCCCACCTCACCCTGGCTCCTCCTGCTGCTGCTGCTCCTGGGGTCAGGTGCGGGAGCAGTACGAGCGGCAGTTGGCGGAGGCGGCTGAGGCGGCCCGGAAAGCGGCTGAGGCGGCCCGGCGGGAGCGGGACGAGGCGGTGGAGGCGGCGCGGCGGGATGCGGCGGCGAGGTTGGCGGGCGCGGAGGGCAGTGCCAAGAGCCAGATAGATGAGCTACGTCGCAAGTAAGGCGCGGGACGGAGAAAGGGATGCAAGGAGGAGCGGGGAGGGAAACGACCTCCCCAACTCCTTACCCACGTAGTTCCCTCACCGCCTCCCTTTCCCCTTCCTGGTTCCCCTTCGTGTGTCTCCATGTGTCCCTGTGCTGGAATAACTGAACGCATAACTGACCCGGTCCCTATGTCCCGCTATATTTCTCCTCGCTATGTGGCTCCGAAACCAGGCTGGAGCAGGACCGAGCTGCCGCCGTGTCCTCCCTGGAGTCCGCCCACGCCCGGGCGCTGGCGGAGGCGGGCGCGCAGCGGGAGGAGCTGGCTCGGCGGCTGGCGGCTGTGGAGGCGCTGGCTGCGGAGGAGCGGCGGCGCGGGGAGGGGCTGGAGCAGCAGCTGGCGGTGGCGAGGAAGCAGGCGGAGGAGCACGGACAAAACGCCAGCGAGACCAGGGTAGGGAGGTGTTGGGGTGCAGGGGCTACGGTTGACGGGCTTATCCTTCAAGGCTCCTTGAAGCCAGGCTCCCCGACTTAGCCTCCCATGTCACATGCGCAGCCGCAGCGCTCACACAGACTCTTTTCCTCCCACCCTCCTTTCCTTCCCACCCACGTTTTCCCCAACCCTCCTTCCCATCCTCCTCCCCTTCTCCACCCCCAGGTCCAGCTGGAGTCCCGCTTGGAGGCGCTCACGGCGCGCGAGGCCGCCCTCTCCAACGACCTCGCAGCCGCCCGTGCCGCCGCGGCAGCAGCGGAGGCCCGCGCTGCACAGGCGGAGCAGCAGATCCGCGAGCTGCAGGCGCAGCTGGCAGCGGCACTTAGCAAGGTGGGGTAGAGGTCTTGGGAGGACTAGGAACAAAGACGTAAATTGAGGGCGGTTGCAAGTAGGCGGTGGTTGACGGTTGTAAGGACGGACTATGTGTCGCGGTGCCGGTATCATGGTGCGCTTGCGACCCCTCTCTCTTGCCATTCATTGCGCTCTCCCTCCGCACCTGCTACTCGTCTTGCGCCCGTACTCTTGTACCTCGCATGCACCCTCTTCCTCCATGCGTACCCCAAAGCCAAGTTCCCACGTTCCTTCTCCAATTCTCATTCCCCATCCTCATCATCCTTCCTTGCTCACCCCTATAGGCGGAGGAGGACAAGCGTACGGCAGAGGCGCACCTGGTTTCGGAGCTCGAGCGAGTGCGCTCCGAAGGCGCCGCCGCCACTCAGTCGGCGCTGCGCATGGCGGCGAGCGAGGCGGAGGCGCGGCTGGCTGCTGAGCTGGCGTCGCTGCGGGCGCAGATGAGCGCGGCGGGGGGCGCGGCGGAGGCAACCATGCGGCGGGAAGTCGAGGAGGCGCGGCGGCGAGCCGAGGACGCGCGTAAGAAGATGGAGGCGGAGATGGAGGAGCTGAAGCGGACGCACCGGGAGGTGAGGGAAAGGGAGGGAAGGAGGGGAGAGAACGGAGGAGTGCTGCGGAATCTCTGAATGCACGTGTACCGCCGGTGCGGTCTCCATCTCTTATGTCCTTCAACACGGCTCTGCTAGCCACCCCCCATCAGCATGCTCAATAACAAGCAATCTGCCAGAGCGCTACTCTTAAAACCTTGTCCTCTAACCTTCGCCAGGAGCTGGACGAAATGCGGGCAATGTACGAATCGCGGTTAGAGCTCCAAAGCGAGGCCGCCGCCGCCGACCTCGCCGCCGCCGCCAGCGCCTCCGCCGCCTCGCAAGCCTCCGTGGAGGAAGCCGCGCGGACCCGCCTGGCGGAGGCGGTGGCGGCAACGGAGGCGGCGGCGGAGGCGCGCGGCCGCGAGGCGGCGGAGGCCCTCCGCAAGGAACTGACGGCGGAGCGGGAGCGGGCGCTGGCGGAGGCGGCGGCCAAGTACGAGGCGGAGGCGCGTCGTACGGCAGCGGAGGCGGCGGAGGAGCGGGAGCGGCTGCGGTCGTACCATGCGTCGGTTACGGAGCAGCTCGGGGAGCATAAGGCGCGGGAGCTGGAGGATGTGAAGCGGGTGGGTGCTGGGGCGCTGTGCGGCAGAATGGGGAGTGAGCTCGCATGTACGACTACCTCTTGGACGAGGCTTCGCATTACTTTCACTAACGGTACCCACAACATCTCATTCCATTGCCCTCCTGTAAAACGCCCCTTCCTCCGTGCACTCCTCCTTCCCCATTCCCCTCCTTACATCCTCCCTCTCTTCCCTGCCGCCCCCCCTGTCGCCCCTCCACCAGGCCCATGAAGCCATGCTGGCGGCCGCCTCCCGCCGTCACGAGGAGGCGCTTGCCTCCCTCTCCGCCAGCCACGCCGCGCAGGTGGCTCAGCTGAGTGCGCAGCTGGAGGCGGCGGGGCGGGCGGCGGCGGCGGAGGGCAAGAAGCTGGCGGCGGCGGAGGAGGAGCGCAAGGGGCTGACGGGGCGGGTGGAGGCGCTGACGGCGGCGCTGGCCAACAAGGCGGCGGAGATGGCGGACACGGTGTTCAAGCTGAAGCAGGTGGGGTCCTGGGGTGAGGGTGAGGAACCCTGGGGATGTACGAGGACAGGTGATGTGTACATTCCGCTCCCTGACGCACCCACATGGCCGTTATCCCCGTCTTGTCCGTACATCCTACGGCATACCCCCCCTCCCTTCCCTACGCTGCATTCCGTTACCCCCTGCTCCCCATGGGATTGGGGGACTATGGTTGCTTCACTTCTTATCCCCAGCCGACAAACTCGAGTCCATTCCCCAAAAGCTTGTGTTCTTGTTTGCCATCCTAATTCAACACATGGGGTATCCTTCGTTTCCACGCCCCTGCAGGACGCCTCCTCCGAGCGCGAGCGGCTGCTCTACTCCTACAAGGCCGACAAGGAGGCCCTCGTGGCGGAGTCGCAGCAGCTGGCCTCGCAGCTGCGAGCCCAGATGGAGGCGGCGGCAGCGGACGCGGAGGAGCGCTACAGCCAGCTGCAAGCCGCGCATGAGGAGCTGCGGGCGCGCTGGGAAGCGCGGGAGCCGCGGGAGGAGGATGTACGACGGATCGCGGAACTGGAGGCGAATGTACGGCACCTGGAGGATCTGGTACGGAGCTCTGAGGAGCGCATGGCGCAGCTGCGGGCGGAGCTGTTGTTGCGGGAGGAGAACTACAACAAGCACTTTAAGAACGGGGGCGCGGGTGAGAAGGTGTTGAATGTAGACATGGCGCTGAATGCGCAGAGTGGGGTGATGGATTGGATGCTGGGGAACAAGAACAAGGGGCATAGGAGCACGGGAGGGGATGGGCACCGACCGGGGGGAAGCGGGCGGAAGTAGGGTGCGAGCGAGCGCTGAGGTTGCTGCGGTACTGTCCGGGGTGATGATGGGTTGATGGCTGCAGCAGCAGCAGCTGCTGCTCGGCAGCCATTCTCGGAGGTTACTCGGATTGTTTCTAGGTGCAAGTACAGCGGATGGCTTGCGGTGGGCTGGGTAGTACCGGAATGGGCGCCTTCTGCCTGTGAGCCGCACTACCAGTGTCTGAGGGTGCAAACGTGCGTGACGAGCGCGTGTGCTTATTGTGTATATGCATGCGTGTGTGTGGTCCCGTGCGAGATGAGAAACCAGATGTGGAAGAGTGAAAGGAGCAGGGTCTAGATAGGCGCAGCGTTGGGTAGGGGGAGTTGACATGCGCCTCCTACACTTGGAGTGTCCCCCTTTGGCGGCACGGCGCGTGACAGTATAATAGCTTTGAGCGGCTTTCGACGACGTTGCTACGCATGAGCTTTGCTACAGATAGTTCATAGCGGCAAATGGGATGGTTTAGGGTTAGCCGTTACCCAATTTGGACAACCCCTGTCCAAACACAACACTCGCGCAGGTGTCTGGATGCTGTGAACACTCAACCGGCAGCAATTCAGCAGTTGTGTGGCACTGCTGACGTAGCCGGTTTAGGACTTGGTACCGGGATGGGATTGGGATTCATCATAGCGCCTGTCCTGACTCCCCTGTAATAATCGCATACCGGCAGCACCGCAGCCCATGTGATAGGGCTGTGCCAGGTGCCAAACGTTGTCGTGTGCCGTGTAAGCGTTACACATTACCTCGCACCAGGACTCGCAAGCACCGGTAACATACCTACAACCGCGTTACTAAGCTGTACCGATGCGCAGTTAAGGTGTGTACGAGCGTTGTACCGCTGCTGCTGCAGTAAGCTATCCGTGGTCAGAATGGGACCCCACACCATCCAACACGCGTCGATGTCTCCCTGCAGGGGACGAGGAAAGATCTGGGCGAGACCGCTGAGGTGGGCTGAAGGGGCGCGAACATGTACGATATACAGACTATACCAAGGAAAGCTAGCATTTGACTGACCCATGGTTCATACGCCTCAAGGCTTGTGTTCTAGGTTCATGGATGGCGCTAACGCTGCACATTCTTCGTATATAGACGTTTCCAAGCAAAGACGTCTTCATAGTGCCAACGGGGCCGCCATCTGCTCCGGCACCTGCCTTTGCCATCGACCGCATCGCGCATTGCTAATCATCGCAAGCTATGTTGACGTCATACGTTTAAAGGTGCTAACATATAGACCGTCGGCATCCAAACGTCAAGACTCGAAATACAATATGGCAAAGTTTCATGACAACTAAGCCTCATGCGACCCTGTGTAAAAGACTAAAGCGTACTGCCAGTTGGCGAGGTATCAAGCCGTTCTTCGACCCAGGGGTCTGCACAACTTAGCAGCGCTGCCCTGAACAACGGAGAGGCAAAGTAAACAATTCTTTTGGATAACTTCTACAACAGCTACCCAGATGCCTTCTTGCTTGCAACCCTTCCTAATCCGCGTGGGCTCTGTCGTACAAATGGCGGAATCGACCTTCCCATGCACCCATTCGGCGCGCCTGCTCGAGACGCCCAAAGTGGACCTTTCCACTCGACCAGCCGAAAGCACCCTGCGTTGCCTACCATTAGTAGCTATCGTTGCAGCTTGGCACTGACAAAGAGAGGGACAGAGCTCCTTTGGATTCTTAAGCGAAACCACCGGCACTTACCTCAGGGCTCATTAATCCAAACGAAAAGCAGCACGTCTCAGCCTAACTTACTAACAGCTGCTCTTGCTGCCAGGTGGCATACAGGTGGGATGCTTACGCGTTACGTTGCATCCCACACGGCGTTAAAGGCTCGCCTGCTGCTCTACCACTCCTCCTTCTTCGTCTCGCTCTTAATCTACTTCGCCTTCCAACTATGTGCTTACCTCACCTTCACCTCACCCATCAAATGCAACACCACGGATATTCCTTGCCATTGCAATGCAGGCCCGGAGATCCGCGCGGCTGCCTTCAAACGCTTGCGCTGCCGCCCCAAATGGCGCAGCAACAGCAGCGCTCCAGCTCCCAGCCTCGCGCATTCGGCCACAGATCCTCCTCCTCTTCGCCCATCTGGTCAATAGACCGAAAAACTCTTTTACAACTCATTGAAGCGGCGGAGGGCTTGTTTACACCCTGCATCCACTGCCACGACGCACACCGCGGCTCCCGAGACAGCCACGTGTCATTCCTGAACGTGGACGACCCGCGGGGCCGTCCGTTTTGTCACTTTTGTCGTCCGGGCGAGGGCGAGGCACGACTTGTGCAGATTCGCCGCAACACCTATCATGATGGTGGGTCGGTGGGGAGCATTGGGGTTGGGGTCGGGGTTGGGGAAGGATGCGAGGGTACTCGGAAGCGCCGTTGTTGATCCGGCAAGTACGACAACATGGCACGGGAAGCAGCCCCCTGGTGTTAGCGGTTTTAATGGTGTTGGGGCTGTTGTAGCACATGGGTTTTGATAATGCAGGGGAGATGCAAGGGACCTTGGCCACTAGCCCTAGGTGGCCCCCACTCAACAACATTCTCATTGCAACATGCGACATACAACATGCCAACACAACACAACACCCTCATCCCCCCCGGCCACGCAGTCATGCGTATCAGCGATCTGGAAAGGCTGTACGACACCTCCCGGATCCAGCAGTACACCATCAACAACGGCAAGGTCATCTTCCTGCGCCCGCGCCCGCAGCTGGCCAAGTAAGCATGAAGGCGTGAACAGCTGACTCACCCAACTTCTGCAATATCGCATCTCCTCTTATCCAGCACATGTCTCTCTACCTGTACCCACGCCCCTCCATGCTCTGCCAAACCCGTGTCATTCCCCACCTGACCCCTCTTGGTCATTCCACCTCCTCCCTCCCTCCTCCTCCCTGCCTCTGCCCGCGCCTCCGCCTCCGCTCGGTATGGTCTTTGGCCCCGCCTCCACCTCCGCTCCAGGCCCGGCTCCCACGCCACCACCTGCCTGCACTGCAACCGCACCCTCATGGACGCCTCCAGCCGCCACTGCTCACTGCTGTGCAAGCTGAACTGGGAGTCCGGCGTGGCCCCCATGACGGAGGAGGAGATCCGCGCGGCGGGCGACGGCAAGCGGATCAAGATCCCAAGGAAGCTGCTGGATTGTGCGGAGGGGGCGGCGCCGACGGGGGCGATGGAGGGAGGGAGCGTGCTGCCGGCGCCGGCGCCGGCGCCGCCGACAGTGAGACGGCGGTCGCCCGCAAAGGCGCTGTCGGGAAGGGCCGTCGCCGCTGCCGCCGGCGAGGAAGCTGTTGACGGCGGCGGCAGCAGGATTGCTGGGTTGTTAGCGGCCGCGGCGGCGGCGACGCCACAGGTTTGGGTGCCAGTATCGGTGGCGAGGGTACGGCGGCCGTCACCCAGCAAAGCAGCGTCGCATGGTTCGGAGGTGCGGAGCAGCTCGCGTGGCGTCAGCAGACGACTGTACAGCAACAGCGGCGATAACGGGGACGAGGGTGACGGCGGCGGAGACGATATGGTTGATGACGACGTCGGCGAGGATTGGAACATGCACGCCGCGGTGGCGGCGCCGCTAGCGGTGGGCGCGAGTCCGTTGTACGACAAACACGGGCGTCCGCCGCGGCCGCCGCCGGCGTCTCGCGGTGGCGGCAGCAGCGCGAACTCGGCTGGCCGCCGTCAGTTCGCTGGCTACGACCCTTCCCCATGGGGCCCGGCGGCGGGGGCCACCGCCTCCGTCGACGGCCAGCGCGCAGCACGGCTGCCGCCGCTGCGCGGCGCCGTCAGGCTGACGGCGGCGGGTCGCGCCAACAGCGCCCCGCTGACAGGATTGGATCCTAACTTCTCCATGGTAGCTGACGTAAGCCATGCGGCGGCGTACGGAACGAACGGTCACTCCGCCGCCACCAGCAGCGCTGGCCACGACAGTGCTGGCGGCGGCGGCGGCAGCGGCGGCAGCGGGCCCCTTCCGTCGTTAGCCAAGGCGGCGGTGACAGCGGCGCCGGCGGGCTTGGGGGACTACTTGTTGACACTGCTCCGTGCGAAGAACGGTGCAATGTCAGGCGGTGCTGTGGGGCCGTCGCCGTTGCCGCCGACGGCCCCTCGACCTGCGCTAGCACCCGCCGCCCCCGCCGTAGCCGCCAGTAGCATGGTCTCAGCCTTCGCCGGAGGGTCGGCGGCGCCGCCACCCGACGTAGCCATGTCGGACAACCCGCAAGCGACGGCGGGCGCAGGTCGCAGGACGGTACGACGCATGTCGGCTGGTGTCGTACCGCCTGTTGCGGGGGCGATGATGTTGCCGTTGGCGGCCAACCATGGCCTCCCATGTGTCTCGGGCGTCGGCGTCAAACGCCGCTGCGTGAGTGACATTGGCGACGCAGGCGCCGCCGCCACCGCCACCAATGACGACGGCGGCGGTCAGCCGGAGGTGACGTCACCACTGAGGCGTGGCGTCTTGGGTCAGTGGGGCCGTCATGGTACCCGTACAGCCGCCGTGGCCGCCATCACTGACGACGACGCCAGCTTGGCTATCCGCATGTCGCTGTTGAACCCAATCCGGATCGCGCGCGTCCCGTCCGCTCACGTTCCGCGCAGCAGCTGCGGCGGCTTGCACCGCAATGGCGACGGCGGCAGCGCCGCCGTCGCCGCTGCCGCCAGTGGCGGCGGCGGCAACGACAATGACGCAACCGCCGCGGCAGCGCTGCTATGTGCGCTGCCTCCGGCGGCGGCGCCGCCGGCTGACGTGGAAATGGAGGATCCTAACGGCGACGTCGAGGAGGGTGAGAGCAGCGCAGGTCCCACGGACCCTTCCCTGGCGCCGAACGGCAGCGGCGGGTGCGCCGCCGCCACCACTGCCGCCGCCGTCGACAGCAGCCCGGTCGGTGCGGAGGAGGGCAGCACGGATGCCGTACAACGTCGTGTCAAGCCTCGTAAAGGCCGACCCCACCAGGCGCCCATGGTGTGAGCTGGGACGGAGGAGGAGGCAGGGGTAGGGGGGCGAGGTGGGAGCGGATGCCGCTCAAGAGTGGATGTAAGGCAAAGATGGAGCCCCATTTAGCTAGAGGGAGGCAGGGCCTAGGGACGAATGCAGGAGCGGTCGAGCGTGGAAGAGCGCCAGGAAAATAAGTAGATCAACTTCTGATCAAGGACTCAAGGTGCCGGCATCGTAACCTCATGAAGGTCGTAATGGATAAGTGGGTCTCTTTAAGGTGCGCTCAGGGGCCAAGTCGAGTGGGTGGGGAGGTGGCTGTCATGGTGCTACACAGAGCCCTTTGTTTGTGTGTGCGGCAGCAAGGATGTGTTGCAGCAACGAAACCGGGCGCAATCTAATGCGGCGGGTGCAGCCGGTCCGACTGCAAGCAATAAGTATGGCGTGCGGAGGGAAGAATTAATGAAGTAAGAAGTGCCATTTTGCAGGTCTATCAGGCGCATTACTAGGTATTTCAGATGCAGGCGCTGTAGGCTGCCCAAGCCCATCGGCTTGTCAGGGAGCGTGCGGTGTATTACTTCCGCGTGACATAATACATCATACCTGTAGGAAAGGAGCGACAAGGCGCGCGCCTGTCGTATGCCGGCAACAGCAATGCTGGCTATGCTGCTGGGCTGTAGGTAGATGCGGTGCCCGGATGTGCAGTGCAGGCGGTTTTGCGGTACGTGAATACGAATGCGGTGGTGCAGGTAGACATGGCTAGCATGCGGTAGGGCTGCAAGCCAACAGTGACGCAGGTAGAATGCGAAAGTTACAAGGGGGACCGGAGCTCCTAAAAGCCTGAAAGCCGTACAAGAGACCCAATCGCTAGCGGTACACGCTAGGCAGCCGCAACAAAGCAACCTACCCCAGGGACATGCCCTGCAGGTAGCGAGGTAGCCGTAGCTGGTTTAATGTACGGAAAGTATGAAAAGTATTGTGCGATGGGTGAATCAATTAGAAATGAGGCAGGTGGTGTGTGTGCCGGGAACACGTGCATTGTAGCCTAGCATCTTCCGTCAGGGCGGCGCTACCCTGGGGACAAGCTAGCCCCTGGAAGCTTCTCAGGGACGGTACATGTGTGTTAGAAGGAACGTATGAACATGTACTGTAGTGTTGGCAGCCCTGGACAATTGAACGTATGATATTACTTGAATAAGACATATAGGCTTTTACGCTGTTAGCAGACGATTTCTGTCTGGCATTTGTAGCTGACAGTACGACAGTAACCGACATAGCGGCACACCGAGCTGCTGCGTAGATGCAGTATCAGTAACAGCTGGCTGGCAGTTTGATGCAGCCGACCCATGGCTCAGCGGCCTACATCAACCTTTGTACAGCGCAGGCATATCAGCCTCAGAGTGCATTTAACCCAGCAGTGGGGCCCTCCCGTGATGTGCGTAAAGAGCCAACACATGTGCTGCGGACAAGCAAGTGCAGACGCAGGGCTATCCAATAAGGGCCGAAGGAGCGTCAGTGGCGTTGTATTTACAGCTAGACGTGTGGTGCGACCTCTCTTAGTACGACAGATGCTTAGTATACAGAACTAACGATAACGGTGGTACGGCATAAGGACACCATATCACGTACGGCACTACAAGCCTAAAAAAGCATTCACATGCATCCTCTGGCCACGACTCGTCATACGTACCGGTAGGTGTACCAAACCTTGCTGCCCTTGTTGAGAGCGCAAGGGCCATGATCCCTTTAAGCATAGCAGCCTTCAAACATGACAAGGACTCCACGACACTCAACATGTGCACATGCAAGGCTGGTTGCGGCCCGTTACAGCAGCCGCCCGAGGGGCTCCGTACGGACCGCGCCAGAGGAACGCACCTGCGTTGTAGTACCGGTAATGCTACCGGACCAGCCGACCCACCCAATTATTGCAAGAGACCTATTACTGCGTGCGGTTTGGGGCTACTGGGAAATAACGATATCACCACGCACCATGCACTCTCTGGCACGCACTCGCACACGCTCCGCCACAAGTACGGTAACGCTCTCGCGGCATGCACACGAAACTTCAGCAGTATGCAACTACTACCCTCGCAAAGTATGCCCATAGAAGGCAGACCAGCTGCCCGTATTAATCCTCTTTCCAACCTCACCTCCCCCAATGCGTCCCTAACCAAATGCACGCTGCAATGCACTTCAAGCAGTCTAATGCGTGGAGAACCCCGGGAGCAGCGCGGCTGTTGTCGACTAGTGCGCCAACAACCCTTCCGCCACCTGAAAGCTCTCCGCATGAACCATGACACCAACCATGACACAAGGCACCTCCCCCCCATCCTACAAAGCTTCCAGGGCGCTGCGGAAAGCATGCACGCATCCAGACGCAACTCCTCGACACACCGCGTCTTAAGCAAGTCTAGTACCACTCCTTGCTTGCGTTGCACACCACTCTTCTCGAGTCGGACGCAACCCCTCTCAAGTCGAATTAGAGTACAAAGGATCACAGCACGCGACACAGCGTGCTCCCCCAATTCCCCTCATCCAACACCCACCGGACGACCCAATACCCGCACCCACCCTTGCCCCCTAATCCCCTCCCTCCTCACTCCTCTCCCGCTCACCTCCCCACATAAACTTCTCCCCCTCCTCCATCTCCTCCTCACCACCACACCACCACCACACCACCATCATCATCCTACCCTCCTTCAAGCCACCGCCGGCGCAGCAACCGCAACCGCCGCCGCCGCCGCACCCCCACCGCTGCTGCTCCCACCCGCCTGCTGCCCGCCCTCCCTCTGCAGCTTCTCCAGCAGCTCCTGCGTGAGGCGCTCATCCTCCCGGTCCATGGCCACGCCCCCCTGCCGCAGCACCGCCCCCAGGGCCGCCCCCAGCGCCCACATGCACCCCGCGACGGCCCGCAGCAGCGGCTGCCCGCTGCCCCACAGCGCCGCGCCGCCCATGAAGAGCGCGGCGAAGAAGGCGCCCAGCACCAGGGATGCGAGGCCGGAGGTGCGCTCCAGGCAGACGGTGTCCATTCCTGGAGGGGGAGGAGGGAGGGGAGAAGGAGAGGGAGGGGGGAGGGGGGAGGAGAGGGGGTTCGTAAGGGGGCAAAAGGGGGCGATGACGTTGGTTTATGCATTCAAGTACTCGCCCAAGAAGCCCAACCGAACAGGCTTCATGCAGTCCTAGCAGCAACACTACTAGGTCATAGCATCCTTCGGTTCCCTCACGCCTGACCCGGCTGGTCTCTCCTCCTGCTCTCCTGCCCTCCTCTGCTCTCCTGCCCTCCCCGTTCCCCCTTCCCCCTTCCCCCTTCCCGCCCGCCCCGCCCTCCCTGCCCCTGCTCCCACCGGCGTTCTCCGCCGCGCCTCCCCGCGTGAACACGAACAGCGAGCCGCGTGTGCCGCGACCCAGCCGCACCCGCTCGTCCAGGTAGGTGGTCACCAGGCCCACACTGCTCACACGGCCTGGAGGGACGGGGGAAGGGAAGGGGGCAGAAGGAGGGGAGGGAAGGGGTTCGGGGACCCGAGCAAAATATACGTAGGCGTTTACCCGCCTATGCGCGCACACAAGCACACGATACGCAGCCGCACCTTCCAACGCCTGTATTCCCCGGGCCTGTACGAGACCCTGGATTACGTCGTCTCATCCACCCCATCACCAGTGCTCAGGTGCAGGCAGAGATCAGCCCTACGCATCCCCAGTTCCCCACAGGTCACTCAACCCTACCTCCTCGCATCCACCATCCCCTCATTCAACACACTGGGCATTCTTCTTTTCCCCCCGCCACCCACCGATCCTCAGGTGCAGGCAGTTGGCCAGGCTGAGCACGGGCCGCTCGAACAGCACCGCCACCGTGTCACCGCCCTCGCCCTGCGGCACCACCCGGCCGCGCAGGCCCACGTAGCCAGGGAGCAGCCCGAACAACTTGAACTCCACCTGGGGGGGTGAGGGGGGGTGAGGGGGGCAATGTGTATAGGCATCCCGGGCATAGGCTGGAGAGGCTGGTGATCCCACGGAGGGGGAGAAGGTAGGAGTGAAGCACTGGAGTCCCTCCCTCGACCTCACCTTGTTGGTTGCGATGTCGGGCTGGATGACGCTCTGGAACAGACCCGCGGTGCGGAACAGGAAGCGACCCAGACGGCTGCGGAAGCGCCCGCCAGCGGCTGCGGTTGCGGGTGTTGCGGTTGCGGTTAGGAATGCATTCGGTTGGGTGAGGACGAGCATAAGCAAGAGTATGTAGGCGAGAGGGGGAGAGGAAAGGGCATGGTATGATACGTGGGATGACCGTAAACCGGTTTAAACACGCAGCTCGCAGCCCGCCCAAAGCACCCTCCTGACGACGCCTCCTCAAGAACCACACACGCCATTTCCGGTACCGCCGGCACCGGGGCACTCCAAACCGCCTGTAAATCGGTTGCCAACCCTGACGCTAACCCGCACTTTATTTGTGTCCCACCCCCCAGTTAGTTGTTTCCTCTATACCAACCCCCAGTTCCCCCCTACTCACGCTCCCCACGCTCCGGCGCCCTGCCGGGGGAGGTGTAGTCCACGTTGTAGTGCCCCCACAGCAGCGGGTTCTCCAGCGGGCGCGGCTGCTGCTGCTGCCCCACCGCCTCCAGCCGCTCCAGCAGGGTGTCCACGTGGTCGCGCTGGGCGGCGGTCAGGGACTGGCCGCTGTCTGTGTGGGGTGGGAGGACATGGTTTGGAGGGGGGGGGAGGGAGAGGGGGGCTGGGGAGAGTGCACGGGCGAGGGGGGGCAATGCGGTGGAGGGAGAGGAGGGGAGGGGAGGAGAGGAGGAGGTAAGGGGATGGTGGTGTGTGGGAGGAGGACGGGAGGTGAGAGGTGGGAACGGAAGAGGAGGTGGTGAGGGTGGGTGGTGAGGAGTCTCTGAGATGCCTGTTTGGAAGTGCTTTGAGCAGCGGTGTTGCATTTCGTAAACTAGGGTTTTGTGAGGACCTCAATGAACGGAAACGAAAGGGAAGGAGGTTGGACAGGTACACACGGCCAAGAGCAGTAAAGATCTAGGAACAACATATAAGAAAATGCGTTGCGTGCTGGCTTGTACGACGGTGACAAATTCAAGATCTAACGGTCAAAGGCATTAAGATATTTCCACAGTGATTTTTGGTTTGCCGATTTGTCCTCACCCGTATCCTTGATGGCTGCTAGGACTTGATCCACGAGGGCGCGAGCCTCATCGGGAGATACCTTCGCTGCGGCAGGAACCTCAGGAGCCGGAGCAGTAGGGGCGTCGGTGCTGATAGTAATAGTATCGGCTGTCGTGCCTCCAGGAGTGCGGCAAATGAGATGGCCGCGGTATGACCTGTGTCCGGAATACGCATGGGCGCGCATGGGCGTCCAGGTCTGCGGCATGGCCCGGCGTGAGACGCTGGGCGATGCAGTCACTGGCTGCATGATAGAAATCATTTATCTAAGCTCTCTGTGAACAAGATTGTGCTAGTGTCTTCAACTATAACGAACTTCAGAAATGGAAAACCTTATAGTATGGATCCGGTGAGCCAGTGAGCATATACCACTGATACAAAAGCGTGTAGTGTGCAAGGAAATGCCGATCCTTGGAAGATGGGCCAAGCATTTATAGGTCTCGGAGCTATTAGTACAAACCTTAGTACTACTTCTTCAAAGCCTGCAATGTTAAGCCTTGGAGTCTTCGGTTTGGCAGTCCTTATTCTGGGTATTACAGGACGCTTTCGTCCTTCGGCCTTCTTAGTTAAGTAGAAGGGCAACCATGAAACCCGGATATGGTGGCAAGAAGAACAAAAAGAAGAAGCAGAAGAAGCAAAAGGATCCTAAGAATGCAGACGCAAGCATGAATGATGCTGCCATGGTATCGTCGGACGACGGCATTGACTACACGATTCCCAAGGACACTAGCGTAACAGCGGAGCTGACGGCCAAGGACCGGCATAAGGCCAAGGTATCGCAGAAGGCGGCGCTGAGGGTTAAGGTCGCCAAGCTCAAGCAGGCCAGGTAACCGGCGGCGGCGTTACCTACGTTTCCAGCGTTAATTGCGTAATGCAGGGCTAAGTGAAGCGCAAGCACTGGCTCGCTGGATGCCCGCACGCTTTTTATGCATATAGGTCACTGCGATTCACTGTAGTAAAAAAGACTGCCTTAAGTGTGTCCCCACCGACACACTTTTCTCCCCCGCAACCGAAGCTCCCTTTCCCCTCACCGCCTTTCCTTAGGGCCAAGCTCACTAAGCTTCCCGGTAACAAGGTGCAGCGTAAGGAGGTATCTGCCGCCAAGCAGGAGGCCTTGACGGAGTTGAGAGAGCTGCAGAAGGATAAGACTGAGAAGAAGGGTGGCAAGAAGAAGAAGGGCAAGGGCAAGCAGGGAGCCGCAGCAGCCCCCGCTGCGGACGGCGCCGCAGCTATGGACGCCGAGTAGGAGCGTTCTGTGGGGTTTGGTGTGTTGGTACGGGTCGTGCACGACCCAAGCAAATGTAGCTTAGGCTGCGGCTCAGGTAATGTCTGGGTCGGAGACGAAAGCTCGACCAGTGAAAGGATTGGCTACTTGGCTAAAGCTTAGGAGTATGCCTGATGCGCTGGTATGGGCATCCGGCATTCATGTCCCTCTTGAAAGATATGCTGCTGAGCGCCCTCGTCTGCGGGGGGGGGGATGGGGTTCCTTAAGGAACATAAGAACACGAGCGTGTGGACGTTTGAAAAAATGACAGTCTTGCTTTCACCCTTGGAACCCTGTGAGGTGTAACATTGCAAATAATTGGGGTAGCGGCAAGCGCCGTATGACTCACTGGGACAGGTGCACGTAATTGCCAGACTCCTAGCTTCTATTTTTTAGATTTTACCAGATAGCGTGTAGTACAGACAAGCACGGAAAGGGTGGCGGGGCTGACGTTCCGGCAACGCACGGCGTGGGGGACTCCCCACAGACCGGAGCGGGGGCTGGGTGTTTTAAAGGTAGATAAAGCGCCCAAATAACGCTAGGCTTTGACTCATCCTGAGGCCTTGCGTACCTTGGCCATTGTTTTTTATTTGCGGATGGGTGCCTTATTGTAGCGTGATCATGTTGCTTGGATGTTTGGCTGTTGCTTGCTGGGGAAACGGCGGCGCCGCGGAGGCGACTAGCAGTGGGGCGAACTTGGGGTGCGGTCTACCGTTCAGGTGGTGGCCTGTGCATGGCTGTAAAGCGACGTAGGGACATCTCGGTGGCTTCGTGAGTGCACGCCGCTGCTGTGTTCCGAGGCTGTGCCGCGGCTGCTCCTGTTATATCCGGGGATGACCTGTAGCTACGCATAAAAGCTGTAAAGACGCTATGCCACAGGGGCAAGCAATCATCTACTCACTGTTCTACTCATCTACTCGCCCTACCCACTCAGGCCTTCTAGAGACCTTCTAGAGACACCAACCGCCGGGTGGCTACATATGCTCACCGCAACTACGGCTAAGTATACGACACATCCACCTGCACGTATCCACACTACGCATTTATTCGTGCTGAGCTGTTAGCCGTCCGATGTTACTGCTGCGCGGGGTAGGAAGGCGGTACAAATGGAACTCTTTTGCTGCATGTGCACGACCAGGGCACGACCCATACACTTAAGCACATCCCTAGCACCTAAGTACGTCTTTTGCTATGTGGGGCTAGCACTGTGCACCCACTTACTATACATACCGTCGACATCCTAGTCCGCACCTAGTCACGAGGTCCAAGCAGAACCCTGCACGAATCACGAGCACCTGGCGGTACCGGGCATGCACTCTTGAACCGCCTGCCTCACGAGTAAGACGGCATACTATGATCCCAAGCCCTGTCAGCTTTCTGTTGCAAGCCTATAATGTCTGTATGCTCTACGTCTGTATCCTGCCTTGGTCGAAGCAAAACACAGCCACGTAGCCCAACCACCAGCCGTCCTCTCACTACTGCTTGCGGCGCTTGCCGGCCGGCGCCTCCTTCACAAAGTCTCCGTCGCCGTCCTCGTCGGCATCACTGCTGCCCCCATCGCCCTGTCCGCTGCCCTTCCCCTCTTCCTCGCTCCCCGAGCAGCTCTTCCGTTCCGTCGTCGCAGACGCCTTCTTGCCGCTCCGCCGTCGTGCCTTGCCGGTCGCGTCAGCCGCCTCCTCTCCTGCGTCCTGCTGCTGCGACTTCCGCTTGCTCTTAGACTGCTTCTCCTTCTTCTGCTTCTTCCCCACGTCCTTCTTCTCCTCCTCCACCACCTCCTCGTCGGAATCATCCACCAGGACGACGTCCGAATCGCCCTGGCACTTCTGCTCTGACTTCGGCTGCTGCTCCTCCTTCCCCTCCTGCTTCTCGCCAACCGGCTTTGCCACCGCCGCCTTACCACCAGCCGGCTGTCCCACATCCGCCCCCTCCGGCGGCGGCTGGTACCTCCCCTCCAACACCTCCGTCAGCTCACTGCCGTACAGCTCGTACCTGCGCACACCCACCACCTCCCGCAGCGCCGCCTCCGTCACCGGCGGCTGCAGCGCGCACAGCGCCACCATCTGCTCCGTGGGCAGCACCGAGTGAGGGAACACCTGCAGGCTGCGAGCCCGCTGCGTCCGCCAGCTCTCCAGGGAGGCCCGCATGGGACCGCCACCACCACCGTCTCCTCCATCGCTAGTGCTGCGAATTGCAGGGGCGGGTGAAGGGGCGGCTGCCGCGGCTGCAGTTGCGGCCTTGGTCTTCTTGCCGGATGGGGAAGCAGCAGAGGCGCCGGCAGCAGTGCTGGAGGGCGAGGACGGGTGGGAGGGCAGCAGCAGGCGCAGCTTCTTGGTGTCGCCCGCCTCGTAGGCATCCAGCAGCTGCTGGCCTCGCGCGGAGGCCCTGCAAGCAAGGAAGAAGGAAGGCGGATTAGTAGGGCGAACACCAGAGCATCCAAGCGAGGCCGCCGGTGCCCGTCATCCAAGCCAACTTAAGTTAGGTGCTGAAGACGGAGCATTGGCACTCATAACCGGCAGGCCTGCCATGTGTGTGGAATAGTCACGACAACAAACAGGTGTGAGCTGTGTACCTGAGGTAGGCGTTGGTGGCGTAGGCCGTGTGCCCGAACTCAAACTCCAGTAGCCCCGCGTACGTCATGGCGGCAACAACCGCCTGGGGACCGAGCGCCGGGAGCGCATGGAGTGAGCAAGCGAGCGGTGCTTCAGTCTCCCCGGTTCGAAAACAAGGCAGTATTTTTGCAAAAGAGGCGAAGCAGCAATAAACCACAGGAGGCCAAATCAACCCCCAATCAACAGCTCGTATGCTCTATGCCGTTGACCGCGTCTAAGTAGCAGGCCACGTGAGGTGAACATAACATTCCCCGTCCCGTCCTCTGCAGGATCCCCTGCATTGCCATCCCAGTGCCCCGCACCCACCTCATTCTCGTCCTTGCTCATGGCCTTGGCCTCCCGGCCCACCGCGTCCTTGCTGCCGCGCCACAGGTCCACCAGCTGGATGAGGGTGGCCTTCTTGTCCTTGGCCTGGGACGTAACGAAGCAGGAAGCAAGACCAACCGCAGATTCAGGGATATGGAGCAGAGGCGAAGATAGGAACTAGGGTCGTTGCTGAAGCAAGGATTGGTGCGAAGCAGGCTATCGACTGCATCAGCAGCTGCACATGGGAGTGACGGTGAGAGAGCAAGCATGACATACTCATATAAAGCGGTAAGGAGACCACAGGAGACTGCAGGAAGAAGGTCGGCGCCAGCGGAGACCTGAACGCCCCGCGGACACAAGCAACTCACGTGCTGGTCGCGCAGGATGCCGAGGATAGTTGCCGCGTGGCGGGAGACGTCCCGCGGCTGAGACGCAGCGGCGCCCGCCCCCGCACAGCAATTGTCGCACATGCACCTGCGCCCAGAAGAAAGAGAGCGACCCATGGGTCACCATTGGATTGCCCGTGAATGCGAGCCCAGGACCACATCCTGACGATGCGCATCCTGACGATGACACACCGCCCTAGTACCGCCGTGGGACATGGCTCTCAAAGTCCCATGCCCATCATGTCAGCAGCCCCGCCCACCTGCACTCAGCCGGCGCCTCAGCGAAGTGGCGCTGGATGATGGCGCGGCGGCAGGCGGCATCTGCCCCGTCCGGCGAGCCCGCCGCGTAGGACATCATGGCCGTCAGGTTGGGTTGCCAGGTGGGCTCGAAGCACACGATGGCCGCCTGGCGGAGCGCGTCTGAGAAGCTGCGGAAGGAGGAGGAGGGAGGGAGGGAAAGGGGAGAGGGCATCAGTATGTCTTGTCCGTTGTCCCCAATGGCAAGCTGGATACGGGTATTCGCCCTGTTACACTGGCCAAGGAAACCCCCGTAGGATCCACCCACCGGTAGAACATCATGCAGCGGGCGGGCAGACCGTCACGGCCAGCTCGTCCAGACTCCTGCAATGCAAGCCGTCGCAGGGGACATGTTAGGATTGGCCTTGTTGACAGTAGTCGTACCAGTACAATATTAAAGGAGCGCACCGCATGAGCGTTCAACGCATGCAAGCCACAGGCAGTAGCATTCCAGCAGGAAGCTGTCTCCCACATTCCCAGTCTTTCCATGGTACCAAGGGCGCGCTGCTGACCTGGTAGTAGTTCTCCAGCGACTTGCTGAGGCTGTGGTGCACCACGAAGCGCACGTCGGGCTTGTTGATGCCCATGCCGAACGCAACCGTCGCAACCATCACCTGAGGCGAACAACCGAACAAGGTTAACCAATTGTCTGAAAGGTACCAGCAACCGACGTGAAGGACCTTTCTAGCTGATGCAATGTAGAGAGAAGCAACTGCACGCGTTCTTGTTCCGCAGATGGCGCACCATCTTGCCACGACAGCGCACCTGCACCGTGCCTGCGCTCCACGCTGCATGCGCGGCCTCACGGGGCCCGGGCTCCATGTCCGCGTGGTAGTGCCGCGCAGTGACGCCTCCCGCCGTGAGCTCCGAAGCCACCGTCTCGCAGTCCTTCCTGCATGGACGAAAGGAACGCGCGCAGGACAACATTGACCTCATGCAAGCAGCCCGCAGGATGGGCAGGAGCCCTATCCAACCAAGTGCTACCGGTAATGACGGATGCCGTCTGTTGGGTGGGAGGCAATGACAGGTGTTGGAAGCATGAGCCTCTAGCGTGCTCTTACCGCGTGAGGCAGTACACGATGCCCGACTCCCCGCGCGGGTAGTGCTCCCGGATCCAGCCCACAATGGCGCTGGTGGCATCCGCGGGCGCTGCGGGCTTGGGCAGCACCTGGTAGAACAGGTTGGGCCGGTTGACGGAGGCGCGGAAGAATTCGCAGCCCTGGATGCGCAGGATGGACTTGAGGTCCTCGCACACCTGCGCGCGTAGCGAAAATTGGTGCGGTACCGGTAGTTAAGAAATATAAGTAAGTGTTGGGCTGATGTCGTGTCATGACTTGCTGCTGGGGTTGCTGGCCCCAGGGCCTGCGTTTGCCATGGCGGCCACCCCTCATGTCGGCTCACCTGGTGCGTGGCGGTGGCGGTGAGCGCTATGATGGGCACCGCTGGGAACTGCTGCTTGAGAATGCCCAGCTTCTTGTAGTCCTGCGGGGGTGTACGACGGCATGTGGTCAGGCGGGTGGCGCAAGAGTTGAAACGTGGAGAGCCACAACGGGAAGGAAAGCGCCGCATCAGCAACGTGCGCCATGCTAACGCTGGGATCTCTCGTTATGCGAGGAATACCGTACTTAAGAAAGAGCAGCGTTACCTCCGTGCGTTAGGTCCCGTAGCGGCTCAGTAGAAGGCCCCTGCTGGAGTGGACAAGCTTACCGGTCGGAAGTCGTTGCCCCAGGAGCTGGCGCAATGGGCCTCGTCGATGGCGATGCGGTCCAAGCGGCCCGCCTGAAGCGCAAGGGAGAATGTGCGGCTGAGGAGAATGACGGCGTCGTAAGCACAAGCGAACATTTACCGCGGTGACTACCGGTAGTACGATGCAGGACAGGTTGGTTGATGAGCGCAGACCGCCGTATACGAGCTCCTGTCGCGACACGTCTAGACCCGGAGGGTGCGCGCCACATCGTACCCTACCTGGTGCACCTTCTCCAGCTTGCTCATGAAGCGCTTTGACGAAACAATCCTGCGGATAAGAACACCAGCTCGGATCGCCAACGACTGGATTGCATGAAGCACAGCTATGCAGCGCATACCGTGCTTCCAATCCCAGCAGAGTTCGCAACGGCCAGGACAACGACCAGACTGCTGAACATGCACGGGTACAGAATCCTGACAGGTCAACCTACTTTTCCGGCGTCACGTACAGCAGCTTGAGCTCGCCCTTGTCCATCTTGCCGTACACCGCCGCCGTGTCTTCCTTGCTGCTGAGGCTCGTCAGGCAGCCGCCGCTGATGCCCAGCGCCTTCAGGGAGAGCACCTGACGCGGGAAGCGGTAAGAGCGTTGAGACGAAAGCGAGCGAGGACGCCAGTGCCGGGCGGCATAAGTGCTTGAGCATCTGGGTCAGTAATCTATATGCCTTGGGAAAATACAGTAACGAAGTGGGTCAGAGGGGCAAGATACTACAGAGCGCAGACAGTGGGTTGGAATGGTTAGGGAAAGCCAGCAGAGCGGTGCGAGGCAAGGGGCGTGTTCACAAGCCAGGGAGGTATTAAGCCTGAGGCCATGTGGGTCAGCCTGTGTTAGGGCATGACGTGCAAAGCAGTCCGCGCTTCAGGGTTAGGACAATGAATCAGCTGGCGGCGGGTAACTGACGTTGCAATGCGAACTGTGGCTGCCATTGGCAGCGTTGGCCATGTGGGTCGGCATGAAGAGGCCAGAGTCGATCAATGCGCTGGCCATGTGGGTCAAGGAGGACCAGGGCAAGAGGAAGAGCGGCACTCGAACAGACACATCAACGAGGTACCATGCTCCTCCCATCGACGTTAACGGGCATCCAGGCAGTCATCACAGTAAGGGATAGGAGGCATTGTGCAGGTGTGTTGCTGCATGTGCCCTGAGCAAGTGGGTCTGCTGAAAGGAACTTCCCCTTTAGGGAGCGAGGATTTCCCCTTTAACCCTCTTCCTGAAAGCAGCATTCACCTCGAAACGCTGCGGCTCACCTGGTCTTGGATGAGCGACAGCAGCGGTGACACCACCAGCGTCAACCCTGAGCCAACCAGCGCCGGCAGCTGGTAGCACAGGCTCTTGCCGCCGCCGCTGGGCAGCAGGCACAGCACGTCGCGGCCTTGGAGAGTAGCGTTCATCACCTCGCGCTGGAGCGGCCTGCATGCAAGCAGAGAGGGTCGTAAGAGTTGCTGACTTAGCCTTGTAGCATAGGGCGAGTCGAGTAGGTCGCGTTTGCACGGATAGGCCACAGGATGGCTATGGGCTTGACGAGATGACGACCATGACGAATTCTGGCTAGACGAAAAGGCATAGGAAAGCCGTGCAACTGCGCTAGGAAGCCAAGCCGGAATAAAACCTCAGGCTGTTAGGCATCAAGCTGCAGCCCGCTAGGTAGGTCAAAGAGAAGAATAACAAACCCTGATGGACTTACCTGAACTCATGCAGGCCAAACACGTCGTGCAGCGTCTGGCTGAGCTTGGAACTCCACGGAAAGGAGTCCTGTTGCCAGTCAGCCTTTGGCGCACGCCTCTCTTGCTCGATACGCCGCAACAGCTGGTCCCGCTTGGCCCGAAGGTGGTCTTGCTGCTGCATCAGGTACTCAAGCTGGGACTTGACCTGCAAGGCCCCGGTGATGCTGGTGTTGGAATTTACGTCGGCTCAGAGCTAAAAACGCGAATGGCAGCAAGCGGTTGCTCCCATCGCACCTCGCCAAGCTCTGATTCTACTTCCGCAAGCTGAGTCTCAAGCGGCGACTCAGCGGCTGCAACATCCTCGCATCCATCACCCGTCAAGTCTTCAAACTCCGCCATACTTGATAGAAACGGAACGACGTATTATAATGGCTTCAAACACTTAGGGGGCCCTGGGTGCAAGCGTCGAAACGCGTCGGCAAAGGAAAGCTTGTTTACCTCCGGCTGTCGCCTACCCGGATTTTGGGCAGGACACCTGAAGGGATAGTAATAGGATAAGGCAGTTCAAAGATATATATGACTTTTATATGCAATAGCAGCCTTACGTACATCCGGTTGCGACCCCGATGCGCGATACCGGATTGACAACCTGTAATGTGTAATCTTCAGAAGGTCGTTACCCTACCTACTCATATTAATGCAAATTTCTTTCAGGATATCCTTTTGCTTTGGTATCAATCCAAACCTTTCCCCAACGCCGTTTCTGGTTACTGGAAAATAGGCCCTGCGGCCCAAGGGCCGCCCGCTGCAGTATGTGTTGCACAGCTAATAAGCTTATTTTAGGAAGCCGGTGAAGGTGTAGCAGCTGTTTAGTCAAGAGGTTGCGGTCAAGCAGGAAGATTTGGCTCTAAAGGGGCCTAGGTAGCCATGTTGCGCGACCCAATTACACTTGGTGTCGCAACTGCATGCACATGGCTGGCGGTGGCATCGGCCATTGTACAGGTTTGGCAGAGGCTTGGCAACATTGTATTGTGCTGGAATGCTTGCGCTAGGGCCTCAAAGGGATACCTGTTACGCAGATTCTATGCCACCTTCGCAACTACACGGAGCCTCTATACCAGGTAGGGACGTGCCACTTGCTCCCGAAATGTCTTGACTGCATGCTGACAATCGGCCTCTGTTCCTGCAGCGCTACATCATCCGCATTATTTTTATGGTCCCTTTCTATGGCGTGACATCATGGCTTTCGCTTATGTACCGGGAGTCTTCAATTTACTTCGACGTGCCACGCGACTGGTGGGTTAACATGCGCCGAGCCCTGTGCCCCCAGCCACAGCCCCGGCTTTTTACCTAACCACCTCGCTCAACACCCTCTCGCAGCTATGAGGCATGGGTGATCTACAACTTCTTGTCTCTTTGCATGGCTTATGTTGGCGGGCCCGGTGCTGTGGTGGTGAAGTCTGAGGGGAAGTACATCGAGCCGTCATGGATGCTCATGACGTGCTGCTGGCCCCCCATCAAGGTGGATGGCTTCTTCCTGCGGAAATGCAAACAGGGCACGCTACAGTTCGTGATTACTAAGCCCATTCTGGCATCCATGACCCTCATCTTGTTCGCGGGCGGCATGTACGAGGATGGTGATTGGAGCCTTACGAGCGGGTGGGTTGTGTGCGGCGCCTGTGTCGGAATTTCTGCCATCTGGGTTCCCTGCCCTGGGCACGGCGCTCAACCGCTTTCCTGCTGCACAGGTTCCTTTACATCTCCATCATCTACAACACATGTTACACAATTGCCCTTTACTACCTCCTCCTGTTCTACTTTGGGTGCGAGGAGCTTTTGGAGGTAGGGTGTCACGCGAAACAGCTGGCAGGTGATGCTTTGGACAGGGCGTAACCATCCCCGCACCGTGACTTTCTGCCCTGCAGCCGTACCGTCCCCTTATGAAGCTTATCCTCATCAAATCAGTCATTTTCCTGACGTTCTGGCAGGTAAGCCGAATTGGGTTGCAGTTGGCACCTAGCAAGCCGCAAGGGCTCTCAACCACCATCACCATGTTCTTTGCACGCCGCTTGGGGCGCACGCAGCCTTAACATGCATAACACAGCTCCCTCCCCACGCACTGTTGCCCTCTGTTGCTCCCCCCCTTCTCCCGCAGAGTATTGGCATCTCCATGTTCTCCTCCAAGTTCACGGACCCCACAGACTCGGGGGCGCTGCAGGACTGGATGGTGTGTCTGGAGATGCTCATGTCGGCGTGCATGATGTGGACCGCCTTCCCGCACACCGAGTACAAGATGGGCGGCCAGACGGCGGGCTGGCGCATGTCGGCGCTGCTGCACGCCATCAGCCTGCAGGACGTGTACAGTGACATCATGCACCAGGTGGGAGCTGCCGGCGGGTGGTGTGGATGGGTATGCCTGCAGGCAAGGTCCTGATGGCGATTTGGAGAGAGTTTGGGCTGTGCCATGGCTGCTGCAACGCCACTGCAGGGAGCGCTTGCCTCTATTACACGAAAGCGAGTGTGACAGCTATGGGCACCAACCCAAATGCCGGCCCTGCCCGCGGTTCTGCCCCCCCACCCGCTGCCCTGCCTCCTGCAGTTCAACCCCAACTACAAGACGTACGTGCTGTACAGCGATGGCGGCCCCTCCGAGAATGTCAAGCGGAAAAAGTTCCGCGCGGGTGGCAAGAAGCAGATGCACAAGCGGCTCAGCAAGGGGGCGGACCTAGCTGCCATGGAGGAGGGCAGCCGGCACGGCAAGGGACGCCCCGCCAGGGTGACCCGGAACAGCAGCGGCGGCGGGAAGATTCCTGGTGGGAGCCCTGGGCATGGGAAGGGGGCATGAAATGGAGGGCCGTGCGGGCTCATGTCGCTTGCGGAGGAGTTCTGGCGAAGGGGCTATCGTGGGTTGGCGGTGCACGGCAGGCTCGTTGGCGCTGACACTATTGCCAATCGGCCCAGATCATACCTACCTTCATCCTCATAGACTTGTTCCCCTCCACACGCCCGTACCGTATGCACACGCCCATGTGCCTGCCCCGCTTGTTGCATGCTGCAGTCATGTCGGTGGGCGATGAGGAGGGAGGCGAGTGGAACCCGCCTCCCAAGCCAGCTAGCAAGGCCGCCTCCTTCTTCGGCAAGCCGGGCACGGGCAAGGGCGTGTTCGGCTGGCTGCCCGCCATTAGCGAGAAGGAGCGCAAGCAGGCGGTGCTGGTGGACTCGGAGTCGGACGCGGAGTACGATGACGACAACATGCATGTAGGTTACTGGTGCGGTGGCGGCTGGATGCGGGGGATTTTGGTGAACACAACGCCTGGATGTGGGGAAGGGGCCGAAAGAGTGGCGCATGGATTTTGCTGCACATAAGGCGGTTGTGATGATGCCCTCAGGCTTGGCATATACCGTGTTTATGGTACTTTTGCCATGGCTGGTATTAAGCCCTTGCGTCTCGCACCGTTACACCACCCACTTCGCACCCTCCCCGCAGGAAACGGCCCTGGACCACGAGATGTTGGGTGCCTCCTCAGACAGCGAGGACGGCGAGGGCCACCGCCCGCGCACCCGCGGCTCCGGACCCACCTCCGGCAGCGCTTCCACCAGCCGCAGCCCCAGCCGCCGCCGCTCGGGCACCGGGGACAGCGGCGAGGACGAGGACGGCGACCGGCAGGGGCCCGCCAAGCAGCTGCGAGCGGCGGCGGCGGTGCTGCGCAACATCGGCAACATCACGCGTGAGACGCTGGGTGTGCCGCAACTGGAGGATTCGGATGATGACGACCGCATGCTGTGATCATGCGTGGAGAGGGGGGGGGATTCGGTGGGTGTGGCCTTATCGGGACTGGCCCCCTTGTCGTCAGAAGGTAACCTCCCAACCAGCCCAGGCACAGCGCAACGTAACGCAGCGGTGCCTGGTCCAAAGGTAGTGATGGGCACCTCCTCGCACCCGCGCTGCTGTTGTTTCGTGCGGGTAAGGAGCCCAGTGGATCTTGAGCGTGAGGGGCGGGTTTGCCAAACCGAAGCTCTCCACGTCCCTTGCGGTCGAGGGAGAGCGAGCGAGCGGTTAGATTGCACAGGGTGGGTATGCGCGTGTGGATTGCGCGCACTACACCGTGAAGCCCGCGGAGGGTATTGGACGAAGCAGAGTTTAGAGCTGTAGACCGTGTTATGGCACATGTTACATGCATAGAGTACATTCGCGTGGTTTGGGGCGTGCTCAGGCTGTGATCGGTATAGCCGTCGACTGACAACGTTGGGTTCATCCTTTTTAGCACGCCGCCTGTCAAAGGGGCTTGTGCTGGGGGATGCAGCGCGGAATGCGGTACGTGCACCTGCCGCCGAAGGTTGACGTGATCCTCTGCCAGGCGGGTCGAATGAAATGTGATACGCAACGTGTGATGGTGCGTGCTGGTTGAGTATATGCCGCGGACATATCCACTGCAATGCAGTCGTCAACGGCTATTTCGTTTGGTACGGGGCTGGCTCTTTACTGCTGGCCTCTCTGGGACTCGATAAGTGCAAATACTATACTGCGTAATATACAGTGTGACATAGCGCAAACATTCTATAATGTTATGAGGAAGTGCCGTCCTTAACTTGGTAAGTTGACTAAGACCCCAGCCTTCCGGTGACACTCCTGTTGCGAATAGGATGGGGACAGGGGGCGCGTGCCTGTGTGGTTCAGTGTTATGGTACCCGGGAGATTGGATTTGTCCCAATCTGCCCCTGGCCGATCACCCAACAGCACCGCTACCCTTTGTAACGACATGACATACCCCTCCCTGACTCCCTTTCAGCAGTTTCCCTGACTCCCTTTCAGCAGCTGACGCTCGCCGGCTTCCCTATTTCGCTCAGCCTTCAGCCAAGCACTCCTCCACTCTCTTTCATCCCTAACCCTCCTCCCTAACCTACACCCTGCTCCGCTTCCGCTCTGTGTAGCTTGTCGGAGCAGTCCGGCGGTGTCTGGGCCGGGTTCCGGGCGAAGGGGCCTTTCCTTCCTGCTCCATGGGTGCCCCCCTCTTAACCGCTACCACTTAACGCCTTACGGGTTGGTTAGCCAACCCACCGCACACTCCTCAGCCCATCCGCAGCAACCATTCTTCTGCTATCCTATGCATGCACGCACCCCGCACCGACTACGCCTTACATGTACCCTAGGCCACCAGCTCCAAGCGCCTCCTCCCGCCTCCCCACCTCCCGCCCTCACGGCCATAACCGCGGACATGCCGCTAGGTCCGCATCATACTCCACGCACGCCGCCCCTCCCGGCGCGTACGTGTGCTTCACCCTGCTCCTGAAGCCCCGCGCATCGCAGTGCTGCCACTCCACATCCCACTGGCTCACGCTACACAGCGGCAACCGCTCCTCGCGCTCAGCTGCCCCCGGGTGGTACTGGTACGCATCCAGCAGCCGCTTAAACCCGCCTTTCGCGTACAGATCCCCCCACGTCATGCCCACACCAGCATCATCACTACCGCCATTACTATTCTCATTGCTATCATCATCATTACTAACACCACTAGCGCTACTGTAACCACCGCTACTACCCTCCTCCGCCGGTCCGCTGCTACTCTCCTCCGTCTGTCCGCTGCTACTCTCCTCCTCCCCTGTCTGCATTACACCGCTATCCTCCCCACTCTCGCCCTCCTCATCCCCACCCTCCCCCTCCTCCGCATCTCCCAGCAAACCCCTAGCGCCCGCTTTACCGACCCGCTTCAACGTGGGCAGTGAGCCGGTGGGGTACTTGGCCTCGTGCGCCTCCCGCAGCTTCCTGCCGTACGTCTCCATGTCGGTGTCGCCGCACGCCACAAAGGTACGGAACTGCTCATCCGTGGCGGTGTAGCGCGCGGGGTGCAGGCCGGGGTAGGTCTGCTGCATGCGCAGGATCTCGAGGATGAACTCAAAGGCGTCCCATCTGGTGGAGGGGGGGATGGCAGGCAGGGAAGGAAGGGAAGCAGAGTGTCTTTACCGGTATAAATGAAGGAGCACATGGGGAGCAGGTGTGGTGGCTCCGTTGATGGGCTCCGATATGGTCGGTGACCGTAAAGGTGGTAGAGAGGGGGGGGCAAGACTTACGGTAGTAGTAGCGTACGAGCAGGGTCCATGCTCGCTTCCTCGGCTCCTGATTGCCCCTTTCAGGCCGCCCGCCCCTATCCACAGCGAACGCGGTCATGGTCGCCCCGCCCATGCTCGCCACCCATGCCGCCATGCGCCCGGCCCCTCCTCCCTCCCCCTCTTTTCTTTTTTCCGTCCCCCTCCTCCCCCACCTTCCGTCCTCCTGCATGAACGCCCCACTGGAGCTGCTGAACACCATGTGCTGCGCGGCGCAGCGCAGTGCGTCCTGCCGCCGCCGCAGCGCCTGCTCGCCGCTCTCCGCCTGCAGCGTCAGGTGCAGCGACGGCACGTCCGCCTGCGCCACCCGCAGGCTGAAGGCGGCCCAGTCCATCTCCGGCTCGAAGGGCTGCATCACGTCGTCGCTGACAATGAGCGGCAGGCAGCCCATCAGGGATACAAGCACCTGGATGGGGGGCGGGCGGGCGGGCGGGAGGGAGGGAGGGGGAGGGGGAACAACAAATGAGAAGTGCAGCAACTGGAGACCCAAACCCAAGGGGGAAGGGGTAGGAGGTGTTGCATGGAGAGAGAGAGAGAGAGGGTCCGAGTAGCCGTTCAGTAAAAGCTGTAGGGCCTGGCTGCATGCAGGGTGTCTGTGGCTCCTTCCTTGGGCCCTCTCATGGCGGCGGTGGCCCCCTCCCCCCTTGCTAGCCTCCTGATGACTCCCCCGCTGTCGTACCTGCCGGTGTCCATGACCGCCCCCCGAGGGCGCCAAACACCACCTGCGGGTCATCACGTGAGGGGGAGGGGGAGACAGTCGGGGGCCGGGGGAGAGAGCATCACACGGGCCCTATCGCACACAGCATCAAGCCTCCAGCCCTCACCCCCTTCCTTCCTGCCCCCCCTCACTTGTAGTTGAGCAGGTCGGGTGCGTAGTCGGAGTTGTGGGTCACGATCTTGTAACCCGTGCGGTTGTGGTGGTGGTAGTGGACCTGGGGGGGGGGTGCGGGGCGGGGGAGAGGGTGCCGGGTTTTTCACTCATGCACGCTGTTGTGCGGCGGCAGCAGCGGCAGGAGGAGGAGGAGGAGCTGCGCCCCGATAATGACAAACTCTGACAGCACCGCAGACAATCAAGCCCCGTGCAGTTTACCCCGCCACATGCACGTCACTGGGCACCATGAACTTCAACTCACATGCGCCCACTCACACACACCCCAAAACCCCACACATCCAGCCCGCCCCAAACCCGCCCCACCAGCTGTCTCGCCCCCTGCGAGTACCCCGAGCTGCGGTTGGTCGCGCAGTGCGGCCAGGGACGTGTGGGGCTGGGCTCGGAGTGGTCGCCGCAGATGCGGCCCTAAGGGGGCGGAGGGGGAGGGGACAGGGGCGGATGGGGGATTAATTTGGAAACAGAATCCGCATCCCCTCCGCGGATGGGGGAGGGGAGGGAGACAAGGAGGGGGAGATGAGGTGGGGAGAGTGACATGCCACCCAAACCAAAGGGATGCACGAGGTTGTGCAGGTTGCAGGGCGGAGGCAGCAACGGGTGGACCACCTTCCCGCCCAGCCAGGGTACTCCCGAGCAGCCCTTTACCCCCCCCCCCCGGCCCCCTAGCAGTGCGGAATATCCATCACCTCCCGACCTCCCTCCATGGTGTTTTCTTCTTCTTTCCCCCTCCCCCTCCCCCTCCCTTTCCCCCTTCCCTAACCCCCATGCCTCCATCTCCAGGTAAGTTTCCCGTAACGCGTCTCGATAACATGTGTGCTAGTATACCCCATATGCGTGTTGCTTTGCATTTCGTGACCGGCGGCGCGGCGCATGTCTCCCTAGTGTTACCACGCAAGGCGGCTTCTTCCTCAAGTCGTCTCGGTTTACGGTAAGCAACGCTTCGGTAAGTAATTTGAGAAGCGTGTCTTTAGGATAGTGTCTCCGAATGCGCTCACTGCATGAGTCGGGATATGGGATTGGGACTCGTTGTTTCACATATTTAATTTTTTCCCTAACCCCCCGCCCCCCGCCCCCCTTCCCCCCCCCCCCATCTCCTCACCGCGAACAGCAGTGTCTGCGTGCGCGGCAGTCGGGGCGCCCGCGGGTGCAGCCCCGACAGCGCCGCCACACTGTGGCCCTGCCGCGAGCCGAAGTAGATGGGAACCACGACATCCTGGGGGGGGGGGAGGGGAGGAGGGGGTGAGGAAAGGGTGAGGGAAGGGTGAGGGAAGGGTGAGCACATGAGGGGTTTGGGTGGGAGGTGGGGAATACCCACCCATTCACCTCACCCGCCCACCCGCCCCTCCGCCCCCACCTTTCCCGGCCTGTGCGCCGCCTTCCACCCGGACGGCTTGTACTCCCGCGTGAGGCCCCAGTGGTGCAACCAGGTGAGGTTGGCGGTGGCGTCGCGGACAAGACCCTGGGGGGGAGAGGGGGGAGGTGTGGGTATTAAAAAGAAGCAAAGGAGGGGAGGGGAGGCACGGGGGTGGGGTAGGGTAGCCGGCCGGCCTCCTTCGTTATCAGCCAAACCGCCAAGCTGAGGTGTGATTGACTCCTCCTCCGTACGTCGACCTGATCCGGCGCTCGCCCTGCTCCAGGTAGGTCCTACCGACTTCCTTATTTTTACCCCTCCCTCCCTCCTTCTGCCTCATTATTTTGCCCACTTCTGGTGTCATATGGTTTACCGGTAATCTAACTTGACCCCCCTCCCACCCCCTATCTTTCTGTCTATCTGTCTGCATATCCTTGTATACCAGCTCCCACCCCACCCCCCCGGCTAGCAGCAGCGGTGCAGCACCCACCGTGACCTCCCCGCGCCCCGTGTCCCCCGTGTGGAACACGAAGTGGCGGTGGCCCTGCAGCCTGGGGGTGGGTACGGCAGGGGGTACGGCAAGGGGGTACGGCAGGGGGGTGGGTACGGCAAGGAGGGGTGGGGTAGAAGAGGGGTGAGAGGGGTAATGTGTATAGGGTTGGGGTGGAGGGCCGCGGTGGTTTGGTTTGGTAGGGGCGGAGGACGGGTCCGCGCCGGCGCTGTGGGAGATGGTTGGGAGGAGGCGGTGGGAGGTGGTGGTGGTGTGCACGCGTGGGGCTATCAGTGCTGTAGCGGGCCTCTCCCAGAGCTACAGCCGCATGCATATACTTTGATCACGGTCGACTCCAACTACGTTCCTACACGCGGCCAGTCTTCTTAACACATACCCAGGGGGCTGATGAGCGGGCTGGTGGGAGGCAAAGATGGGATGGGGGCGGCAGGAGCAGTAAAAAGGGGTAGGTGAGGTACCCCTCGAGGGGCCTACAAGCCAACCTCACCTGTCGTACCAGGGCCAGTGCTGTCGTACGTACTCTATGGTCTCCAGCAGCCGGTAGCCGTCCGAGGTGGAGCGCAGCTTGGCGGGGATCCAGTACCAGTCCTGGGAGGGGGGGTTGGGGGCGTTGGGGGGAAGGGTGAGAAGGGTGGGGGCATTGGGGGGAAAGTAGGTCACAAGGGGCTCGTATCTGTGCCCGTCACTGGCCGCCCCATCCCTCCCCTGAGCTCCAGCTCAGACCCCACTCCATCCTCCATCCTCCCAGCCCCCCCGCCCCCCCCCTCACCGCCTCCTCCCCATTCGCCACCATCACCCCACTGCCCAGCAGCCGCTCCCAAAACGCCCAATGAAGCCCGCGGTCAATCTTCATCGGGTTGTACCTGCAGGGGAGCGGGATAGGGGGAAGAGAGGAAGGCGGCAGTACTGGTATAGGCAGGCCGGTGGGGTTGGGCACCGGCTGCAGGAGGCGGTCTGGGCAGGGAGCGCGTAACCCTAGGACTAATCGCGGTGGGGTGGCGGCAGCGTGCGATGGCGGGGAGTGAAGGCAAAGACAGGGGACTAGACCGGGACTCGACTGGGAACTAGTAGATGCGCTCTATGCCTCTCTCTCCCCTATTTTTCCCCTCCTCCCCCTGCCGTACTGCCGTACCATGAGGAGTATTTGTGGGGTACGTCGTACACATAGATCCGCGGCCGCTTCTCCCGGGGCTTATACGGCGTGCTGCTGCTGGCAGCTTCACCCTCCTGTCCTGCCAGCAGCGCCTGCTCCGCTAGCAGCACGGGTGTGGCGCCGTCGGGGCCGAGAGAGAGGGAGCAGTCGGAGCCGAAATGGCCTGGCAGCAGTCGGGGCCGGGGACAGGGGTAGTGAGAAGGAAGGAGTCATGTCCTCACACAGACTCATGCAACATGAGGTGCTGGGATTCGCCACCCGCCCCCCAAGTTTATACCCCCGGCGCCAGTTCCACTCCGATGATCGCCACCCCCCGACCCGCCGCCGAAGCCAGCTGCGAGCACTCACCCCTGGCGCACACGCAGGCGCCCAGCGCACACGTCCCCCGGCGCGTGCAGTTGTTGAGGCAGGGCATGGGGTCGCGCGCCTCCCGCTGCGCCGTCTGCGCAAAGGCGGCGAGGTGGCTGGGTGCGGCCTTGCGGGTGCAGTCCTCACCCGCCAGGTGCTTGGGGCAGTCGCATCTGGAGGGGGGGGAGGGGAGGAGAAGGGAAGGGGGAGGGAGGGGGAGGGAGGGGGAGGGGCGGGACGAGTGGGTGCAGGAGAGAGAAGGGTGGGAGTGTAAGGGAGTCCCAATCCAGGGGAGTGGGGCAGGGAGGGAGGCAGGTGTGCCGCAGTGCCAGTAGTGAGGAAGCACTGGGTGGAGGGAGGGCTCAAAGGTGAGGAGGCAAGCAGCCGGCTGTATGGTTGGGATCACGGGTCGTGCTGGCAGGGAGAGGAGGAGAGGTAGGGGAAACAGGAGCCGCTGAATGTTAGGGCTTTGCAAGATGGCCCCATCTACGTCCCCTCCTTTTTTAACCCTCTAGTTGCACGGCCGGGGGAACGTCTGGATAGATCGGGCCGAGACGTACCTGCCGCCAAGCTCCTCATTGCATGTGGCTCGCTTATAGCACTCTTCCGTACATAAGCCTGGCTTGCTTCTGAAACCACCGCCTGAACTAAGCTGTTCCTGCCCCTCCTCAAGTGCCTGGAGAATAGAACGCGAAGGCCGTTATCCCCGAGGGCCGTACAGCGCTCCCTGACAGCCCAGCGACATCTAGCCTGCGTACCCAAGCTCCAGTCGCAGTAAGGAGCAAGCAGATACAAATTAGACAAGCTGCTCGGCATGCTTGGCTTGTAGAAGCTTGCATCACTAGGTATTCCGCAAACATCAGCTCCTATAATGCAAGCATGGCACTGCTCCGAGTCTGTGGCCTAATATGGAGGCAACCTCATTTTTGGGCGGCTCTTTTGCTAGTTGTGAAATGGACGCACTTAATAAAACGCTGCAGAAGAGGTGTTCCGAACTATCGCTTACAGAACCTGGGGCCTAACATTTCAGCCCCTTTGTTACTGTAGCACAGTAAAGAACGTCTCATTGTAAAAGAAAAGTCATAAGTAACTGCCAATCAAGACTGCTACCGAACCGGTCACAGTACTGGTTTCGTACTGTACTTCAGACTGCCGTATTCGTTGCCAAACCGCTAATCGGGGGCTCGCTGGGTCCCTTTGCTCGTCCGGATCAGGTTCGCCGCATGTTCGCATAAGTCCCAGTCAAAAGACACGCGCAGCAGGCGCACAAAGCCCACCAACGCAACTCCTTCGCTAGCTGCACCTTGCTAGAGGCTTGTCATGCATGCGTATGCACCGAGCCATGCACGCTTACTGCTACTTCTCCAACACCTGCTTGCATCCACCCCTCAAACCTCCCAGCCCATATCCTCCAGCAGCCGCATCACTCCTGCCGTACGCTGACGCAACTCATGATGCTCGTCCGGCGCCACCGCTGGTGCCCCAGCCGCCCCCGCTTTCGAACCCCCATCTTCCGCGTTTTTCTTCTCATCCTGCTGCCTTAATATTTCCCTCTCCTCCGTTGCCTGCTGCCCCTGCTCCTGCTGCGACGCCGGCGGCTGCGGCAGCGGCGTCTGCAGCAACTTCCGAATGTGCTCCAGGGCCGACCGAAGACGTGGCATCTGCGGTTGTGGCCCCCTCCCCTCCTCCTCCCTCACACCCTCCCTTCCCTCCGCCTCCTGCTGCGCCCCCATGTCCCTCAACAGCTCCCTCAGCAGCTCCGAAACCAGTCGAGCGAGCTTCAGGAACATGCGGTCCACTCCGCCACCCTCCTGCTTACCACCGCCTTCCCCTCCTCCACCTCCCTTGCCTGCAGCACTGGCAGCACCGGCAGCAGCAGCAGTAGCAGCACCTGCACTGGTAGTGCTACTGCCGCCACTAACAGCAGCAGCAGCGGCGGCATCGCTCCCGCCGCCACTGCTGAGGTTGTCGCCCCCAGCAGCTCCTCCCTCAGCGGGAAGCCCAGCAGCAGCAGCAGCAGCAGCACCGGCCCCAGCAGTAGGGGCTGCGTCTGCAGCTCTGCTACCTTCAAGAAGCGCCGCTACCGCTGAGGCGGCGGCAGCGGCAGTAGCGGCGTCGGACGCTGGCGCAGCGGCTGGGTCGCTGTCGTCGGGCCGCGGCACTCGAGCACCCTCTCCGCTAGTTGCTGCTGCTCCTCCTGCTGCTCCTCCTGCTCCTGTTCCTGCTGGTTGCGATGCTGCAGGTGGTGGCGGTGCTGCTGCAGGTGGTGGCGGTGCTGCAGCAGGTGGTGGCGGTGCTGCAGCAGGTGGTGGCGGTGCTGCAGCAGGTGGTGGCGGTGTGACCCTCTCCAGGTAGATGACCAGCAGCCCCTCCAGGAAGGTCACCAGCAGCTGCGGGGGGACCTGGGGGGCAGGGGGGGGCAGGTGGGGGCAGGGAGGGAGGGCAGGCAGGAAGCCGAGGTTGCGCGTTTCAGCGCACGCTCATCAACAGCCAGAGAACAAGGTATATGGCTTTGAAACCGAAGATATTCTTGCAAGCAAACTAACACACCACAGAACTAGCCCAGTTTTCTTCTAGCCAGCCAAGGGCTGCTATGCAACCCCCCAACCACCCGGGCCACCCGGACCCCAGCATGCACCCACCTGTAACGTCCTGAGCAGGCCCAACAGTGACGCCCTGCCCCCCACGCCGCACTCCCTCCCAGCCTCCGCCGGCTGACCACTCGCCACCTCCCCCACGCCCCCACCCCCGCCGCCACTGCCACCGCCGGCGTGGCCCCCGGCTGCAGGCACTCCCGCCGCCGCCGCTGCTGCCACTGCTGCCGCCGCCGCCGCCCCAGGCCCCGCCGGCTGCTGCTCCTGCTCTGCAGGAGCCGGCGGCGGCGGCAGCGGCGGCGGTGGTGGCGGCACCTCCTTCAGCGGCGGCAGCGCGTAGTCCATCGCCGACATGATGACCGTCACCAGCAGCACCACGGCGCGAGTGAGCGGGTCGCCGCCGCCCAGGTGCCGCTCCAGACCCTCCAGCGGCAGGAACCGCAGGCCGCGCTGCCCGCGGGTGGCGCGGCTGCCCACGCCGGTGACGGCGGAGGCGGCGGAACGGCAGTCGGAAGGGAGCGTGTGAAGGCGGAAGCGGCGGCCGGCGGCAGCGGTGGTGGTGGTGGTGGTGGCGGCGCCGCCGTCGTCATTGTCGTGCTGAGTGGGTGCACCAAGCGGTGCGGGTACTGAAGGTGTTGACGTGGATGGCAGGGAGCCGTGGGAGGGGTTGCGGCAAGGCTCCCCTGCCGCATCGGGCAGGGTTTCGGAGCGGGAGGAGAATTGTGGCGTCGGCGGCGTCGGCGCTGCCGTGTCGCCGCCGCCAACGGCCGCCGCTAGCTCCGCCAGTCGTACACTCCAGGGTCCCGCGTTGTCGTACATAATGTGCAACAAACTGAAGGGATTGCCATTGGCTGTGAACCGACTCCTCCTCGACTCCGCCGCCGCCGCTGCCAGCTCCGGCTCTTTCTCTGACGACGCCCCCGTCACTCCATCCACCCCCACCCGCGCCGCCTCCGATGCCTTCTCCACCTCCAATTTGCCTTCCTCCCGCGCCGTCTGCTGCTGCTGCTGCTGCTCCTGCGGCACTGCGCCCGTCGCCCCCTCCTGCGCTCCTCCCCTCCCGCCGCTGCCCCCCGCCGCCGCCAGCACGAACAGCCGCACCATGGCCCCCGCGCCCTCCGGCTCCGGTAGGCCCACCATCAGCGGCGAGAGCGCCATGATGGCGGCAGACAGCCGCCGGCTCCAGGCAGGGCGGTAGGCGCGGATCAGCAGCTCCGCCGCCCCACACCAGGGGGAGCGCGGCGCAGGCAGCTGTAGCTGCAGCTGCGGTACTGCCGGCGATCCGGAGGCGGCGGAGGCGTCCGTGTTGGGAGCATGCCAGCGGCGGCACATGTCCCGCCAACTTCGCCTCCTCTTCCACTTGCATCCATCATGACTCCCGCAGCCGCTGAGGCCAGCGGTAGCGGCGACATGAGCGGGTGCGGGTGCGGGTGCCCCCTCACCGACATCGCCTGCAGGAACAGCAAGTACGACACCCCCCGCCTCCGCTGCCACCTGATTCCGCTGTCCGCGGCGGCGCTCCCCCGCCTCCGCCGACGCCTGGCGGTAGCGCACGCACAAGTTGCACAGCCGCTCCAGCGCCGCCATCGCCACGTCGGCGTCGGCTTCACCCAAGCACCCGTACGGCAGGTCCCGTGCCGCATGCACACCCAGTACGAAAGCGTACGGCAGATCCCAGGAGATCAGCGTGCTTGTCGTACGCGCCAGCAGCGGCCCCAGCAGCTGCCTGTCCTCCGGGTGCAGCGCCTCCGCCAGCAACGCCGGCAGCCGGCGGCAGGCCACAAGGCCCGGCGTCCAGTAACGCCATGCCTCCGGCCCCGCCACAGTGTACGGCTGCGTGTACGGAAGATGACGTACGGACGAAGGACCCGCGGCGGCGGCAGCGGCAACGCCGCCGTCGCCATTAGGCAGGAGTCCCGCTTGGCGCGCCTCCGCCAGCATGTTTCGAAGGATGCGCGGCACCCGCCGCAGCCGCCGCAGCGCCGCCGGGTCGTCCCTCTCCTCATCCGGCACCGGGAGGCCCAGGTACCAGTAGGGGAAGGGGTAGCGCAGAGCAGCAGGAGGAGGAGCGGGAGGAGCGGCGGGAGCGGGAGGAGCGGGAGGAGGAGGAGGGGCCGCAGCAGCGACATTCCCACTGGCAACCCCATCACCGCCCCCTCCTCCGACGAGCTCCGCTACCTCCATAGCAGCACCTTCACCCTCCTCCTGCCTTGCCTGCTCTTCTTCCTCCTCCTCTCCTTCCTCCTTCTCCTCTCCCTCCGCCTCCCATGCATCGCCCTCCTCCTCGCCTTGCCGCTGCTGCTGCTGCCCCCCAGCCGCCCCTCCTCCCTCCCTCCCTCCCGCCTGCCCCGCCTGCTGCTCCAGCTGCTGCCGCTCGTCCAGCAGCCGTACCAGCGACGTCAGCAGCAGCGCCACCTGCGACAGCTCCCGCTCCAGGGGGGGCTCCTGGGAGGGGGAACGCAGCTGCAGAGGGAGCAGCAGCAGCAGGGGAGGGAAGGAGGGAGCAAGGTGCGGGGAAGAGGGGTACTTGAAATAATCGGAACTGGAACAACATAAGATGGCTACTAAGAACCCGAGACTCTCCCGAGGCACTTTAGGCAACGGGACACGGTAACTAGGGCAGGATTGCCCGCACCCATGCGCACACCCCCCTCCTCGCCCCCACCTGCAGCCTGCTGTAGTACACCAGGTGTCGTAACGCCAGGGCCGCATCCCCCGCCCCCACCAGCACCTGCGGCCGCCCCAGGCTGCTCATCAGCAGCTGCCGAGCCAGGTCGGTGGGACTCAGCGCGCTGGGGACTGCGGTGGCGCAGCGCTCCAGGAAGGGCTCGGGAAGCGCCTGGACCAGCGGCACCAGCAGCCGGCACTCCTCCGCGGCGGCTGCCAGGGCGGCGGCGGAATGGGCGGAGGAGGAGGAGGAGGAGGAGGAGGAAGGGGACGGGTGGGCGGCGCGGGCGGTTTGGTTGGCGATGCGTGCCAGGTGGTCCAGGTGCGCACACGCCCACAGCAGCGCGGAGTGGCCGCTGATGGTGAGGCTGAAGAGCAGGGGCGCATGCGGGGGGGCAGCAGCGGGGGCAGCGGGTGCAACAGGGGGGCGTGGCGGGGCTGACGGCGACCCCAGCGGAGGCGCCGGGGCGCTGTTGCCATCCACCTGCATGGCATCGCCATCGCTGTCGCCTCCACCACTAGCGGCGGCGCCAGCTTCCTCACCCGTCCCCGCTCCGTCACTTGGGTGCCGTACCGCCGCCGCCGCCGCCACGGTGTCAGCGCGCGTCGCACCGTCACCCTCACCACCCCCCAGCGGCGGCGGCGCGCTGCCGTACGCCGCCAGCAGCACCTCCGCCGCCAGCCCCAGCTGCCGCTGCTGCGCGAACACCGCCGCCACCGTCACCGCCGTAGCCAGCCGCGCGCGCACGTCGGACATCGCCGCCACCACCTCCACCGCCCGGTGCCGTACCGCCGCTGCCGTACAGGTGGCCATGAGGCCCGCCAGGGAGGCGCGCCACGCCTCACAGCTGCCGGGGGGCTCAATTACGAGCGCGTCGAGGCGCCTCTGAAGCCGGTCGTGCACATGCATCTCCCCCTGTTGAGGCCGCTCAGGCTGCTGCTGCAACTCTAGAGGAGCGCTGCCTTCCTTGCCGCTGCTGCTGCTGCCGCCGGCACTAGCACCGCCGCCGCTGCTACGGCTGCCGCCGTACCCCAGCGTCGCCGTCACCACCGCCTCCGCATGCCGTACCAGCTCAGGCTGCGCGCGGAAGAGGCGGCACGCGTGCGGCCGCCCCGCTCCGGGACCCCCGCTGGGCTGCTGGTGCAGCGGCTGCGCGAGGGAGGCCATGTCAGTGCCGAGTTGTGCGACGGACCAAAGCCAGCGTACGGAGCGGCTCAGCAGCCGTACGCGGTTGTCTTGCTGTACCTCGTCCTCAGCGGCAACACCGCCACCGCCGCCGCCAGCAGCAGCAGCGGCAGCATCCGCGGCGGCGGCGGCGGCAGCGCCGGGGAAGTCATCATTGGCAGCAGCGGCAACATCATCGACTGCTGCCCCGGCTGGCAGGGGGTGGGGTTGAGGTGGCGGGGGAGCGGCGGCGGCGGCTGCAGCTGCCCCCGCCGCTGCCTGCCCCTCAGCCGCTGCTACCGGCTCCGCAGGCAGCTGCCCGGGTAGCGCCGCTGCGTCCGGTCCTGCAGCAGCCCCCTCGTGCTGCTCCGGCTGCTGCTGTAGTGGCTGCTCCGGCACCGGGTCTGCCACCTCCTCCTCACCACCAGCAGCAGCAACGGCAGCCCCACCTCCATCACCTCCGCCGCCAACCCCAGCGGCCCCCTCGCCGCCCCCCTCGCCTTGTGCTTCCGCCATCTCTATACCCGCGTTACCGGCCCCGGCACCGCCTGCGGCCGCCTGCACCCCGCCGCCCTCCGCACCCTCCTGCTGCTCTTCCCCTCCTTCCTCAACCACCTGCCCAGCGTTGCCGCCCTCCTCCTGCTCGCCTTCCCCCTCCGCCTGGCCCACATCGCCCACCTCCATGTCTCCTCCTTCGCCCCCCTCCTGCTCCTCATCCTGCTCCTCCTCCTCTTCATCCTCCGCGCCCTCATCCGGCTGCCCCCCAGCCGCCCACGCATCCGGATGCATCAACTCCTCCATGCCCAACACCCAGAGCGGCTGCATGGCGGCGGTTGGTGGTTGGTGGTTGGCGGTTAAGGGAGTTCAATGCAGGATTACCGAGTGGGTCTACTTGCAGACCGAGCAGACCCGCCTGCAAGTCGCCTCGCAGCCACCACGTCGTGCAGTCCCCGGGCTACAATCCCACATCCAAGCGATCTCCATGCAACGCCAACCATCCTCCTACATCCCTCCCACCCTTCCTCCTCCACCTTTAACTCCAGTACCCCACCCTCCCACCAGCCCCCTCACCTGACCCTCCAGGAAGTAGAGCCTGCTGCCGGGGAGCGCCTCCAAATCCCCAAACCCCAGCTGCTCCTGCTCCTCCCCCTCCTCCTCCCCAGCCCGCCCCCGCCCTCCTCCTCCACCTTCTCCCCCCGCCGGCGGCAGCAGCGGCACCTCCCGCCCGCCGCCGTCCTTCACCTCCGCATGGTACGGCAGCGTCTGAACCCAGGTGCTCCCGGCGCCCGCCAGCGCCCAGAAGCGGTCCAGCAGGGCGGAGCGGTGGGCGTGGTTCCGGAGCGGACAGGCGGCTAGGACCTCCAGGGAGGGGAGGATGAGGCCGCTGCCGACCAGGAGCAGTGCCGCGGTGCTGCAGAGGGCCTCCCGGATGGCCGGGTCGTCGTGGGAGGGAAGGCAGGTGGCGGAGAGGTGGGAGGCGAGGGAGGTGGTGGTGGGTGAGGAGGGGGGTGAGGAGGGCGCGCGGCCGGGGTTTAGGAGGAGCAGCAGGAGTGAGAGGACGCGAGACTGGGCGGCTCGGGGGGTCAGCAGGTGCAGCGACATGGGTACTAGCAGCGGTGGCGGCGCTGCTGCTGCTGCTGCTGGTGGAGGGGGTGGAAGGGACGACGATGGCAGTGGCTGCGGCGGCGGTACGACACCTGAAGAGGTAGAGGGCCCGGCGGCGGTGGCAGCGGCGGCAGCGGCTGCGGGTGTGCACGCAGCGGCACCGCCCCCTGCAGCAGCAGCCGCAGCGCCGTCCAGCCCCATTCCATCACCTCCTCCGCCAGGGTCCGCCGGCGCCCGGAGCAGGCTGGCCACACGGTGCGACACAGCGGCGGCGGCAGCGGCCCTCGTCAGCTCAGCCCCCATCGTCGCCGCCAAGCCTGCACCCACACCCGCACTCGCACCTGCGCCCGCATCCGCATGCTTCGCCGCCGGCCCCGGCGCTGCGGGGTCCCAGCAGGCGCTGTAGCGGTGAGTACGGCAGGCGGGCAGCATGTGCTTGCTGAGGTACTCGTTGACTGCGGCGGCGAACTCCGCTGCGCCGTCGGCCAGCTGCCGGTCAATGGAGGAGAGCTCCAGCTCCAGGAAGGCTCGGCGGAAGCGACTGAAGTCCTCATCGTCGTCGTCGTCGTCGTCGCTGTTGGTGGTGTTGGTGGCGGGGCCGGGGGCGGCGGCAGCATGATCGCCTCCCTCAACATGCCCCTCGTTGTTGCCATGGGGGCCGTCGTTCACAGCCCTGTTCCTGCCCTGTTCGTCCCCTCTGGCGTCAGCATTGTCGCCGACAGCGGCTGCAGCCGCCGCCGCTGCCGCTGCCGCCGCCGCGCCACGTCGTGCCGCTCGCTTCCTCGCCTCCCTGCGTTTCCGCCGCTCCCCGCGCTCAATCAACTGTCGTACCCGCTCCTTCCGCGCCTTCAGTTTCGCACTCCGCTCCCGCCAGAAGGTCTGGAGCTCCTGAAGGCCCCACTCCGGCCGCCCGTGCGCGCAGTGCGTGACCGACAGCAGGAAAGCCATCGCTAGCGCCGAGGAGGGCCCCATGAGTACGGCATGCGCGCCGCCGTGGCCGACGTGTAACGCCTCCGCCGCTTGTACGGCAGCGGACAGCGCCACGAGACGTTGATGGAGGACGCGCCGATCCTCCTCGGCGTCGGCGGTGGAGGAGGCGCCGGTGCTGCTGCTGCCACCGCTGCTGTCGTCGTACTGTGAGTACAGCGCCTTACTATTATACTTCCCAGGAACTGCCGTACGCTCTGTAGCATCCGCTTTGTTTGCCCCGGCCATGGTACCTTCTGCAGGAGCAGCTGCTGCTGCTGTTTCGCTGGCGCCACCGCCAGCGCTATTGCTGCCGCCGCCGCCGCCACCGGATTGACCGGTAGCAGCGGCGGCCTTCGGCGCCTCCAGGACTTCGAACAGAAACTCCGCCAGCGGCGCCGCATGCCGGGGGTGCACCCGGAGGAGCGTCCGCCCCGCACCCCACATGCGCTTCCGTGCGAGCTGCACCGCCGCGAGTGTCGTACGCGCCACGTCAGCAATGGGAGGCAGCCACAACAGGGCCGCCACGCGCTCGGCCTCCGAATAGGATCCGGAATACGACAGTACGGCAGCGAAGTGTACGAGCCAGTGCAGCAGCGAGTGTGCTAGCGGATCGCGCGCTCGCTCGTCTAGCTGCGACAGGTGGAAGAGGCCGGGTGGCGGTAGGTGCGGTGGGAACGGAGGGAGATCTGGGTTGGGCTGTGGGGGCCCTCCACCACCTCCTCCACCGCCTTCTCCTCCTCCTCCACCTCCTCCTCCTCCACCTCCTCCTCCTCCATCGCCTACAACGTCAATATCACCGTCAGCGTCGGCGTCAGCGCCGCCGTTGGCATTAACGTTGCCGCCGCCAGCGTTGGCGCCGTTTGGGGCGTTACCGCCGTTAGCTGCTGCGATCAGCCCTGTGATGACGGCATCTGGGTCGTAGCGGGGAGGGCGTGGGAGGTCCAGGGATTCAAGCTCCGAAACCGCGTCAGCCTCGGGCATGGCGCCCAGGAGTGCAGCCTCGCAGGCGATTTGGGCTGCCACGACTGTGGCACGCAGCTGGGAGCCCCAGCGTGTGCGCTGAAGCAGCAGCGTGCGAAGGTCTGCTAAACGGCCGACTGCGACAGCGTCTTGCACCAGCCGGGATATGAGGCCTTCCGGCATGTCGCCGAGCACGTAGACATCGCGCAGGTTGGGCCATTTGTCAAAGGCTGAGAGGATGGGGCTGCGATGAGGAGCACGAGAAGCTGCGGAGGAGGCTGCATCGGACAGGTGGTGGGGTTCGGGAGGAGTATTACTGCTGGGGGTGCAGGAAACTAAGACTTCAAGTGCAGCTTCAGTTGAGGTTGCTGATGCGATGGCTGAACTGATGGCTGGGAGTAGGATGGGTGTTTGCAACGCGTTGGGGACACAACACTGTGGAGTCGATGCTTCACATAACCGACACCGATGCAGGAACAGAGCTTGCTGGATATGGCTCAGGTGCATCACAATGTACGTCCGACGGGCATCGATGGCACCGCACAACTGCCGACACGTTCCCCGCAGGACAAGGATATCGGGCGGCGTGAGGAAACATAGGATGCTATGCAGCAGATCGGAGTTCAGGTCCAGGAGCCCTAACTGCTTCCGGTATTCCCCGCTCGCCGGAGCGCTGCTGCCCGCAAACAGCTTAATGGCCTTGCGCGGCCTCTCCATAGCTATGATATAGACGTTATAGAAGTCACGTAGCCCTTAACCTCCTACTTTGGTCCAGTTACACTCGACTGTCATGACGTCTGTCATGAGGTTATAAAGCGCATATCTATGATTAACAGCAGTGAAATTTAGTAACTTTGGCCAGACTTAGTCTTTCATCATGCCGTTGGGGTCGGAATGCATGAGTCGGACCCACCGACCCGCTGCGCTTGCCATTGCAGCTGTCAACCATCTGTCCCTCCGTCCGACTTCACGTTGATGTTCTACTAGGCGTTTCCTAGATGTTTTATACATATACTTCGCTGCCTGGACTGCCATCGCTCCGCTTGGCCCCCCTCCAGCCGGTTAAGCAGCTGCTGGCCGACTGTTGAAGCGCCGCTGCGACCCTTTCAACCCCTCAGCTTGCAACGACTCAGCCTTGTTGACTCACCACGTCACCAGTCAACCCAGCTGTCCTTAGCCCTCCTGGTCACCCTGCAGCCCGGATACCACACCCTGTTCCCTACACCGTGAGAACTCCACGTAGTCCGCTGTCAACACAGTGGTGCTGGAGGTGGCATTTTGTCGTCACAAGGTACCTTTCACAAGTCAGGAACAGGAACACTGTGGGTAGAAAAAGACCCTTTCCCCTTGTTGCCTGATGCCCCTCAGTGAACAAGGATCCCAAATACGGGCAAAATACCGTACTAGACACCAGGGGCACCGAATCGAGCCCCAATCCTCACCTTCACTCTCGGCTCGCCCCCACCAGCCCTAATGCCCCTCCGCAGCAGGCTCACGAGGACATGGACATACGGTACCGACACTCACCCCACTGACACCGCTCACCCATAATGCCCTGCTCCCATAATGTCTTTTCACCTTGGTGTGAAGGTAACCCTCAGGTGATCCCATTGCATTACACCTCCTCGTCTGCCTCCTGCCCACCCCCACCTCCCCAGCCTGCAACCGGCAACCGCCCTCAACCTTGCACTGCCTCCGCGTGCCATCCTGCACACCACCTTCCTTGCCCTCTTCCCACTACCCTCCCTCCAAACACCCTGCCTCACCCGCTCCCTTCCCCCACCGCCAAGCGCACACAACAACCCAAAGCCACTCCTCCCCTCCTCCTCCTCCTCCTCCTGCCACACCCCGCCCCGCTTCTCCTCCCTCCAGCACCCTCCCTCAATCATCCTCGTCGTCGTCCTCCTCGCTCTCCTCCTCCTCCCTCAGCCACTCCAGGAAGCGCTTCACGTCCGGCTGCTCCACGTAGCGCCGCTCCTCCGCGTCCGCAGCCGCCTTCTCGTCAGCCCACGCAAGCAGAGCCTCCTCGCTCACCTGGGGGGTAGGGGGTGACGGGGGTGACGGGGAGGGGCAGATACGGGAGCACCTGTTTCAGTACATTTACACTCGCCTGGTCGTATTCCTTTCCCTCTCCTCCCCTCTCCTCCCCAGCACGTGTGCACATCCCGTCCCTTTCCACACCCACGCTACAGCCCCCTCCCCCAATCCACCCCCGACTCGTGCTCTCCCTCCCACCCCCGCTTCACCAAAGCCAACCCAACCCAAGTGCCGTACCACGTCAGTGTCGTACAGCTGTCGCAGGATGTGTGCGAAGAGCGGCGCGTAGTGCGCGCCTCCGCCCCCGTCCGCCTCGAACACCCCCTCGCAGTTGCAGTACTCCTCCAGGGTCAGCAGCAACTCAACCTGGGGGGGGGGGGTAGGGGTAGAGGAGGGGGAGGAGGGAGTGAGGAAGGGAGTGGGCAGTGACAACACCAAACCGCAAGTAGGGCCAAGACGAAATGGTTGTGGGGGGCGGGTTGTGAACGGGAGAGGGGAGGGGCAGCCGGGTAGCCCTCCTTGCCTCCAGTCCCTGCTAACCTCCTTTGCATCCCTGCTAATCCAGATCCCCCCGTCCACCTCCTCCCCCCCCTCCCACCGCCCCCCACCGCACCTGATCATCCTCGCTGCGCAGGAAGCGCTGCAGCAGGTCCCGCCAGTCCTGCAGCGCCTGCTTGAAGCCGCGCAGCAGCGCCAGCTTGCCCTCGGAGGTGCGGGTGTCGGGCGCGACTGGGGAGGGGGTGGAGGGGGGGCGGAAGGGGCAGAGGATGAGGACAAGGAGTTCGTGGCGGGGTTTGTAGATGCATGGGGGGGGCGGGCGCACCAGATGAGGGGTACGGTACATCATGCAGCGGGCAAAGGTTGGAGGACCAGCCTCCACGCCCCCTTCCGTCTTTCCACCGAGGAGGGATATAACCCCAATCCTCAACCCACTCCCCCGCCTACAACTAGCAACCCATGGTGAAGCCTCATCAGACACTTCGTCAATTTCGTTATATTTTACCCACATACACACTCCTCGCGGCCAGTTCCACCCCCTCCACCCCCACTCCCCCACCCCCACCCCCTCCTCACCGGCCTTAAACAGCGGCAGGTAGTCCTGCGGGGTGCGGGGGGGCGGCGGCAGCCCCAGCGCCAGCAGCGCCGTCAGCATGTAGCGCGCGCAGTCGGCGAAGGTGCGGTCCTCCGCGATCTTCAACCCGTTCAACTCGATCACAACGTTGGACTGAAAGGGGGGAGGGGGAATACCGGTAAATGAAACGTAGAGCAACAGAGTCGGACTAGTGAGGGGGGAGGGTGGGAAGTGCGGCGAGGGGAGTAAAAAAGGAGAAAGCCAAGCTAGGTTTCCAATGCCGCAGAGGGGAAGGAACGAGGGAGATGAGGAGGGAAGGGGCTTAAGAAAGCAGGTCGAAAGGGTGCCATAAGGAGGGGGCACAGGTCTGAAGGCGGTAAGTTGAGAGTTAAGTTGAGAGTCACCCTCCCTAGCCCCTCCACTCCTCACACACCAACCCGCGCCAACCCCCCTCCCCCCTCCACCCCCCCCTCGCAGCGCCCCCCAGCTCACCACATCGAAGCGCATCTTGATGCAGCGCAGGAAGGTCTCCTCCACCTCCCGCCGCCACACGCGCTCCGGGTCGCGACCCCCCTCGTCCGAGTCAGCGTCGCTGTCGTCGCCGCTGCCGCCGCCGCCGCCCTCTCCGCCGCCGCCGCCAGCCTGCGCGTTGCCACCTGTCGTACCGGCCGCCGCTGCCGCCGCCGCCGCCTCCTCCGCTGCCTCGTCCGCCATCACGAGAGACCTGTTTACGCGACCCATGGGTCAGCGTGCAATAGGGTGCCGGTAACAGCAGGACGATGAGGGAGGGGAGCCCTGCATGCGACTCCCCGACACCATGCACCCCAGTCCCCGCAGCTCACCAGCCGGTCGAGCCGGGTTCCTCTTGCCACCCCAGCACACCTCTATGAACAGCCCCCTCTTGCACTGCTTTGCCCGCCCTTCCCCGTCCCTGCCCAAGCCACAACCACCTGCCCTCCCTGCCCTCTTCTCTCCCTCCCCCTGCCTTCCCTCTCCCCCCAACCCCAGTCTAGCCATCTTCCCCCTTACGTTGTGGGCGGTGCGATTGAGAAGCGGTCCAGGTCCTGCGGCCCCTCCCGCGGGTCCCACACGTAGCCCGCGCCGTTGGAGCCCACTGCGGCGGACTGGGGGGGAGGGGGTGCAGGGGGGGGGGAAACGTGAGGGGAGGGGAGGTCAGAGCGAAACGTGAGGAGAGGGGGAGTCAGAGAGAAACCAAACCGAACAAAACCACGTGTTAGGGCAAGGTAACGTGGCAGCCTAGGCAGCACAAGGAGGGGGCGACGGCAGGGGAAGGTCAGGCCACATGCGGTACCCCCTCCCCCGTCCCCCCCACCTGGAATCGCACCGCCGCCTCCTCCCCCTGCAGCTGCCGCCCCACCGCCAGCGCCTCCGCGGCCCGCAGCGCACTGCTGCTGGGGCGCTCAAGACTCTTGCCTGGGGGCCGGGGGGAGGAGAGGAGTGGGGAGGGGGGGCAGAGGCGGGGAGGGGGAGGGGGAGATTAGATAAACTCAGCTGCGAGGAAACACGGACCCTGGCCATAGGAAGACCCGTTGATGATGGCAGGAGCGGGAGAGGGAAACGAGGCCGAGACTCGTTGGTAACGGAGCGGGAGGGAAAGGTGGAGGAGGAGCGCATGCAGGTGGTGAGATGGCGCTGTCAGGACGCTGTCTGCTCCGGGTAGTGTCCACCCCCCAAGCCCCCCCTCATCCTCCCCCCCCACCAATCCCCCCTCCCCCTCCTCTTCCCACCCAGCTCTCACCGTACTGGTCTACCCGGTGGTAGCTGTCGTCATCGTCCTCCTCCTCGTCATCATCCTCGTCATCATCCTCATCGCTGCTGGCCGCCCCCCGGCCCCGCCCCCGCTGCTGCTGCTTGCCGCCTGCCTTGCCCGCTGCTGCTGCTGCCGCTGCTGCTGCCGCCCCCGCCGCCCCGCCCGCCGCCCCGCCCGCAGTGGAGTACTCCAGCTCATCGTCGCTGTCGTTTTGCTGAGGTGGGGGGAGAGGGAGGGAGGAGGGGGGGTCGGAGATATACCAGAACCACAGGTTAGGTAAGGGGGGAGAAAGAAGAATGGGGGGGGTACGGAGGTGGAGGGGGAGGGGTGTTGGGGAATGGGTGGAACGTATTGAAGCGGTCTAGGAGGCGGTTGGGCGGATGGGGGGGCAGGGGTGTGTGCGGGAGGAACCGCTGGTGTCTGCCCAGTCCCCTGTGCACACGAAGAACGCGAACAACCACCTCTCAACGTCTCTTTTCGTTCTCCTTCCTCCATCGTTCTCCACCATGCAAAAGCACACTCCCGGGCAGCAGCAGCTGCAGCCGCCCATGTGCAACCCTCCAAACTCCCAACCCCTACCCAACTCCCCCACCTACTCCCAATTCACCCCCCACCCACCCCCTCCTCCCCCACACCCCGCCCCCGTGGTTCATTAGTTGCTTCCTTTTTACCCCCACCCCACCCCACCCCTCACCGCTCCAATGACTTGCTGGCAGAGGCTGATCCGGGTGTACGGCGGCACCACGTGGCGGCTGTCCACCACGCAGTTGTACGACACGATGGCTCCGGGACCCACGCAGCAGCCGGTGCGCAGTACGGCACCCTCGCAGATGAGCGCCGAGCGGAGCACCACGCCGTCCTGGGAGAGGGGGGGGGGAGGAGGAGGGGAGGAGGGTGAGGAGAGGAATGAGGACTCGGTCATCTTACTCCTCCCCATCCATCTGCAACTTTCCCCTGTCCCTCCTTCTCAACCTCTTCTCCCTGCTCCCTGCTCCACGGCCCTATTGCTCGTCTCAAGCGCCCATTCCCCAATCACCCCATCTGTTCCCTCCCCCTTCGCCCTCCCCCTCCACTGCGCTCCACTTCTCACCTCCCCTCCTCCCCCACCCGAATGATCCTTATCCTGCCTTACCCTCACCCCCCACCTGGATGATCACCCCGTCCTGCCTTACCCTCACCCCCCACCTGGATGATCACCCCGTCCTGCCTTACCCTCACCCCCCACCTGGATGATCACCCCGTCCTGCCTTACCCTCACCCCCCACCTGGATGATCACCCCGTCCTGCCTTACCCTCACCCCCCACCTGGATGATCACCCCGTCCTGCACGTAGCTGCCCAGGATGTCCACATTGCGACCGATGCGCACGTTGCGCCCCACCACCGACTGCACCACCCGGCTGCCCTCGCCCAGACTGCTGCCCGCGCCGATGCACACGTCCTCCCCCGGGATGGTGGAGCGGGCTAGTGACACGGTGGACTCGATGTAGCGGTGGCCCCGGGAGAAGCTGGTGGGGGGGGATTGGGGGGAGGGGGATACATAGTCCGCATCAGGGGGGCATACAGATAAGGAAACGGACGAGGCAACGGGTGGGGTGATGCGGGAAGACCCATGTGTTGCATGGGGGGGTGGGGAAGGAGAGGGGAGGGGACATGGGCTTGGAAGGTTGGCCAACGGGGTAATACCACACGGGCACGGCGGGGCGCTCATTCCTCTCTTTGCACGCAGGACTCTTAACCCTGGCGCACCCATTCTCGGCTCTCATTCCCCGTCGACCGTACCCTGCCCTCCCTCCCCCCCTCCCTCCCCAGCTTCGTTAGTTTCCTATTCCTACCCTCCCCTCCCTCCCCCCCCCACCGGTAGCTGGTCTGCCCCCACGTGGGGTTGCCCCCCAGCGACAGCACGTTGGTGTCGGGCACGAAGGGGAAGGCCCACCGCTGCAGCACGTCCCGCGACACGGCGTCGTAGGAGCGCAGGTTGTGCACCCGCGCCGCGTACTCGTGGCGCAGCTCGTACACGTAGAGCTTGTTGCCCAGCTCCTCCTCCGACAGAACACCCGACACGAAGTCGCGCTTGATGTTCTGTGGGGGGGGGGCGGGGAGGGGGGAGGGGGGAAGAAGGATAACCAACGTGTTGAATGGAATGGCAGTCAAGCCGAGGAGGGTGCTGGGGGGACACGGGAGGGGCGCAATAGGACCTAGGGGGCGGAATGAGGCCCAGGAGGGGCCTAGAATACGGTAAGCTCTCCTCCTCTCCGCCCCTCTCCTCCCTCCGGGGCTCGTCACCTAGTTACCACTGCCACACAACGCATTGTGTAATTTTCCCCTCTCCCCTCCCCCTCTTCCCCCCCCCTCTCCCCTCCCCCTCTTCCCCCCCCCTCTCCCCCCCCCCCCTCACCTGGTAGTCGAAGTTGTCTGAGAAGAGCAGCAGCACCTCGGGGGCGCAGATGGCGATGGCGGTGTCCATCAGGTCCAGGCGAACCTGGGGAGGGGGGGAGGGGGGCGGGGAGATGGGGGGGAGGGGGGAAGCAGTGAGTGTTGGGGGGGTTGTTCGCAACGTGGATGGGGTCAATGGTACTAGGCTGGGGGCAAGGCAGCCTAGCAAGGTGGACCAAGTAGGACTGCAGTTGAGCAGACCTTCCCTAGCCCCAACACCGTCCCAGCCGCAGCCGCCCTCTCCTAGTACCCTTCCTCCGGCTCCCCCTCCCCCCTCCCCTCCCTCCCCCCTCCCACCTGCACCTCGTCCCGCTCCCCGAACAGCGCGCAGTCCACCTTGGCCAGCGGCGGGTGGCGCCCCGGGTCCACCTCCGTGTACTTGAGCAGCCGCTGGGGAGGGGAGGCAAGAAGGATACCAAGTGCAGGGGGGAGAGGCGGAGGAGGGAGGGTAAGCAGGAGGAAACTGACGAGCCGTGTTACAAGGACAGGGGGAAGTGCGGGATGAGGGGGGGGAGTTCTGGGCATACCAAGGCGTGTTATTGCCCTGCTGGGGATGCTGCTAGACCGGGCGGTGGAGACGGGCCAGTGGTGACCTGACGGGCCAGTGGTGACCTAACCTCCAAATGCCCCTTCCTTTTTGACACACGCGTCCCTGCCCCTCTCCCTCTCCTCGCGACGCTCCTCTCCTCCCTTGTTGGGATTCGGGCGCTCCGCTCTTTCCTTTTGAGGCACCCTGCCGCCTCCTATCCCCACTGCTTTGCCATGACTCGTGGATTCCTATGGTTTGGTCGCTCTTGACTCTTCCGCTCCTCCCCCCCACCTGGTCACTCTTGACCCCTCTCCCCCCCTCCCCCCCCACCTGGTTGCTAGCATCCAGCACCACCACCAGGTCTGAGTCGCCCAGCCGCAGCCGCTGGGAGGGGTGCTGCACCGGCTTCATGGCCTGCAGGGGGGAGGAGGGGAGGGGAGGAGGGGAGGAGAGGAGGAGAGGGGAGACAGGGTAACTCAAGGAGTACAGGACACGGATCCCCTCCCCCAGCACCCGGAGCCCCTCTCCCTCCCCACCAGCAAGTCATGACTGCGTCCTTCCCTCCCCTCTTTCCACACCTCCCCTTCCCTCCGCGTTGCTTTCCTCCCTGCCCTCCGCCCTCCTCTTCCTCTCTCCCGCGGTCTTCCTGTGGTTCCGGTCTCCCCTCCCCGCGCCCCCCCCCCGCCCCTACCAGCGTCATAATTGCGTTCTTGTCCGCCGCCCTCCGCGCCCGGTGCGCCTCCAGCATGGGCCCCAGCCGCATGTTGCTGACGGTGTCCGCGGAGCACAGCACGAAGTCGCCCTTGATGAGGTCGCGCTGGTCGATCAGGCGCAGAGCCTCGCCGGCGGACAGGCAGTTGGTGGACACGATGGGGGTGACCTGGGGGGGAAAAAGAAGAATTCTCAATGGGGGAGAGGGGAGAGGGAGGAAGAGGAGGGAGGGAATCCATCATAACCTTCACCCTTCATGCTCATGCGGATGCTGTGGCTAACGGCGAGACTCTCCTCCCCTCCGCGCCGCTGCCATTCCAGTCGCCGCGCTGCAAGCCAGCCGCAGTCGCCCATCACCGCCCCTATACCCCGTCTCGCCATCCGGGCTTGGCTTCCCCGCCACTTCCAAACCTGGCAGCATCTGCCGCACCTTCATGTCCCTGCTGTGCGCCCATTTGGACTCCGCCAGGTAGCGCTTTATGAGGTCCGCGTGCGCGCAGCAGAACACAAAGACCTGCATGGGGGGACGGGGGAGGCGAGAGGGCAGCGGTGGGTGGTGGGAGGGGAGCAGCCGAGGGAGGAGATGGGGAATGTCGCACTGCCGAGCTTGGTACTGAGGGGCGTCTGCGACACCCCAAGCCTGTCCTAGCGTCTCTGAGTCCAGCATGACGCCCTAGCAGCACCTTGTGCCCGTTCTCCTCACCTCCTCGACGCTGTTCATAGCCAGCCATTCCAGCGCATACTCGATCATCGGCACATTTACAAGAGGCAGCAACGCCTTCGGTCGCTCGACAGTAATTGGCCGAAAGCGCTGTGGAGTGAATCGAGTTAGGGTGCATAATTATGTTTTAGTCCGGTCTTCTAATGTAAATCGTGTATGCCTAAAATATTTGCACCCAAATGCAAGACTTGCGACGATCGCAACTTAACCGGTAAGGGACTTATCCTACCTGAGTAAAGCTATCCGCCAACAGCACCGCGGTGAGGGCTGTGCGAGCCTCCACCCGCTCGCCGCCACCACCGCCGCGCTTAGGCGCCATGTTAGCGTGTTGGTACTTAACTAACGCGTCTTATGTTAAAGATAATACGTTTCGTACTTTAACGAGGGCTCCGGCTACGCCGGTCCCGATGGGAATAACCAACACTGCGGAGTTATCTCCTTTTACAACAACTACAGATCCATCAGGCACTACTATGGCAATGTTGGGTTGCGGCACAGATTGTTGCCTCACAGGCGTATACGGGTAGCGGTTGCCGTACTTTCAAAGTGGCGCCAACCGCCAAGGTGCCTAGAGCCCTAACCCGCCATGTGTGAGCCGGTTTCTCATCCCTTTCCCCTGCTCCCCGTTGTCGTTCTGGCTCACCCGAGTCCTACGGAATGGTGGTACTCGACAGGCAGTTACTATTATGGGGACTGTCATGGCGGCTTCAGGGCAGTGAAGATACCCGAAGGGACACACAGAGCAGACGTCGTGTGTTAAGAAAACTGGCCGCGAGGACGTCGTGAACAGATGTCGTGTGTCTGTGGCCATCTATGCAGAAGGGGGGGTATTACCGGTGGTTTTAAGGCTTGGAAGCCTTAAAACGAGTGGCTTTTGTTGCTTGCTACCGGTTCTCTAAGCACCACAAGCGTACTTCCGCACAGCTTGCCTCCAGGCGACCCCTGCCATGCACCGACCCAACCCACTCCCCATGCCCGCAATGCCTTCGCCCCCATCAGCACTCCACCATGCACGTGATCAGCCCATGTCCGTGCATGATACCGGTAGTCATATGATGGGCTTCAACAGACATAGACCCTGGCACAAACCCCGACTTGCAGGTACCGGTACAATGCAGAGCCATGATGCACCTCGTTCGCAACACGCGCCATGTCCCTATCTGCCCCACCCTGTCGTCGCCGTCCGGGACCCCCGTGTCCCCCCCAACGTCGACTCCCCGCCCAACGTAGATGCGCTCATCACAGACGCTGCGTCTGAATCCACATCCGGCTCGTCCGGCAGCAGCGCAGCAGAAGGCACCGAGGCGAAGCCAGCACCACCACCACCCCCACCACCAGGCGCCGGCACTCCCCACCCCCGCCGCTGGAGACCTCCTCCCTGCGCTACCGCAGCCAGAGGCCGCACCCCCACCTCCTCATCCTCGCTCTCGGTGCTGTACGCGTCAGCGGCCGAGGCAGCAGCGGCGGGAGCCTCCGGCACCACCGCAGCTGTTGCTGCTGCTGCCGCGGCAGCTGAGGATGGAGCACTCGGTAGCGGCGCTGCATGCGAGCCTGAAGGCAGCGATGCCGCGGGATCCAGCGGCGGCTGTGTACCGGCCCCAGGGACCGAGCCTGGGGTTGCGCCTGAAGCCGCACCTGCAGCAGCCGCTGCTGGAGCCCCGCTGCCGGGCCCGGTTGTGGAGCCTGCCAGCGAGGCCCGCCTGGACGGCCCCTTGGGCGGCATGCTGGGCAGCGGCGACCGCAGCCGGCTCGCGCTGCTCTGCCTGCTCAGCCCCGACACCGACCCGGGGCCGCCCAACGATGGCCGTGGCGAGTCGGCGGCGGCTATGGATTGCCGCGGAGATGCCGCCGCAGACATCACGGTGCTGCTGCTGCTGACACCTGCCGCCGCGGCCGCAGCGCTCGCGCGCTGCTGCCTCGCCCGCAGGAGCTCCGGTGCCAGCAGCAGCCCCTCCAGCAGCAGCCGCTGCCGTGTGAGCTGCCTGCTGACGTGGCGGACCAGCATGTCAGCATGCGGCTGCAGCGCGGGAGCAGCGGCGAAGGCGGCCTGCAGGGCGCACAGGGCCAGCTCCAGTCGGTGGCCTAGCTCGCCGCATGCTGCCAGTGCGGGCTTGGCGATGCTGGTGTCCGTCAGATGGGTGAGGACCGCTAGCGGTTGCAGCGCTGGTGTAGATGGGAGCGGTGACGGCTGCGGGTGGGTGCTAGGGGGTGGTGTGGAGCCGGCTGAGGAGGTCCTTGGTGTGGCGGAACGGCTGCCGTGCTGCTGCTGCTGCCGTGCGGGAGCCGCCGTACCGCTGGGCGAAGCCGTCAGCATCATCCGCACTGCGGCCTTTTGCAGGTGGTGGCTCGACAGCAGGCCCACTAGCGCCCGTGCCAGTTCCCTGGCGGCCTCGGCACTGCCGCCGCCACCTCCGGCACTCCCGCCCTCCATGTCAGCAGTCCCAGCGGCTACAGCACCAGCGGCAGCACCGCCCTCAGCAGCACACGTCAGCAGGCTCTGCAGCTCTCCAGCCGCCACCACCAGCATTCCATGCTGGCTCAGCCACTTGACCATGGACCCCGCCTCCTCCGGCCGGCCGCCCGCCAGCACCGCCACATCCGCCTCCGCCGCCATGCGGGCAGCGAGCTTTGACTCACTGAGAGCAGCCAGCGGATCCGCTACTAAGGGGGTGCGAAGGCCCATGCCGGCGGAGGCGGCGGAGGCGGCGCTGCCGAAGCTGAGGGCTCCGCTGAGGCCGCCTGCGGCGGCGGCGGCGCTGGCGGGGAGCTCACCGCTGATGCTGCCACGGAGGCTGCCGCCGCGGGTGTTGATGACGCCGCCGCCGTTGATGCTGCTACGTCTGCTGGCGGCCCCGCCGCTAGTCTTGCAGGCAGCGGCATCCTTCACGCTACCGCCGTGGGAGCTTTTTACGCTGCCCGCCTCGCTTGGTGCGCGTTCGGCATTCCCGACATCCACCGGTGCGGTTTTGACACTAGCAGCCTCCTTATCACCCTTCGCTACCACTGCCGTACTTGCGTCATCAGCAGCCACAGCAGCTCCCGCGGCTGCCGTGAACTGCGCATTGTAGTACTCATCCGCATGCCGTACACTCCAACCCAGCAGCTCCGCCGCCGCCGGCAGCAGCGGCAGCGCCGCCGTGTCCACGGGCGGCGCCGCGTCTGCGGGCGCCCCCGCGGCCACCGCCGCCGCCATGGCGTTGAGTCGGCCGATGTCAATGTACAGCACCGACCCACGGGGCTGCCACGTCGTCAACATGGGGTGCCCCAGCGGCGCGAGCGACGGCTCCACAGGGCGGGGTGGATCCGCGAAGGTGGGAGGAGGTGCTGCCGCGCCGCTGTCGTTGACGCTTCCGAGTGTCAGCAGGGTGAAGTTAACATGGCTGGCAACATGCAAGGAGGCACTGTAGCAGCAACCACCCGCACCGCTACTATCGCTACTGCCGCTAGCTGCAGCGGAGGAGCCAGAGGTGTTGGTGTTGGTGTTGCTATGGCCGGTAGCCTCCGCCGGCGCGGGCGTCATGCGCGGGCTGGGGTGCTCCCTAGATGCTTGCTGCGGGAGCAGCAGAGGCGGTTCCGGTGCCGAGGCCGAGGCTTGCACCTGGGGCTGCTGCCATGCGACCAGCAGCGGCGTCATCAGCAGCTGCGTGGCCAACCAGAAGCAGGCGGTGACGGCGGCGGCGGCGTGGGAGGTGAGGGCGTTGGCGAGGGGCGGCAGGCAGGCGGAGAGTACGGCATCGTCGTAGGTGCGGTTGGCCCGGATGGTGTCCAGGGTGGCTTTGGTGGCGTCAATGACGCGGTCCACCTCCCTGCGAGGGTGTAGGGCCGCCACACGTTGTTGGGATTCCGCGGTGCAGGAACGCTAGCAAACGGTCCAGACCAGGGCGACCAACAAGGGAAGGCCCCTGGTGGATGACACACCTGCCTAACCTGTCCCCCTAACCCCCCCGCCTATAAGGCTATAACAATCCTCTTTCACAAACGGTCTTCCTTCTCCTCAACTCCCGCTCCCTCACCTGCCCATCACATGCAGCGCCAGCACCACCGCCGCCCCCCGCTGTCCCCCCAGCAGCAGCGCATGCCCCGCCGCCGCCACCCCGCCCGCCACCCAGCTGCTCGCCAGCACCCCCAGCTGCAGCCGCAGCCGCACCGAGGCCTTCAGCCAGGCGGCGGCGGAGGGCGCGGAAGCGGGCACGGGGGCGGGCGCGGCGCGGGTCACAGCGCCTAGCAGCCACTGCAGGGACTGCAGCGCGGCTGAGAGCTGGCAGGCGGAGGCGGAGGTGAGGGAGGTGGGGGTGCTGGCGGTGGAGTGGGGGCGGCCTGGTCATGGGCGTGGATTAGGGAGGGGGTATAAGGAGAAGGTGCAGCAGGGGCAAAGGTGAGGGAAGCGGACGTCGTAAAGCGCATGACGCTGTATACGGGAACTAACCTCCCAAACCCGAAACCCGACATACGCTAGGTAGGCACGAACCTGGGGATGTTGTCACGACTACCGTCGCCAGCGCGGGTGACGCAGCCACGGCCTGCCACTGCAGCTGCACCGCCAAATGCGCCACCAGGTGCTGCTGCTGCCATTGCTGCTGCTGCTGCTGCGGCGGCGGCGGCGGCGGCGACAACCAGCTGCTGCCAGGACCCACACCCGAGCCACCGCCGCCAAGTCCTCCCAAGCCCGCTGCCGACACAGTTACTGGCGTTGGCGAGGTTAGCATCCCCGCCGCTGCTGGTGCTGCTGGCACCGCTGCTGCAGCAGCTGCAGATGCCATGAGCTGCTCCCTCAGCGCCGCCGCCGTGTCTGCCTCCGCCAGGCTAGCGCCCACCGCGGCCTCACACAGCCCCGACAGACCGCCCACCAGCGCTGACGTCACCGGCGCCGCCAGCGCCGCCAGCCGTACCTGCGCCGCCTCCGTCAGCGCCACGTCATCCGCACCCGGCGCCGCCACCTCCCGCCGCAGCGACTCGAAGGCTTCGGTGGCGGAGGTGGCAGCGGCGTCAATGGCAGCACGCAGCGCCGTCTCCAGATCCCGGGCAGCGGCGGTGAGGGAGGATGCAGCTCCTGTTGCAGCGACCGCCGGCGACGGCGCCGAAGGCGCCGCCGCCGCCTCCAGCGGCGGCAGCATGGCCAGCGGCGCGGCACCGCCGCCCGTCAGCATCGCCGCGGCGGAGGTGCCCGGCGGCATGAGGGCGTGGAGGGCGGCCGCCAGCGTGTGGAGGAGGGTGGCCAGCCCCTGCGCCTGCTGCGGAGTGGTGGTGACGGGCAGGCGGGCCACGGGGTCCTCCGGCCCCCCCGCGGCGGTGATGAAGTGCCAGGCGGCGGCGCCCAGCCGGTACAGCTCCAGACGCTGGCGGAAGAAGACCAGCAGGGCCGCCAGGGACCTGCAAGGCACGCAGGAAGACAACACAAGATGGAAGACAGCAGCATACCGGTACGCCCAGGTTGGACTTGAGGCATTACTGAGGTTGTGTCGTTGTCATGGGGTTCCTAGTCGTCGTTTCCCTTCCACCAATCATGACGTGATCCCATGCAGCATCAGGAAACCGTTCCAAGAAGGGAAAGGGCCCCCCCCGCCGCACCTGACCACGTGCTCCCTGACGTGCGCCAGTCGCGCCCGCGCCAGCTGCGCCTCCCCCGGGCGCGCCCGCACCGCCGCCTCCACCACGGCGCCGCAGCTGCTCAGCCCCTCCGCCAGCTGCCGCTCCTTCAGCTGTACGGCAGCTGTGTACGGCAGGTGGGGTGAGGTACGGAGATGGAGATTGGGCCAAACAAGAGGCGGAATGAGCACCGCAACACCTCCTATAGCCCTATACCATCGCAACCCTTACCCCAGTCGAAGGAACACCACGCCATATGCCACAAACCCTACGAACCCCTCTTCACGCCCCACAAACCCCTCCCCACGCCCGCTCGCCGCTCTCACCCTCCGCCTGCCGTACCAGCTCCCGCAGCTCCGCCTGCCGCTCCGGAACCCCGTGCGGCGGCAGCGCCATGACTCGGCTGGCCGCCGCCCCCGCCTGCTGCCTCATCGCCGCCAGCAGCCGCCCCAGCGCCAGCTCCTCCGCGCCCAGAAGCGACAGCCAGTGCAGGGGGGGCAGGCTGGGGGAGCCAGTGCCGGCCTGCGGGGGACGGAGAGAAACCAACACAAAGGAAGCCGTGAAAGAGCCATGAGGGTGCGTGGGTAGGGGTGATGGCGTAATGATGCAAATTACCGGTAAGCAGGCAGCCTCATTCGGGTGTTTCGAGCTGCATGCGTAACATGCGGTGCGTCAATCTATCCCTAGCATTGGACGTGCCGGAGGCTAATGACAGCGATAGTGGGGGCACTACCTGAAGCGCTGGGTGCAGCGCCGCCATCAGCTGCTCCGAAACCTCAGGCTCCCGAGATAGGCGAGCCGTGACGCGCAACGTGCACAGCAGCTTCTCGCCGCCAGTCGCCGTACGACAGGCCAGTGTACGAGTCGCTATTTCGTCCGAGGGTTCGTACACTTGTACGGCAGGCTGTCCCGCCAGCCGCCGCCGCAGGTTGGTTAGCTCCAGTCGGGTGAGGGGGGGCGCGGAGAGGGCTGCGGAGAGGGGCAGCTGCGCGGAGGCTAGTGGGGCGGCGGCGGACCAGGGGTCCTCAGCCGGCTCCACCAGAACCTGTGGAGCGGGAGCATGCAGAGGAGGGGAGTTCAGAAATGAGCACCAAGGAACATGCCCGTTGGGACTTCAGGCATGTACCGGTGCTCAGGGATACGGTGCTAGGCAGCACCAGAACCTGTGAATCGGGAGCAGAGCGGAGCATGCAGACGAGGGAGTATATATATGTGAAAAGCGCCAAGGTGCACACAAGGAGCATGCAGTGGGACTTGATGCATGAACTGGATAGGGGTACGGAGCGGCCCAACACTGCAACGAGCGGGACCAAAGGGACGAAGAACACCCACATAGGCGCCATATCACCCTATGCCCCTACGCCAAATCCCGTGATCCCAGATACCTTCCTCACTGCACACCCAGAGACCTTTTCCTAGCCCCTCTCCTCCCCCCTTCCTCTCCCCCCACCCCGCACCCTGCTGAGCGCCTTGAACGTCGCCCGCCTCCTCGCCTCCACATCCGCCAGCCGCCACACCTGGTAGGTGCGCCCGTCACGCCGGCCCACGAACACGCGCGCAGCGGTGTCGAACAGCCCACTGGCGCGTGCGGCGTCGGCCTGCGGAGGTAGCAGGCAGGGTGAGTGGTGCAGAAATATAAACAAGCCGCGTACGGAACCATTAGCACCCCGGCATCCTTAAACACCCGTGAAGCTGCTGCAACATGCCCCTGCTGTGCTCCCACTGCTCGGCCTCTGCCGCCATTCCGTCCCCATTCCGTGCTCGCCTACCAACACACACGGACACACTAGCGGTAGTCGTGGCCAGTTTGCTTAATACACCCCACAATACGTTCCGACTCGGGGCCATAAAGGAAAAACTTAACAGGTTTCTTAACACCCCCCACCCCCCGCACCTGCAGCCGGTGCAGTCGCTGCGTGTCAATGCAGAACTCATGCGGCTGCGGAGGCGGCGCGGAGTCGGGCAGCTGCGGGCGCCAGGGGGTGCTCAGCAACTGGAAGGGGCGGGTGGGCCGGCCTGACGGGAGGGGGCGGAGGGTCGGGTGCCAAGGGAGGCACACGGGCGCTTGTGGTTACTTCAGGGTGCAGGCAGGTAGCGCTCCTGATGCTTCAGGCAAGACCTCCTGCTTACCGGGCCGTTCCATAACACTCCATAGGTCGCGCTACGCAAGCGGAGCCGGGCCCTCTTCAAGACCCCACGCCCACCCCACCCCCATGTACACTCACCCTGCTCGTCCATGCAGTACAGATCCAGCGCCGGGCAGTCGTACTCGTCCCTGCTGGCCACCACCAGCACCCGCTCCACCGTACCGTCAGGCACACCACCGCCCTCCACACCGCCCTCCGCTCCGCCGGCATGCAGCCCCATGCCCCAGCCCCAGCTACCACCACCACCGCCACGTGCTGCTGCTGCCCCGCCTCCTCCTCCTCCCTGCGCCCCCGTTGCCCCGCCCTGCCCGCCAGCACCAGCCCCGCTGCTGGCGGGTGGCTGCAGCCGCGGACAGGAGAATGCGCCCACCAGCGCCGGTCGCAGGTTGTGCAGCAGCAACCGCGCCGCGCCGCCCGACACCGCAGCCAGCAGGCGCATGTCGTCCGGGAAGTGCAGCCGAAGAGCGGTGCGGAGGGGCAGGGGCGCGGGGGAGCCGTTGGAGGAGGATGGTGGAGCGGAGGTGGTTGTGGTGGGAGTGGAGAAGGTGGGGGAGAGCAGGGCGACGGTGGTGAGGCTGGTGGTGGCGATGGTGGGTGAGGCGGCGGGAGAGGGGCAGGCGAGGCGCAGCAGGGCCCAGAGTTCCGAGGCGGGGAGGCCCAGCACGCCGGGGTGGAGGACGGCGTCTGCGGGGTGAGGAATGGGATACGGGGGAAAGCGGGGAACAAGGTTAGGTTCCCTACGCATGGTTGTTAATCGGGGGGCGATGCGGTGATGCGGGAGCCCGCCGACAAGGGGTCCTACCGTGCAGCACAAGCTCCAGTGTGTTGCCTCGGAGCCCTGCCGCTGCCGCTACCGCCGCCACCCCAGCTGCGATGGCAACCTCCTGGGAGCCTCCGCCCGCCACTGCTGCGCATGCTGCCCCTGCACCCGGCCCTCCGACATCACCAGGGTTAGCGCCACCACCACCACCACCTCCATCACCGCCACTCCCGCTGTCGCCAGCAGCGCTAGCCGCCTGCGAGCGCCGAGCCCGCGCAGGCTGCTCTGCTCCTGCCGCTGCCGCCTCGGCTGCCGCCGGCACTACCCGCGCATCTGCACCCAACACGCCCCCAGCGTCCGCATCTGCCGGCAGCTGCCCGGGGCGCCCCGCCTCCTGCGAACCGCCCGCGCAGGAGCCCGCCCGTGATGGGCGCTGGGACTGCCGGGCTGCCGCTGCTGCTGCCCCTGCCGCTTCCCCTACCGCTGAGGGGTCACCCAGGGCGCTGCTGGCCTGGGGCGGGGCCTGCGGGTCACAGGGTGCAGCGTCCAACGCAGCTTGTGGCGGCGAGGCTGCATGCGCGGGAGGAGCTGCCGCGTCCGGGGGCTGCGCAGGAGCTGCAGGCTGGGAGGGCATGGTGGGTGCCGCCGGGGCCGCGAGAGGTGCTGCAGCTGGTGGTGTTGCTGGTGGGGGTGGGGGCGGCGGCGGCTGCTCCTGCTCGCTGACGGTCCAGGAGGGGTCCAGGCAGTCGGCTGCGGGGGCGCGCAGTTGCTGCAGCGAGCGCAGGAAGGCGTGTGCCTGGTCCAGCTGCTGCTGCAGGGCGGCCACCTGGGGAATGGGGGAGGAGGGAGCAGGGGAGGAGGGCACGGGAAGGGAGAGGGACGAAAACACGTGCGAGAGGAGGGTCAGAGACAAAGCAGTTATGGTGCTCTCAAGCGGCTAGTGACCCACCTTCTCCGCTGCGACATGTCACAACCACACTACCAAACCAGCGTAATGGTGGTGCCCAAAAGCGGCTCCCTCCCTCCCAGGCCTCTGCCCACCCGCAACGCGCCTGCGCCGCATGCGCCTCCGCCGCTGCCACCCGCTGCAAGTGCGCCTCAGCCCGCAGAGCCGCCTCGCGGCTGCGCAGCGTCGCCGCCGCCTCGGCCGCCGCCGCTTCCGCTGCTGCCGCCGCTGCCGCCTGCTGCTCCGCCAGCTGCCGCTGCAGCCCCTCCACCTCCGACGCCAGCTGGGCTATTGCCTGGCATAAGGCGGGGCAGGTGGGTAAGGGCGGGAGGGCTATGGAGCAAGGAGTGTAACCTGCATTGATACGCGCTATGCTACGCCCTTTCCGGGTCAAGAGCCTGCCGCAGAGTAGGAGCTCGTTATGCATGTACAGCAGGCGGCAACACGAGATGACGGCTTCATCCCCGGCCGCCCCCGACCCCCCATTTCCCCCCATCCCGGCCCAACGCACCCTGGCCGCGTCCATCTCCGCCTGCTCGCCGCGCCGCATCAGCTGCTCCTTCTCGTCCGCCAGCTGCTCCTTCTCGTCCGCCAGCGCCGCCTGCGCCTCCAGCAGCGCCGCCACCTGGGCGCTGGCGGAGGAAAGCGCCTCGCGGGTGGACAGCAGCGCGGACTGCACAGCGGGGTGGCCAGGGGGGGAGTAAGAGGGGTAACGAGGAGCGGTGGGGTATGGGCCCTATGGGGTTACCGGTCTGGCTTATGGGAGGGCTCAGGCCGGGGTAGGGTGGCGACATGTGGGGCCTTTGACAGGGTATCGGTGTTTGCCAAGGCACCATGCACGTTGAAGGGTGTCATTCCGCGACCCTCCAGCTTTTACCAGCCAACACCCGGCTTATTATTACCTCCGCTGCCTCCTTGGCCTCCCCCAGGCGCTGCATCTCGTCCACTGCCGCCTGGTTTTGTGTCATCAGCTCGGATAACAGCTGGTCAGCTGCCGCGGAGGTCAGCTGCTCCTGGCTCTGGAACTTCCGAGCCTGTGGCAGGGCAGGGCAGGGCAGGGCGGCAAACGGGAAGAGTGGGGACGGGAGGGTGGTGGGAGATGAAACCCAGCACGTGGCTGCGGGAGTTGGGTCTCTGCGCCGGAACGATACGATCTGTTGGTCAAACATGAAGGCCTGCGTTAGGCGTCAAAATGGTGGCGGCATGGCAGCCCCATTCCTACCCTAAACCGCGCACATGCCATAGCCTCCATATCTGCCACCGCTGCCGCACTCCATCACGCCCTCGCCCCCTCCCTACCAGCTCCCTCATGGCCTTGAGCGCCGTGCTCTCCCCGCGCGCCGAGGGCTTGTTCAGCAGCTGCACCTGCAGGTCGGCGGCCATCTTCTTGAGCCGCGCGTTCTCCGTGGTGAGCATGCGGTTGGCGGTCTTGCGGTCCTCCAGCATGTCCGTCAGCTCGCGGATCCTGTCCTGCAGCGCCTTGGCCTCCCCTGCGTGGGTGAGGGCGGGGTAGGATGGGGGCCATGCTGACTGTGTTGATGCATGCTTAGCGGTCCGTTCGTGCGTTGCTACGCCCTCCTCATGTCGAGAGAGTGTGCTACGACAGAGCCATGGCAACTGTGGTGGCGACCGCAACCGACATGAATTCCCCCTTCCTCCCGTCCGTGGTCCTCAGGCTGGTCTCTTCGACGAGGGACACTGATGAAAGGAGCGGAGTCCGCCATTGGAATATTCGACGATGCGGGTATGACCGCGGACATGGCGTACCTTTAGCCGTCGATCGAAACTCCGTCTCTTTAACCATGTTTGCAAATCCATACTGCTCCTTCCTTTGTGCAGCAAGACCGTCTTTATCGGGCTTAGGGCCTGTATCAGGCATTCGGCATGCCAGTATTAGGCGTCAAGCTGCAAAGCAGTTGTGCAATGCGCCAACGTCCCTTACCCAAGCCGCTGGCATTTTGCGTGCGCCGTGACATCTTAGTCACTACTAGTCCATTGGGCATACGATTGCTAATAGGCTACCGCGACAGCAAACTATCTAACGGTGTTATCGCATTCATAACGAAGTTCGAAAGGTTTATAGTTGATACAGTAAGGCGTAGGGCTACATGGCGAATATTGCAAGTTGGTGTGGCAAGCGCCGTGGATTCGACAGCTGGGTGTCGCCCATACGCCATAACTAAGAAAGGACGGTAAGCGCGTAGGAAACAGTCCATGATGGCATGGTCATTGTCTGCCGAGGAGGCAGAAAGTACTGCAGAAGGTGTACGTGACCAGGTCGTTGTATGCATGCCGCAGCAGCCGTACCCGCCGAGCCACACCGGCAGCCCGTTTGCGTGCATGTATGGGGCTGACTGGGACCAAGCCTCCACAACATCACGCCGAAGTACCGGTAGCTTGTGGTATGGATAGCAGTGAGAATTGACCACCATCCCAGACTACCTTCCTGAACACGGCAGGTTGGTGGCCCTGTACGCTCTCCGCTATTCTCCATGACCCGCAGACGGTCGCCGCATGCATTGTTAACTGAATCGCCCTATGTACACTGGTAGCATAGCGGCAAGGAGAGCGAGGCACCAAGCCCGCTACCGCCCCAGTTGCAGCCTCATGCACCCGCAAGAGGAGGGGAACGCCATAATCCGCGAAAACCTAAGGAGCAGGCTGTCGGGTGCAATTTGCAGAACTGGCCGAACTGGCTGCCCTACGGTGCTATACCGTTCACCATGCCGTGCTGCTTGTGTCTTCCACATAGTTCATTTGCAACCAGGCACCAAGCAGCGACTGGCTTCAAGATGGACCCATGGTACAGTCCACGACATTGCGGCCGACGAATACTTGCGGCTGAAAGTGCCATTGCCGTGTATGTTTGAATCAGTTCATGGCACCGCCTCATCCCGTCCTTAAGGCCGTGGCTAATTTCGCCAACTGCGACCCAACGCCACCTAGCTACCGGTACGCAACAGCCTGGGCACCCTGGATGCAAAAGCAGTGCCAAAGAAAGAGCTTATATTGTACCCTGGTGTACTCCATAAGATCATGCAAATAACTGAAATGCAAGCCTGTAAGTAGAGCGGAGAGCATCTGATCGTGAGTCCAAACTGCAACATTTAGTACTTGTCCTTGTTGAAAAACAGCAGACCAACAGATAAATAAAACTAACAGTAGGCTGTAGACTTGCTGAAAAGTAAATGCACCCGGTTCAGAACCTAGAACCTGCTGGTCTCCTTCCCGCGTGTTGACCTGCGTATGGCAAGCGCACGAGCTCGAACTGGTGCTATCAGCAAGACAGACATGGTTAGTCGCTATTTCAAATATTAAGCACCAACATCACAGGCTTGGCTAGTACAATGATCCCATGGAGTCGCTTGGCCATTGCTGCAGGAGGCCAGCCGTCTGGTATTTGTCTTTGTAAAGGACGCCCGTCCAAAGCGGTAAGCTTACACATAGTATCAATTTGTCCGGACGCTCGCCCTGAGGTGTCCCGGTGACGGTTGCAGGAAGGTCGCTGTCCCTGTTCCGGACGGCTACACGTGGCAGGACTTCATCCAACAGGTTAAAAGCAAATTGAGGATTTCTGGTGTCAGCGAGGTTTTCCTAGCCTCGGTAAGCGGATAGCAAGCCTGTTGCGGAAAGGGCTGCCTGCCCAGCCAGAAACCAACCCTAACCCCCTCACCGCGCCCCTTCTCCAAACAATCCCATAGAGCGGCCAGAAGGTGACGAGCCTCGATGAGCTGCAAGACATTGATGAACTGTGTGTTGTGGAGGTAAGGCCGCTGCCCTCATTCGGCGTCAGGGACCGAAGGGCTCAGTGCGCTCAACCGCTTCTAAGCCAGCTTGCTTGGGCGGCCATGGGTTTCTTGGATGCCTTGGCGTCAGTCCCAGGCCTTCCTGACTCCGTGCGCCTCCCTTCCACATCCCTCCTTTGCCGACTGCACCCCTCGTAGGGACCCGAGCCGCATGCAGCCAACGGCCCCATGCCGCTGCCCAGTGAGGCTGCGTTGCGCTCAGGTAAGATACGGCGTGTGCCGGTGAACTGCTCCATGGTCGCCTTCAACCAGTAGTTGGGCCCTCTGGCTCACTGTCCGCCGGTCAAGGCTCGGCCCTGCGGGTGGCCCCTTGCCCCGTATTCTTAACTCGACCGCTGCTGGCTTGCCGGGTCCCTGGGTCCTGCAGGGATGGCCCCCTCGACATCGGAGATCCGCCCGCAGTCGTCGCTCCCGTCGGAGCCTCGGGCGCAGGTAGGCATGGGTTTCCCCCGCCGCCTTGGTAGCTACGGAACCCTCCTGGGAAGGATGGACTCCGCCAAATGCTGTAGTGGTCGTTATTAGGGAGGGCCAGAGGGCGTAGCCGTGTCCGTACTACATATCGCGCCCAGCTGCCTTTCCGCTGCGTCTTCCCCGTCCAATCCGTGCTGCGCTGCTGCCGCGTGCCGCAGTTGCTGGTGGACAGCAGCAGACACAAGGTGGGTGTGGCGGACGGCGCCGGTTCCAGCGGCCCCCTCCTGGATGACAAGAAGTACGCCAAGCGGCCGGCGGCATGGAAGCGCACGTTGCAGCGCGTCATCCCCTCGCTCTTCCAGCCGGGGTTACCCATCACCAACAAGTGCGTAGGGGCGGGGATGTGGTTGGGTGAAGGAAGGCCGTGTAGCCGAGGATCAGCTGTAGGGGTGGGCGGGGCTTTGCGAATGGAAGGTAATGATGCTGAATTGGCCGACGGTCGCCATGCAACGCCCTTGGGGTTTTACTCGATACTATCCGGCGCGACGCGCGGGGCAGCAACCCACTTACCTCGACGGCTGGCTACGGCCGGTCTACTTTGGCCAGGTATCGCTTACAACGGGCTAGGGGCACGATGCACGCGCATCGCGTCCCTAGCCTGCTGTACGAAAAACCTGGGCAACTTAGCACGCGCCAGCGGTAGCCAACCGTCGAAAGAAAGTCAGCTGCCGCCCCGCGCGTCACTTGGGCATGAACCAAATACCTGAGTTTCTGGCAACGCGTCCCGTCCCTGACATGTGCCCGTGGCTCTTCCTTGACTACCAGTATCCCTGTCGTCCTGCAGAGATGTGGCGGCGTCGGAAGACCGGTCCTCTGTACCCGGGGCTCGGCGGCAGCGGCGCCGGCGCTCTGGGCTGAGCATCCGAGAGGTGCTGCTGCTGCTGGCCGTCTGCTGCTGCTTGGCGACACTGATCTGGTTCATGAGGACAAATATCAAGCTTTCGTAAGGGGATCATTGAGGCATAGATTGGGACTATGTGGACATGGGGTGAGGGAATGCAGACGGGTGAGGGTCGCAAGTTGGGGTGCCGCTGGCTCGGGAGGGTAACAGCGTGAACGGCTGGGCCAGCGAAGGGGGTGCTATGGGGTGGACCGATACGTGATTAAAGGGGGTGGGGGCGATGCTTACCAAGCATGTAGCTTTGGAGAGGAGGGGGCTTACCGTTTGGAGGGTCAGATGTCTATTATTTAGGCGATGTTCAGGTGTCATTGTGCATTAGAATGCATAGTGTGGCCCATGAGAGGGCGGGTACGCACTGGGGAAGCTCCAGATGGGATTTGCTACTAAAGTAGCAGGGCCAACCTAAGTATTGGCAACATAGTGTTAACTCATACACACACCCTGCATCAAGGCATCCAGGAATGACCGAGTTAGCCGTGCGGATGCTAAGGATTTGAGCAAGATTGCCGGATGGAGGGTATCTTGGGAGGGATGTCGATGCCGTTGGCTTGCTGCCTGGCGATGCTGGTACAAAGCTGCGCTTGGAGTGTACCCCAAGCCGGGTCGTCTTTTGTGTCTCAGTGCTGAAGACTATATGAATAATACATAGCTTAATGTATCCTGTGCTGGTGGTGTCCGGAGGGTAGCTTGAATGCGCAGGACAGGAAGCCGGCTGTAGCAGCGAATCTGGCGTCCCATGGTTTGGCTACCACATGGTTTGAGGGTGGGCTGTATAGTCAGATTGGGAAAGAGTGGAGGGCCTTCCTCATACCCCACTGCTAAGCGCATGCGGTGCGTTATTTGGTGATATCAGTTTAAGCAAGACTGCAGCGGTCGGGTCTAAAGCCTCGCCTCACCCTGCAGTGTCACCTAATAACACGCTGATCACCGTAGTGCGTAGTCATACGTCCGCGATGTGGTAACTTCACAGCACCACATCCTACGCCCGCATTAAGTAACGCAGGTATCCAAACAATGCACAGTCAATCACAAACCTCAAGTAGGGTCGCGCGATAGAAGGCCAAGAACGTAAATGCTCCATGCATGCAATCCGCCCATTCCATATCAAACCTATCATATCAAGAATGCCCATGCAACTCCACCGCCAACACTCCACGCATACCTAGCCTTCGACCCCAACCTACATGCCGCCAAACCACCGCTGTGCTGCTCCTCCCCTTCCTAGACGATTCGCCTTCGCTCCCCACCCCTGCAACCGCGCCTCTCCTCCACCTCCTCACACCACCATGGTCGGCGAGCGGCCCAGCGACGTCCCCGCCTTGGCCGTCGCCTTGCCAACCTGCTCGTACAAGTACGTCTCAAAGTCCATGGGCACGATTTGGAAGCGCGAGGCTTCAGGGTTGAACTCCGGCGTCTCGATGAAGTTGAGGAAGAGCGAGGAGATGCGCTTGCGCAGTCCCTCCAGCATCTTGGGGTTGCGGCCTCGGTTGAGCATGTCGGCCTCGCGATCAATCAGGTCCACCACCTCGCGCGTCAGGTCGCAGTCAAACTCCTTGACCGTCCACTTGACGTGCAGCAGCACATCTAGCCGCTCGTCCACCGTCAGCAGCGGCAGGTTGAGACCTGCAGCACGGCAGGCAGCGCGGTGGTGCCCCAGGGGGATGAGTACGGCAATGCAAAGCGGAAAAAAAGAAACGAGGGGCATGGTGGCCATGCATGGATAAGTAGTTGTCACACAGCCATCACGGCCAAAGCCTATGTGCACGGGGCGCCGCTTTGTATACTAGGGCCCTTGCAACCGGAATACGGCTTAGCACCCACCGTTGTACAGCTGCTGCAGCTCCTTTGCGCGTGTGGTGAATGGCGTGTGCACGTCCACCTTGCCGCCGTTGCGCAGCGTGAACTTCTTGGGCCGCGACATCTCGTTCAGTGTGTGCTGGATGCGCGCCTCCTTGTTCTCCTGGTTGGCGTTGATCTTGAGCCGGTCGATGGTCTGCGCAGCATGATGAGGGGCAGCGCGGGGTTGAAGCTACGGGGTACTCCTCAACGGCCGCATGCAATCTAGCAGCCATTTAGGGGGGTAGCTGACAAGATGCTTTGCACAATGCCAGCAAAACCTGCCAGAGCCCCACCCACTGCACCCTTGGCAGCACCGCTGCATCCTACATTCGCCTGCCTGTCCCATGACCGCCAACGCCACGCCCCACTCCCACCTGCAGCAGCTTGGTTTCCTTGTGCAGCAGCTGCTGCAGCACCTGCTGCTCCTGATCCTTGGGCAGCCCGGCCTCCTTGATCTTGCGCGTCTCCTGCAGCCGCCAAGCCTCCAGCTCATTGTACAGCACCTCGAAATCCGCTGCCGTACGAGGGTGCATGCGACGCTGAATCTCCCGCCGCCGGTGCTCCTCTGCCTCCGTCTGCGCCGCCAGCTCCTGCTCCCGCAGGAACGCCTCGCGCTCTGCCTTCTTCCGCCGCAGGTACGCGGCGCGGCGGCGACCCAGCCAACCCCGCAGCCAGCGCTGGATACACCGCGTAGCTGCAATCACAATAGCCTCCCGCTCGTCCGCAGTCTGGTAACGCCCCGGCGTCACCTCCTTGTCGTACGTTTCGTCCATCAGCACCCCAGGGCGCTCCATCTGGGTCGCCTGCTCGCGGACCGTTTGCTGGCTGTGCTGCTTGACCTTCACGGTCTGTGTTTCGCGGCTGAGCTTGCGGTCTGCCTCGCTGTACTTGGGGGCGCGCGGGGTCTGCGTTGCTGCATGGTGGTAGACCGCGCCTGTGCGCTTGTTCCTGAAGCCACCCAGGTACGCCTTGTGGTCGCACTGCGTCAGGTCCATGAGCACGCGAACCAGGCGGTGCGGCATGCCGGGGCCCTGCTCCACCTCCACCTCGATAGCCTGGGGGCAGGGGGCGACAGGAGGAGGGTTTGAAGGAGTGGAGGACGGAAAGGAGAGGGACAGTGAAGTGTAGTGTACAGTAGCACTGGTGTGTTATTGTGGGAAACGGACAGCGCAATGCGACGACACCCTAGCCATCCCCACGCCCAAGGCCAGCACAGCCCAGCCGGCACCCTCCATGACCCCACAGTGAACTGGGCACTTCAACTGTGGGTGCAGCCGTGCCCGCCCAAGAAGCTTGCCCCCATTGCGGAATACCTCCGCAGGCCGTCCCAATAGCGGCCCCGCCCTCTTGCCTCTCGCTTTGCCCCGTAACCTGTAGAGCCCCTGCCCGCCCACTGCGCAGGGGCACGCTGTGTAAGGCGCACCCCTACACGCCCCATCCCCACCAGCCCGGAAAGCCAAGCCATCCCAGGGCCATCCCTCAAACCCTCACCCGCAGACCAGGCGCGATGTAGCGCTCCACGGGCGCTGGAGGCGGCAACGGTTGCGGCAGAGGCGGTGGGAATTGCACTGCTGGCCCGGCCGGTGCCGCTACTGGTGCCATTGCAGCAGCTGGGGCGCCGCCATCACCGGTAGGGGGCTTCGCGCCAGGAATGGGCGATCCGCCCAGCCGTACGGGCACGACGGCCGGCACCGGAGCCATGCCAACGCTGTCGGGGGTGATGTTGAGTCGCGCGGCTGATGTGGGTCGGCTGCCATCGGGCTGGGGTGAGGCGCGCCGGCTCGAGGAAACAGGCCGGGCAGAACCGGGCCGTGCCGAGGGGGGCCTTCCGCCTGACGCTGGGCGGGAGGTCGAGGCCGCGGGCTGCTCCCCGTCGGCAACTGCTGGGCGCTCGGCCTCAGGGTCCGGCTGGGGCGTAGGTTCAGGCTGAGCCGTGGATTCAGATGCTTCCGGGGCTTGCTGCATGCTGGGTTCAGCTAGGGAGCTGGGCTCCGGCTGGGATGAGGCTTCAGCCTGCGATGCGTCAGAGTTTGGCAACCCGGCGTCTGCGGAGCCGCTGGGCACGGGGTCACTAGGAGTGCTGTCGGCAGCTGCCGTGGAGGTGCCCTCAGCGGCTACCCCTTCAGCTCCTTGGGGCGCAACCCCTCCTGCGTCCCCGGGAGCCGCTGAAGGCTCATCCTGTTGCTGGGCCTCTGAAGTACCCGTGGATTGAGAGGCTTGTTCCGCCTCACCGCTCTGGAAACAGCAAAAGCAAGCGTAGGCAGCATACGTTACACGCCAGCTACATTAGTCGCAAAGGCATGCGGCTTGAGCGCCTACCTCGACTCCGCCAGCGTCTGTTGCTACCTCAGCAGTTTGTGCAGCTTCTTCCTGTCCCGTATAAGAAGATATGACGTCGGGCTGTTCCGACGGATGCACTGTGTTGGAGCCCTCCTCGGCGCGCTGTATTTGTGGATCAACGCCCGCTATTGAGTCGAGACCATTATCCATTTGAGATGGTGATGGTGTTTCCTGGCCTGCGCCTGGGAGGGCAAAACGACATTTTCACTACCTGCATGAATCTCAGCAGCCCGGCATTTGCCATCCCAGTCTGCATCAGCCCCTACCAGATACATCTGCTGTTTCTTCCTTCGCTGCTTCACCCTCAGCTACCGCGGTTACTGTTTCTGGGTCGCTCATGACCGTGCAACAATATTATATGTCGTCAATAGGTGCGATATTCCATTAAGGACTAAACAAATTACAAGCTCTGAGCCTCTGCATAGCGAAGGCGACAAACGCCTCTTGCAACTGCTTCTAAGGCCGTACTCAAAGTACGGCCTAACCAACTTTCGGTATGCGCAATCTTGGCTCAGACAGCACCCGCGTCCTGATGCATTGGACTAGCCTCTAGCAAGCGCTCTGCTATGCCCGTTACCGCGCCCTCTCCCGCTGCCTTGCCTACTGACCCTCCAGCATGGGCATCGCGTCCACCATATCCGCTCGGGCCGCATCCCTCATCCATCTCTGGAAAGCACGCACCCATCGGAGCCAGGCCCACACCAGCGCGTGAGCTTGAAAGCCACACACTGCAGGTCGCGTCCTCCTCCACAGCCGCGGTGACCGACTTGCACACCACCACGCCCGCGTCCCTCTCCTGCTCCCGCGGCTCCTGCCCCTCCGGACCGCCCGCCAACTCAGCTCCCCTTGCCTCAGCTGCCGCCCCCATCCGCCCCAACACGTCTTCCTCCTTCTCCAGCGGCAGTCCCTCCTCCTCCGCCTCCATGGCACCCTCGGACTCTCCCTCCACCTCACCACTCTCAGCTCCCATCGCCTCCTCCCCCTCCTCCGTTCCAACCCCCTCCGTTCCACCCACCACCGCACCCACCACCGCCTCCGTCTCCGCCAGTAGCCCGTTGTACGGCGGTCCTGCCGGCTGCACCCCATGCAGTTGTACGAGCAACACCGTCACGTTGTCGTACGCGGTGCGCTCGCTGACACACGCCTCCACGCACAGCTGCGCGCAGATGAGGTCGGCGGACAGGTCCGCCTCCAGCCGCTCTAGCACGAACTCATGAACCTGGGGGTGGGGGGCGGCGGTTGAGAGGGGTTGGTGGTGGTGGGGAGGAGGAGCGGGCAGGTAAGGAGAGGGCATGGCGGGTGAGCCTTGCGAGTCCCCACTTGCGAGTGAAGAAGCGAAGAGGCTCATGCCCCCACGCAAGTTAGCTCCACCCCCCTCCGCTGCCACCACTATCCCTCAACGCATGGTTCTTCTGCCCCCCCTGCCTACCTCCCCCCTCCACCCCCCTGCCCGCCCACCTGCTGGGTGTCCAGCACGTTCCACAGCCCGTCACTCGCCAACAGCAGATAGCTGCCCCCGCCTCCGCCACTGCCTCCTCCACTGGTGTCACCACCGCCACCACCGCTACCGCCGCTGGTCCCCGCCTCCCCTCCTACACCCCCACCCGCCATCATCCCCTCCGGCTCCGGTCTCATCCTCTCGGGCTCAGGACGCATCGGCTCCGGCGGCGTCTGCTCCCCCTCCCCCTCCTCCTCCCGCTGCTCCTCCCCCTTCTCCTCCCCCTTCTCCTCCTCCCCCTTCTCCTCCTCCCGCTGCTCCTCCACTACCTCCTCCTCACCCCTCACCACCGTCGCCGCTGCTGCAACCACCTCCTCCCCCTCCCGGCCCCCTCCCCGCCCCCCCTCCTCCCCCCCCACCGCCACCAGCCCCACATGCGCCACGGAGGGCTCCGCAGTGACCGCCTGCAGGTGGGGCGGCAGGTGCGCCGCCTGCTTCATGTCGGCGTCACCCAGCGCGCGGGACATGTCCAGCTCGCCGCACACCCGGCCGCTGGCGGACACCCAGCAGCCAGCCTGGGGGGGGGGGAAATTATATAAGAGGCAGGGGAGTGAGGTAGGGTGAGGGAAGGGGGGAGGCTCCCTCTGCGGAATGCGAAGCAGTCTATAGCGCTGCCGGCAACGGGGCATGAGGACCTCTCCAAGCGCCTGCACGGGGGCGAGGAACACGTGGTGGGGGCTCACCCGGATCACCCGCTCCCTCTCCGCGGGGTCGCTGGCCTTGTGGTCCACCGTCATCACCCGCACGCCGCCCGCCCGGCTGCCCAGCACACACCTGCATGGGGGTGGGGGGGGGCGGGAGGGGGGGGGGGCAGGCAGCGCGGGGGCACGCAGCGCAGGGGGAGCAGCGGCGGCACGACCGCAAGTGAGCCAAGCTTTAGCCTTGGGGCACCTTGAGGCACAGCGCGGAGCCCACAGTGCAGGAAGCAAGACAAGCATGGAGCACCGAGCAGGCTGAAGGGATGCCGCAAGTCAAAGCCTTTTAGCGCGAACAGCTGTACCTAACATTCCGAGCCCAGCACTGCTGACCCATGGGTCACTGCTTACTGCCTCACCAGCTGTCCCCTCCCCCCACCTGCTGTCCCCCACCGCCGCCACCGTCACCCCCTGCCGCCCCACCAGCGCCACGGTGGCGGTGGAGCCCGCAGCGGGGCCCAGGAAGGGGCCGCCGGGGGCGCGTCTGGGGGGGGGGCAGGTGAGGACAAGGGGGGGACAGGCCCAGATGGGCCCAGAGACGAAGTCGAACAACGTACTTAAGATCACTGAGCCAACAACCGCGCCACCCTACTGCGCCACCCTACTGGCTTTTTGTGCCACCCCACAAAAAACATAACACACAGCGCGTATCAGAGGCCGTGCCGCCACCACCACCACCACCACCAGCCCCGCGTGATACAACATCCCATGCACCCCCGCCCCCGCCCCCGCCCATCCCCATACACATCCTACCACTACTACTACACTCTACCCCTTCCTTCCGGACCGATTGGTTTCCTTCCCACCTCCTCACCTGCCGTACACCTCTGCCGGCGCGGTGCTGACCCCCGGGTTGGCCAGCGCCAGCAGCTCCCGCAGGTGCGCCTCCTGCCCCAGCTGCCGGTCTAGGTGCAGGAAGGCGGAGCGGAGGGCGGAGGCGCGCAGGGAGGGGGGCAGCAGCAGGGGCTGGGGGGCAGGAGGAGGGTGAGGTTGCGGAGGCAGGGAGTCCCAGGGAGTTGAAGAGGGGTCGGTGGTGGTGGTGGGCGGCGGGTTGGCGCCGCCGCTGGCAGGGGCAGATGCGGTGGTGGCAGCTGCTGCTGTGGCGTCTCGGATGGCTCGCCCCTGTGAGGCCACATACGCAAGGTCAGCCATGAAAAGCACGAGCATAGCATGCTGAGCTTTGTCCCCACCCACTCCCCTAAACTACATATAGGCGCGCACCCCCTGGCCTCGTAAACGCCCCTGCGGAGTGCGGACCACCCGCCTCCCCCCAAAGGTACCCCCCCCCCCCGCTCACCATGCGCAGTGCGCTGTACCGCGCCACCTCCGCCCCGCCGTGACCGTCGTACACCGCAAAGAGGGACACCGGGGGGGAGGGTGCGGTAGGCGGGGCGGGAGCTGCTGCTGCTGCTGTTGCTGGTGATGAGGTGGAGGGGCCGCCCAGCGGTATCTCCGCAGCGTAGGTATCCTCCTGTGGGGAACGACATAAGAGGGGTGAGTTTGGGGCAGAGTTGGGATGGCGGACGCAAGGATTGGCATGTGACACGGTGATGGAAGTGGGTGGGTGTTACGAAACACGGTGGAAGCATTGCAATGGGGGGTGCAGCAGGTGCGTGCTGTTACAGGATGACGAAGGAGAGCGAGGGGAATGGATTGGAAGGCGCACCATTCTTCTTCTTTCTTCCGTCTATAGCCCCTAGGATTGTTATAAGACCTCACCAAGCCGCAATGCGGGCCAGCAGCAGCGGTGCAAACCGCGTGTCAACCAGCGCGCCCCTTACAGCAATGGGCAAGAGCTTTCGCCCTTCAAAGGCATCCAGACTGAGCTCAGTCCAAGGGCACCGGCCGCAAAGCGCCAGCGGTAACTGGGGAAACTCGCCAACATCCCGCACCCTCACCATGGCCACGCGCCATCCTCGGGAGCTAGCCACCGCGTAAGAAAGGTCGTGCTCCGGCAGGTCTTCCTGCTGGGTGTACTGAGGTCGGATAAGGGGCAGGGAGGGAAAGGAAGCCCTTAGGTTGCAGACGCGACAGCGCGGAATGTCCTAGTAATGGTACAATGGAGAAACGGACGTTTGCGTCGACAAAGCTTTCAGCAGATGATGTCAGAATGTGAAATGAACAACCTTACCACACCCAATGCAGCACATAAGCGCTTAAGCGCGGCCGCTCCTCGACGTGAGGCTGTCCCGGAAGCGCAATCGCCGCTCAGACCGTCCGCTGCTTTAAGCCGCTTGGGCTTGCGGCAGTGGCCTTGGTCATCCGTCTCTGTTATGCCCTTCAAAATGGATGAGGGATTCCCTGACGCTCCTGCCGGCTGTGCAGCATTGCGTTTATGCATGTTGCGTGCTGCGCCATAATAAGCAGTCCGCAAGAGTTGAAGGACATTGGGCTGAGGAAGGTTAAACTTTGTTGATACTGAGCTATTGTTCGTGGGAATTGGTGTCTGGCTCTTGGGCTCAGCGGTCGTCGCTGCAGCAACGGCGGAAGCCGTTACTGAGTTGCCGCTGCCCTCGTCTGCCGTTGATATCAAGCCCTTGAGGTCTCCACGCCTCGCCGCAGTTGACGCGACGGCTGTAGTCCATGGGTCAAGCAGGACCCGGCACTTCAGTTGTGGGCCTAAGGGAGCTGTCGCCATAGCGAATTGCAAAACAGTAGAGGATAACTACTGTGCTTTTACAGTGGCCATAGCATTATGTTTTGCATCTTATTGCTGCCAACAAGGTCTGCGCAAATGCCAACGCGGCTGAGCAAAAGGCTGGCTCCGAAACTAAAGCGCGAACCCTAAAACTGCAAGGCTGTTCTTTGCGTTCTTCTCAAATGGTAAACCCACCACCCTGAAGAGAAATCTAGTTATAGCAGGACAGAGTTGATGACTCATCCCCGTTATTGCGTCCTCGCTTGTACTACCGGCTCCCAAAAGTCGCTTGCCTAAGCTTCTGCCATTTCAACTTCATACTGCACGGGCTGGCGAATGTACATGCCATACGTACCAGATTGCTCATTCGCAGCGCAGCTGCATCGCATCAATGAGGATTTATTAATTTTTCCAGGGACCGGCAGGGGATGCCTACCCTGCACCAGTACAACCCTAGCAGCAATCAGATACACTCTTGCCGTATACACAATCCATCTTCCCAAGCTGCTGGGACCTAGTATGGCATGAACGCCATTCAGGACAAGCAATGGGCATCCGGCCTATATTCCTGAAGCTGTCAAGCGACAGCCGCAAGTCGGGCAGTGGCATGGCGCCAGGGCATCACAACCCTGCCATTGGGGCTGTGGACCTGTGCAGTGCCATTGGGGCTGTGGACCTGTGCAGACTGGGACCTCCCACATTGCGAACCGTGCGTCTCCGTGCCTTGCCGCGTGCCACGTGCCTGCAGTACCCCCATATTACAGCCAGATGACCCCTAGCCAGCAGCCTCAATCGGGCAGTGCAAAGTTTGGTTGGCAAGTGCTCGACAAGTGAAACGAGCTTTGGAGACTGGCAGCAGCCGACGACGGCTCCCCAAGCTTATTGCGCAACAGTCCTCGTGGTCATAGGTACACAAACACACCTGCAAGCACCATCAAGTCTAGCTAGCTATACAATGTACGGTGCAGGCACAGCAGGCATATTATCATTTAGATGGTCATTCACGAATCTAGATCATGATCGTGATGGGCGGAATGTTACCGTCAACGACAACTCCAAGGAGCCGGGTCGCCGTATGCGTGTGCAACATCGTACAACACCGCTGCTGTGTATGGATTCAGAGTGCTGGGCCACCCCCCCAACTGCAGTTAATCTCACCTCCGTCGCAGCAAACACGCAGCACACCGACCGTACAGCACCACGCTGCATGCCGTACATGCTTTCCTTTGTGCACCCGTACCACGTGCGCCGTGCTTCGCTTGCACCACCCATCCACCCATGCACTGCCCTGCTTTGGTCCAACAATGACCGCAAAAAACACATGGCACACCATCACAGCTATCGATAACTAACTAAAGTACGACAACACCTGCGGCCTGCACTGCCAGCAGTTCCGCTCGTACGAATCCTCCCTTACCCGCAACACACAACCGCGCCCTCACACTCGTCTCCCAAGCACCCGCCAGCCGCCACATCCGCAGGCCTGAGCCCTCAAAAGGCTCAAATCCTCAAGCTAATGGCTGCCCACAGCTATGAAGCAACAGCAACACAGCAACACGGGCAGAAATACGCACACTACTCGCGAACAGCAGGGACAACAGCCAAGCCGCGCTGGCTAAAGCGCAAGAGCGGCACGTAACCCACTAACTGCTCTTCTCCTCCTCGCTGTCGTACCCCCTTCCACGGTGTTGGGGAATACCCACCGCCCTGCTCACACACACACCCCCTAGCACCCTCCCAGCACCCTCACATGTCCTCCCTCCCTCCCTCCAGTCTCCCTCTTATCCCCCCTCCCGCCTCACTCCTCCCGCGGCAAGTCCCCCTCCCGCGGCCAGGCGCTCCCCACCTCGTACACGTGCAAATCGTCCACCCGGCAGCACCCGCCCACCGCCCACAGCTCGATGCCAGGGTCGGGACCCTCACCACCACCATCATCACCACCACCACCACCACCACCACCACCGCCGCCGCCGCAACCCGCTTCCGTACCCTCCGTGCCGTTAACACCACCGCACTCCTCCGCTGCTGCCCCCGCCCCTCCCACATCGTTAGCACTCGCCTGGTCCCTCTCCGGGTGGTCCGGGTGGTGCTGGTGGTGCTGGTGGTGGTGCTGGTGTGGCGGATGTCCCCGGTACACCCGCGTGGTAAGCACCTGGCCGCTGCCCGTGAAGACCTCCACGCAGGAGGCGTCCAGGAAGATGCGCAGTCGCAGCGGCTGGCCGGGGGGCAGGTCCAGCTCGCCGCCTGGGGGAGCGGGTAAGGAGGGAGCAGGGAGGGAGCAGGGAGGGAGCAGGGAGGGAGCAGGGAGGGAGCAGGGAGGGAGCAGGGAGGGAGCAGGGAGGGAGCAGGGAGCTTATGAGAGCGGGGGGTGTTTTGAAAAGTTGTTTGCTTGTTCCAGGTTGGGTCTGTGAGCTTGAGCCTGTTGTTGACCGAGTGAACGCCGCAAGCACGATAACCCACATGACCATGTCGCACGTGCGCATGCGAGGGACATGCTGGGTGCCCTTAATCGCCTGTCCTGCATCATGCAGCACACTGCCAGGGCCCGTCATGCCCCCCTCCCTCCCATGCCTCCAGTTGTTTCCGCTTTACCCTTCCCACCTTCATCCCCCCACCAACCCTCCCTGCCTCCGCCCAGTCCCTCTCTGTCTCCCTGCCCTCGACTACTCATCCCTGATCCCTCCCCACCACGCACCCACCCGCCTCCTCTCGCTTCATGCGGATCCAGTCCTCTACCAGTGGGTTCATGTCGGGGTCGGGGATGAAGTCGGGGTCGCTGCGGGTGCAGAGGGAGGAAAGGCGATGGTGTTAGTTGCCAATTTGTCGTACTCTAGTAGTGCTGCATTACCAGCAGACACCACCCCACCAGCACCCCCCCTCCCCACTCCTCGCTTCCCACCGCAGCAGCACCCACCCACCGGATCACATCGAAGTCCTTGCTCTCCTCCTCATCGTCCTCCTCTCCGTCCTCTTCAGATACCGCCGCAGCCGCCGCCTGGTCCCGCACACCTCCTCCGTCAGCGACCGGGGCCGGCCCCGCCGCGTCTCTCCTCTCCCCCTCCTGCTCCTGGCTCCGCGCCTCCTCCACACCTCTGCTGCTGGTGCTGGTGCTGCTGGTGCTGCTGGTGCTGCTGCCCCCGTCCGTATCATCCTCTTGCTCTTCTTCCGCGTCCTCGTCTCGCGCCAGCGCCGCGGGGAGCACGGAGGTCTCCACCAGGGGGCAGCCCATGCTGCTGGCTGCGGCGGGAAGCGGCACAGCAGGAAGTGGCCTTGGCTTGTCAGGAACATGTCGGGGCCTCCACGGAATGCCAAAGCCAGGTTCAGCTGCTCATATGCCGGTAATGGCACAGCGGCGGACGAACGTAAATCTGCAAGGTCCTGCTGCCCAAGCCCAATGCACCCACTAAATCGGTGACCATTGCATGCAGGGAAACAAACACCGCCACAGTGTGTCTCGCCCAACTTACCAGTGCCGCTACCGAGCACCAGGCCCCCCTGCTGCACCTGCCCAGCTGCCGACCGCGGCGCGCCGGCAACTCCCTTCACCCCATCTTCCGTCCTCACAGGCTGCACCTGTAGCTGCGACTGCACCTGCTGTCCGGCTGGAGGAGGGCCCGGCGGCGCCTGCGGCTCCTGCCGTTCTGTCTGCTGTTCCGCTGGTGGCTGGCACGATGCCGGCTGTGACGTCGCTGTCGGCTGTGACGTCGTGGTTGTGGTCGTGGTCGTGGTCGGCGGCGGCGCCTCCCCCCGCCACATCTGCAGTCGTGCGGGGTGAAGCGCCTCGAACACCACGTACAGCTGCCGGCTGGGCCAGTCGTACACCAGGGCCGCGGCGCCCCGACCCCTGGGTCGCCAGCTGCGCAGCAGCACCACAGTGCGCCGGGCGGTGCCGGGACTGCCAGCGAGCAGCGGAGGAGTGGAGAAGCGGAGAAGTAAATTACGCCGTGACGCGTAGAGTTACCAAGTTAACAAGCACTAGGGAGCTAGGGAGCACCGAGGGTGCATTGAAGTCCCGGCACTAGCGTCGACGGTAGCTTGGGGTTCGGTGTGTTTAAATTGTTCGGGCGCATGTGCAGCAGCAGCTGCTGCCGCTGCTGAACGTCTCACCTGATGGCAAGCTCCATGTCGAGGTGCATGCCCCGCACCCCGCGCAGGCACCAGGGTGACCCATGGGTCAGCTCCACACGGCTGGCGTGCACCGCCACGTCGGTCCGCAGCGCCGTGAGCTCGGGTAGCGGCAGCTGCGGTGGGTAGGGGGGTGAGTGGGTGGTGGGTGGGTAGGTGGGTGGGTAGGTGGGTGGGTAGGTGCGGGTAAGCGGGCTGGGCGGAAACGCGGTGGGGTTCATGCGGGCCGGGCAGCCATGCGATGACACCCCGATGACTGTAACCAACGTTCTAACCTAGATGCGATAAGGACGCGCATCCCCGCAAGGCACGGACCAGGTACATGTGAAGCGCATGCCTGACACACACGATCCTGACACATGCAGCTGCGCCTTTTTCAAGAAAGCTCACACGCCCACCACAACACACCGCCACGCCCCCCCTCCACCTGGAAGAGCTTGTCGCCGCGCAGATACAGCGCCCGCGGCAGCGAGATGCAGCCCGCGTAGCTGTACTTGTTGCAGCGGCAGGGCGGCGCTGGCACGTTGCGCAGCTCCTTCATGTAGCCCCACAGCACGTGGCGACCCTGGCGGGGAGGAGCAGCAGCAGGAGCAGGGAAGGAAGGCGGAGGATGGGTTGGTGTGATGGCTGTGCGATGCACGTGGGAAGGAAACCGTGCACGGCGCATGTACACGGCTCACAGCCGGGTTGGGCCGCAGGAAGGCGGCCTGCCAGAGAAGCTACAAGCGACGGCGTGACAAGAAAGAAGGCTAAAACAAGGCGCACAGGACGGTACGGACGTTCGTGTCAACGCGGCTCCCGTCCATACCCAGGAAGCTTCTGTGGTATCCTGCCCTTCCCTCTTGCCTTGGGGTCTTTGAAGCACGTGGGCGCGTACAGCACATTGCCCATGTCCAGCTTGCGCGGCCGGCCGCCCGCCTCCGCCCCCTCCATGTCGTACTTTGCCGTGCCGCTGTCGTACTCGCTGATCCAGTAGATGATGGAATATGTACAGGCGTCGGGCGCGCAACAGAAGAACCAGCGGCGCGACTCAGGCAGCGCGGGTCCATGCGCATGGCGGCTCACCGACTCGACGTCGCCATGCAGCGGGATGCAGCTGCTGGCGGCGGCCGTACACGTGTACGACACACCTAGCGGCAGTAGCGGCTGGGCCTTATGGTAGCGCATGGTGATGGGACCGTCCGACAGCGGTACGACCTCCGTGTCTGGATCCGGAACCGCCGAATGGCCCACCACGCCGGGGCTGTAGCTTAGCTTGGCAGCAGCGGCGGCGGTATTATCCTGGCCGGCACCATGGGCGTTACCGTCGGCGCCAGCGGAAGCCGCCGCCGCCTTTGCTCGGTGCGCTTCCATGACCTGGCTGATCATGGAATGCAGGTCGAGAAGGACGGAACGGTCGGCAGCGGCGCCGGCTGGCAGGGTAGCGAAGGCGGTGAGGGTGTTGTTGGTCAGGCTGACGGTGCGGGTGACCGAGGTAGCAGCTGGCAACTCCATGGCGCCCTCTTCGCCGCCGGCAGCAGCAGCAATGGCAGCGGCGGCGGCGTCGAAAGGCTCCACCCTGACCTGAATCGTTGCGACGGCCGGCGTGCCGTCGTCGCCGCCGCTGCGAACCGTCGCCGTGGCGGTTGTGATGCTGCCGACGGCGGCGGCGGCCCCGCCGTCCGTACCGCCGCCCGCCGCCACGCCGCCGTCAGCCCGAGTGACGGTGATGGTAACCGTCGACGCGTCGCTAGCGCCACCGGCGGCGTCTGGCGGCGCAGAAGCGGCGGTAACGCTGATACCGATGCCTCCCTCGGCGGCGCCAGCCGCCGCCGGGGCCGCCACCGCGGCTTCGACGCCTGCCGTACCGGCGGTTCCGTTGGCGGCGCCGCCTCCTGCCGTCGCCGACACCGACGTCACCACATGCACCAAGGTATCCATCAGACCCACAGTCAGCGCGTTGCTGTTACGACGCCTGACAGACCCCGGCGGATGCAGCGGCGGTTGCGGCGGTTGCGGTTTGAAAGGAACGTGACCGTTGGCCTTGGTCTCAACTCGACGGTCGCTGTCGTACATAGCATCCTGAACTGTCGTACCCTCCGCCAAGCCTTCAGCGGTGTGTTCGCCAGCGTCGTCTAGCGTACGCCCCTCCTCCACTTCATCCGCCATGGAGCTGTGGTGACCGCTGCCTGCCGTACTCACCGTTCCGCAGCTTGCCGTCGTACAGTCCGGTCCCGTACAGTCACCGGTGCCATCCGCCGTCGCCACTACCGCCGCTGCGGCGGCGGCGGCCGCCGAAAGCGCAGCGTCGGGCGAGGCGCCGGCGGCCGCCGACGCCACTGCCGCCGCCGCCGCCTTCGCTGCTCCTGTCACGGTGCTGTCGTGCGCAGTAGCAGTCCATGACCCCGACGCCGCGACGGCGGCGACGGGATCTCGCACCGCCGCCAGCAGCGCCGCTGCGGCCTCCGCCTCCGCCGACGGCTCCGCTACCTTGCTGGCGATGTGTTGCTGCGTCGCCGTCAGCGCCGTCAGCACCGCTGTCGACTCCACCTCTGCCACCGCCGCCAGATCCGTGGTGGGCAGCACGTGCGCACACAGAGGAAGCGGCTGAAGCTGCACCAGGAAGGGGCATTCCCAGCAGATGCCGGTGCCGGGGTTGGGCCAGCTGCAGAGGTGACCTTCGAAGCGCCAGCCTGCAATGGAAAGAGCGACGTAGGGGTCACGTAGGAGTCGCTCGTGCTCCCGACTCAAAACCAACAAAACGATCAGTCTACAACAATCCGAACGGTGCACAAGCAACAGCTTCATGCCGGCTCCCAATCACCCTGGCATGGTGAATTCTCTGCATTCAAGATGCTTGCTCTACCCATCCTCCGTCCACCGACCCACGGGTCCATGCGCTGAGTGACCCACCGATCCATTCCCCCACCTCGTGTGATCTCCGGCGAGCGGTACACCAGTGCCGTACCGCCACCTCCCTTGAGCCCGCTGCCAATGAGCATGGTCCACTGCCGGCCACGTCCGTCGCCCTGCTCTACGAACCACGGGTCGCGCCAGGCCGTCAGCTGCCCCGTGTGCGGCAGCTCCATGAGTGGCATGGGCACCTTGCGCCACCGCACGAGCAGGTCGTCGTCTGCGTGACCAGGTGCACATACAGGAAGGGGCGGGTGCACATACAGGGGGGGGGGTACGCATACAGGGAGGGGCACATGCATATCGGCGTCGGGTTTGCGGCCACTTGAATCAACATGCGGGGGACGTTCGTTCATTGCGGCCCAATGCTGAGATGGAGAGAGTGGGATTGCGCATGCTACTGTTTACTCGGTAACATCATCAAAGTGTCGCGAAGGAAGGAATGAGGCTACAAAAAGCATGTACTCGTTGAAGCCGCCGTACAGGCCCAGACGCATGGGTGCGGTGTCGACGGTGTTGACCGACCGGCCGGCATTGTACAGCGTCCACTGTGAAACAGTGTGCAAGCAAGCGAGAACGCAATTTGGCGGCCAAGTGGTGACACAAACCAATACACACTGCTCGCCACATGCGAACCTCTCCCATTTGCTTGCTCCTGTCCTACTCAACTATACACACGGCTCGCCACCGCATCCCATTGCACCTCATTGCCCGCCCCCAATGCAACCCACCGGGGTCGCAGATGGCGCAGCACTGCGTCTCGATGTGCTTGAGGCCCATGTCGTGTGAGGGCGGCGGGTGCGGCAGCGCCACCTCCGCGTTGGTGCGCAGACGGGCAGCCGTGTAGAAACACACGGGGATGCCGGACTGGGGCTCCACCTGCACGGGGTGGAGGGGGGGGTGAAGGGAAAGGAGGCGGGCAGGGGTCCCTTTGATGTGGGTCAATGTGGGTGTATTGATGTGGATTGATGATCAGGGTTATGTGCGTCGGAATAGTTGGTGTGTGGATTGCGTGTTGTGGGTCGCTCATTGTGTACGGGAAGAGACTATATCGGTCCACATACGTGCGGCTGAAAGCATGGACGGACACAGGTACGCAAGGGCAAAAAGTGACCCGTGGGTCTGCGCAGCAGCCACGTCTAGTTTGCACCGCCCAACACCCTACGCACGTACACGCGCACGTCTCGTTTTCCGCTTTCCGCATACCGCGTTCCGCGTACCTGTATGGATCCCGAGAAGCATCCGTCTGCGTCGATGCCCCCGGGTGTGGGCACCAGCGCCATGGGCAGTCGCTCCCAGTGCGCCAGGTCGACGGACACAACGTGATCCCAACACATGCCCCAGTACCACTGGCACGTGCCGGGGCGAGCCTGGTAGAACCTGGGAGCGGGGTTTAGGCAGGGTTTAGGCAGGGTTTAGACAGGGTTAGAATGTGGGTGGCAACAGGAAGGATGCGGGTGTGGTGAGGAGTGGCTGCGGTACAGGAGAGGGGGAGTGAACCATGGGTCATTGCGGGGCGCGTACGGTCGCGACGATATCTAGGCTGAGAGGATATGGCTCGGGCGGTTGACGAGGTATGGTGATCCCCGCTTTCCTTGATAATGTCGGCTTGCTGCCTGCCGCTTATCGGATGTTGAAGGGCCTGCGGACGGCGTGCCTGGCAAGGCTCCCTCGCAAAATCCCTGCTTCACCAAAAGAGGAGCGCAGACTACTACTCCGTACGCAAACCCAGATCCCGCGCCCCAGTCCACTCCTGCCCGGCCGAGCCCTGCCTGCCCTCCAGCTTACAGGTGGTAGCGTCCTCGGTAGTAGATGGGCCCATTCGGGTCGGAGCCCCAACCGCTCCGGGGCATCACATGGAACACCGGCTTGGGGCTGTCGGCGGCGGCAGCAGCGGCGGACAGTGCATCAGGGTGCGCGTGCGCATGCGGGGAAGGGGGCGGGTGTGAGGTGGGCTGAGGTGCGGGCGAGGGGGCTCGCGACAGGATGCTGCTGGGGGTGAGCAGCAAACTGCTTTCGCTCGCGCGACGCTGCTGGGCAGCAAGGGGTGCTCCCCGCCACATGCCTTGGTCGCTTGAGGTGTCGATATCGTCGCAGCAGCTGAGGCTGGTCGCAGCTGGGGCTTCGTGGGAGAGTGAGGTTGGGGCGGTGGCGAAGGGCGATAGGAATCCATCGAGGCTTTTGGGACTACTAGGTGGACTCGTCATCGCGAGCTGCTTTGCGTCAGCAGCAACTGACGGAGCTTATATGCAGGCTGTGCAGGGCGTGGTTTGGTTTTTGAGAAGATGAATTATGAAAGGCTTAAAAAGGGGCGTGCGGAGGTCACGCGCGGGGTTCTAGAAGGATTCGTCGTCTCTGGAAAAGAGCGCGCACGCCGCTTTGTGGCCAGCTAGGGCCGTATGAACAATTTTACACAGTAATTGCGCGAAAGGTCCATAAGGACTAGGTTGTATATACGCTGCCAAGGCAGTCCTATGGGGTATCAACGCAAGAGAAGCCAGCCTGGCTGTCCGCACGGCTGTCCGCATAAGGCCCCTGCCCCGATGATGACAAGGCTCCGAGGCTGAACATGGCATCACGAAGGCCATTGGTTGGAAGGAAATAAGAATTCTTTCGCAGCAATTGTATGTCCCGAGCTTCTCGACAAGACGAGGTATGTGCTTGGTTACACAGCCCAAGCGAACAGCGACCCCAGGGTCCCGTAGCCGTAGCTGAAGGAGATGAGCAAGAGCAGCTGGTCCAGGATATATCATACATCGGAAAATGCAAATATTTACATCCGAGTGTCCAGAGGCATGTATCATTTCGGCCACCGTAACTCATCGTTTCTCGAACCAGGACAAACAAGGACAAAGCACCAAACCGGTATTACTGATAGCCCGGTTATGCAGTACCGGTATCCTCAGCGCTGAACCCTTACCCTGGATTGTTGGCTTTACACATAACCAACAGGATAACATTCAAGAAGTTACGCTTTCAATCGGTCGGGCCTCACACTACGCCTCACTTTCAATCGACGAAAACCAGGTGCTAAGTTTCTTCTCTCCCTAGCCCAAACAGCGCCCTACAAGCACGGCTTGCCACAAACCATCATTCCTGGCATGGGTAGCGGTACGCTCAGGTAACCCACTCTGCTACTTCGAACTATAGACGTTCGTCCGTATCCGCATTCGAATCATTACACCCCAGCACCCCACCACCTGCATGCTCTCGCTACATATCTAGCTTACACCGAAGATATGGCGTCTCAACCTCTCATCTACACCTTTAAGCTTACTGATGCTCCCGATGGCTTTTTGAAACACCCCCTGCCTTCTTAAGAACCCTACATAGAGCATTGAAAGCGCATCCCCCAGCACGCGCCCCACACAACCGCTGATTAGGGTCAGTTACCCCCACCCCATGGACCAGGCCTCGGACGCCGATTCCCGGCAACAAGTCCATGCTAGCGCTGACAACTGCGCAACGTTAGCCACCTCTTCCTGCTCCCCAGCAGCGCACGACAGTCGGGCTATTCGCCACACCACACCCGACCCCGCAAAACCACACCACCACAAGCCCATACCCCCTACACGGACTGCCCGACCCAGATGCTCCCAGCCCCACGCGTCCCTCCTACCCCGTACAATGCCGTTGCAGCCACAGGCAGTTGCAGTGCGCAGCTACTGGGCGGCGGCAGCAGCGGCCAAAGTAAAGCGTCATGAAGCCGTAACTACACGCACACCCGGCACCAGCCAACATGGCACCAGCGTACGACGACCACGGCCAGCAGTCTACCGGCCAGCAGTCTACCGGACCCTGTTGGTCGCAACACTGGCAGTGGCAACACTGGCGGGTCGCCGCGGACTTGAACCTGGATGCCCACCCCTACACCCGCAGCCCAGTCTGCTGCGGGTCAGCTTCAGCTCTCATGTCCCCCGACACTGGGCGCCTCGCCCTAGCCGTGGGACCTCCAGACCTAGAGTGCTAACCTCCTGAGAGCCCATGCATGCATGCATCAGCCCCTGCCCAAGCATGCATGCAGCCCCTGCCCGAGCATGCATGCAGCCCCTGCCCGAGCATGCTGCTACCACTGCTCCTGCTGCGCTAGCGGCTAGCCCTAGCTGCTGCTGCTGCTTTGCCCCACTGCTCCGATCCTTGTTGCTTGTGCTGCAGCTCCGGTTACTTCGGGCCGCCAGCGGCGGCGATGGCGGGCGCCGCAGCTGCTGACTTGTTCCCCGGGGTCAAGTGCGACAGGAAGATGCTAAAGTAGCAAAACTGCAGGGAACGGGGGCAAAGGGAGAGAAAGGGACAGCAGGGTTCAGTGCAGGGGGTACGGGCATGCGGCCCCGGCCCTACCTGCTGGTTCGTAGGTGCACAGAGCCTATAAACCACTCACAGCAGCTGCGCTCTGTTAGAAAAACAGGCCGCAAGTCACTGTACTGCACTGTGTGTGTGGGTTCACGAGCCCAGCCGCCCACCCAGCCGCTCACCATAGCGCTGATGATCATCTGGTGTTTGTCCGTATCCGCGCTGCGACGGGTGTAGGCAGAGCCAAGGCAGGCCAGCGCAATCAGGGAGCACCATCGCACTGGAAGGTGGTTTGGGGAAGGGGTAAGGAAGGAAGGGCGGAAACGGCAAGGAGGAGGCGAGGAGGTCAGGAAAGGGCGCGAGCTTGGGTTGGGTTGGGGGGCAGTGGAGGGAAGGGAAGGGAACGGTACCATGCGCTCGGTGCACGCCTTTCCAGTTTTCCGTGCTTCGGTATGGCCATGTGGTTTTACTACAAAGAGGGCGGTGATGCGTAGGCCCACGTACAATGGCTAGACCAACAGCACTGATGCAGTGCTAATCTGAGTGAACGGAAGCAGGTACCGTGCGGCATGGCCACAGCATCCCTGTCGAGCGTACGCCATACTGACCTCTGAATGCCAAGGAGAGTGTGCTGAGGAGCACTCCCGCAAGCAATAACACATTGACTTTGTCTTCAGCTGCCGGAGGCCGGTCGTATGGTACCACCGAGTCAGGTCGCCTAGGGTCGCCCGATAGAGTGTTTGTCGTAGGCTTATCAGAAACCATGGTCGCTAGTTACAAGAGCTGTAACCGTGTAGGGGTAGCTTAGCGCTTCCCGCCTCGAGACCTGGTGCGAGCAAACCAGCACAGCGGTGACAACAAATACAAATGCAGCGCAGTTACGTCCTAGTACCTAAGCGAGCTGCCCACTGCCAAATTGATTACGGCATGAACCGTACAATATAGGACGATTACTTCCATCTATCCCAGTTTCTTCCAGAACGAGCAACGTTACTTTGCGTTAGGAAACTGATAAAGGCATTGCTTTGGCGCATTGCGGGGATGCCTGCTATACAAAACGAAAATGGCGACAGTCTATCGGTGTGGGAGTACTCTCCTTGGCGCTCCTTCATCCGCTTTGGTGGACAATCGGATGCGGACGATCATCCTTCACATGGGTCCGGACGCGTGCTGCCCCAAATGTTCCGTGAGGTATGTATGGATTGAGCCTGCGTTTTCCTGGCGTGCAGTCGTCGGCCTCATTTTCTCGCAATTGCATTCCCATCTGGAAACTGAGACGTTTCGCAATGGCGTCATCTCAATTTTATAATTAGTGGGCCTATTTTTAGCTTCCGCATCCGAACGGCTAGCTCACTTCCCGCAGGACGTGGCGCAGTCGCCGGCGGACGCCACAGGTGTGCGGGACATTTTCGGCCGTGCCCTTGACGCTGCGCGAAGCAAGTAAGGCATGCTACGTTTCTGCACCCTTGCCTTCGGCGTTGCAGTGGCTGTTCAGTTAGCTGATTACGATGCCGTTGTTTGCTAATGACTATCGAAGAGTACCTATGGCTTATATATATGAAAAAGGATCTGACGTCCATGTTGCCTATGTATGCTGTCGTCACGCATCCTTTGTACAGGAGAAGCTTTGCTTCGGCCGCTGACCTCTCGCGGAGCATGAAGCATCACACAAAAAACGCTACACGTGTGATGGCGGAGGACAACTACAGGTATGTCGAAGTCGTGGCTATGCCGTTGAAGCAACCCTAGCAACAAAAGGTGCTGCTGTCAGACCGCTCATGACATCTTTGAGCCACCATTTCCTTCATCACGATGAACTGCTTGACCCAAAATGGAAAACTATCTATCCCCTGCATTCATCGCATCTGTACTTCTTCGCAGGTGGGGAACTGCTGGCCGCTTGTACATCGGCGGTGGCCGTCTCGCGGACGACGGAGCAGGGTCCACTTCCGACGAAGACAGCGATGCTGACGATGATGGCTCCATGGATGGGGACCATGACTACAGCGAGGCAGAGGAAAGCTATGCGCCACTGGAGCGCAGCCAGGGCAGCACTTTGCATGCGAGGGGCCAGTACCCCTCTGCCGCGGCCCGCATCGGCGCAGGTAACAGGGGCTAGTACTAGCTGGGGTTCGCCTCCGAAGTCTGCATCCCGCCTAATTAATGACCTATGGTCGTCATGTGCGTCCTTCCTCAGCTGGCAAAGCACAAGCAGACACGCCTTGCCCCGACCCAAATCAGCATCTTATGCAGAGTTTTCTCCCCTTCTCATCCCCACCTATTATATCTCTTTTCCATCCGCTCACTGCTAAGATTCCTCCCCCCCCTGCCCCTGCCCCCTGCCCCGCCCCTCCCCCTGCCCCTCTGCCCCGCCCCTCCGCCCTAACCTACCCACCCCCCAGTAGACCCCGATGCCCAACGGGACGACACTAGCCCGGGACCACGAAACCCTGACAACCAGACCTCCGGCCCCCCAGGAGCTAACCCCTCGCCCCCAAAGCAACCGTCGGTACACTCCCGCTTTCGTACCGTTGCCACGCTCGCCGCCGCTGCCTCCCACTGGCGCAACGCCCGCAGCTGCCCTAACCTTGAGCTGCCTTTCCCCATCCCAGGCGCTCAAGTGACCCCAGGCAGCGCTCAACTCACGCCAGGCGCTCCGCAGACGCCCGCGGACTCCCGTCGCGGCCTAGCGACCCCGCTGGGGCTGGCGAGGTCCGACTCGCATGCACCCAGCCGCATGCAGCAGGTCTCCAACGCTGCACCCCCGGCAGCAGGTGGCGGCACCAGCTACAGCGGCGGGGTGCCAGCAGGCACCCCTCCTGCACGCCTGTTGGCGCGGACCAACACGATGACCAGCAGTGAATACGGCATGGCGTCCGTCCCGGAGGAGCTGACCCCGCAGCGGCGAATGCGCAGCATGGCAAGCCTGCATGCGCTGGCTGGGGCCCCTCCCGGGGGTGGTGCACCTGCTGCTGCTGCTGCTGCCGTACCGGCAGGTGGCGGCGCCACGCCTGTGCTCATGCGGTCTGGCAGCATGGCCTCTGCGAGGCTTCTACACGTACAGGCTGCTGCCGGTCCTCCCCGGCGCGGCGCGGAGTTGCCCGCACCTCGCACGCCCCTGTTGCAGCACAGCAGCAGCATGTCTAGAGGCCACGGGGGAGCCGAGGGGCCTGGGGCCTCGGGTGGAGGCAGTGTGGGCGGCGGAGGTGGCAGCAGCAGCGGCAGCACAGCGTGGGCTGCACAGCGGGAGTTCGCGTCTCAGCGCAGCATGAGCCATGCCAGCCGTCGGCTGAATCTACCTGTAGCTGATGCTGAGGAGGGGCGCACTGTGAGGGGGGTTATGGGCGTTGAGTGCTGGGGATAGCGCGTGGTTAGAAAAAGGCTGCTGGGTGTGGTCGGTGTTGCACCACAGGGCATGGATAAGGCACGGATTTCATGGCCGAAACTGGGTTGTTGGCTTGTTGTGTTCCGCAACGCAACGTTTGTAGGACACGCTGCACAGCAGCGGCTGCATGCACTTCCGCCGCCCTTGTCACCGCAGCCTGCATGCGCACCGATGTGCGTCGTCTCACACCCGTCCATTCGCCTTCCGTCCGACCGCAACCGCTAGCCGACCCCCTCGCTGCCTGTCCCTGCTTCCCCGCCTGCAGGGCCCAGCCAGCGAGGTGGGCCTGATGCGCAGCGGCACACTCTCCAGGTCCATCCGGGCCGAGCACCCCGCCGCGCTGACGCCCACTGCTGCGCACGCCAACACCGGCAGCTATAGCAACAACCCCACGTCGGCATCGCCGGGTTCCCGCTTGGGTGCTGCCAACACGCCTGCGCTGTGGCGCACGGAGAGCCGACGCGCCGCGCAGTCTCAGGTGGGAGGAAGAGGAAGAGGAAGAGGGAGGGGAAAGGAGGGAAGAGGAAACGGCAGGGTTGGCAGGACGTCCCTAGGTGTAAAAGAGCTGTTTGCCTTTTCGGTCGCAGCATGCATACCTGGGGGGACTGCTACATACCTCCCGCCACCGTCTTGCGCTCCTTGCTTTTTAAACCCGAAAGCATCCGCTTCGTTGGCACATTCCCATTGCTGGATCCATGTCTCTAGAAGCCCAGGCGGATGCGATGCCTCGAATGTCGCCTCCCGCTGAGCTGACAGGGACACCCTGCTCCCGTACACCCTTGCACCCCGCCAGCCGCAGCTGCATGGCAGCGACGTGAGCAGTATGCCGCCTGCATGCCGCATCGCGCCCGCCGGCGAGTCACCCAGCGGCGGCGGCGGCGGCAGGGGGGTCATGGGTCGGATCAAGGGAATGTTCCAATAAAGGCGAATCTCAGCTGAAGGGGTGTCGGGCGCGCGAACGGTACGGGGGTAGAGTACGGTTTACATTTCATGTGTCATTGGGGGTTGAAAATTCAACAATCTACGGCTACTACTGCGACGGCTACAGCACGCCGTATTTTGTGGTCTGGGTATGCAGGTCCTGGGTTTTTGGTATTGCTCAGCTTTTCCTTTCTCTGTTGAACTGTTGTTGTTGCGTTGCCTTTAGCATGCATGGGTGATGGGCTATTGTCCCAATGGGCCGCATGCACAGAGCGAGGTGCATGGCTGCGGGGAAGATGTGACCTGACTTCAGGCCTAAGCATGTTCTATGACGAGTCAACTAATGCGTGACTGGCAGGATCCTATGGGGCCGCTTGCATGTGTCTTGTGATGTATCTTCTGTATCTACTGACGTTGCCGGTATATGACACATGGTATTGTGCTTGGAAAGCTGCACCCCAGCAAAGCGCGCTGCAAGAATGCGCGCCGGGATCAATTTATGAAGAGTGTCTTACCGTCCTTGTTCCGTTTGATGGTGACCGTCCTTGACCCGTTCATGGTGGGTGTCAATCCTCTTGTCGTTACAGCATTCATTGTTTGGCCTATCTGCGTCCTTCATCTGCGGCATACGGGGTTCTTGAGCAAGAACTGTGCAAGAACTGTTCCACCGAACATGAGCGCTCGGTTGGCTTTGGGTTAACGGTTTGTTTTTCGACCTGCAAGTTGTTCTTGTTCTGTCTTTTACCACCGCCACAAGAAGGAGCGTCTTAAGTGGAAGGAACGTGTTGGTTGTTGATGGGGTTTGCGCAGTTGAAGGCGTGTGTGCGTGCAACTGGGATGGTAGTTTCGAATCCGCACCCGGTGCGGCGTGTCGTGCGACGTGCGTGTGCTGTCTGGACGACCCGGATCGATCCCTGTGGCTTGTGGGATGACCCTAACTGAGAGTAGCGTAAGAAGTGAGTGGCTTTCAGCTATTGCCACCTCAACGCACTGGTTTCATCCTGGCTGGTGTCCCACAGGAGCCATGTATTCTCGTTTGAATGCCCCTTCTTGCTTGCTAGCTGCTGCTGTTGGCGACGGTACCGTACATGTCAGGGCGATGCGGGCAAGATGCGCAGGGTGCACGCACGTGAGCACTTCAATGGACGGGTATTATCTTGTGGGCGGATAGTTGCCGCAGGATGCTGCACTAGCATGGCGGGGTAGCATGGTTGGCGGAGGGGTGGCGATGGGGATGTGTTGGGAGTGGCATCGGTGGGGCCTGCTTGTAGGGGTGCCCGTTACCCATGAGATGCCTAGTGCATGCATTCAAAATCGCATGCCATACCTTCTGCGTCCCTGCCGGTTCTGTCGACTAGTTTTTGCCATCAAGTTAAGGCATGGAGATAACGCTATGGATATGCCGTTGGTAATTGTACAGTTGGTGTTGCTGTCCTCAATTGCGTTTCTATAGAACTGCGAAAAGGGCATTGGATTCCATACGCCAGCACCTGGATTGCGCGTTTGGGTCGGGTATTTCAAGGCACCACCTTTGACGCCACCACACTGCTTGAAGGGCATTCTTAGCTTACACTATAACTCACAGACGCTTGCAGGCCTAACCGAAGGCAAGCATCCAGCAGCGGGACATATGTACATGCGTTGCACACGGCAGTGCGGCATGCCCACCTAAGCCCTCCACGTTTCCGTCGTCACAGGCGGCCGGAGAGCAGTTGTGACCTGCCGACCTGGGAAGGCGGGCTGCACAGGCGCCATGCCCAGTGCCCCGCCATACACCTCCCCCTCGCCGGCCATCTGGAAGCTACGCGCCCCATTCACCGCCACCTCTACACCGCCCATGCTGGAAGGCACGCCCAGCCCTAAGCCCCCAGCCCCTGTCCCTAGATCCAGCCCCAAGCCTCCTGCTAACGTGCCGCCACCGCCACCAACAGCGCATGCAACTCCACAACTGTTCCCGTTCCCGTCGCCCGTCGCCGCAGCACAATGCAGTCCCGCGCCTGCCGTGGCGCCCGCCAACGCCCCTCCGTCAGGTGGCCCGCCATTGCCTGCCGCCGCGCTGCCGGGACTACCCGCCATATTCACTGGACCAGGCAGGCAGCTGCCGAAGCCAATCGCTGCCATGTCCGCACTGCAACCCCGACCGGAAAGCGAGCCCAGCCGTGTCGGCTGCACCATGTAGGACCCACCCAGCGGGCCGAATGCTGCCACGTCGGCCTCAGGAAGCATGCCTGGCACGCCCAGCTGTGACACCAGATGCATCATCGTAGCTGCGTCCGCGCTTTGAGTGGAGCGGTGGTGGTGACCTGCTGGCTGCATGGGGCCGTGTCGCGTAGGTGGAAGGCCGCCGCCGTCACCGCCACTGCCGCCACCGAACCTCGATGCTGACGCCGATGCTGCATCGGTGCCAGGGAAGTTCAATGGATTGGAGCCGGGTCCAGGTGCCCCCATTGCGGATGTCTGAGAGCGGGATCGCGGCAGCAGCAGCGACAGCGGCTGCTGCTGCTCGGAGGGCAGCGGAACAGGGCAGTGTGCGGCCGAAGCCCCGACTGTTGCGGTCATCACCACCAAGCTTTGCTGCTGGCCCTGCTGCGGTTGCTGCTGCTGCGTCGGTTGGTGTTGCATGCTCACCCTTTCCAATGCCCTTATGTCTTCAGGACACAGCGGCTCCGACAGCAGCCCAGTCACCTCACCCAGCGACGGCCCCTCCGGCGGCACCCCCACCCCCGCCCCAACCGCATCCGCGCCGCCAACCCCAACCAGCGGCGACGTCAGCACCAGATCCTGCCCTGCTCCAGCCCGTACGGCATGCAACCTCCGCAACAGCAGCTCGCTTTGTTGCCGTACAGCTGCCAAGTTAGCAGCCAGCTGCGCCTCCTGCTGCCGGGCGTCCCGCACGTATGCATCGAGCGCCGCGCTGTCCGCTCGCAGCCGCTCCAGCTGCCGGGCGAGGGCCTCCCGCTCCGCCTGGCCGTCGTCCAGCATCTGCGTCAGCTGCTCCGCGTATTGCTGTTTGCGCTCTTTGGACTTGGCGGCGCTCTGGCGGAAGGAGTGGGGGGTTAGAGAGGAAGGAAGTGAAGGGAGGAGGCATGTGGTGAAGAAGCCTAGGGGAGAGCGCAGACGTAGGGTAGCAATAGCTAGGGGATCAGCGGGACAAGGGATTGGGAAACGGCTGGGAAGCCACGGTTGCCGAAGGATGCCGGTAACCTTGTTAGGCTACGAACCCACCATGCGGTTTGCAATGATGCGGCGCACGCGCTTGGGGTCCAACAACAGCAGCTCCCTGTTGCTCTTGCCGTTGCCACCCGCCCTCCGCTCCTTCAAAGAAACCTCCTTTCGCAGACGACCGGCAGAGCTGCAACCACCGCCATCACCCTCTACGCCACCAGCAACAGCTGCAACTCCTGCTTGGACCTGGTCCCCACTGCTGGGACCGGCCTCCGCAGCGACATCACCGTCCATGAGTGCGCCTCCGCCACCGCCACCGCTTGCCGCGCCGCCGCAGCTGCTTGCACGGCAACGGCCCAGCATCAGCAGCAGCGCACGGCTCATCTCCTGCGGTGGGGGCTGCGATTGCTGCTGCTGCGGAGGCGGCTGTGCCAGCAGTTCGAGACCAGCCGCATTGCCATACCCCGGTGGTGCGGGGTGCAGGGATTGCTTGACTCCTGGGGGCGGCAGGGAAACGTGCGGAGGCTGTAACGGCTGCCCCACGCCCGGGGAAGGGAGTTCACGACACGAGGGATGCCGTGGGGCCTCCTGGTTGGGTAACAGGCTCTCAACAGCAGCCTGCAGGCCCATGTAGCTTTGCCCGCAGCCGTAACTCTGGGGACGACCAGGTGGGTTCGGGTGGGGCATGGAGGAGCCCTGCATGAAGGGTCCGGTGGCGAAGACGGGGGTCGGGATGCTGCTTCCCATGACGCCCGGCGGAGACGTCCCCATGATGCCGTCGTGAGGGGCGGGTGGCCAGAGTGTCAGGTTTGGGGTGGGGATTGAGGTGCAGCCGGGCCCCGCTGCAACCAGCCCTTCTGGCACCAGCGTCTGGCTAGGTTGCCCTGCTGCCGAGTGGGATAGCAAGCATTCCTGATCAGCCAGAACCCCCGCAGCGCCGGGACAGGTCTCCGCTCGCTGCGCTTCAGGTGCGGCGAGGGCATTGGCTTGCCGCTTGCTGGGAGCGAGCGCGTTCAATTTGCGACCGGTCCGTCTATGATCGACGTACTGCTGGTCCTCCAGCATCGCCGTTATGCTGCTCTCGATCGGGGGGCAGGAACCAAATGGCTCTGCGCCATGCCCCATGTCTGTATCCATGGAACAGCTCTCGGAAACTAACTCCATTACACAGCCTTGCTTGCAGCTGGCGGTCTGCAACATAGGGGTCACATGTAACCAATCCCTCGCTCCTGTTCAACGGTGTATTATCCATTTAACCCTACCGTGTCAGCTTCGCAGCTGTGCGGGCGTAGATAACTAGTTGTTCACCCGCCTTCTAGTATGTAGGCCGCAGACAGCTTCATGTAGGTGTGGCGCAAGCTCAAGTTGCCATAAGATTGGAAAGTTACACAAGTTCCTATGCTTTGTGATATACCTAGTTCTTCTGTCTCTTCAAAGGGATGTTATCTTAAGTGTTTTATCCTTCGAACGTTGCACAAATTGCGGACAGTCTTTTACGCGCAACTTTGCTCCTACAAGCAAAGGTACATTATGGATCTTATTATTGCAAAAGACAAGCTGTACATTACGTTCACGGAACAACCTAAGACTATAGGAGCACGCCTCAAGCCTTGCCATATCCAATCGGCAACACAGTACGGATTACCACAGTATCTCGCCATGGTCATTACTTCACTGCGATCAAATTGTGTATATTACGCATATGGCATGATGCCCAAATTCCACCTACAATTCAATTTTCCAGCTCTGGGCTGAGCATAGCCACTAACGACCACAACCACACATACGCTCTACGAGGCCCTCTAGCACGATGATGCTCACTTCAAGGCACACGCCATTCTCTAAACCCCTATCTCGTAGCTATGCGCCAACCGTCAACAGGACGTTGCGGCTCCGCTGTCGCGCAGAGCAGGACACTCCAGCCTCACCAAAGCCAGCTGTTGAGGCATCACCAACGCCCGGCGACCATGTCGAAACAAAACAAGCCCAGTTGAGTGCGCCCCTCCTGCGTAAGGGGCAAGGAACGGCAATTGTCACAGGAGCCATCTCAGCCATCCTTGGGCTTGGATACCTGGTTTTGGTGTGGCTAATCGATTCCCGCGGAGGTCAACTACAACCTCCACCTCCCGAAGCATTCTTGCCCTAAAGCGTTGGCGACCCAAAGCCGATGGATATGCATCGTATTTGTGTTTTGGGTGACCCAGCGTGCTGAGCACCACAATTCTGGGACTATCCGGAGCCTGTACGTTTAGCAGGGCGTCGACAACTGCGGCCCCGCACAAGCCACGGAACATTGGATAGGACAGCAAGCGACGTGCGTGGAATGGACTGGGTCGATTATGGCGCACTGGAACTGGCACGCTGAATACGAACGTTACAGTGGCTGCGTGCACTGGTTCATGGGGAGGCAACATAGCTCACCCTTTCCCAGAGGCGTGTTGTCAGGGGAGACCAACGAAAGGCGTAGGCGAGAATCGATAGATGTCGAGGTGTAGCGAGAATCGTGGAATAGGTGACGTACAGGCTTGGATGGGGCCAGCGCAGGCAATGTTAGCACCGTCCAGGCGAAGCACATCTTAAGGGCTTTCCATCCTCACTAACACGTGGTTGGAGCAAGTCCTGTGAAGGCGTGTTGGGAGGGAAGTCATTGTTGGATGCATGTAGGCGCATGTTGGTACGATATGGAAGGACTACCGGTACCGATTGTGGCCAGTGGGCTTCAGTAGGAGTTGCATGTGGCAGCAGACCTACCTGCACGGCACGACAACGGTGCTGTGGTTTGCCATTTCGGACTTGTGTAGAACGTATTGATCACCACAGCGGCACGGGTAGGTGTAAATGAGCTCTCCTTGTCCTGCGCAAGGACGTGGGCCACGGTACTCTTACACGTCAGAAAAAGGAGACTTGGATGTGCCTGATGCATTAAGCCCTTTCGTGTGAATACTGTCTCGTGAAGCCTGCAGCCCTATTGCGCTGACCTTTGTGTACATCAATTGATATACACAAAGGAGCAGTAACAGCACACCTGCCCCCAGGCTAAATAGCGCTGAGCTATGTTCGCACTGTCACCTACCATCCTGGCAATCAGTATCCATCTCGTCTAGAGTCAGTTCGTCCTGGTAAGACATTGGCTGCTGCATTTCCTTTAAACTAAGCTCACTGTCGTACGCAGCTCGACGACCCGAGTCTCGAAGCACCTTCAAGCAGGACAGCATAGCAAGCAATGCGGCAAAAGCGTTGGGGTGCCATCCCTCTTGACATGTTCTTGTGCCGCTACTTGAGCGCGGGTGCTAACACAGGTTCACATCCGTTCAGGGGGTTTCCATGAGTGGCCGGCGCGTGCCCATGTCGACTGACCCACGGATCCCATACCCCTCAGCCTGACAGCGGTAGGGACCCCTCCCAGACCGCCTCCCCCGCACAAAGTAACATCAACCTCCGGCCTAAAGTTCGCGGTCAAGACCTATCGTGAAGAGGTGACGGCGCCACATGCACTCATACCGACGCCACAATGCAAGCGTAGACCCAGACAACCAAGCGCAAGGATCAGTTCGTTGGTTCGACACAGCCGATCTTCGCCCACCTCCCATGCTTTTTGGACTACTTGAAAAGTTGCTGCGCCAACGGCAGTTGCCACAGCGCCCTCGCAAGTGCTGGCGGCGTCAGCGCCATCAACGCGTTCGCTCCGAGTCTTATCAGGATGATGCTTCAAAACCGCCGCATGATAAGCTTGTTTTAGCTGTTCTGGAGTGACATCCCTAGAAACACCCAGTACCTGATAATGCGTGAGTGCGTCTTTCATGCCCTAGCACAATTAGCAATAGGGTAAATAACGGAAAGCTGGGGAGGTTAGGTTCTGCACCTGAATATTTCTAGAAACAACCGCTCATCGGCTCATTGGACGTAAGTTTGCCTTAACATGACGGTATAGTAAGCCAATAAATGACAACCAGAAGATACTATGTTTGAAAAGTGTTTATAGCAGTAATAGTTCATAATACCGAGTAATTCATATCGTATTTATCGTAGAAATCCCTCTGGTCGGACGGCGTGTGCCTGCGTAATCATAGAAAAGTATATGCAAATCCTGCCACATATATATATCCCCGAACGAGAGGCAAAAATCCCATACATTCATAACACTCTCCTGCCACACGTATATGGTCATGCTTGCTATGGTGTGTTGCTAGCCTATGCTCCGTGTCTTTGCTGCGACCCGCACTGCTTCAATGGACCTAGAACAAGGCTATGGCGCTTCAAGCGGACAGAACAGCAGGAGAGCTTTGCGGCGAACGGAAACTAGTTCGGCACAGTTGCAGACGACGAATTCAGCAGCGACTTACAGCAGGGCTATCCTAGGTAGGGTATATCACCTAATGTATCTTTGTTGTACCAGTATAACAATGAACACGAATACTTGCAGGGTTCTGCCTCGTATTGCTCGTGCTTGGTGTCCTGCCTGCTTCTTTCGTGGTAAGCGATTGCTGTCCTTTGACATCTGGTTTAGAAGTGGTGTAAGAGTGGCAATGCAAGCTTGCGCTGAGAATGTACAAGCTCCTGGCTGCCACGCATGGCCTGCCTTCCACATGGAGAAGATAGCAGTCGTATCAACGGCTTATAACCCTTGCCTTACCGCAGTTGTGGACATGTATCTTGGTGCTAATCATCACTTGCATCCGTGTGCGGGTGCACACACAACGTATTCAACATCCGTTTGAGCAGGTATGGTGTCGTGTGCTCGCGGTACCGAAGGACCTCCTGCAGATGTGTAATGTGAAATCGGCTGCCGTATAGGCGCATCCTCCAATACTCTCTCAACGTACGGATAGGGCCCCGGAAGCTCACGCTGCAGGCCCATTACCGGTATTCTAGGGCCTGCGTCCCTAGGAACATGGCATTTTCCATGCACGCCCCAAACCATGTCCCCTCCCACCCTCTGGGCCCGTATTGTTTCATGTGACACTTAAATGCTGCAACGCATGGATACTCGGCTTACAACTACATCCAACGGATTTCCCTCGCCTGTTCACAGGATGACCTGGTACCCACGGATGCCCTCTCAAGCCGTGTCCTCCATGCCGGAGGTCTAAGCGGTGTTCTAGCTGGCGGCCACGCGTTGGGTCAGGGCGTGGGCGCTGTCATGCCCCACCCGGTCGTTCGGATGATCCCTGGGGGTGGCGGCGTTCTGGTATTACACACCGACCCACGGGCCGCTCTGGACCTCCTCGAAATGCGGCTCCGAAACCTGGATGAAGAAGCTGGTGAGTGCGGATTGGGTGGGGCTGGTAATGTCAGCGGGTTTCCCTTCAGATGTTCCACACGAAGGGTTTACTGCTGGGGCAGGCGACCTGCTTCACTGGGGGAAGCGAGAAGGCAGCCGTTGAGCATAGTCACAGGTGAAAACTCATGGAATGTTCCCATCCTCGGGAGCTGGTTTAGTTTGACCTCTCCGATGACTTCGTCTCATGCTTTCGCTACTAGTACAACGAACTCTGTACCCTTATTTTTGTGTGGAGTCCAGCGTTCCTCTTATAACGGCAAGCAACGTGTACGACTGTTGCTAACTCTGCCGTACATGCACCGCCCCTGCTACAGAGTACATGTTGCAACCGGGCAGTCAGCAACCGGCTCTAGCAGCTGGCGGCGCGCCCCGGCGACCTCCTGCCCTGGACGTGGACATCGCAACGCTCCCGTGCTTCCCCTACAAGGCCCATCGGACCCCACCAATCGCCTCACCCTCAGTCAGGCCCCAGGGAGGCAAGCAGGAAGCTGCGGTTGCTGCGCCGCAGACCGAAGTCGCGGCGAGTGGCTGTTGTCCTACAGGCGAGGCTTGTGGTGTGAGCAGCAGCAGCAGCAACGGTTGCGGAGGAGCTGCGAGCGGCTGCAGCGGGGGCAGTAGCTGCATCAGCATTGGAGGAGTTGACGCAAGTCACCAGCAGCAGCAGCAGCAACACCTAGCAAAAGCCTTGGCATCAGCAAGTAGCAGCGGCGGTATATGTAGCGCTAGCCACAGCGAGGCTAGCGGCAGCAGCAGCAGCCAACCCTGTGCTACGGCTGCCTCCTTGGCGAACGAGGACGGGCCGGAAAACGGATGTGGGAGCGAGCTGACGTGTCCAGTTTGTCTGGATATGGTGGAGGAGGGCAGCCTCGTGATGACGCTGCCGTGTCTGCACCAGTACCATGCAGCATGCGTGACACCGTGGCTGCGGCAGCAGGGCCTGCTAGCCACGTGCCCCATGTGTAAGACGCCGGTCTTCCGTTAATGGGGGGAATGACCATGCGGGATTGGAACGGGTTGGGTACGAGAGGTGATTGCCGAAGTTAAGCGGGCATGGTGCGGGAAGCTTGGTGCATAGTGCATACATGGGGGGGGATTCTGTTGTGGTAAAGGCGGGTTACGACATGGGCTGTATCACCGGAAGTTGATGGGGGTTTGCTTGCCTTGCCTGATGGGCTGGTGGGCCAAGCATTTGGGGCGGCGTGGGGCAAGTGGGCGCGGCTGTTTCCCGCCTGCATCGGTCCGTTCAGTTGCTTACTCAAGTGCTGTGCAACCGGGCTCCTTCCGCTGGTCCGTTTTTGCCTTCCATGTGCCTGCGTCTTTGTCCGAGCTAGTTAATCCGGGTTACATGCATCACTAGTAAGAGTAATTATGCAGGGGAAATCCATAAGTGATTTGTAGTGTGCGACGGGCTGTGGTAAGCGTTCTCGGGCGCTTGACTTGTATGTATTTACTGCCATCCCTGTATGCAAAGGACATTGCTAATCTCGGGACAAATAGGTCTTAAAAGGTACAACACTGCTGCGCAGGACGTGTAAGTGAAATGGCCGCCCGACGCTCTTTGAACTTCGGCATTGTGAATTGATTTGCCGTACTAGTAGTGGCTGCAACATCTACATGTGTTAGGGTCACATATTCAGGACGTATACTCGCGAAACATATGTTTTGAAGTATGGGCGTGATGGGCGTCTGAATATTCTTGCTGGTCGGGGTAATAGCTCTAAAGGCAGGTCTAATGTTTGTGGGGAACGCGTGAAACCATCCATTCTTGAGGGTGATATGGCAATCTCCTTTCCTCATGGTAGCGGTGAGGCGCTACGTGCAGTGCAGGCGACGCCTCGAGGCGTGCCCCACGACGCGCTGTGGTAGTAGGTAGTTAGTGGACGCCACATTCGTGATTGAGGCTTCGAGGCGGTGATAGCTAAGGCAGCATTGACCTAGCGGCATGCGCTTCTACTCTATTGGCTGTGCGGCCCGCTGGTTACGCACACTCTGTAAGTGTTACCGGTATGACGTGTTACGGGTAAGCGTCACATGCTACTGCTGCACACCAATACGACGTTGGTACCAGCCCTGTCCTTGCTTGAGAACCCATTTACATCCCGACCATTGATGTGGTTTGATACGGAGCGACACCTTGGTGCCCTTCTGCTGGTACGGCTGGCATATATCTTGGAGAATTTGCCTCGCTTGTGGACATGCCGCTGTCATGCGAGTTAATGATGGCGTCGCTGCAGGATAGTATGTAACTTAAGTCTCCTTGCGTCCTTGGCGAAGGTTTCGAACCAGGTTTGTGACCGAAGCCAGTTTACTAGGCAGCCGAAGTCGGGCCGGTCATCCGTGACCGTCACCACCTGTTGTTATGCGCTGGTGGTGTCTTTCAAACGCATCGTGCCTGGCATCTCATTGTTTCTCTATTAGAACACAGTATTATGGAGACAGTTTTATCGAGGATCGCTGATGTCACGTGGATCGATGTGCTTGTACGGATGATGGGATAGTCCTAGCTAGCACAGTAAAATTGTCTACCTAACTTAGCCATGATAGTTAATAGCGTAGCAGGATAAACTAGACGGTAATGCAGCAGCTACACGTATGACAAAACACACAAGGACGGCTGGGGCCGTAGCACCTTTGCGGCGCGTATATACCTTTCAGCGCCTTCCAAGACCGCGGTTATAATTGGCTTCAAATCAAAAAAATATTGCACGCGTTAAAATGTCAGAAGAAAGCACTGAATTCTACGGCTGGGAAATTTCGGTGCTGTTCTTGCTGTTTATGTTTATCAGCTGCACTTGGCAAGTGTTTATTGCCGTCGTATCGTTTCTCAACAGCTTTTATGGCGATGCCAAAACAATTTGGCTGGAACGGCTGAAGGATGAAGTGCTGGACGTCGGTGTTATCTCCCTGGTCTTAGTATTTATAGAAGTGAGTAAATTATTATGGATCCAGTTTCTAGAGATTGGGGTTTCTGGAACAAACCCTTGCTGATTACCGGTGGCCTCGTGATTGGCCGCGTTCGGGGGCTAGCGCAAATGAAAAGAATGCTTGGTTGCGCGCTTAATACAGTAATCCCCCTGCTCGCCTGATCTTTAGTTCGCCGGGGGCTGAGCCCCGCCGAGGGTTCTTCGCCCCTAGGCCCAGCCTCTCCTCCCTAACTCCCGCCCTCTACATGGTATTCTTGGTTCCCTTTCCCCAACCCCCTCACCCCGTCTCACTCCTTTCTCAACCTCCTGCCACCACAGCCCTACATCAGTAAAATATGTGTCCACAGCAGCAACAGCAGCACCGACGGAACGGAATCCTCCACCACCGACGCCTCTCCCCCTTCCGCCTCCGCCCCCGCCCATGCGTTGCGGCGCCTGCTCTCCGGCGGCTCCTCCGTGTCGCCCTGCCCAGCCGGCGAGCGGCACCTCTTCCCGCCCGGCTCCATCTCCACCGCACACTACCTGCTGTTCTTCGTGGCGCTGGTCCACATCGTGTACAGCGTGCTTACCTTCACCCTCACCCTGCAGAGGGTGAGGACTGACGAGGAGGGGAGGAGCTGTGGGGCCTGGTGGGGAGTCGTAGAAGGAGCGTAGTGCAACCAACCCACACCCCAGGACGGGGTTGGGGTAGCGGATGGAGCAGGGATGCTTCCTGCCCTGCCCTGCCCTGCCCTGCTCTACTGTTAAAGGGCCCATTATCTTCCCTTCCCTCACCTGTTTCCCACCCTCCTCTCCTATTGCCCCCACTCTCCCCACCTGCTTCCTCACCTGTCCCCTCACCTGCTTCCTCACCTGTCCCCCCACCTCTCCTCACCGCAGTTCTCGCGATGGAACAAGTGGGAGGACCGGGCGCGCCGGGCAGCCATGGACGCAGCGGAGCTATCCACGCTGAGCTATCTGCAGAGCCGCTCCCCGCACCGCCCCAGCCGCCTCGCCCGCTTCTTCCGCGCATGCTGCCCCTCCCTCTTCGCCTCCTCACGCCCCTCCCCTGCCATGACCTACTTCACCGCCGAATCGACCATAGACTACGCTGCCCCTGCTGCTGCTGCAAGCTCCGCACCCGCACAGCTCCAACTGGCGCTGCCAGTGGCGCGGCCCTCCTCGCCGCCGCAGTCCCTGTCCGAATCCGCCGCATTTGAACCTGACCCAGATGGATTCTGCTGCGGCGGCTCCTTACGCTGCCTTCCCTGCTGCTGCCGTACCACCGGCAACGGCAGCTCTAGCAACGACCGCATCAAAGCTGCTACCGGTCCCAACACCAGAGCCGCCGCTTACACCTACCGGTACGCGGACAGCGCCCGTGGCACCAGTGGTTTCCCCCCTGGCTTCGCAGCTCACGACGGCGCTCGCAGCCGTCAATCTAGCGGCCACCCGGGCCCCCTGGCTCGCTTCTGGAGGGCGCTGCTGGGCGGGGTGGATGCGCGGCGCTACATGGCGCTACGGGGGGTGTTCCAGCTGCGGGCGCGGGCGCATGGGGTGCGGGCGTTTGGAGAGCAGGTGCACTTCACGAACGTGTGCCAGGCGGCGATGGAGATCGACCTGGCGCATGTGGTGTCGCATGGCTGGCTGCAGGTGCGGGTTGGGTGGTTGGTTGGTTGGTTGGTTGGTTGCGGGTTGCGGGCTGGGGGACTGCAGTCGCTGAGGCACAGCTGTTGAGGGTACGATCGAGATGTGATGTCGCGTGACTGGTATAGTTTCTTTCCTTACCATGCCTGTCGCGGCATTTGAATGTTGGCCCTATCCCGAACCCGACCCGCAGGCCCTTATCGTGGCGTGCTTCACGCTCTACACCACTCAGGGCTACCAGATCCTGATTGTGGGCGGCGTGTGCGCTGTCGTACAGTTCGTCTTGGTGGTCAAGATGCATGTAGGTAGCGGTTATAGCGGTTATAGGGATCAGGGACGGGATGAGTTCGGATGCCGGGGTGATGGCGGGGTGGTGGGCCAAAGCAGGGCACCTGGGGGCAAGCGTCTTCGAACCGAGATACATCTCGGGGCTATAGTGTACCATTATTGCGGTGTGCCCGTTTGCCGCTGCCTGCCCACATCCCCTTCCTCCTCCTCCTCCTCTTCTCTCTCCTGCAAACGCCGTCACACCCGCCTCCTTCCCCTCCCTGTCCGCTCGCCCCGCATTGCCCCCACAGCATGTGCTGCGGCAGCTGCTGCGGGTGGTGCGGGTGTCGGGCAACCCCGCCTGCCCCTCCTACTCCATAGACATGAGCCACCCGGAGCTCCGCGCCTGGGACTCCTGCGCCTCCTCGGAAGCATCTGGATCTGGGGATGAAGGCTATGGGAGTGAGGGTGGGTGGCGGCTGGCGGGTTTGCGGTGCAGACTTTTCGGCGTGCGTGGTTACTTGACTCTACCTTTATTGGCCTTTGTGCGGGTTTCTGTCGTGCTCGTTGGACGCGCATGTACATGTGCGGTATGCGGTCCGGCAACAGACCCCACTGCTGCCCCGCATGCACGTGCACCCCACAGGTGAGCCGCACCCTCACCAGCACCGGAGGATCTCTGACAGCAGCAGCAGCGACCCCCGCAGCATCAGCAGCAACGGCAGTAGCTACAGGCATAGCAATGGCAGGTCTAGCAAGCGAAGCAGCAACAACATTCGCGGAGGCAGAGCCGAAGGTGCGTTGGGCAGGATGAGCCGGGTAAGCCGGCAACAAGGAATAGACCCAGTCAGCAGACCAGGAGTAGAGCGCAACAGCAGGCCGGCAGCAGACCGCACTAGTCGAGAAGGAGGTAGAGGTGTGGGGTCATCGTACCAGGCGGGTCCGGTAGCGGAGGCGCAGGTGCATAGTGACGGCGGCGGCGGCGGAGCCGCTGACGACGATACGGCGGAGCTCGCGTCGTACAACTACGGCGGCCGTAACCCGCTGTACCGCATTTCGCCGACGGGGGAGCCCCAGGGTTTCGGCCGGCAGGCGGCGCAGCGGTTAGGGTCTGTCGGCGTCAGCGGCGGCGGCCGCGAAGCCGGCGTCAAGGAGTTGGGGTTGGCCGGGAGTACACAGCAGTACGCTAACCCGTTGTTCCGCAGGGGTAGCAGCGCGCACCTGGTTCCATCAAGATCCGGAGCCGCCGCCGCCGGACCCCGCGCCGCGCAAGCGCCGCTGGTGGAGGCGGCGGCGACGGTGACGCTGCCACCGCCGAGGGTGCAACGGATGACGGAGCCCTCCGCCGCCTCGGCCTGGGCCGCCAGCAGAGTCGATAAGGGGCCCTGTAGCTACAGCGTAGGCGGAGGCGGTGGCAACAACGGCGGAGGTGACGGCTCCTCCGTTAAGCCCTTCACGGGGATGCTGCGGCGCGTGGCCTCCGGTGAAGCTCCCGAGGCGGGTCTTCCTGCTGGGATGCTCGGTGCCAGCGACGGCAGCCGTGGCGGTGCTGAGGATGCATCGGGGATGAACCCCTTGTGGCCGGGCGTTGGTCGTGCGACCAGAGCTGCAAGTCACCATGTAGGCGTGCCTGGGCCCGCACCCCAGTCCGCATCGCTCGTCCGAGATATGGAAGCAGCCACCGACCACCCACCACCTGCCAAGCCGGGAGAGGCAGCGCATGCCACCACCACCACCACCACCACCACCGTCCCCACCACCACCACCGTCCCCACCACCGCCACCGCCAGCGCTGCTGGTGTTGTGGGCACTAGTGGAGCGGGGTGTGCGGCTGTTGTTGGCGCAGGTCATGTAGAGATGCTGCCAAGCGGTCCGTCGAGACGAGGCAGCACACACGGTGGGGTCCAGGCCGGAGGCGGCGGAGGTGGGGGCGGAGTCACAACCGGAGCTTCAGCAGATGGGGGCGTACGGCAGATGGGGGCGGCGGCGCCAGTGGCAGCGGGTGAAGCCGCTGGCGGCCGCAGCGGCGGTCGTCGACGAAGACGAAAAGAACTAGACGTGGCCTCGTTTGAACGCAAACTACGCAGCCTGTTTTGGTTTCGGAAACCCAAGCTGCTCATTTGGTTCAGCCACATCAACTTCTTGCAGAACTCCATGAGTGTGACGCTGTGTACCTACATCATGGCGACGTACGGCACTGGATCCAGCATCTTGCCGGTGCGTTTCTTTGCCGCATGTGGCATGTCCGCGTGACCCCTCTGGTTGCCCCTGGTGCCATGTATACGGTACTCCTCGGGGCATCACCGGGCACAGGCTCTCCTGCTTTCCTGTTCCCCTTTTGCCCACGCCACCTACCTCTACTCCCTCCTACCCTCTCCTACCCTCTCCTACCCTCTCCATTCACAGCCCCTTCCGGGGGACTCTACATACAAACCCCCTTACCCCGCCCTTTCCCACCCTCTCTCACCCCCTCCCACGCCTCCCACCGCCCCTCCTCCCCCTCCTCCTCCTCCTCCTGCCCGCAGATGAACAGCCGGCTGCTGTACGTGTGGGTTCCGCTGCTGGGCGCCGACCTGCTCATGATGCTGTACACGGGCTGGGTGGTGGTGCCGCTCTACACGCTGCTCACCACCACCGCCACACGCGACCCCGCGCTGCTGCACGCCAACATACGGCGGCTGAAGAAGGTGGAGGAGGAGGAGGAGGGCGGCGTCACGGGGTGAGTGGCGCGGGGGGGGGGGCCCTGGTGGTGGCGGCGGTGTGTGTCGGGATAGGGCAGTGACGCCAGTGAGGGTGTGTGACGGAGGACTTCCAACAGGACGGCTGGTACCGCACACCCGCATGGTGTGTGGGCATTCGCTTGAAGCGGCGCCCGCCCGCCGTAGTCATTGTTGCTGATCCTGCCATGGGCTTCGACTCCTTCACTACCGGAATACCTCCCTCCTGCTTTCCCCTTTCCCACTGCCTGCCGTACTTGCTCCTTCCCACCGCAGACTGGTCATCTCGCTCTTCACTCGCTGCTTCCGGCGCTCCCACCACCATGCGACACGAGAGGCAGCGCGCACCGCACACCGTCACTTCGACCACCATCACCACCACCACCGTCACCGTCACCAATCCCGCCGACGCGACGCAAAACGCCACCCGCACGGGCTGCAGCAGGCGGGGCGCGGTGACAGGGGCGCAGCAGGCGCGCAGGAGGAGGCCGACTCGGGCGCTGCAGCGACTCGCGCCGACTCCACCGACTCAGTGGCTGCTGCGACGCTAAACGCGCTGTTCGTGACGCACCTGGCCAACCAGGCGGGGGTGATCCTGGCTGAGGGGGCGGAGCGGGGCGATGTGCGGAGGCTGGGGCCGGCGGGCAGGGTGTATAGGAACTACATAGACATATGGCGGGGCAAGGTGCGCGTGGAGCGGGGCGCGCAGGAGGCACCGCCGGAGGGAGGGTGGATGCTGACAGGTGGGTTGGGTGGGTGGGTGGGTGGGAGCGGAGGGCAGGGTGGGGTGAGGCAGGACTGGGCGCTGCCAGGAAAGGGCGACAAGGTGGGTGGGGGGGTGGTTGTGGGTGTACTACACGGCTCTATCGCGGCCGATGTCGCACACCGACACTCCACCGAGATGCATGCGTGCATGTGTGCTCCGACTCGCGGCCAGGATGCTTAACCCACATGCCAATATGCATGATTTTCACCACCCCACCCCCACCCCCACAGCCGACGTGTCGGACTTCCGCGCCGCCTTCCGCCGGCTGGACTGCGACGACTCGGGCAGCGTCACGGTGGACGAGCTGCTGACTCAGCTGCAGGTGGTGGCGGCCACTCGGGCCACGCGGGCGGAGCTGCGAGACATGTTGCGCGCAGTGGACCAGGATGGTGGGTGCGGGAGGTGGGGGGTGCGGGGTGCGGGAGGGGGTTGCGGGGTGCGGGAGGGGGTTGCGGGGTGCGGGAGGGGGGTGCGGGGTGCGGGAGGGGGGGTACGGGGTGCGGGAGGGGGGGGGAAGTAAGGAAATTGACGAGGCAACTAACGAGCTGTGGGTGCGGGGTGTGTGTGGGGGGGCGGGCGGGGGTGATGCGGGGCCAAGGGCGGATGGGAGAAGGAAACCCGCGATAATGGCCAGTCAAACACCCGCGGATGGGATTGGGTGCATATTATAGCCGAGGTGACAGTTGAGGGAGTAGGAGCGTGGGAGTACCGGTAAACAAAAGTGTACTAAGTGGCTTTCAGGGGACCAAGCGCGGGTGCATGGCCGCTTGCAACTTGCTTGATCTTGTGCATCTTAGGGGCCATCAACGAGGTGCCTTCGCGTCGCGTCGTGCCACACGCGGACCACCATGCGGAGCTCACTGCTGCGTGTCATGTGTGTCATGTGTGTCATGTGTGTCATGTGTGTCATGCGTGTCATGCGTGTCATGCGTGCCATGCGTGCCATGCGTGTCATGCGTGTCATGCAGGCAACAAGGGCATGGACTTCTTGGAGTTCGTGACGTTCATGGTCTTCTGCTTCTTCGACCGCAAACGAAACAGTGAGTCGCTCCTACCCTAGTTCTCATGTACTACAGGAGTAGTCACCGGGCGAAAAGCCGACAGGCGGTCCATAGTGCTGCTTGTCGTACTCGTTCAGCTCTGCGCCAGTGCGTCCTGCGAGTTGGTCAGCGCGATGTGCTTCAGTTGCGCTCCCTATCGCATTTCCCTTTCCCTTCCCCTTCCCTCCCCCCGCCTCCCCTCCACTCCCTGCACGTATCTTTCATTCCCCCCCCTGCAAGGCTGCGTGGAGATGCGGGATATCCGCAAGATGAGTCGCCGCGTGCGGTTGCGGCTGCCTGACGCGGAGGTGGAGGCCATGATGGACCTAGCGGGTGGGTGGCTGGCTGGGGTTGTCCGTGGGGGGGTGGGTGGGTAGGTAGGCACAACGACTTGTACTGGTAAACGGCGTGTCTGAATTGCCTTCTACCAAAACCTAAACCCTAAGCCCTCAACCCTAAGGCCTTCTCACGCATCCTGCGTGGCTGCTGCCCTGTTGCTCCCCCAACCCCAACCCCAACCCCGCCCCCGCCCCTACTCCTCAGACCCGGACGGCGACCGCAAGATTGGGTTGCGGCAGTTCTTCAAGCTGTTCCAAGTGAGGCGGGAGGGGAAGGGTGTTCCCACTGCTGTGGGCTGTGCTGGACTTGCATGCGGGTATGTAATGGGAAAGAATGTTTGAGGAAGAATACGGCAACAGTACCGTTTTCCCCAAAATTTAATTAACATGCGCTTGGAGGCCTAATTTCCAGCCCCATTTGACAAGACGGAAACAAATTATGCCCCATTTGACATACTGATTGCGAATTTCTAGCCCCATTTGACATGCGCCAAACACACCCCAAAAGCCGCCGTTAAGTACGTAATATGGTGACATGTAATAAGAAAAGGAGCTGTATGCCGCTGTGCAGCCCTAGGAGGATAAGTGGGACACCATATTGGCTCAATTGGGCATGGCGCGGTGAGGACCCAGGGCACCGGATGTTTTTGCCCCCATTTTATGCCTTGTCCCTGCCTTGTCAGCGAATTTCTAGCCCCATTCGACATGGCAAACAAATTATTGCCCCATTTTTGTCAATGAGTTGTTTTTTAGTAAACTTTGGGCAATATGTACACAAGTACATATTCTAAACCCAGGCAAACCCCTCTTAAACCTCCCAAACCGCACACACAGGATGTCCAACTACCCGGCACCGAGCGCCGCCCCCCCAGCGGCACCGCCACCGCACACGCCAGCAGCAGCAACAGCACCGCTGGCGTCGTCGTCAGCAGCGCCGCCACGGCCCAGCAAGCCGCGCAGCTCCCCACCACCACCCGGCCACCCCCTGCCGTCACCCCAACCGCCAGGTCTCGCCTTGCATGCTGCTCCACAGAACCCGCACCGCACAGCGCTATGGCGGCGGCGGCGCTTGCAACCTCCGCCGGCTCCCTAGGCTGGGGTCTCGGCGGCGGCGGCGGCAGCAGCGGTGGTGGGGTCGGTGGGGTCGGTGGTCGAGGGCTGACGGGGCCTTCTGGCTCCCTGGGGGCTACGTCGGGTCGGGAGCGCTACAGGCAGCTGCGGGTGATGGTGGAGAATCCCTCAGGAGCTGCCTAGGGGGTTCACTGCCAACCCGGGGGGAGGGGGCACTGCCTTGGCTCTGTGTTTGGGTGTGGGAAGCTGGGTGGGGTGGGGTGGGGTGGGGTGGGGTCAGGTCGGGTCGGGTTGGGTTGTTTGCAATGAGGGAGGGCATGCGAGGGCGCCTTAATGCCTGTCACAAGGGCCCTAAGGTGCAGCGGTGTTGCTTCGGCGTTGTTCTCTAGTGTGCAGTGCGGGCTGTGTGTTACCGCCCGGGTAGGGGCAGGTTGGGAGCAGTCATGAGAGATGCGGCGGGTAACCGGCGGGTTTCTCTGCTGCCATGCGGAAGCAGGGGCCCTTCATGTTGAGAGGCGGCTCTTGGGTCGCGGCGGCCACATAGGTAGGTAGGCAATGACACTGGCACTGCGGCATGACCCGTCTAAACAGGGTCGCAATGGCCGTAGGGTGCAAAGAAGGATCGCAGGAGGGCATGTGCATGTGGCGGGTGTGCCCTTGCGGTGCACTTGGGTGGGCAGTGATGTGCGCGTGAATGTGGATATCCACGCAGACAGGGACCGGTGGCGGATGTGGTCAAGCTGAACCGTTTTGTTGTCGCAACCGTAAACTCACCCCGTAAATGGTTTACGGCGAATATTTGCGTCCCTTGTGTGCTTGCTTTTTGTCCGTCTAAAACGTGTTCGTATGTGGCGGGCGGATATGATGTATTGCTGGCAGCCGGGCGCTCATCGTCTTGCTGGTGGAATAGCCTTAGTTGCGTGCCGTACTCGCTCGTGCGGTGGAGATCTCTGTTTGGCTGGCCACACGGTCGAGAGAGGCAGAGGTGAGAGTCGTAGCCCATGTGAAAAGCACCGTTCGGATGGCTTGCCTTCCTCATTCCTTGTGTGTAAAACTGATGTTCCTTAGACCAAAGCTGCTGTGAGTGTTGTCGTTGATTTGGTTGCTGTTGCCGTTGCTGTTGCTGCTCCTTCACCAATAGGGTACGCGCATGCCCTGTTGCCGTCTCCATGCGGAGGAGTCGAGGAGACGCGGAACGCAGCAACAACGACTTGCACGGGGGGCTTCATTAATTCTTGCGGCTTTTAGGCTTATATTGACAGGCATCTAGACGTACCTTACAGCTTTCGGAATGGCATTTTAGCTACGGGAGAGTTTAGCTAGGGTCGTGGCTGCATCACATAGCTCCGTGGGGTATCTACGCACCTGAAGCATTCGGGCAATGAAAGTGTACGGGCGGTTATGTCTTTACCTCGTGCGTTGAGAGCTGTTGATGACACGTTGACTGCCGCACAGGTATGTTGTAGTGCCATATGTTGATGGAAGTGTGCGCTCGAGTTGGGAGCCCCACGGCTTCTGTCGTGTTTGTACGGGCGTTGTCGTCGTGCTCTTGATTTCTTGTGCCGTACGCAGCAAGGAGCTGGCCGATGAGGACATGCACCTTGTCCCGGCCTGCAGACCGTCATCATGGGGCATGCCAGATAAGTTGTTGAGTCTTGCCTGTCTCAAATGGACTATTGGCTGCCTATTTTGTCCACGTTGCGATCCCGGGTCGTATCTGAATGTTAAGGGGCGTGCGCGAAGGAGTGACGTGTGGTCTTTGTTGTGATGTTTCCCAATGTGGTGGGCCCCTCGTGGGGGCTAAACTACCGTTTACCAAACAAGTGCGACGAGAGCGTCACCTTACGACGGTCAAACGTGCGCCTTACTGTAACCGTAACGTTACAGCGTGGCAGTTCCCAACAAGTACTATTACTGCTACCTCCTGCTTGTATTCCCGCATACCGGTATACTACCCACGCTCAACAGCCTCTGTCGTGCAGAGCATGCACGGCAGTGCACTCGGCGGTGCGCTACCCACCTTCACTTTCCCTTTCATGCAATATCGCCACTACCAGGGCACTTACATCCCAGGGTACAGACATCAAAAGGGAGGGCAGCAGCTTTCACACCAACACTGCAATAAAGGATTGAGGCAAGGATGGCGAATGGTGCCGTACGTGGCGGGTAATGGTAGCCGAGTTGACGCGCGCGCTACCACGCATACGAGCGAGGATGGTCGAGAGTCAGGAACGATCACAAACTGGAAGACTGAAGTCACCCCGACGTAATACGAAACAAGGTACCCAGCACTCATGTGTTTGTTGCCTCTCAAGTCGCCCGCCGTAATACGACGAGTGAAGGGCCCATCCATCCCACCCTGGCCGTAGCAATGTCGTTGTTGTGTGGCTCACATACATTCATCTCCAAGCCGGCAGCACTGCAGCAGCAGCCGGAACTAAGTCTTCCAACTGATGGTACACTAATCCTGTTTCCCACAGTGCGTAGCTACCGTCAGTAGGCGCAAACGTAACGCTGTACAAACCCAAGGCCCACTGGCTTTGCCATGGCCCCCTGGCAGCAGCAGCGCTATGCAGCCTGTAGCGGCGACCCACATGCCCTTACATCGTCACATGCCACCGCTGCCGTTGTCACCGCCGTTGTCACCGCCGCTGTCACCGCCGCTGTCACCGCCGCTGTCACCCCCATCACCGCCGCCCGCTCCTCGTGCCATCATCTCGCGGTAGGCCTTCCCCAGGGGCGAGTTCTGCCGTATTTCCTTGAGCAAGGCGCGCACCTGCTGCACCTTCGCAAGCTGGTCCTCGAGCTCGGCAATCAGCGTACCTTGAGGCATGAGGGAATGATGGAATCAGCAGGGAAACCATAGGTTACATGGTCAAGAAGGGTTTGAAAATCCAGACGTCCAGCCCAGGAAACAGCGTTGCGGCAATTGAGGAGGAAGGAGAGAAGTAGTGGAGTGCGAGCGTGTGCAAGGAACAGACTGACCCACGGGTCACACGAGGGCCTATAGCAAAAGGTTGCTGTACTCGACAGCTTCGACTTAAGTACGGCACACCTGGTGTACCGGAAACACGAGCGGCAAAAGGTGCAAAGTGCATTGCGTCTTCGCGTGAACTCACCAGCTTTGATTCTCTCCCTTATTTGGTCAATCTTGCCAAGCATGCTGACCAGCTCCGAAGTGAACATACCCTGGTAGTCGCTCCGGAGGCCCTGCAAGCAAGGTACCGGTAGTTAAGACCGGCATGATTGACCCATGGGTCAACCTGGCGCAACACAGGAAGCGAGTAGCACTGCAGTGTACAACTGTGGTCTTGGCTTTTCCAAACCTGCAGGAACTGTACTGCCGCAGTCTCCAGGTTGAACAGCCCAAAGATGAAGGTGGCAATGGCGGGCACGAATGAGAGCGCCACACCGGCTGTACCCAGGGCGCCTGCAACGGTGAGGTGGGGGGGTCACCCATGTTAGTTGGCATACCGGAACCTCCTTCCTTGGCCTGGCAGGCCTGCCCTTAGCCATCGGCAAAGAAACTGCTGTGCAGGATAGTACCGTACAGTGGCATTGAAACTAGCCTTGGTACCCTGGGCGATGACTCCTTACGTCCTGAATGGCGCATGTCCTGAACCACCACAATTACAGATCTACGAACCCGGATTGTGCCTCATCGCGGTATGTATACGGTACTATCCCCAGCCCCATGCACCATGTGCCCGCAGCTTCATGCCATGGACTGTCGCACAAACGTACGCCGTCCAATGCGTTCCTCCTCGCGGCAGTTTTCGTAACACGCAGCGCTCCCAACGCACCGGACACGGTGTACACGATGCCGCTCGCAAGGTTGAGGGCTGAAGAGGTGATGGCGGCCGCATCCAAGTTTTGCTGCATACGTGGGGACATGAGGTAGGGACATGAGGTAGGGACATTGGTAGGAACAGAGGGAAGTCACAATGTGGAAAGCGCTTGGAGTAGTTGCGTGCACACGTCCAGAGCAGGGCAAGGCTTTGCAGCAGTCGCCTCTACATCCAGGCAGCTCTACAGCTTCCAAGCCCGCCGCAGGCTACCGTCCTAGGACTGTGGATCACGTTCTTTCTTGACGACCCCACCTTTCCTTTTACAGCATGAGAAAGCACTCGGCGTCACGCTCAGGATCATCATCCAAAGGGGCCGTCATGCGCCGCGTATCAATCCACACAGACGGTGATACGTACTTATGCCAACCCACTCAAGTCAACGTCACTCACCGTAAGAGCATCCGTGAAGCTCTGGAACTGATCTCCCGTCAGGGGCTCCGTCATATTCTCCAGAGCCTTGGGGTCAAAGTTGCCGCCGGGATGTGGCCGGCCGCCCATGAACCCCATGCCCAAGCCGGCGCCTCCGCCGGGCCGGAAACCCCCTGCTGCACCGCCGCCGCCGCCGCCAGGACGGTTGCCGCTACCGGCACGGAGGCTGGAAAAGAAGTTGGGTCCGGCGGGGCCCAAGCCGGGGCCGCCCGCCGCTCGGCCAAAGAGCAGCGGATCCGTGTATTGCTGGAATTGCTGCACAATACCGTCGAGCGTGAAAGTGGAGCCACTCAAGAAAGGGACTCTGCCGCCGGCATTTGTGCCGCCGCCGCCGCCAATGCCACTGCTGGACGCAGCGCCGCCGGGGCGGGCGCCGCCGGTGGTGCCGAAGGAGAAACCTCCGAACTGTGCTGTCTGGGGTTGCGGGTGTGGTGCGCGGAGTCCACGTATCCGTGAGAGTTGCGGTCGGGTACTTCAGAGCAAGCGGAGGCGGCAAGCGCCAGCAATAAGCAACTATGTCAACTTGACCTTGCGCGCGGCTAGATAGACTGCCTCTGACGCTAGGGCGATGGGAGGACGCTAGGGTTTTCCTAAACTGTTGCAGGAACTGTTTACAGCGGGAAACGCATGGGTCGCACCGTTGGAGAAGGTCTGAGG